GGCCGGTCGTGTCGAGTTCAAAAGATTGTAGGTGGTCGTCGTCGTCGTCGACTGACCAGAGTAGTGGGTGGTGGCAAGCCAAGGCCCAGGGGAGCAAAGTTGGCGCCGAAACCAGGGTCAGAGATGGAGGATTGACCAAAGTTGGCGCCGGGTTCGGGACCTGTGGTGGTGAAATCACCAGGGTCGGGCCAAGTCGGGGCCAAGTCACCCAGCCAAGGGGATAGGACGTAGATTTCGTGAAGTTGGCGCCGAAACCAAGGACGTAGAGTGTAGATTTACCAAAGCTGGCGCCAAAGTCGAGGAAGGTGGACGTAGAAGTGGTCGCAGTAGAGTGTAAGTACTGGAAGAGCAGTGTCGAGTAGTTGGGCCAAAAAGTAGGGCCAAAGAGTGCCGGTGGGCCAAAAAGAATCAAAATCGGGGCCAAGTGTGATTATTGCTGGGCGCAAGAGTTCACAGAATTGTGCGCCCGGGCGAAAATCTACGGCAGAAGTGAGAATAGTGCACTGGATCCAGGCGGGAGGGCCTGAAAAAAGAAGTGCCTCGCTGGCGCGAGCAAAAAGAATACAGCACCCCAATTTCACACATGGTCTCCCACTGTATTACTCACTGAGGCTCTTGGCAGCTTGACGCTCGTTGATCGGACGGGAAACAGTATTTTCTACCAAATTTGGCCGTATCCGATATAACAGAAGGGAGCGATGCGCTATATGGCACCGGGCGGGGGTGCAGTTAGCACTGAAGAGAAAGGATTCGGGTGGGGGAGGGTAGCCCAGGGAAGGCGGGCATTGGGCGGGGGAGAGGGCCGGGGACGGGAGGGATATATATCCAAGGAAGGGGATGGGGGACGTGCCGCCGCCCCAAACCGTGCCTATCCCAGCCCCCTACGGAGCGTAGCGTAGTAGCGCCGCCTGCGGCGGGCGCCAGCTTCGTGGTGGGGTCGTTGGGGTTGTGTGGGTGCTGTATTGGTGACTTTGGGTTCTGGATAGGCATCAGCGTGGCTACAGCGTTTGGAAAGGGCGGAGGTTGGGCTTGAAACAATGCTGCGGGCTCTAATGGAACGCCCCGTGCTTTTGCGTAGCTTCATTTCGGTGTAGAATGATAGATTATGCTATCTATGTTGGATGGTATGAATGACTCCATAGGCAGCATTTATGCAACCTGAAGAGCCCCAAACAACTTCAAGTAGCACCCATCAACACCAGTTGATGTCCATCTAAAGTAGAATGACATTCTCCCTGACGTTAGTGTGACATTTGACCGAAATAGCACCACATCCTTGCTCCCTCCACTATGTAGCCGTGATTGAATTAAAGCAACAGTTTAACGACTTGCCATTTGTACCCATGACATAGCGTTACTTACTAAAGCCTTTCATCTTGCCCTATCTCACCAGCTTCATCCATCTAGCTTGATATCTGATTGTTCATCACCCCCTTTTCTTGACTCCTCAAATCCTTTTATCCGTAACCCTATCTCACTCCCCATCCTTTTGTTCTCCACACCTCAATGCCATATTTTCATATCTGTTCGGGCGAACTTTGATTATGGCAAGTAGTTGATACTTCTCTCAATTCTGGGGTGTAAGATTGCAGTAATTGCTGGTGGCTACGCGACTTTTTGGGGGTGACACGTGTCAGCAGAGAAGTGGCTCACTTATTTGATTAAATAACCAACACAAATTAGTTACACTTGATGTCGTAGTTACAAAATTAATTTGTTTTGTATCTTTGACGTTCTTCACAATTTGGTGAGATGTCAGAAATTTGGGTACTCATTTTGTATATGTGGTGCGACTTTGAGTAGACATCAGAAAGGTTACTTTTAAAAACTATGCTAAAAATCAAAAAGTGAATAAAAGGTGAAGTGAAGCTATCCAAACGCTTGGGATAAATGCTGTAAATTTCTCCTGAGAGTCTCATTGCTTAGCTTTGATACCTAAATGAGATGTGACGTTTGCAGGAAAAGTAAGATGTAAATCGCATCTTATCAATCGAAATTGTCCAAGGGATTTATAATTAGCTAATTTTTTTGCATTTTGACACCTTTGTAGATCGTCAGGATACCTAAATAGACGGTTCTCGCCATAGTTTGATGTTATTAACTGTGATTGAGCTATAACGTCAGTATCTCTCAACTTATCGTCTACAATTTGAACTTTGGACAAAAAACGGGTGTTCTTCAATTCTCTTTTAAAAAAATAAAGCAGGGTTATATCAATTTGATAATGCATAACACGCACCTGTTCCCTTGCTGCTCCTAAAGATGAGAATATTGAATGATGGATTTCAATTTGAGTTCTCAATATTTTGCTCAAATGACTACATTTGTGAGATAAGAGGAGAGTCAGGGTTTCTAATGTGGAAGAATTAGTTTAATGTTTGCATCGAAGTAGGCTACTTTAATAGCAACAAGTGCAATGATGAATAGTGGGTACCCCAATTCTGACATTGTCAACGCACAGCAAATAGAGCATACCAAGGATATCCCACAACTGAGAGAGCAGTGATAATAATGACAAGAAAAAATCTAGTATCATTTTCATCTAAAGCTTATGACTTGTAATCATAAGCTACTAACTAGTGGCTCACCTGAGACGCATCTCCGCTATTAGCGGAAAGATGTCTGGGTTTTGAGGAAGCTCTGAGCTGCAAAGAGCCTGCTATTGCAACGATTGTTAACCTCATAATAGCCAACAACATAAGGGCAACTGATAGGTTTTATGAAATAGCCAAAATCTTGAGCTCAGAAAGATGCCTTCTATTAGTCTAGGAAGGATATGATCTCACATTGTGAACCCTATAACTTCTCCTTCGCTTCACAACGGTAGTTTTTAACGTCCACAATGTATCAAAAGATTCTTTGAAGTGAGTAGTATATTTAGGCAGCTCTAAGTAGTTTTATCTCTACCTGACATCCAAAGTCTAAAGAGTTTGAGGTCGATATTGTAATTCACATTTAACACCTTGGGAACCATATAAAAAATTATAATAAAATTCAGAATAGTGTTGGGTGTCTGTGAGTGAACAAATATAGCTACTTAGGGGCTCGTCATGGCTATTCGTGGCTTCATGACGACACCTTTGCGCCATTTGCATATGGAAAGTAACATTACCTGCTACTTGCTAAGCACCATCAAGATTACTCAGGTTTTAATCAAATGGGAAGATAAATGGCTTCCGTACCGAGTTGAGTTGTTTCTTAACTCGTACTGATCTTTGTTAATCAGTCTCCTGATATGACAATATTCAGTACTACTAAGCTCACAACCAAAGTACGAAATAAGAAAGAACTTGAAACAAGGACGATCGAACAAAGGCAAATCTTTCAGGAATAATATCGCTTGTTGCCTGGGAGAGATAATTTATTGGTCCTTTTAATCACAATTCCACCTTAATCCATTGCCACGCCGAATTGGGAAACATCGTGAAACACTAAGTCATTGAGAACCCCAAAGTAGAAGTCTAATGAGACTCAAGAGCCTGAATTCACGAAAGCTTTACGAGAGCTTTTGGAATATAAATACCGGACGAATTCCCTCCCTAACCATCATCAAACAAAGAAATCAATATGGCCGCTCAAACTACTCAGAACAAGAACAACGCTCCAAAGGACAACAACTTGAACAAGCACGCTGGTCGTGGTGCCGTTCCTTTTATGTGTGCCATTGTCTAGATGAATATAAATTTATCTTTTTATGGATTGTAGAATCTTCTATCTTTGCAACCCTTAGTTGGTAGATAACAAGTGCTTTAGATTAGCAGAATGCATTTCAGAAAGAATTCACGCTGACTGTAACTAAAAAAAGCTCCATCATCAAATGTCGTAGTAGAAAATTTTGGCTTTTTTTCCTTTTTCTAATTCAATTCTGTCTTTTGGCGCTGGCACACCCGTGCACCAAGATAACTGGACGCGGTCAAAAACAAGCACCATAATCAAGACCTACTACTCCAGAAAAGACCAAATTTTCAAATGTTCCTGGTTTTCCCAAAATAGAGCCTATCTAAGCAATCAGAGCTCAAAAATTACGATGGTGTTAGTTGTTTGTCCATAGCACCTTTCCACATGGTGTGATTCATCCGTGAAATTGATATATTTCCGTTGGAAAGGCACGAAAGTGATACCGGGAGCCACACCAAAAAATATTTCATTCCACGCCTTTCATGCTTAAGTTAAGCTCATAAGCTCTTGGGGTTTGTCTTTCGAAAGTGGCTAGACGCTGTAGCATCGGGTTACAAGTCTTTGTTGATAAAAACAACAAATCTGAGGGGCATTAAACGAGCCGAAATCAACTACTGAATGGTCATCGTGGAACGAAGAGAGCCAGGGGATGGCGATGAGATCGTCCAACATGTGCTTTTGGATCCATATACGTCCATTTTAGCTCGCCTGACCTGGACGTTGAAAGTACTCCGCAAGCGGAGCCAGCATCACCAGAGGCATGGACAAGATACACGAGGCGTCCATTTCAGGTCCAGGGAATACAATCCAAACCATCTCCCAGGTACAGCCGGCCTTGGTGCTGGCGAACAGCATGCCTCATGTGTCAATGTCAGATTTGCTCATATCTCGGTCGACAGAAAAGCAGGGAGAGCGAAAGTGGTCTCAGCTGAAAGCTACTGATGTGATGAATACTAGAGTATTTTTACTGGCAATTGTTCAAGCTGGCACATGGTACTGAAATGGAGGATTCTGTTTTGTTCTTGGGATTGTCTATAACTCCACCCACACCAAGCACAAAAAAACTATTTTACCCTTCTGTGATTACTTGAAGTATGGAGTTTATAGTGTTTGTACTTTCTTTGGAACTGGCGCTGGCATGTGCTGTCGATTTTTGACTTATCTTGACAAAGTCAAATCTGCTCAACTTTCGAGCAGCAGCAAACTGAATAAATTTACAGGTGTCGTTTCTTTGCCTACTTGCGTTTGTTTTCACCGTATTTTACATGCGTATGCATACATTATCAAAAGGCATACAATTTGTTTGCATATGTGAAAAGAGATTAAAAAACACACTGTGGTGGAAATTGCCGATCGTCGAAAGGTTGAGGGAAAACACCCTCCTTGATTAAATCAGACATGCTCCACTCGATTGCGTTCTCTGTCTTCCAATTCCAAAAGAGCCATCCGCTAGCAGTGGAATACGCATCAATTTGTCCTTCAATGAATCTACGGAGGTTCTTGCGATGCTCATCTGTCCACTGATCAACTTGTGTGTATGGCTCACAGGTTCCAATCTTCTCGGGGTTATTGAATTCACCGGTCCAACGTGAGCCATGTCCAACACCATTCAACCAACGAGCACAATCGGTCATGGCACCAGACCATTCTCCAACCACGTTCCAGTGATACTCATTCATGTGTTGCCTACCATTTTCGCAGGCCACTTCCATATGCTCATCGATGCTCATAGCCAAGTCCTCTGGAGTACGCCATCTGTAATGATGATGGTCCAAAACAACATCCCAGTAGCCCTGCTCGAGGGTCATAAAATCATCCCAATAGCTAGCCTCTTCCTGAAAAGCATCGCTGAGTATCACATTATTGTATGAGATGCCATTCATGAAACGCATGTTTCCGTACGCCCATGTATAGAAATTTTTGAGGAATGTCATATCTGAAGCAGGTCCAAGTGGCTCATTCATGAATTGAATACCGCTTATCACGTCTTCAAATTCAGGACCTCCATACTTGTCGAAGATCTTTTGCAATACTGTGAGCGTGAGCGCTACATTCTCATATCGCTGGTATCCAAGAGACTCTCTGAATTCATCCAGGGATTCATAAGACCCACGCTTTCCAGAACTTGTTCCTCCATTCTGTGAGCCTGGGACACCATGCAAGTCAATCCATGCGTTGATTCCATGATTGCGGGCCCAGCCTAAGGCCCTTTCCAAATAGAAATCCTGGCCTTGCACGTAAGGATCATCGGGCAAGAGACCGTACGCCCAATATCCGATCGGAATCCTCACGGTGTTGATACCTGCATTGGCCATCTCTTCGAAATCGGACTCTTGATACCAAGTATCCCAATGATGCTCCAATCTTCTCTTGGCCTCATCTTTTCCGAGAAACTGGTGGTAGTGGTAATCGTCCACAGGAATCTCACCGGGTTCGAAGGCATCAAAAAGTGAAGGCGTAATGTAGGGTTCGAGCAAGAACCAACCGCCTAAGTTCACACCATGTATCTTATCATTTTCATAGTCCCAATCGAAAGCCTTTTCACGCTTGTGTATGGTTGGCGCAGCAACTGCTAAAGCTGCTATCAGTAAAAGAAAGGCAAGCTTCATTTTGTCTCAGTCCTGGGATATTTCATCTGAACCCTTGAAAACATCATATTTATACATCAGCACGGCTTCCATGCATCTTTAGGAGGATGCCGCTAGTATATGCATAGAACAATAAGCGAACCCACAAACTAGCGCACACTTCTTTCGAGGAGTTGAATGACCCTACGAGTGAATGTATAATGATGCCCCTCTAGATTTACTGCACCCATCCTTGCAGTATCCGGATTATACGGCGTTTTAACTTGCTGTTCCGTGACTATCATAGCTTGGCAGGGGCTAACAAAGAACATCATCAGATTTAGTTCAGTTTTGCCGAATTCCGCTTCCCATCACCTAGATAGGTGGAGATATTACTCTCCTTGAGCTAAGCGGACAGTTAGAGACGGAGCACATGTGTCCGGACTGAAAGTCAGCAAACAATGGTTACCAATCGATTATTAACACAAAAATAATAGTCAAATTCTGAAGGCATTGAAAAGACCTGAACGTTGCTTTGTTGTGCGTCAATGTTAGATGAAGATTCAAATGACGGTATCATCCTATCTTCTTCAATGCCATGCCACTGGTGAATGCAGCTTTAATGCCAGCGCTAATGATAAGACCAAGGAGTGTTTGAGGATTCAATTGCATTTGAGTTTTCAAAGCTTCGGAAAAGACATGATCGTTAAAGAGGATCTAAAGGTTTCACCACATTTTAAAACCGCCAGACCACTCGGATATCTAAGTCATTTCTCCGTAATGTTGGATTACTAATATCTCGCTTCATTATAGTGTGGTCGTGTGCGTACCAGATCTTATATGAGACATCATTGGGATTGTAAATGAGAGTAAGAATAGGAAACCAGAATATAGAGGTGTACAAGCTACATCATCTACTTTTTCCTTGTCTTCAATACCCCTAATCCTAGCTTCGATCTCGACAACATCGATAATCATGGACTCCCTGGCTGCAAAGCAAGATGAGCCATTCAAGGGCCCCAATTTGAATGTGACCCTTATGTGTCCAGACTGCAAGGCTTTCCCTCCAAACCTAATAGAGCGTTTCAGTGAAGGCGATATAGTCTGTGGGGACTGTGGTTTTGTGCTCAGTGATCGTGTGGTGGACACAAGATCGGAGTGGAGAACCTTCAGTAACGATGACCAGAATGGTGACGATCCTAGTCGTGTGGGTGATGCTGGAAACCCTCTTTTGGACAGCGAAAACCTCTCGACGATGATTTCGTATGCTCCTGAAAATGTGAGGGCCGGAAGAGACTTGAGCAGGGCTCAGGCAAGATCGTTGGTCGATAAGAAGGATAACGCTCTATTGACAGCGTTCACAAAAATCTCACAAATGTGTGATGCAATCCAGCTACCGAAGCTCGTGGTTGATGGTGCTAAAGAAGTTTACAAGATAGTTTACGAGGAAAAGCGGCTCAAGGGTAAGTCACAGGAGTCTATTATGGCGGCGGCGATATATTTGGGTTGTAAAATGGCGAAGCTCTCGAGATCTCTTAAGGAGATTTGGGCGCTTACGAATGTCCCGATCAAGACAACCGGAAAGGTCTACAAGATTGTCAAGCAAATCTTGATTGAGAAGAGTCACAAGGATCCAAACGCTTACTCATACATCAAGGACAGCGAGCAGGCCGTTCTGTCGTCGTCCGACGTTTTGATCAGAAGATTCTGCTCCAATCTTGGTTTGAGTATGGAGGTGACGAATGCTGCGGAGGCTATCGCTATCAAGTGCTTCGATGAGGGCATCTTGGCCGGTAGATCGCCCATTACTGTCGCTGCGACAGTGATCTACTTCGCCTGCTTACTTCATAATACCCTGATAACACCCGCACAGATTGGCACCAGAACCGGTGTCAGCGACGGTACCATCAAGACGGCTTTCAAAGTGGCATGCAAGGATAGGGATAAGTTGATAGATCCGAGATGGATAGAGAGTGGAAAAGTGAAGCTTGACAACATTCCTCAGGTTTGAGCCCGTGAGGAGCTTGATACAGTTTAATATTCACCGGGGATGTTGCTCGCTTCAACATATTGTAGATTGGGAAGTAGCTTGTTATGCAACGTATTTATTAACATACTCACAAGTTATAGATCAGCTTAACGACGTTCCACAACACGTTGCGGTTACGTACAGCGAAAATCACAACCACACTGACAACCGCAACGTGAATAACATGGAACACACTGAGTCTGACCAAAAACTTCATGATGGCAGGAACCGGGCTCTTGTAGTTAGGCCTACGGTCCACACTCACAACCACAGTATCACCTTCTGAGAAATAGTCATTCACGGGAGCATCCAAATCCACAATGTCAAAGAAGCTGTTGGTACGAACGCCTTCAACAAGAAGAGGTTTTTCTTTTGGAAACTTAGCCAGATAGAAGGCAGCACTCTTTTGAGCAGCATGTACTAAAGGAGCTTTCCCATCGATTTCAAGCAAAAAGCCGTAGCCATGTCTGTACACCTTGGAGGGGCTGAATGAGTTGCTCATAAAGTCGTAACCTGGAAAAGGCTTGTCATCTTGGGAGACGAGGAAGAAGTTCAATTGCATTTTGATGGTGGAGATGTCATGGCATCGCAGCCCTAGTTATAGTTCTGACAGAAACACATGTGGAGGAGATAAGAAATGCCATGTGAAATTTGAAGCATCATTCAACCACTGTGATGATCCATATGCTACATCTTTATAGTAATGCTTGTTCAATTACGGCATGTGCCGAGTCAGGCGGCTCTCGGTGCGGACTTAATGGAAGAGGACGGCGATAGTGAGGACCTTTCTCATTGGCCTGATTTTTGAAATAAATTTTATGTGAAAGGGTTAGGAGAACTTTTTGCTTTTATCTGCCGTTCTGCTGTATTCTTTTCTGAATGTCGCAAGATCTTGAGTTGGTGTGAGACATACTGAGCCCTGAGCACTATCACCATAGTGTTGCCAGCAACAACATCTAATTAGGCAATTCGCAAAAGGGCGGGGATGGCTAAACTTTCTTACTTTCAGCTCTCCATTGCAGGCTTTTACGGTTATTAGGTGAAGTACCCAGGACCCTGGCATACCACGATGCCCCTCTGCTAAGCCGACTCAAGAACTTACGTGGGCAGTGATAAGAATTCCAGGAGGTAGAGGCTTCTTTATTACCTTCTGATAGAAATTGACTCTTCTAGGCTCTTGTGGCGGTCACGGAGAACTCTACTGGCTAGTCTTTAATACTGTGATGATTTTCAAAAATTCAAACTCACCAACTCAATTGTTAGTCCCCATCGGAAGCGAGGTCCCGTCTCTATTGTGTCTTGTCGGGTGAGATCTCGGGATACCATATCGGGATGGGCTTATCTTGATAACCGCTTCGCGTAGCATCAGGACATGATTCGTATAAAATTCGAAGAGAAGCTGCACCATGGTCCAAAAACACCAGCATAATGTCGGAGCCCATCCTTACCCAGTCGTATGGATATGGCTTTGCTCTTGGATTGGGAGCTGCGTTTGCCTTGATCATGGCATTGATAACGAGAGCCCTCTCTAGTTTCTTGGGACAGGTTCAGAATTCAGAGAGGTTTTCCACTGCTTCCAGAAATGTGAAAGCTGGACTTATTTCTTCCAGTACAGTTTCCGCGTGGACTTGGCCAGCAACTTTACTTTCTTCGGGCGCCTGGAGCTATTCTCATGGTGTTAGTGGAGGATACTTCTATGGTATCGGAGGTACGATTCAGATCACACTTTTCATGTTTCTTGCTATTCAGCTTAAGAGAAGAGCCCCTGCTGCTCACACACTTTCAGAATGCTTCTACTTGAGATATGGGAAGCCTGGTCACATTGTGTTCTTGTGCTATTGCATGGCGACCAATATCCTCATCTCGTCGTTGCTTCTTTTGGGAGGTTCACAAGGATTTGCAACGACTACTGGAATGCACACCGTTGCAGCTTCTTTCTTACTTCCATTGGGAGTCATGGTGTACACTGCTCTTGGTGGTTTGAAGGCAACTTTCGTATCCGACTGGATCCATACGGTGATAATCTATGGGATCCTCTTGGGCACATGCTTCACCGTATATGGCACATCGTCCTTGATTGGAAGTCCAGGAAAAATGTACGATATGCTCAAGGAAGCTCAAAAGCTGTTTCCCTCGGCAACAGGAGAGAGCTACCTCTCATTTAAAGACCCAGAGATGTTCTTTCTTTCTTGGTCAGTCACCTTGGGTGGATTCGGCTCTGTTTTTGGTGATCCTGGGTACTCACAAAGAGCTATTGCAGCTCATCCGGCAGAAGTCTTTGAAGGTTACCTTCTCGGTGGAATTTGTTGGTGGATCATTCCTGTTTCCTTGGGACTGGCTGCTGGTTTGGCTTGCAGAGCACTCCTTACCAACCCAGCCTCACCAACATACCCTGATCAATTAACGGATTTTGAGGTTGGTGCTGGTCTTCCTGTGATATACGGCATGGCTGCAATTTTTGGCAAGAAAGGTGCTGCAGCTGGTCTAGCAATGCTTTTCATGTCCGTCACATCAGCGACTTCAGCCGAGCTTATCGCCTTTTCTTCAGTCACCACCTACGACATTTACAGAACCTACTTCAAGCCCCACGCCTCCGGAAAACAGCTTGTATTTGCTGCACATACGTCTGTCCTTGGTTTTGGTATCTTCATGGCAGCGTTAGCAACGATCTTGAATTACGTGGGGGTTACAGTAGCATGGCTATTGAGCTTTTTAGGAATTGTCTTGACGCCTGAGGTGAGTGCAATCATTTTAACTCTCTATTGGACAAAAATGACAACCCTAAGTCTCATCATAGGTGCTCCACTAGGCACTATTACCGGGGTTGTTTGTTGGATTGCCGCTACTTATCATCTCGGCGATGGAGCGGTCAATAAGGAAACCTTGATGATATCCAAGGCCACTTTTGTTGGCAACATCACGGCAATATTCTCCACACCAGTTTACATCACGGTAATATCTCTTTTGAAACCAGACAAAGAGCCGTTTGATATGAACAAGTTGCAGACCAGCTTCAAAGCTGGCGATGACGTGGATGAAGAGGTGGAGGATGGAATGGTGGTTACATTGCAAGCACAGCGTGTTTTGAAGAAGCAGGAATGGGCTTGCGTAGCTGTAAATGCCTTCCTTCTACTTGTTCCGTACATCACTGTCCCCTGTGTATTGTATGGCACTGGTGATTTCAGCAAGAGTTCTTTTACGGCATTCATAATAATGCTCCTTCTATGGGCTGTTTTGGCTGCTCTTTACATCACAATTCTACCCCTAGTGCAAGGGTGGAGCTCTATGAAGATGATAGCGAAAAGATTATTTGGAAAGGGCCTGGACGAAGTTATTACGGATTCGGTGGAGGAAGAAGAGCTACATCATGAAGTCAAGGGTATTGACAGCTAACAGCAGTAATTTGAATAGTAATGTGTTATGTCTCGAGCCAAAAGTCCATAAAGTACTTACCTATTTCAATGAGTCGTAGTCAAAATGAACTGGGTGGTCGGTACCCAGCACAAAAGCACAGTTGCCCATATCCCTCTTCTGAATCTCGGCCTCGGGAGAAATGTCAAAATCGAAGATGTCCATAGGAAGGCCAAGGGTAGTGCAGGCGTTTGGGACGTCGACAACACCGGCCAAGTGACCTTCGATGGGTGCAGAAGACAAAATCAAATAAATCTGATAGTCGTTGTAGCCAAACCTTCTCAAGTATTCGATGACTCTGACGCATGCCTGGCGGTATGCTGTATTTGCACACAAATGGTGCTGCTTGCCTGTTTCGTCAACGGAAAAACCTTCGAATGTGAGGTATCTGGCAGGTCCATACTGGTTCTGAACATCACCTGGCATGAACAAGGGGCTCTTCAAGGACAACTTCTTGGTTCCGTCCTTGATGATGGAGAACGAGAGCGTGACGAGGCCAGCCATTTCAATTGCTCCACAAAAGGAGATTTCTCCGTCGCCCTGAGAGAAGTGCAAATCGCCAATCGAGAACTTGGCACCCTCGACGTACACTGGGAAGTAGCATTTTGAGCCACGAGAGAGGTTCTTGATATCGCAATTGCCTCCGTGTTCAGGCCGGCCGGGAATTGTTCTTGCCCCTTCTTTGGCGATCCTTTCCTTCAAGTCACCAGTAGCCTGCCCGCTATTAGCACCTTTGGTTTGGGGCAATTGAGCAACAGCGGTGTCGTGCTGACCCTGGATATCATCAACCAATTTCTTTTCCCTAGCATTCCACTCCTCCAAAACTTCCATTGATGGAGCGGTTCCCATGATACCTGGGTGCACCAATCCCGTGAACTTGACGTGGGGAATGTGTCTTGAGGTAGCATGGATACCGTGAAAGTCGAAGATGGCCTTGGCACATTCGCCATAGAACTTATCCAAAAAACCTCCACCGTTTTGCTTGTGGAAAACACCACAGTAACCCCATGGCTGTCTCTCCAAAGGCTGCACATCCTTGATTTCCACAACCAAAGCATCCCCAGGTTTGGCTCCTTCGATATTGTAAGGTCCAGATAAATAGTGAATCCGGGTCAAGTCCACATGGCGCAAATCGTCAGCACTGTCATTGTTCCCGATCTGGTTTCCTGTCCAGTCCAAACACTCAGCCTTTACAACCTCTCCAGGCTTGATAGTCACAGTAGATGGAACATCAGGGTGCCATCTATTGTGGACCTGTGGCTGTTCTCCTCCGGGCTTATCCAAGTCGACCTTGGTAACGTATTTTATAGCTTCTGCGGGCATTTTGGGGATAGGGGACCAAGGAAACTTTGGACCCTTATTTATTCTCGACGGTTTTGAGCCGCAGAGCACATCTCGCCCAATTCGTCGGATTCTTATCTTATCGCGCGGAATTCAGTAGGCTCGCACCCACCTCATCGTATACCGTTGTCAAGATGCATGCATCAAGCAATGCGTTTAGAGGGTCGTGAGAGAGCTGACGATGGTATTTAGCTGTTTTTACGATTTCTTTTCCAACTGAACTCGAGAAAACTCGATATCTGTAATTCCGTTGTCATGACCAAGGGGTTGCTATGATCAAGGGGTTGCTGATAATGGGGTAGTGTGGGGGTGCTCGAGACACCCCAGCCTCCTGAGTGGGTCAATCTTTGCTAGTGGGTGAGTATCTGGGACCATTGCTTTTCACTTTTTGAAGACATTGACCTCGTAGATTAGAATTGATTCCGTATAATACTGTCTTTTGATGTCTCTTTTTTATTACTCTGGTCATCTATCACTGTTCAATTGCCCAACATCACAAATTAGGTTCTCATTGAGGTTCTGGCTCAGTACACTCCACATCTAGAGTCGGAGTTGAGGTTCCGCTTCTCGAGGATCCCCTATTCTGTTATGGGGTCGAGAGGCTTTGATTGCTGTATATGCATTATGAGTAGGAATTGTGGAGTATGTTTGCGAGTTTGTAGTTACAGTGAGCATGCGTCAAAGTTAGGAGAATTTGCGTAGTCAACGCAAAAATCCAATTGTAGTCCAATAGGTCCAGGAATCAAACATGCTACTAAGTTTATGGAGAAGAATCCAGCCAAGGTACTTGGCCGATGAATTGGTGTTGGTGCTGGCTAATACCCAGTTCTAGTACGGATAGCCCTCGTCGCACACATGACAACCGACGACGCTATGGAATTTCAAAAATTGTTTTTGGTAGCATTCAAAGATAGTCTAAATAGCTGACTTCAAAATTTAGAGATAGTATCATTGCATCTAGGGGTATTTCATTGTAGAGGTATCATGCGATGTATGCTCTGATAGATCCACGAATGCGTGAACGACCATTGAATTAGACGGTGCGACGAACCAAGTACCTTGTTAACGAAATAGGACCCTGGAATGCCTTGACGTCACATAGTCGAACTGAGCCGAATTCAGAGACCGAGTCCGCCATAATAACCTATTGACATGAAGCTAGCGGGTATACCCATATACGTGAGCCCAAACCTCGTCGCCAAGAGAGTGAATTCCAACGAGATTTCATCCTGGAAAGTTTACTGAAAAAACATCTTAGAGAGAGCATCTACGCCTAAGCCCCTTGGATAGACCACCTTCATGAAGCACTCCTTCACAGCCACGTCTATTATTCCCTAAGCCACGCCGTTGGAAGGGTTGCGACGCGATTGACCTCATGTGGGGTACACTTCATGAAATCACACGATAATAGAAGATCGATTTTTCAGGCTCAATTACAGAGAAGCCCTCGAGAAGAAGCCGGCTTCTGCGGCACACGTTTAGAAGCCCGTGCCAACCCCACATCGGCCATAGGCTGAATGCAAACACGGAGGTTGTGAGTTTCTGTGAGTAATAACAAGGTCTTTGTTACTCCCGTGCTCACCACAGATACCCAGACCCAAAGCAGTCAAAGCCGATCTGAAAGCGACGCACCACGCATACAACTGCCCCGTCGGTGAAACAGCCTCGGTATTATACAAAATTAGCCTAAGCGGGCGTTGCCTAAGCGAGATCCTCCAGAAAAAAACCGCAAACCGGCTTTAATAATAGCCTTTTCCGAACGCACTCGGGTATTTCGGGCCTGCCAGAGCAGCACCCCTAACGCTTATTTTCTAGCCGGGTTTACCTTGTCCGTAGTGCAGCCCATTGACGAATTCACTATGTGCCCGAGGTCGGCGTCGTATATTTTTCTTCTCGCATTATGCGGGACATATCGGGGCAGGCAAGGTGCTCCATTAGCGAGGAAAATCACGCTATTGGTAAACAAACAGAAGTGGCACTAGTCTTGGACGACGCCGGCACAGCTTAAGTGTCTGCTTTTTGAAAAAAGACCCTTTTAACAAGTTCCCTGCTGTGGATGGGGTAATCGGTATTATCGGTGATGAGCAAATTGGGAGCGGCGAGTACCGCTGCTGAGGACCAAAGCCTCGCGGTTTAGCGAGTCGCTTTCAAAACGTGCGTTTGGCGCTCCTTGGCAAAAACAGCCCATGGGCCGCGTTGACTATGGATGGTGGGGAAACAGGAGCGTGATAGCGGGTCCACACTGATCGCAGCTGAGGTCCACAGACCCCGGAAATTGACTCCAATAAAAAAGCATGAAAAGCCGGAATCGATTTCAGAAAAAAAAAAACGGCGCCCAACGTCCTCGGTAAATCGCCGCATCTCGGACTGGCCCGGCGATCTGATGGATTAGATAGATTTTTTAAAATAAGAGCCCCCGCGCATGCGTTGCAGCGCGCAGGGTTTTAAGCCAATCACCACTATGCTGGGCTCCTCTTGCATGCCCGAAGTCAGTTGATGCAGCAGGAAGCCCCGATATTACCGTTGACGAGATCTAGCTTTAAGGTTGCTGTTTCACCAGTTACCAACACCCATAGCCTTCAGAAAACCAGGGCAGTGGTAGACGAGAACACCAAACCTGCGGTTGCCAAGTATTCGCGTAGAACCAGAAAAGTGAGCCGAGTCGGGGTGGTGAAAACTCTTCTTTGACGCGCCTCTGCATCGAGCATGCAGAAGCGTAAACATACGAGCCATTGTCTGGCTGCAAAAACCAGAACCGTTTGCAGCACGACAAAAAAAGCTTGCAGTGGCACCTATAAAACCAAGCGTTGCCCCCTTTCATTTCACTCCCATCTCCGGATTTCACACTCGCTCACAATGCTCAAGATCGCCACCGTTGCAGGTCTTCTTGCCGTTGCTCTCGCAGCAGACAACCCATACGCCACCTACCCTTCGGTGCCAAAGACCGCCACCATCAACGGTCTTGCTGACCCCATCTACGACAGATTGCCAGAGTGTGCCAAGTCGTGTTTCTCCCAGTCCACCTCCAGCACCCCTTGTCCCTACTGGGACACTGGCTGTCTCTGTGTCATGACCCCATGGACCAACAGCGTTGCTCAGTGTATTGCTGACCAGTGTAAGGGTAACGATGTCACCGTTGCCACCTCCGTGGCTGCTGCCCAGTGTGCCTCTGCCGGTGTCTGGGAGCCATACTTCATCATGGGCGGCAGCTACTCCACCCTCTTGGACTCTGCTGCTGCTCAGACCGAGGCTGAGACCACCTCTTCCGAGGATGCTCCAACTTCCGCCACTTCCTCTGAGATCGAGGCCACCACCTCTTCCGAGGAGGAAGCCGAGTCTTCTTCCCCCGCTATCACCAGTTCTCCAGCAGTGAGCTCTGACGAGGCTGAGGAGATCACCACCACTTCCTACGCCCGTACTGCTTCCATCAACGGCTTCGCTGACCCAATCTACGACAAATTGCCATCTTGTGCCCAGCCATGTGTCATGCAGTCCACCTCTTCCCTCCCATGCCCTTACTGGGACACTGGCTGTCTCTGTGTGATCCAGATGTTCTCCTTCAAGGTTGCCGAGTGTATTGCCGACAGCTGTGTGGGTGAGGATGTCAACGTCGCCACCTCTTTGGCCTTCAGCGTCTGTAAGGCCGGTGGTGTCCACACCTCCCCAGAATGGAACATCAACGCTTCTTTGCAGGAGGCTTTGGAGGCTGCTGCTGCTGCCACCGGTGCTGTTGAGACCACCTCTTCTGCTCCAGTGATCGTTCCAATCCCAACCGTTGGTCCAATGCCATCTTTCGCTACTTCTTCCTCCTCCTCGAGCCAGGTCATCGTGCCAATCCCCACCGTTGCCCCAGTTGCTTCTGAATCCTCCATCGTTCCCGTTCCAAGTGTCGCTCCAGCTTCTTCCTTCCCAGAGAACCCTGTTGCTTCTTCTGCTGAGACCTCTTCTGCCGAGGAGTCCGCTGAGCCTTCTGCTGTTGCTTCCGAGTCTGCTGAGGCTTCTGCTGTTGCTTCTGAATCTGCTATTGAATCTGCTGTTGAGTCTGCTGCTGAGTCCGCTTCTGAGTCTGCCGCTGCCTCTTCTGCTTCTTCTGCCGCCGTTTCTGCTTCTGCTGCTGCCAACTCCACCGAGGTCGTTTCCCAGACCCACTCTGAGATCGTCACCATCACTTCTTGCGATGAGGACAAGTGCACCGAGATCGAGTCCACCGCCACCGCCACCAGCAAGACCACCGAGATTGTCACCATCACCTCCTGTGACGAGGACAAGTGTGTTGTCACCACTGTGTGCCCCGAGTCTGAGTCTACTGCCTCCGTTGCCGGCCCTGTCACCAAGACTAGAACCGACTACGACCTTGTGACCATCACCTCTTGCAAGGACCAGAAGTGCACCGAGTCCGTCTCTACCAAGGCTCCAAAGACCGTCACCGTCTACGAGGACGAGGAGTGTGTCACCGTGACCGAGTGTATCGAGGACAAGTGCAAGACTTTCGAGCTCTCTACCTCCCAGGTCACCAAGACCGTCGAGGCCGTCGAGACCGTCGTCGTCACCACCTACAGCAAGCCTATCGAGGTTGAGACCATGAAGTCCGTCTCTGGCACCGAGACCATCGATGTCACCATCACTAAGACCATGGATGTGCCAGTCGAGACCAAGCCAGTCGAGACCAAGCCAGTCGAGACCAAGCCAGTCGAGACCAAGCCAGTCGAGACCAAGCCAGCTGAGGACTCTGCTAAGCCAACCTCTGTTGCTCCAGTCCAGAGCACTCCTGCTGCCACCTCTGCTGCTCCTACTGTCAGCTCTTTCGAGGGTGCCGCTGCCGTCAACACCGCCGGTCTCGGTTTCGCTGCTCTCTTGATGGCCTTGCCATTCTTCTAAACGGACGGCCCATACATCTTTCGTTGAACTTCGCCAATTTGGTACCGGATCATTCACTCTTTTCGACTAATGCCCCACCAGGTGCTGCACCTGTTAATTAAGCAAACTTATTGGATACCCGCCTTATCTGTAGATCCAGCCGCCCATCTTTGCTCGCTCAATGTGCCTTGCATTCCGTAAACGCTCAGTCGGATCCTCTTATCCTATCACAGCCTGCGATCGGGGCCGTGATTATCGTGCTCACGACGCACGGACTGCACACAACCATGTGAAAACGGTATTTTCCTGCCTGTCGCCCCCAAATCTCTCTCGCTTTAGCGCCTTGTTCAGCCGCACCAAGTCGCCTATCAAACTGCGTATCGCTTTTCCCATGCATCCACACTGCCTCATTACGGGAATGTAGTTTAAAGCTCTGAACCACTTTCTTTTCCCAGGCCTACCCATGGCTAAGTGGAGACAGCTTCAGAAATGGATTGAGGTGCCGTCGGAGGAAAATGAGGAGATCTCCTTCTTGGTGAATCCAGATCTCAAACCGGTCCCTTCAGAGAAGCAGACCTGGGGTTTCTTTTCGTTTTTTGGTTATTGGGGTGTACCAAATGCCACTATATGGACCTGGAGCACTGGCGGTGCCTTGGTAGCCGTTGGACTCACCCTTCCATACATCATGGGTGCAATCACAGTGTCCAATGTGATCATTATCATTTACACATGCCTCAACTCGCTTCCCGGAACAAAGTATCACATCGGGTACCCTCTATCTCAAAGGATGCTCTTTGGCATTAAGGGGTCCTTTATTGGCATCATCGTCCGTATTGTTCTTGCCATCGTGTTTTTTGGTGCCCAATCCTGGTTAGGTGGATGTCTGATATCCCTCATAATATCCGGACTCAGCAAGAGCTATCTAGATATGCCCATGACGTTTCCAGAAAGCGTGCAGATGAAACTTCGAGACTTCATTGGATTCGTGATTTTCCTGTTCATCCAAGCTTGCATGCTAGTCATGAAGCCAGAGCTGTTCAACAAGTTGTTGATCTCGTCCTGCGGCTTCACCATGATCTGTTTCATCGCTATGTTGGCTCTCTGCATAACTCACAATGGTGGATCAGCGGGAATGATAAATCAGGATGTGGATCTTTCCGGAGATGAGCGGGGCTGGGCCTGGCTATACGCCATGTCGATTTGGTATGGCGCTATTTCTCCAGAAGTGCTAAACCACAATGATTTTTCTCGTTTCGCCAACTCTCCTACAAAAATGTGTTGCGGCGTAGCGTCTGCCATCATGATCACTGGAACGTTTGTCCCCTTGGCAGGACTTCTATGCGCTTCACTGACGTTGCAGCTGTACGATAAGATGTTCTGGTTGCCCACAACCATTTGCCTCAGGTGGATGCATATCGATTACAACGCTTCAAACAGAGCTATGGCTGTGATATTTGGTATTGCCTTTACCCTCTCACAGCTTTCATTCAACATAGTCGCCAACGGTATTGCAGGTGGTATGGAAATGGCTGGTCTACTTCCAAAGTACATCAACATCCGTCGAGGCGCATACATAACAGCCCTTCTATCATGGGCTGTACAGCCATGGAAGTTTTTCTGGGACTCATCTACCTTTCTAGATATGATGAGCTCCTTTGGAGTGGTTGCCACTCCACTCATTGCCCTTCAAATAGCCGACTTCATGATCATCAGACGCTCTATTCTCCCTGTGGATGATCTCTACTGTGCACACAAAAGCGGAACCTTCTATTATACTAAGGGATTCAATATCAGGGCAATTGTGGTGTGGTTTGTCTCCGTGGTCCCGAGTATTCCTGGTCTAATAAGCGTGGAGTCCGAATCCGTTGATAGAGTACCGCAAGGGCTCGAAAACTTTTATTACGGCAATATTTTGTTCGCCTTCGTTATTCCATTCGTCTTGTACGTGGCGGTCTGCTGGATATGGCCGCCTCAAAAACTCCTGGGTATTGAAGACGAAGGCTTCAACACGGATTTTGAGGTTGTGAATTTCAGAGCCGAATCTATGTCTCCGAAGGGAGATATAATGGAGTAATTTCTCGAGTCAAAAAGAAGGGGGGATGTTTTCTCCATATATACAATGCATAAAACGGATATCGAAGTGTATCAGCTATTTTTGCCTGAAAAAGGGGTCAAATGGCCTAATATGGGCATGAAAGTTACTTTAGCAAGTGGTATTTTTAGCTGTGCTTCTAATGAGCTCTTAAAAGTACAGTTTGCGCTTTATTTGGGGCACTTTATATGCGCCATATATATTACCTGCATCTTGTGATTTCCAGATCATCCGAGATAGTTTAGTGGCTAGAATTACCGCTTGTCGCGTGGTAGACCGGGGTTCAATTCCCCGTCTCGGAGCTTATTTTTTGCTTTTAACCTGTCAAGCATTCATTTTTAATGAAATTTCAAATCCAACCTACTAAACTGTTTCTCATTACCATATATTGCTTGAGTTCCGTATCTATCACCTCAATCTTAAGATTTCATAAACTTCTTTCCCTTGTTCAAGAAACGACGACCAAAACCTGCCGTAGTATCCATCTTGTCTTTGACCAAAGACACCTTGTTTCGAAGACTTGTAGTATTGAGGGCCATCGAAGTATGCCTTCTGATATCAGTGTGTGTGGCATTCTGATAGACTTGTTCGGCAAGCTTACCAATATGCATGTTGGGAGACACCTCAGTGGACCTCAATGTCTCTTGAAGCCAATATTGCAAACCCGAGTCGTATTCAATTTCACGTTGTTTAGCATTCTTGAAAGCTTCAATTCTGTCCACAGGCTGAGAGGGACTAGTGAGATCCTTCCACTTGCTGACTGGATATTTTTGCATTGGCGGTTTACTGATACCAAATGATGATGTGCTTGCTAAACGTTTTGTAGCAGAACGCTGCGGTGGTTGGTCCTCCTCATTCTCATCGCTCTTGGACTCAATGGAGCACATTGATTTATATTTTTCGTTCGTGTTGTTGTCCTTAGGTAATTGCTCGAGTGATCCAGGCAATGTAAGCTTCTCCTCTTTGAAGATCGAACCCTGCGAGCTGCGCTGGTCTTTTCCAGGCAAGGAGAGATCTCCATCCGATTTGCTGTTGTCGAGATGACTGAAGCTGTGATCATCGGAGGTATCATCATCATCTCGCATAATTTCAGCGTCGGAAGTATCTTCGTGGATGCTTGGCAATGCCACTGTTTCCGGAACAGATAAAGTGCTTGAGTTTGTGAACGACTCAGCATATCCCAGTGACGAATGGTTGCTCACAAATCTGTCATGATTATCCTTCCCGTTGTATACGCTGACATTCATGTGGGATTCATTATCATTATCATTGACGAACTGATCACGATACATGCTTGTGTTCGGTTTCCAGTTGCCCATATTGAAAGTTGACGTCGTCATTGTAGAATCTCTGCGCAGAACATCAGCGAGAGGACCCCTTGGAGGCTGTGGCGGTTGAAGAGGCATATTGGAGAAATCAGCGGAAAGGTGCTTTGTCGAAATGGATTCTGGTGAGAGCACTGGAATTGCACCAATATGGAGCGGGTTGCTTGGGTCGTAGTCGTCGCCCAGCTCGCTTTGCGCCTGTTGCTTCGGTGTGGAAGGCGCTTCACGAGCCTCCTCGGGCTCAGTTGTCTTCACCTCAGGATTAGGAGAGCGGGGAGGAGCCTTCTTCACAGAGCGAGTGTGAGCCAGAAGATTCGAAACGTACAGCTCATGGGCTTTCTGTACCTCCTCTTGCAGCTCTTGTGTCAATTCATCGAGAACGTGGGAGGTTTCTGGGCTCAGACCGCTGAATGATTGATCCTCGAAATTAGGGAGCGACATGTCACGAATAGAGCTTAGAGAAGGCAAATTGGCCTCGCCCTCATCCTCGTCCTTTCCGGGAGGTGGTGGCGGAAGATCTTTCTTAGCAGATTCCTTATACGTAGACAGCCTCTCCATCTTCAGAAGGTCGTTGATGAGCGAGTCTAAGGCGTCTGTCTTGATGGGACGTCTCTCGCTTGGAAGCTCTGGCAGGTTGACATGTAATGGCGAATCGACATGCTCTTCACGAGGCGATGCAGGGGTCTCTTCATCTTGAGGCAAAGCTAAAGTGCTGGTGGTCGCCTTTTCAGTGCTTCTTTCGTTGTCAAAATGAAGCGAATCTGAGTCATCGGAGGAATTGTCGTGTAAGTTCAACTTGTCAACAGAGAGCACCAACTCCAGTGGCTTCTCTGCGGCATTTTCTAGCTGGGGATCTTCTTTGATTTCGTTCAAGCTCTCATCATTGCGACCAGCCACATTAAGTGATTCTGGCTCTCTCTGGATGGAATCGGCGTCTGAAATGAAGCTCCTGTCGGACACTGGAGTTTCTGGCTGCTGGGAGAAAGTCGTTTGGGAGAATGTTGGAGTTGGAGGTACGAAGTCCTCTTGTGCCAGACCTGAAGTATCCAAAGGCGCAGGTCTATGTTTAGCTGTGGCCTCAGGAGAGTCCTTCTCTGGTAGTTCAGGGGCAGCCCTGTCTGGGCTCTCTGGAATGTATGACACTTCCTCATCGCTGCTATCCAGCAAATCACGACCAAAAGCGCCATCTTTGGGTTCTGAAATGGCCAGCGGCGGCTGACTGTAGGCTTGCTCGGAATCGTCATCATCATAGCCATAACGGCGGTGGTTATCTATTGAAAGCACCAAGTTGGGCGTAGTAGTCGCCTCCTCCTTGGGCTCCTCAGCTATATCTTGTTCGTAGTTATCGTAATTATCATAATCATCTCCCCAATTGTCACCGTATGAAGGAACGTCGGCCTTGACCCAACGCGTAGACCTGTGTCGTTCGAAGTTGTCGGCCATATTGATGTAGTAGTTAGTTGATTTGGTTGATTCGCGTAGCTAGTATCGAGGAATATCACAATGCCAGGAACATCAGGACAAAGCTATCTGCGCCTTTTTTGAAAAAAGTGAAAGCGAAAATGGGAAAATTGGAGATGAACCGATAGGGGCTTTGGAATGTGCTTTGTTAGTGTAATTGGTAGATAGATGTATCTGGGCTCATACGCACAGAAACGTATCTATTTATAAATCAGCACCGGAAGTCTGAGCCCAAGAGCGAAGAGCCAAAGATATTTTAAATCATTAATATTTCAGAATACTCAAGAAACTACTTTTTACTTATTAATTTGAGGTCTGAAGCTCGTTCCAAAGCGTGTTTGTCTTGACTAAGCTGAAACCATACCCTAGAAACCGTGTAGCGCTCGTAGAAACCCTTCTTCTCCTGTCCTCTATGTTTTTTCTACACTCGATCATCAAAAACGTATATGACTCTACATGATGAACCTCAAGTTCATGTCGGTAGGATGGGAACAACTCAACTGTGGCTTCTGAGAGTACTTTCTGGAAAGCAAGTCTCTCATCTGGTTCAAAAGCGAGAGGTACGAGTGGTTGTTGCTGGCCTTCAAGGTGGAGATGAAAGCCCAACTCATAGCACCGGTCATCTGGCCAGCTTCCTTGGCATCGGCAGAGGTTTGGTCGTCCTTACAACCAGACATGGAAATGACATCAGCAGCAGACATCTTACTACGAATGATGGCATCTCTGTCCACGCTGTTGGCGTTCGTGACCTTCTTGAAAGCGCCACTGACGGCGGAAATGGCACCGCCAATGTCGCCTCTGTTGTAGTTCATGAAGGCATTCAAAGCGCCAGTACCGGCGTCCTTCCACACATTTGGCTCCTTGACGACACCCTTGGTGGAGTAGACGAAAGGCAAGTCCAAAGCGGTACCAGAGTGACAACAATCGTACAAGGCAGTCAAACGACAACCTTGAGGCAAGGGCTTGACCATCAAGTCGTGCATGGTGTCGTCCAAAATGGGGCCGGCTCTCTCGAAGTCAAGAGGGTAGATGCACGAGTCGAAACCGTCCTCCTCGTCTCCGTCCTCGTCAGGAACCAAGCCACCGTGAGACGAGACATGGAAGAAGTAAGAGTCGTTTGGTCTGGCATCCTTGACAAGCCACTGCATGGCTCTGATGATATTTTCTCTGGTGGGGATTCTGGCCAATTCACGCTGGTCATCGGTCAAGATCACCATGTCGTCGTAGGAGTAGCCAAAGTACTCGTTCAAGAAACGACTCATGTTCTTCACATCATTGATGCATCCACGCAACTCGTTCTTGGTGCCGTAGTAGTTGATACCGATCAAAACAGCCTTACGCTTACCCGTACAGTTGGAGTACTGGAAGGTCATGTTTGAGTTGGCACCGAAACTTTGAGGGTTCGATGGTGGAGGACCCGAAATGGCACCATTGTTGCCTTCAAACGACTGTCCACCGTGCAGCCTGGTGAAGTTCCCCAATTGCTCGTGATGCTGCAGCTGCTGTTGTTGATACTGCTGTTGTTGTTGGAAGAACTGAGGAGAGTTCAACTGGGCCGGTTGACCTTGGTATCCACGACCTTGGCCACCCTGGTTCTGGTAGCCCTGGTTCTGGTAGCCCTGGTTTTGGTAGCCCTGGTTTTGGTAGTTTTGTGGTGGGGGACCTGGTGGAGGACCCCAACCTGGAGGTGGAGGGCCTGGAGGAGGATATCCGCCGGGTGGGGGACCCTGTGGAGGGCCATAGTTGTTGTAATTACCCTGCTGGTTCTGGTATCCACCTGGGTTGTTGTTGTAGGTTCGACCTTGGTTACTGCCTGGGAACATGGTGTAGTTGGTGGCTTCTGAAGGTGGCTTCTCTGCACAACCTGTCAAGTGGCTGTTTCTTGGATGCCGTCGCCGATACCCGACGGGCAGGCTCTACGACAGGCAAAAGAAAAGAAGACTTTGAGGCTTTGGTTGAAATTTACAGAATTGTAAAAATATTAGAGAAGTCTACCAGTGGACAGGGCTTGCGGTGAGATTTCTGTCTTCTGTATGGTTCGTTCGTTGCATATGTGCACGGTGAAGGAATACCTACGTCATTGAGGCAGGGGTCGGAGAAAAGGGTACAAACTTTTATGAAAAAGTGTCTTTTGGCTTTCCTTCATCAATTGTTGCTTTCAATCACGATTGCTACTTGGTGGATCATTTCATTGGCCCGTTCTGCTGATCCCGGATCCTGAGCCTCATGCATCCGAACAGGTACCTGAGCGAGAGAACAATGGCTTTTCAACGGCCACTTACATTGATCTCGTGAGGGTGGTGGAACATATCAGATTGAAGTTGGTTAATAAAGATGGTCATCTTAGAGATTGAAATTTAAAAACTGTTGGCTTGTTCTAACCGTGAACGGAATAATGCTGTAGGTACCGAATAGATCGATTCCGTTTCGACAAAATATTGCACGATGAATGGTTGCAAAACCGACCTAAGTTGATAGAGATACACGACTTTCTGGATCAATAATGCATTCTTTCATGACTTCTGACTCGTTCGGGGATCGAGGCCTGAAAGGGGCTCGAAACTTTGCGTTCAAGCCTTTGCATTCATGAGATATCTACCTTTAGAGCATCGTCATGATTAGATAGACCCACAGATGAAGCATCCCTATTTTCTTACCCATGCCAATCAGATTCGTGCTCCTTGAACCGGCTGCAAACCATGTAAATGGGGTTATCGAAAGATAATTCCAAATCATGATCACTTAGTATCCGACTCAGTTCAGACTTCTACGGATTCAACAATTGTTGAATCGTTTCTGCGATTCGTGAAGCTGAAATCACTCATGAAAAAGGCCCACCAGTCACGCTTCTTAGCGCCTACATTCAACTCTGCATTGTTCTTAATTGATCCCTATACAACCGTAACTTACAACTTAGGGTTGTCGATGCTGTTCTGGTTCTTGATCACCTTAGGGTAGAACTCACCGGCAAAGTTACCAAGGTGCCAGTAGCCACCGTCCACAACCTGGATGGTACCAGTGACGTAAGAAGCAGCTGGAGAGAACAAGAAGACAGTGGACTCAGCAATGTCTCTGGTGGTACCCCATCTGGCCAAAGGAACCTTGCCCAGGCCTTCGGAACCGTTTGGAGACAATCTCTCGAAACCCTCAGTACCAGCAATGGCACCTGGAGCAATACAGTTCGATCTGATGCCCAAAGGACCGAGCTCAACAGCCAAAGCGTTGGACAAGGCGTCAATACCGGCCTTGGCGGCACCGACGTGGGTCTGGAATGGCACACCGTAGTAGTGCAAGGTGGCGGAAACAAAGAGAATGGCACCCTTGTTCTTCTTGAGCTCGCTGAAAGTGGCCTTGACGGTGTTGAAGGAACCCAACAAGTCGATGGACACAACAGACTTGAAAGCGTTGGCAGACAAGTGGTTGAAGTCGGAAAGGAAGTTACCAGCGGCACCGGCAATGACAAAGTCGATTCTGCCCAACTCGGCCACGGTCTTCTTGGCAGCGTCAGCCAACTGCTCAACCTCTCTGACGTCCACCTGGCCAATACCAATGACCTTGGCGCCTGGTCTCAAGTCCTGGATCTCCTTAGCGGCCTTAGCGGTCTTCTCTGGGTTTCTACCAATGATGGCAGCGTTGGCACCCAAAAGCACAAGGGCCTCAACCTGGACCCTACAGATGGTGCCGGCACCACCGGTGACGAAAACGACCTTACCCTTGAAGAGGTCTGGTTTCCAGGAGGAGTTGTCGACGAAAGTTTTGTCCAAAGTGCTCATTATTCAATAAATAAAGTGTGGTTCTTTACAAGCAAGGGATCTGTGCGCATATATACGGTTTTTTTCCAGGGACCGTTTTTTTGCGGGGTACCGAGGACCATAACGACTCGGTAGCGGTTGCAAATCGAAAACTCCGGAAAGGGTGGGGGCCACATGAGAGGTATAAAATGGGTAGAATTTTCTCGGGTTTAACATGAAGCCATTTTGTAGAAAAATAGGGCTGCACTGAAGAAACCGTGGGTATCTCGGAGCCCCCACGTGAATTTAGCCGAGCATGTAGCTGCTGATTGTGGTTACAGAGACGGTGGAATAAGTCCACACTTTTGAATCTTTCAAATGGATGATTCTGTATTTTCTATGCAATTGTGAAATTGCGCATGTTCATGCTGGGCAAAATGGGGCATGGACCGTTGCTATGCTGGTGAACAATAGCTGTGGTGAGCCTTCTAGTGTAGGAGGTCAAGCTGAGGAGGTGGATGGATGCACAATCTGACATGCGCCATCACGACGTAGGTAGGAGAAGGCGTGTTTCAAGATTGGTGGTGATTTGGATAAATTGGTTCGACTTTTTGGTGGTGCTCCATTTGGAAGTGGGTAAGGTTGCATCGTTATACGATTTCTACAGCTCATGATGTTACATGACGAAATCCATCCAATAGGGCTTGACGACTCTTTAAGTGCTAAAATGTGGAAATTTTGATCTTTCAACAATCACATGGATACTCGGATTCTTCTAATAACCGTAGCCATATCAAGAACAGGCACATGAAGAGCCGGAGTTAACATCCCGTGAATTAGCGAGATCTGGACAAACAATGGAGACCGTGCTACTTCGACTTCAAGCATTGTCTAGCAAATCTCTCAACTGATACAACAGTGCACCAAAGGAGTCCTCTCGTGGTCGCTATTTCAGTAAATAATCTCTACAAGACGGTTTGGCTTCTCTCGCATAACTCTAGGATATCTTCTACTAGCCAATCGCGCCAATAAGTCTCTTTAGGCCCGTGTGTTATATTAATTACCTGTGAGACGTCCACTTCTCTCCCGTTCCTTCTATCGTCTGTCAAGGATCGAGCGCCAGAATAAGCTGTAGTTCCTCATATTCCACAATCACAAAAGCCCAAGATCCCTCAACCGCTGGCAGCTGGGCATGGGCATGTTTTGGGCCCGCTCGAGCCTACGCTGGTCGGTGAAGAACCATCCTTGCGCATCTTCCATCATGTCGTTTCTCTTGATCTGCTCTCTGGCACAGTTGTTCTGTGTATCTCTGACGTACAGGGCCTCGACCTTATTATCGAAGTTTTGGAGTTTCCTGTCGTTGAGATTATCTGTGAATCCTGGCTTCACGTAAAAAGGAATGTTGTGCTTCGGCGTGGCCCTCTGCACGTTGAATCTAGATGTCTTCTTAAACGAGTAGTCTGGCGTGTCATCTTGAAGAAATGTGGAAAAAAGCATTGCAATGATAATGACTGCCAAGGGGAGAATTTGGAGAATTGTGTCCCAGCCAGTGGGCTGTCTGCGCTGTTGCTCCTCGTGTCTTCTTCTTTGTTGTCTTCTTTGCTGGGCCCTTGCATTAGTGAAGAAGTCCTGGCCACCGCCAAATGTGCTGAATGTGAAGCCGTTGTTGCCAAACGAGAAAGTCTGTGGACCTCCTCTGCCTTGAGGCATACCCCCACCAAAGAACATGTTGAAGATATCGTCTTGGAACTCATCTCCAAATCCTTGTTGAGAGAACCCAGAGAAACCTGAAGCGCCACCAAATGGAGACCCGCCGTAAGCTGAGGAAGAGGAGAAACCAGCTGCTCCTCTCAGATCAGGGTCCGTGCCTGTTTGATCGAATATCCTTCTCTTGCTAGGGTCACTGAGCACTTCCCACGCTTTGTTGACATGCTTAAAAGCCTCAGCAGCTCGAGGATGAGGGTTCTTATCTGGATGAAGCTTGATAGCTAGTTTTCTATAAGACTTCTTGATTTCTCCATCAGACGAGGTCTTCGTGACCGAGAGGATCTCGTAGAATTGATGGGGCTTATATGACAAGATTCTCGTCACAATCTGCTCCTGGTCTTTTGAATGCGACATGCCGGGGGATATATATGTGAATGCAGATGCCTAAAGACTGGGATAGAAGGTTGAAGATTCTATCAGGATAACGAAGCGCTGGGAAAAGAGGAGCTTTTTATGCAGGTCGCACACACAAGCGAACGGTTGTCGAGAAAGTGGAGGGGGGCAAAAAAAAAATAAAAACCTTGATGATTGTTGGTTCGCGGTCACCATTGGAGAAATGGTCAAAAATAGGAAAGTGCAACTGGTAGTGTTGCCAAGTAAAAAAAGGGGCATGCTGGGAATTGAACCCAGGGCCTCTCACAGTTTTGCTCAGTACAGTTTTCTGTACCGTCGCCCAAAGCGAGAATCATACCACTAGACCACACGCCCTCAACTGGGATATGTGTGATTTTAGGTGCTATATATCGAGCAATATTGATAATGGCAAAAAGGCGTCATTTTATGAAACGTTGACTCCAATTCATAAATACTTTGATTTGCGTAGAAGGTGCATGCAAATTTAGGGAAGAATCTGACCAGAAACACGGGTACTAATGCTGTTTTTATAGACCTGTTATTGGATGCAATATGAAAGTCGAATTCGCTTTTGTTACCTATCCTGATACTTCGAACATGCTTGAAATTTCAAGAAAAGCCATTTTATGGCGTTTTCATGCAGTGAAGGAGTCCAGCTGAGCATGTAACGGCCTATAGCACTTTTTCTGTCTTTCAGCCTCGACAAATTGCTTCAAAATTTCATATTGGTCTACTCCAGTTCGTTTCCCAGACCGCTATAGAAAACATTACAGAGTCCAAGGAATCTTCTAGTGATTAAAGCAAGCATTAAAATGTTTGAAAAAGATCAGGGCATTATTCAATCGCTGAGTGTTGTGCTAAGTATGCTGATGAGATAGAATTTGGTTCACTGACTGATACGCTAATTGAATCCTCGCAAGTCATGAGTAGGAAGATGTTATCGGCGGCTGCATCTGCAGACGCTTACTAGTTTAAACTTGAGTCCAGAGGACATAGCCCACAGAAGGTGGGAGTACCGGTGGCCTTCAACACCATCAAGCTCGCTAACCCTATGATATACCACATTGAAGGTCACCTCCTTATTAAGAAAGCACCAAACGATAAACATGTATTATGTCGAGAGAGGGGCAAGGCTGACTCGATTCTTGAACATTTATACAGTCGATGTCGGGCCACCAAATACTGGTGGGAACGTATTGGCTTTGCGACACCAATACTGCTTAACAATATGTTAGCTCCAAGAGAACACACATTTGAACATTTTTGCAAATTGAACTGGTTTGTGAAGAGGTGAGAACTACCTATTTAAAGCACCGTGAATCGAGGGAAGAAGGCCCCAACCTTCCGCCCCTTCTGATATGTCCTGTGGGTCGATAAACACGGCGAGACGTTCGGGAAACTGACCTGAGTGTCTCGTGAAATTGAGAATAATAAGATCCTATTGGAGGTTGTTTCTATAGAGATACAGTTTTTTTACTCAAGTAAAGAGATGTTAGTGAAAAAAAAAAAAAATGTAAAGTCCCTTACACCCCACCTCCACCTCGGGAATCCAAAAATAAGTAGTTGCATCACCTCCTAGCGGTAATCGCGCAGCACGCAACGGTTGCAAATCAGCCTTCTGAAACAGTCGGGCCTGAAAGCCTGAAACCGAGATTCGCCACTGCACCCGTCGGCACAAATCGTTATCTAATCGACCTGACCCCCAAGAAAATTTACCCCCCACAAGCCGTCATCGCCTGCTTGAATTGCAATCTCCGACGGACTGAGATCTGGGCTGTGCAGAGAAGCCGGTAGGTATGCGAGGTTCCAGAAAAAACAAGCGACTTTGGCCAGAAAAAACAAGCGATTTTGGCCAGAAGGTCGGCGATCGGCGCCCCGATACATTCACAGCATTCAAAAAAAAAAAAATCAACCACGACTTTTAACTAGACTGTTTTTTAATCTCACACGTTTGTCAGCATCGGAGGTCGGTCGGTCCGTGTCAGGGTCACAGGTTTTTCAGGTCTTGGCGGCAGGGTCGAATATATAGTTTTGCGCAGAGGTATGACAAGCATGAGGCGCGGCCTGCGGAAATCACAAATATACACAAAATGTGGAAAATGGAGCTGACAATGGATAAGCGAGGCCGCAGTACTTTCAGCCGTGAAAGGGGTGGTTTCTAGATTTAAGCTTTTCTGGGGAACCAGGGTTGTTTGCTTTCTCGTAGCAGCCTTGCTACGATGTACTCAGACCCGCGAATTTGCACCCACCAGGACCCAGCAACACAGCGTCCAAACGAATGTGTATTTCTCGAAAAAAAAACCTAGAATTCTCTCCATTCTCCCAACTCTTATCCATCGGCGCTCGGCGATCGGCCCAAATTTGGAAACCGTCCTTCGACCCCAAGTGTGCACAAAACAACGACAAGAAATCGTTCTCTGGGCTCAGGCTGTGCCGCAGTTGCCGTCTGCAAGTCGCACCCAGTCGCTTAAATACTGCTGTGCCTGCTGCTTTCGCTCATCATCTACCACCATGAAGTTGGCTTTAGCTCTAGCGTTCAACTTGATCCCGGCCCTCGCCGCCGGTCACTTCAAGCTAGATTTCGAGGTGCTCCACGGAAACAGCAAGCTGGACTTGGGTAAGGACAGAAAACCCACCTTTGTCAAGAGAGCAGACGCCGAGGAGATGGAGCTCCACAACGAGCAGTCTTTCTACAGAGCCGACTTGAAGATCGGCACTCTGGGTGACAAGGTCGGCGTTTTGGTCGACACGGGTTCCTCCGACCTCTGGGTGATGCCGCCAGACGTGGTTTGTGGTGTCACTCCATCGATGAAGAAGCGAGGCTTGACCTCTGGCGTGCAACACGACGCAGAGTTGAAAAAGAGAAAGAACTTTGCTAATCTCGATGCCTTGGAGGAGGCCATCAGAGCCCACGACGAATTGGACGAATTGGACAACCAGAACAAGCAGGTGGTTGAACCTTCCAAGCTGATCAACTTGCCCACCGAGGCTGTTCAACAGAAGGAGTGTAACGGTATGTTCTGCTTTTCTACCGTCTGGGTCACCTCGGCTCCTACTGGTCTGAGCGGTGGTGGTGGCGGCAGCGGTGGCGGTAGCGGCGGCGGCGGCGGCGGCGGCGGCGGCGGTGGCGATTTCTCTGCTGCTGGTCCAGCTTCCAGAACCACCAACACGTGTACCGAATATGGCTCGTACGAAACCGACAACTCCGACACCTGGTCTCGTAACGACACGGCTCCCGAGTTCTACATCCAGTACGCTGATGGCACGTCCGCTACTGGTGTGTGGGGCCAGGACAGCATGGTCTTTGGCGACACCAACGTGACCGACTTGAGTTTTGCCTTGGTGAACCACTCCGATTCCGCTTTCGGTGTCTTGGGTATCGGTCTTCCTGGCTTGGAGTCCACATACACGGGTCTCAAAGTCTCGGGAACCCCATACCAGTACGAGAACTTGCCCATGAGATTGGCCCGCCAGGGTCTCATCAAGAAGAACGTGTACTCGCTTTATCTCAACTCGCCTAAATCCAACACGGGCTCGATTTTATTTGGTGCCATTGATAAAGCCAAATACCTGGGCCAGTTGGAGACCGTGCCCATTGTCAACGTTTACGAGGACACTTACAAAGACCCTATCCGTTTGGACGTCACCATGAGTGGCCTTTCATTCCAGAGCTCCAGCCAGAACGAGTCCATCACCTCCAACAGCTACCCTGCGTTGTTGGATTCGGGTACCACCCTTACATACCTCCCCAGCGACCTTTTGAAGAGAGTCACGTCGTTGTTCTCGGCAAAGTACTCGTCGTCGTACGGATACTACCAGTTGAGCTGTGACTTCAACACCGACAACGCCCACATTGTCTTCAACTTCAGCGGTGTCAAGATCAAGGTTCCTGTGTCTGAGTTCGTCATCACCGCCGGCAGAAACCAGTGTTTCTTGGGTGTCATGGAGCAGTCGTCGCAGGTTGCTGGTACCGACTATGCTGTTTTGGGAGGCAACTTCTTGAGAAGCGCCTACGTTGTCTACGACTTGGACGACTTCACCATCAGTATGGCGCAGGCCAACTACTCCGATAATGAGGACATTGAGGTTGTGGAGTCGTCGATTCCCGACTCTGTGAGCGCCGCCAGTGCCAGCGTTTCGCCCGCTTTTGGAAGCTCATCAGGCAGCGACTCTGACTCTTCGGTCAGTGCGCTCAACTCTGGCAACATGAGAAAATCCAAGGCATCCAGTGCTCACTTGAGCTGGCCATTGGTAGCAATGGTGGCTGGTGTGAGTGCGTTTGCATTGGTTTAGAACGGATAGAGTTACGGGAAAATTACGTATGGAAAATGGGACTATTGATTTCAACCAGTGTAGAGCATGTGGCGTGGCTGCGAAAGTAGGTGTGAGCAAGTGGTCTACCACAATGCAAGATCATGTAAGCCATCTTTTAAGTAGGCAAATGGCTGTGAGGTATCGAAGAAAATCTCCCCCACAGCTGTATAACTTGCAGATTTGAAAAATAATTTCGGTCACAGCTGGTGCACACCCAGGCACCTATTTCTTCCATAATCTCTCTATTTTTTTTTTATTCAAATACCACAACATCCATCTCTCAATTCCCCCAACCTCTATCTTTAAATCCGCTTCCCATTGAAACTCCCCGGTGCACGGCTTTTATGTTACTGGGTGCAACGAGGGTCCGCTATAGCGCATGCTGTTCCTGCGAAATGAAGCATTCCAGGCTGTACCGGAGTCACCAACCACCTCCACAAATCACGTTTTTTCTTCGTTTTCCGCTATGAAGACGCTCTGGTGACATGGGCACTTTTCTGTTTTTTTCATACCTAGGGAATCATTGTACCACGTTTCCGTGCCCCCTTCGGTATTCCAAGTAGCACCCCCGTGAATGCCCCCTTTCTCGTATTGATGATTTCTTTGTAGACCAACAATTTTCAAGAAATGTCAAGAAACCAAACATCACCTCTCCCAAGCCCCCACCCTACCTAACAACTATGCATCAAAAGGTCCTGCTTATATTTAGCCGCTGGCACCTCCCTCGGTGACGTCGTTTTTTTAGGCTGACCGCACCAGGGGAAACACAACAGTGAACATTCCCTGATACGTGCCACACAGAAAATCTGAGCCCCGATTTTCTCATTTTCAAACAAACACCAGTTTTTTTCACGTCTACACGCCGCCACCTTGCTGTCCCCCGTGCCTAATCCCCTGAAAAAGCCCAGGCTCGAGAACCCCATGAACGCAACCCAGTTGTTGTCGATCTTGGAAGACCCGGCCCAGTTTGCCGAAAAGGCGCCGTTGATACAACAGGACTTGCTTGAGTTGGTCAAATCCCAAGAGCTCCAGATCCATAACTTGTCCGTGGAACATCAGACAGCATGTGAAGCCAACAAGGCCTTCAAAGTGGCCCTTTCCGAAATAGGCACCGTGGTCATCTCCGTCGCCATGGGTGATTTATCCAAAAAAGTCGAAATCCATCCGGTGGAGCTGGATCCGGAGATTCTCAAAGTCAAAATCACAATCAACACCATGATGGACCAGCTTCAAGCTTTTGCAAACGAGGTCACCAAGGTCGCAACAGAGGTCGCCAACGGTGAGCTAGGAGGCCAAGCCAAAAACGAAGGCCTGGTGGGTATCTGGCGTTCTTTAACCGATAACGTCAATATTATGGCTTTAAACTTGACGAACCAGGTGCGTGAAATCGCCGATGTCACTCGTGCTGTGGCCCAGGGTGACTTGAGTCGAAAGATTAACGTCCATGCCCAAGGTGAAATCTTGCAATTACAAATGACAATCAATACAATGGTGGATCAGCTTCGAAAGTTCGCTTTTGAAGTGTCCAAGGTCGCCCGTGATGTCGGTGTCTTGGGTATTCTAGGTGGTCAGGCTTTTATCGAAAACGTCGAGGGTATTTGGAAAGAGTTGACCGATAATGTCAACGCCATGGCTTTGAACTTGACTACTCAGGTGAGAAATATCGCTAATGTTACTACTGCTGTCGCCAAGGGTGAATTGTCTAAGAAGGTTACTGCTGATTGTAAAGGTGAGATTTTGGATTTGAAATTAACCATCAACCAGATGGTGGATCGATTGCAGAATTTCGCTTTGGAAGTTACTACATTGTCTCGTGAGGTCGGAACGTTAGGTATTCTAGGTGGTCAAGCCAACGTCAAGGACGTCGAGGGTGCCTGGAAAGCTGTTACAGAAAATGTCAACCTAATGGCTACAAACTTGACAAATCAGGTCAGATCTATCGCTACTGTTACTACTGCTGTCGCCCATGGTGACTTGTCCCAAAAAATTGATGTCCACGCCCAAGGCGAAATTTTACAGTTGAAGAACACCATCAACAAGATGGTGGACTCTTTGCAGCTTTTCGCTTCTGAAGTGTCGAAGGTTGCCCGTGATGTCGGTATCAACGGTAAATTAGGTATCCAGGCGCAAGTCAGCGACGTCGATGGTTTGTGGAAGGAAATTACGTCTAATGTGAACACTATGGCTTCTAACTTGACATCGCAAGTGAGAGCTTTTGCTCAAATTACTGCTGCTGCTACTGATGGTGATTTCACCAGGTTTATTACTGTTGAGGCTTCCGGTGAAATGGATGCTTTGAAGACGAAGATTAACCAGATGGTGTTCAATTTGAGAGAATCCATTCAGAGAAACACTGCCGCCAGAGAAGCTGCTGAATTAGCCAACAGTGCCAAGTCGGAATTCCTTGCCAACATGTCCCACGAAATTAGAACCCCCTTGAATGGTATAATTGGTATGACTCAGTTGTCCTTGGATACTGAGCTCACCCAATACCAGCGTGAAATGTTGAGTATTGTTCATAATTTGGCAAACTCTTTACTCACCATTATCGACGATATCTTGGATATCTCGAAGATTGAAGCTAACAGAATGACTGTCGAACAAATTGATTTCTCCTTACGAGGCAACGTCTTTGGTGCTTTGAAGACTCTTGCCGTGAAAGCTATTGAAAAGAATTTGGACCTTACTTACAGATGTGACTCTTCCTTCCCAGATAATTTGATTGGTGACTCGTTCAGACTTCGACAAGTTATCCTTAATCTTGCCGGTAACGCCATCAAGTTCACAAAGAAGGGTAAGGTGAGTGTGAGTGTAAAGAAAGCCGAGAGGATTCCAGAGGAGGCCAACAAGCTCCTCTTAGAATTCTGTGTCAGTGACACTGGTATCGGTATTGAAAAGGACAAGTTGGGATTGATTTTCGATACGTTCTGTCAAGCCGATGGTTCCACAACTAGAAAGTTTGGTGGTACTGGATTGGGATTGTCTATTTCGAAGCAGTTGATTCAATTGATGGGTGGTGAAATACGGGTCACCTCTGACTATGGTCGTGGATCTAATTTCTCCTTCACTGTCAGCGTTTCCCCATCTAAGATCAGGTACAGCATGGAATCGGAACAGTTGTTGCCATTCAGAGGTCACTATGTTTTGTTTGTTTCTAGCGAGCACACAGAAAATGAGCTTCAAGAATTGAAGAACGGCATCCAAGAGTTGGGATTGAATCCTGTGATTGTTCGTGACATTACTGACGTTAACTTTGAGGAACCAATCCAATACGACATTATCATGATTGACTCCATAGAGATTGCCAAGAGTTTGAGACTACGATCCGAGGTCAAATACATTCCCTTGGTTTTGTTGCATCACTCCATCCCGGAGTTGAACATGAGAGTGTGTATCGACTTGGGTATCTCATCATACGGAAACACCCCATGTACTATCTCAGATCTTGCCAGTGCTATAATTCCCGCTTTGGAATCAAGATCTATTGCCCAAAATACCGATGACTCAATTTCATACAAGATTTTGCTCGCGGAGGATAACTTAGTGAATCAAAAGCTCGCTGTTAAGATTCTTGAGAAGCAAGGCCACCAGGTTGAGGTGGTTGAGAATGGTCTCGAGGCATTCGAGGCGGTCCAGAACAATAAATACGATGTTGTTTTGATGGATGTGCAAATGCCCGTCATGGGAGGTTTCGAAGCCACTGAGAAGATCAGACAGTGGGAGAAGAAATCAAACCCTATTGACTCCTTGAGCTTCCGTACCCCAATTATTGCATTAACCGCTCACGCTATGTTGGGTGACAGGGAAAAATCTCTTGCGAAGGGTATGGATGACTATGTCTCGAAACCTTTGAAGCCAAAGTTGTTAATGCAAACCATAGGAAAGTGCATACACAACATCAAGCAGCTCAAGGAGTTGTCGAAGCAGAACAACAATAACAGGACCTCCAACTTCGCAAAAAACTTGAAGAAAGGATCAATCAAGAATTCTGAGCATGAACCAAAACTCGTAACACTTTCGCTGTCGCCCATCAAGGGCTCGTCCGCGAACGGCAATGGCTCTCCTGAAAATTCTCACTTGACGGCAGTTTCCAGAAAATCGGATGGAAACATAGAGGTGTTGCGTCCTGGTGCTTTGGATGCGGACCACAGGAGTATGACCGAAAGCTCCGTGCCGAAGATGAAGAGAGACAATTGAAACGTTTGAAAATATACACACATGACCCATTTTGAATGATACGATCTGTTCAAATAATTACAAGTATAAATATATTGATGACACTACCATACCGTTTCGTCCCATTTTTGAAGCTCTTGCACTTGTTGCGAAGCATCCTTCTCTGCTTTCTTTCTCATGTAGAAGATCGGGCAATCCTTGTTGGAGCAAAGAACCTCCTGATGAAGTGATCCCTGGCATCTTTGACACTCTGTCCAGAGCCTGGAAAACTTGTTCTCCAAGTAATTCATCTGAGCCAATGCGTCACAGTATAATTCTGGAGCTTTCGAAATGCAATTTTCACATAAGGCACCCTTGTTGTTCGCTTTCAATGGTGACTTACAGTTTTTGCATAGTTCCGCTTTCTTTGCAAACTTCATCAATCCACCACCCTTTGGTGCACTCATCTTGATAGTTCTCGTATGTGCACCGGCAAGCAATTCCTTTGCCTTTTTCTCACCGAGAATAGGCTCGAAAATTCTCAACAAGGGGTTTGAAAGTTGATTCTCCAAATAGTATTTGACGTCGATGGAAAGAGAGTTCTCCAAAACGTAAAGGGGGTCCTCGGACTTTTCGTAGTTCTTGGAACTTGATGCATTGATGATGACATAAGCAACTCTGTCACCTAGGGTTGGAGCTGAACCAGCATCTCTCTTCCTCATTCGTTTAGCGAGCTCGACGTGAGCTTGCTTACTGTCGTATTCGTACTTCGAAAACGCTTTGGTAATGACTAGTTGCGATAAATCGACTCTGTTCTGCAACAAGTCAGCGATAGTTTGCTTGACAAATCTTTCTGCCTTTGGAACGTTTCTTTCCTCCAAAATGTACTCCAAAACCCTTGTGATCACATTTTGAACCAAGCGGCAATTGTCTCTTCTCACTGTCTCGATACCCTTTGTGTCCATCTTGTCGAACTTCTCCGGGTTAGTCCAGTACAAACCAGCGTATCTCTTTTTGTTGATCAAAAGATATGGGAAATAGACCTTTTCGAACTCCAACTTGATGGGCTTAATAAATTTAGTGGAGACATATGCTGCTGCTTCTTCTCCCAACTTCATACACGTTTCCAAGTCTTGATGTCCAAACTTTACCATGACAGAATCCGTATCACCATAAATGACCTGAGCATCATAAGTGTAGCCATTACCTGTGTTGTATTTGTCTTGAACAACATTTTTCGTCTTTTCAATCATTTCTCTACCAAAAGCAGTGACGGATGAGGAGATCGCAAGACAGGGTAATTTACCCACAGTAGCGCCCGTAAAACCATAAACGGAGTTGGCAGAAATTTTTAATGCTAGCTGTCTACCATTAAGCACATCTCGCTTGAATGGATCACTTTCTTTCTTAAGATCTGCCTTGGCTTTCTTTCTTGCGGTCAACAACTCATTTAAAATAGTGGGGAGAATTCCCTTCTTCTTCGTCTCCTTAACAAAGTAGTCACCATTTGGCGTATGCGTGTAGTCATCCTCTGACAAATTGTATGCTTTAATCGATTGTTTGTTCAAAAGTGTGGTATAACACAAGTTGTGAGCCATCATAATGGAGGGATACAAAGAGCTGAAATCCAAAGTGGCAATTGGCACGTCGTAGTATCCCCTAATGGGCTCAATGACTGTGGCACCTTCATACTCTTCGTTACTTCCTTCACTCTTCATGTTAGGCACAACGATATCTTCTTGCAAACACTTCCGGAAAAGCTGGGAAATAACCTTAATCTGCTGTCCTCTGGCCAAGAGATACGAGAAAGGAACACCAGTGACTCTTGCCATTTCGGTGTAGTTGACCAAACACATCAATTTTTCGAGCAAACGCAAAGGAAGGTAGGCATCTTTCAAACAGTATACTGCCAATCTTCGCCTCGTTTCAGCAGTACCATTCTGAAGGTCGGTAATAATAGAATGCTGGACATCTTCTTTCTGTTCACCCAAGAAGTGGGCAGAGACCGAGTTCAAAGTGTACGAACGTAACTTGTACTCTCTTTGGATAAACTGCAACAAGTCAAGCTGCATTCTGCCATCGATGTTGACAACCTTGTTTTCACGGGTACCGTAAGCACGGGAACTGAAAGTGGAGTTGCTGACTTCCTGCCGTATGTTCACCATTCTTCCGAAGTAGGGGAATTTTGGAATATTTAGAGCCTTGGCTCTATCAAGAAGATACGGAAGATCGAAATTGGCGGTGTTGTAGCCAATAATGACATCAGGATCAGCTTTAACAACGAAGTCTCTCCAAGCCATAAGCATGTCTCTTTCCTCCTCGTTCGAGAAAATCTCAGATCCGATGATGGGAAGACAGCTTTTGACTGTGAAAACGTTACGCACAAACGGCCTGGGCTCACCATACCTGGAGATGACATTGGCAATTTGAATGACAGGGTCCTGGTTGGCTTCGGGAAACACGCCCTTTCTGCCGGCACACTCGATATCAAACGACATGATACGTAGAGGAGCCATTTTCAACCATTCACCCTCCGATGGATGCGAGATCAATTTTCTGTAGTCAACGGTGCACTCGATCTGACAAGTAGACACCTTGAGGTCTTTTTCAGTGAGCTCGTAAGCCCCGGCAGGGACGGTAATCCACGACATACCGGTGATACCACAATCAATCATCATTCGAAGCAAGTAGTTGATATTATCGTAACTGACACATGTTGGCGGAAAGAGCTGTTCAAAGCGAACCTCGCCTCTTTCAAAGGCGCCTCTTACCTTGGTGATATTTCTCGCGTTATTCACAATGACCTTGAAGAACGGCGACTTGTTATTATTGTTGAAGCCCCAGATCAGCTCTTTGTTGACGATTTCGACAGTCTCGATGCCAAAGTAGTTGGCCTTCAAGTATGAGATGAACTGAGTCAAATGCTGGTCTGGAAAGAAGCCCCTTGGCACGGGTACGTAGAAATAATGCAAGAAGCCCGTGACATTACAAAGAACGGAATGCCCTTCATCTGTAATACCGAAGAAACGGGCACTGGACTCGTCTCCATGCGTAGCCTCCTCAGCATCTAGCTGCTGGAATGTGATATCCTTGGATGCATAATCTTTGGGCAATGGAGGTCTTTTCCAGCTCTGCAGCTCTCCCAGAAAAGCCAGTGCCAGTTCTGTCATCTCCACAAGCTCTTTTTCGAACTCCAGCGGCTCTTCATTCCCGTTAGGTCTCTTAACACGCTTAAGCAACTGCTGCTGAGACTCAGAAAGCTCGAGCTTGGAATCTATGTTTTGAGATCCAGCAGGCAACGAGTGTGCTCCTTCTTGACTCTGATACCACGCTCTTTTAAGAGCATTGGGATCTTGTGACATGCTAAGATTGCTGATTTATTAATTCTGGATGATTAGAGATAGGCTAGTATGGAGAGATGATGCGATCAAAAACGCGACGCGGCGCGGTACTAGGATGCACTGGTGGAGATCCCCGGTCACCAAAACATCAGGGAGCCGTGAAAAAATAGCCGTTCTCTATTTACTTGCAATAGAATTCATATGATGTTTGACGAGAGCGTTGCTCAAGGTCTGTGTTTGGGATTTGGAAAGTGTGGCGTAAACATGACTTGTGCTACACGCGTTGAAGACGTGTAGCGAGATCAGTATGTAGCCAACATCAAGTGAAGCATTGAAATGGAAAGCAATTCAAGGCATATCACTCAGATAACTTCTATTATCATCAGGTCAACCAAAACACCAGGTGATTGATTCTTAGTTAAACCTTAACTCCACCGCGAAATAGTTGCAAATCAGAGACCCCTCACTGGCTCTATGCTGAGACACGCTTCACCAAAAGAAACTGCTCGAGCTGTTGCAGAAGCACAATCTTAAGAACTTCAGAATCATGATGCTCGGTTTCGGTCTGCAGAAGCTGATTGAGCATTCTTCTCAATACCGAGGTGCCTGAAACAACATCATTGTATAGGGAGCCAATCTTCATAGGAGGCGAGGCAGGCCTTGAGATCGCTACATCACCAGTGTCACCGAAAAGGTCATCAGCCTTGTCATTAAAAAGATCATCCATTTCGAAGTCCATCATCAAGTCATCTTTCGGAGGTTTTGAATCAACAGCCTCAGTAGCTTTGTTCTCTTCCTCTTGCGAAACAGTACCACCGAGTATACTGGAATGATGGTTTTCCATACCCAATGAGAACTTGTTGCCGAACAGCATTGGACCGATGCCTCGAGGCTTCACCTCATTAAACCTTGATTTCAACTCTGAATCACTCATCTCCGCCGAGTTCTGGCTTGTCAATACAACAAGAAAGGCCAAAAAGTCAATCAAGATTCTGCCCTCTTCGGCGCTTGATCCATGAGCTGACTTGTTGCTGTGACTCAACTTGATCTCGCTAAGCAAAAGCTCGAGGATCTCGTCGCTTTCCGTAACTTTCCACATTGTACGGAATGCTCTCCATATGTTATGTTCGGATACTTCATCCTCCAGGGAAAGAAACGTCTGCAAAGCTTGTCTGATTGTGGACACCAAAGAATTTCCCTCTTTGTGCTTCTGCAGTTGAAGAGGACGGTCGACTCTATTATATTCCTCGTCGACCTTTTTCTTCACAACACGCACCACCTTGAGCATTATCTCCTTGTTTTCCCAGTTTCTGAAAGCATAAAGCGACTCAAGAAGCTCTTTGCCCACGAGATTCAAAACGAGTTGGAAAATGTAGTTCGTCTCAGAACTTTCCTCCTTGTTCTCCCCCAAATTACTCTGAATAATCTTCCATAGAATCTGAAGAAAAATGTCACTGTTCCTTTGCAATGGACCCACGTTTGATACAATCCAGTGTATGATCTCGGCAGAGCTAGGCGCCAAAAAGTCTTGTGATAAGTAGTCAATACCATTGCTAAGATTAGGTGATGCCAAACTGCCCGCAATATTGGCTGTGATAGCGCCTTGAAATATAACAAACACTAATTTGTAAATCTGCTTGACGTTGACTGACTTAATAAGATCATCCGATAAGCCATCATTATTCACATCAAACAATGCATTTGCCCACTCACTCAAAATCTCATTGTACTTATTCGCAGTGTTGACATCAGTGGGCTTCTCTGGTTCCACTCTGTTCGTGAAGTTAGCGCACAGTCTGTAGTAAAAACGGTTCATGAAGTCGATAGTGTACGAATTTCCCAATGATACTGAAACGAAGTCGACGCCGAAAAATTTGGTCATGGCTATTGAGCCCGTCATGAGAATACCAAAGTAGGAAAATGTCTCTTGGAAGTTGTTGTCATCAGCGTCTGCGCCGAAGCTGTCATTATCGATGTAGGCAATGAGGGGATCGATGATTCCCCAAGGACCTTGAGGATCCACGAAGTATACATAGTTGGTAACTGGTAAACATATCAGAAGTCCCAACACGAGTCGCACAAGTTTCTCGTTGGATTTTTCCTTTATGAGCTTTTCGAATGAGCTGGAGACAAGGGAGCGTAATTGTTCTTGCTTCGCTATCAGATACTGAATGTCTGTTGACGTCAATTCCTCCAAAAAGTTTATGAACAAACTTTCGCTCAAAGAAGTGAATTCAGTATTGATATTGAGAAGCTTCGAATTGAACTCAGACTTGAGATGGTCTGTGTGGCTGAGAACACTCTTCTCGTGGGTGATATGAGACCAAGTCACGGACTCAGAGTCTTCCGGAAATGTTTTTGTGTATGAAGATACTGTAACAAGGTCCTGGTACATGCAGCTTCGCAAGAAGACTTTACGTAAGTCGTATGGATGGGAGGACCTTCCACCGACGATCATCTCGGTGATGTATGCATCATTGAATCCAGCAACTGTTTTGAGAATAACGCTTTCGAGATTAGAGGACCCGTCGTTTTTAGGTCTGGATTCCTTGAGGTAGACGGGGAATCGACTCACGATGTAGTTTTTCCAATTGAAAAGAACATATGGGCTTTCCTGCTGCTGGATGGCAATTGAGATACCATTAAATAGAATTTGCACCACATCCTTGACGAATTCATCGAATTTGGATGTGTCGATATGGAAAAAGGTAATATAGTGCTCCATGAGCTTCTCGATCTTCCACTGCTTGAAGCGCTCATTGAGCCACAATAGCCTCTTGAGCCTGTTTATTTTGATGACTTTTTTGGAATGTTGGTTCAAAGCGAATGCCTTTCTTACTGGCGTGGCTGTGACTTTTTCTCTTTTCACCGCTCTGACTGCCTGAAGCTCCTTGTGTAAATCTGCTGTATTCAACAAGCTGTTCGCTTTTTTCGAGAAGTACGCTAGCTGGCTAGTGCCACCCAAGCTCTGTAGCTGGCTCATAATGTCCAAGGCCAAGCCACGGAATTGCTCTTTCAGAATGACCGAACCGACATTATCAATGATGCTTCCCCACAAGAAAAGCAAATGGTACCAAGCATTTCTCACCTCTTCGTTTGCATCGGATTGTAATAGACTTTGGTATTGGACAGTGTAATCGGGCAAAGCTTTATTGACAAAACTCAGAAGCACGGTCTCGGGGAAGGACTTGTAGTGGCTCTTCAAAAACAAGATAAATTCTCGCTGGGCTTCAATGGAAAGACCGTGCAATCCACCCATGAGCTTCTGGGTGTTTATATCACTCTCTGCTGCAAATGCAAAAGCATATCTGTGTTGAAGTTTCCATAACGATCTGTCCTTCAGTAAAGATAGAAGGGCACTTGCCAACTCGTTATCAGGAATTGACGCTTTTTCATTTAGCTGCTTGAGCAAAGCCACAAACGCTTTTGGTTGGGTGTTCTTATTAAGCGACGTTTGCACTAGCTTTTCAGCCTTCACCTCTGAAGCCATGGTGGTGGAGTTCTTAGAGTTGGTGCGTAGCCGAGAGCGCACATATACAGAGCTGGTTGCAACTAAATATCGTTTCTTTGATGTACACCTAAACGCCTATATAATAAGAATTTCCGATTATTCAAGCAAAATGGTAGAAAAATGGGTTGTTAGGGAAGCGAAGAGTTGCGTACCCCCTTAATTTTGTTCCCCAATGCTAGCAAGTAAGGTATCACTAAACAGCCCACAGCCTTGATAAACCTACCACTTACCCAAAGAGATGGCTGTGGCAGGCTGGGCTTGTGGCGATGTCCAGATTGACCGCAAGAGGCTTCCTTCGAGGTTGCCCTCGAGGTTCTGGTTCCACGAGTCCATGCCTGGTTTTGTCAACGGCTCGGTGTCGTTGATACTCTCCTGAGAGTCAGAGTCGTGGCTGGGCAGCGCTCTGGAAAACAACGAGTGTGAAGGGGACTGGCTGGTTAAAGAAGGGTTCGAGACGTTGGATCTGGAGGAGCCCAACACCGATGACGAGTCCAGCAGCGAAGGCGCCATATTGAACATGTTGGCTGAAAACATGTTGGCGCTGGGTTTCACCTGGCTCACTCCTCCGTAGCCATTGACCAGCTGGGAGTTCAGGTTCCAATTCGAACTTTGGTGGTTACCGGTGAGGCTTTGATGGCCCAAGCCCTGGCTACCGCCCATTTCATTGCAGTTACCATGCAAATCTGGAAAGCTCGTTCCATGGAACATCTGGCCCTGGGGTCCTTGAGATCCATAGTATCCACCACCCTGAGTTGGATGTCCATCCATACCCGGATATCCGTGTCCTTCGAGACTCTGAAGCCCACTAATCGTGCCAGTCTCTCCTGTAACACCTCCATGCCAGTTCTGACCAGGCACATACCGAGAGTTCTCCTGCCGGTTCCAGTTTCGAGACATGTTCTGCTGGTCGTCCACATTCTCTCTATAAGCACCGTGACTGGCAGCCATCAGCGCACTCATCTGGTCCACGTTCAGGTACATCAACGGAAGCCTCCTGGGCTGACCGTTTTCAGATCTCTCCACTCTTGCCTGGTTGTTGCCCAGGTTGTACCCGTACAAAGCCTGGTTCTGTTTTACAGCAGCAGCTGCTGCCACGGCCGCTAAAGCATACTGTTTTGATTGACTTCTCTTGTTATGCAATGTTCGGAGTTTCTCGAGCTGTTCACCGAAGGGCTCCAGCTGCAACGGTCTTGTCATTTGGTTAAAAGCCCTTGACAGGTCCTGTTGTAACTCCAAGCGGCTGCGAAATGTTGCTACAATGCGCTGACGCAGGAAGGGCTCAAATGCCGCTGTCACAGCCAGTCAGAAGAAGCGAATAGGAAAGGGGTGATTTGAACCTCAGAAGTAAATTTATATTCTTTTATGAAGAGCTTAGAATCGATATCGTTCATATCTGATAAAATATGTACGCGTTGGTGGCTTGGTCCGGACCAAGGCTTCTACACTTAGCGCTAAGGATCTCACAAGCTGCACATTCACGAACGGACCAACCAAAGCTGCTCAATCTCTTTTTTCAAACTCTTCACTAAAAAAGTATCAATTGACGATCTTAAAGATGGAAGAGGACCTTCAAAAAGATAGATACGAAATTTGTTACGTTGTTGGTTCCCCTTACAGACTCCACGACGTGATGTCTCAGTTGGCAAGTGTCGTGAGACATTGTCCCCCATCGCGTTCAAATACACTCTCTCGGCTCAGCCCTACTTCACACCTCATTAAATAATGTGCCATTGCTATATTATCTTTTAATTGTTGCCAGCGCTGAGCTGCCATGCGGGAACACCAACACTCTCGATCGACTTCTTGACAACTTCGTCGTCGTTGTTCTCGTTAGCAGTGTGCTGCTGCCATGCTGCCATCAGGTCCTTCAACTCTTCCTTGTCCTCTGGCTTCTCGGCGTCACCCTCGCCTGCCTCGGCCTGCTTCTTCTCCTTCTCAGCCTGCTTCTTCTCCTTCTCAGCCTGCTCCTCGGCCTGCTTGTGCTTGAGCTGCCACTCTGGAATACCGGCGGCAAAAATATTGCCCGGTGTAGAGGGCCTCGTCTCCTTCAGCGTCGTGGCGAAGTTCAGCACTGGCGACTGGGCGTTGCTGCTGTTTTTGCTGTGGTCGCCGCTGTTAGGCTGCGAGGATCCAGCAGAGTTGTTTGTGGGAGCATTATTTGTGCTCTTGTTCTTGGCCTTCTTCAAGATCTCGGAAGCGGATGGGATGGACGAGACTGGAGCCACCTTGCGGGGCCCACTGTTGTCGGCCAGGGAGTTCCCGCTACGTGCCTTGATCAAGTTCTTCAAGGAACCCAACTCCTCAGTGATTTCGGCAAGCTCGTCCTGAAGGTTGTCCTTGGTCAACTTCATGTTCTTCTCCACACTGTTCTTTAAGTTGTCTACCTCGAGCTTCATCAACCGCAAGTCGTCGTCAAACTTCAACTTGTCCTTGTTGTACTTGCTCAAGAAGTCGTTGATATTGTCAATCACAACGTCGATCTCCTTGAGCTTGCCCTCATTAGCATCTTTAATCTCCTTTTGCTCAGTGCCGAGTTGCTCGAGCACCTTGTCAATCTTGATGAACTCCTCGTCGATCGCCTCCTTGTCGGCATCAATCCTGCTCTGCAGTGGGGGATGATGCTAGGAATCAAGTAGCGTGACACAACCTGGTACAAGCCGTAGGTAACTCCGGCGGTTGCTGTGGCCATGATGAAGTAGTCCTTCCAAGTTCTCTCAGGAGGCTGAGGAGCCATACCGTAGTAGTCATATGGCACCGGGGGTCCCTGGGGTTGTTGAGGTTGTTGAGGCTGGCTGGTGGATGGAGTGACTGTGGTCGAAGTCGACGATGAAGACGAGGCGTTGTTGGCTCTCTTCAAAGCTTCTTCAATCTCATGTTCATTGAGTCCTTTTGTCTCCAAAAACTCCACTTTCTTGTTTAGCGGCGACAGCGCCACATTGGGGTCCTTGAGAAAGCTGACTGCGCTATTGATCAAGTCCTCATTCATTGGAGTAGGAGGTTGGTTCTGATAACTGATTACCCCGGCTTGATTCCGAGGTCCTGAAAACACCCGTACCTCCGCTGCCCCACTCGCTCCGGATCACAGGCCCCACTACAGACCACGGCTCGATGCCATGAGAAATAAACTTTCAAGCAATAAATATTCTAATTTTTATTCTTAAATATTCGGAAAATAGTGAAGATCGTCGTTTGATTCTTCGATCATGTGACTTCTGCGGTTGCAAAACACACCTTCCGTCTATGATACATGACATGGCTTCTAAAGAAACTTAAGAAGCTCCTCGTATATACACCAACTGATACCGGCACTAAGACCCTTACGTCCTAGTCTGAGCGAAAGTCCATTGAAGAGATTGCGGGCTCCACCAGGTTCCAGCACAATCTGCCTAGTGGCTGCCCAAATCGTGGGCGGCTTACCAACACTGACGATAAGCTGTAGTCTTGTCTTTACTGCATCGAATGGTGCGGTGATACTCGTAGCCACCAGTGCAGCTAATACCGCCGACAGAGAGTTCGTCACACTGGCAACGTAATTGTCTGGAATGCTAGCTTTGAAAGGGACAATGAGCTGAGGCATGACATCGTTTTTAAAGCTCTCGTAAAAGAGAACATAAAGCCCTGCGTAAGGACAGTCTCGAGCTAGCGTGGCTGCCGTACCTTTGAAAAAGTTTCTGAAAGAGCCCTTGGGGCCCTCCCCTTCGTTGTAAATGCCCTCGAATCCCTCATACATAGAATTGTAATTGTACAAATTGGACTCGAATCTGGTTTTTATGATTGTGATCGGCATGGTGATGATGCCCACGGCCGCTCTAACGACAAACCCCGTGGCCAAGTTTTCCGCATGTGAGAGTTTGGGTAAAACACTGGACGACGACTTTTCACTGACCTGCTTCAAGCTCGCCAAGTACGTTCTAGTTTGTGAAAGTATCGTGAAGTAGAGCCCAGCGCCCACGGATGTACGTAAAGTGGATGGCAATGCGCCTCGCCACAAGTCTTTGATGTTGGCTAATTTTTTGAGTTCTTTGCTGATAGACGTCTGAAATCCCGTGTTGCTGCGTCTCTGTTGTTGCAACCTTGTCTTCAATAAATCCAATGGCTGGAGAGTGAAGGCGGATATTAAACCAGCGGTACCCCCGGAAATAAGGTGGATAGTAGTGGTGGGCACCTTGGCTTCAAGCGAAGCTTTCGGTGCTGGAGGTGTTTGCTCATGGTCCATGAGAAGGTCTTTGGGAAGAGTTGCACCGTGGAGGAGACAGTGTTGAGGAATGTGTGAAAAGAAGCAAGCCCTGGTTCTGACCTGAGCAGATTTGAGCCCCGTCTATATGCAAGTCCATCCTATTGAAGCGATGGTTGGCAGGTGGTGGATCGAGCCTAGCGAGTAGTCTGTATCCAGGCATTTGTAACGATCACAAGACAGTCATTCGCAAAAGGGACCCAATTGTGTCATTGGCTGTTTTCCATCAGTGAAAAGTGTTCTTGGATGTGTTTCCGAGGAATTTACCGGTGCGCTGCACTTCGACGTCATTTACCGCCAGATATGGTCTAGGAAATTTCGCAGCCTGTGGCTTATAACCAATTCTCCGTCAACCGGTTCCAAAACGTCGCTTCCCTCGATAGAAAGATGCAAGGAATGCTTAAGGAGAGAAACACTGCAGACAGCAAGGAATGAATGGAACGGATCTGGGAAAGCCTCAGTGTCCTTGGCAAAGCCGCCTATAAGCTTATGCTGGGTCCTGTCAAGCAAGTAGTCAAGAAGACCTTGGTCATTTATCAACCCAACTCCGTCTTCACTTAAAAGATTAAGCAGCCCAACCACCCACCACAGGTAGCAGGTGTCTGCAAATTTGTTTTCTCTGCCATTGAACCCTCCGATGTCGCATTCTTGGTAATATTCATAGGATGTACCTTTGTAGAGACCCGCAGGATAGTCGACTTGTCTATGGACTAGCCATTGTTTTGTGAGCTCGACCCACTCAGAGTGCTTGGGTGCCAAAAGGTCGGTTCCAAGGAGCCTAAGCGCTGCAATGCCACAGAAGGTGAGACCTGAATGGGACTCGGTGTGTGAAGACGATGAAAGGCCGCCATTGAAGTTGACCTTGTCCAAAATGAAAGCCTCCAAACTTGACACGTCAATGTCAAATGGCCTGTTTGCAAGCTTGTCGTATCCTAGCATCTTCCTGATACCAGCTGCAATGTAGCATAAACGAAGATCCGACTCCCCCCAAGGCTGACCTTCAGGATCAATGACGGGTCTGAAGGACCCCTTGTTCTCCCCTTCTTTTATCTGACATCGGCTGACAAACCTCATTATTCTGTCTCTGTCGAGCTTCTTCGAGAAGTCCTCCTCAAAGGCCAACAACGTCGCTAGCGCAAAGAACGTAGCCAGCAAATTGGGAAGATCATAGTCAGCGTTCTTCTCGTCCAATGCAAAAGTCTGACTTGACCTAAATCCTGAAATTTCCCCGTCATAGCTCGGGATCAAGTAGGCATAGATATCTGCGACAGCTGCCTCTCTGTCTATCTCCTGTTCCAACCGGCCCAACAAAGCGAGACCGTGTACAGTAAAATAAATGAGTGCTAACTTATTGGAATCTTCAGATTGCGCCTTGGCAGGCATTGACTTCAGGCATAGCCGGAAGTAGTTAGCGTGTTTCTCTGCTAAGAAGGACATAGTGTGGAAATTCGCACAGAGCCGATCTTGGATTATAGAAGAATGTGGAGATGGAGGGTCCTCGTAAATTCTTGGGAAGAAGGGGGGAATATGTGATATTCGGAAAGTTTTATAAAAATACGTATTATCGTTGTTTCCGAATTTTGGTGTTTCATATATCTTTTTACAACATTGTAATGGTTGCAAATTACGCTGTGAATTGACCATCCTGTACTGGTTTTGCGAATCATGACATTTCATACATCTATATAATTTCATCTTTGAGGATTTCGTAGAGATCCAAGTGTATTCCCCTCGCTTTAGATTGACAATTGGTTATAATAGAAGCGATGACCGGTAGTTTATTGGACAGTTTTAACGTTGTAGAGTAGCAGTGCATCGTGGGATCCAGCTTTAGAAGATCATGTTGTACGTCAGAGTGGTCGGCCAGGCACTCAACCCAGTCAATGTCGTAATTTGTGACTTTTGAATCGGATTGCTGCGGGATACATCCATCCTTGGGCACTTCTGTCAACCCAAATGTAAACAGCGAGAGGTCGATGTTCAAACCACACCCCAAGTACTTCGTAAATGCCTCTTTCAACGTCCATAGATGGTTGAATGCAATATAACGCTCCGAAACACTCTCGATGCTACTCAATTGGTCTCCCTCTGAGCCCCCAAAGATTCCCTCGAATTGGTTCATGAAATCAGTAGAAGAAACTGAGTCCTGCTCCTCATGGGACAAGTCGACACCAGCGTTTGATGCTTCCAACAGTATAACTATGCATGCCAAATCATTGGAGTTGCTGTTGTTGTAGGCGAATGGGCGTCCTTTGATCTCAGGCTTACCATGCTCATTGTATTCGAACTCAATCTCTTCCCACAAACTTCTGGGATGATCTGGATAGATTGACAGTAAAGCAGAGTTCACAGCACACTTCAAGAATAAACGCGATAGTAGAGCAAGCTCCTTATTGTGCTTGACATTGCGGACTTGTAGTTGGTCTTTCAAACTCAAGAGTCGAAGACAGCTCTCGAAGTTGTAGTCATCGTTCAAAAGCTGTCGGAGTCTGTTATCTCCTCTAGAGCATGTGAATAGTATGGTCGGGTGCTCTTTATGGTCCCATTGGTTCATTTTATAGTTGGCAGACCATTATCAGTATGCTCCTCTTGATATCGCACTGTTAGATAGCGTTGCAGCCGTTTGAGTCATACACACATTTCAATCTCCTGCCACGAAATATTTTATTTCACAGAAAGTTGCATTTGCTACAATTGTGTCTTCCTAAGTTGTATATGTCTATAATTTTATTTGGAGTCGTACACATTGTACAACTTCTGCACCTCTGTGGTCTCACAAGGGTTCCTCTTGGCTTCGTCGGCTGTTTCACGAAGAACTTTCTTCAAATTTTCTATAGCTTCATCGCTAACCTGGAAGTGGAAAGCCAAACGACTTCCATAAGCCTTGATGTCGTGTTTCTCAGCAGACTTCACAAAAAAGTCATTGTCAATCTTACTGGCTGCAAGATCGATGAAAACGAAATTGGTATGAACCGGATGCTCGAGCACGAAGCCAAGGTCTTCACAAAACTTGCCGATTTCCTTTGCCCTCTCATCAACATGTGCCAACTTCGCCATGTTGTCATCAATAGCGACCAGGGCCATTTCAGCCAATAGACCACTCTGTCTGATACCACCACCATTCTGCTTACGGAAATGGTTTGCTTTTCTGATAAATTTGCTCAGACCCACAAGCACTGAGCCAATAGGGGCACCCAATGACTTCGATAAGCAGAGGGACACGGAATCGAAGTGTGAGGCGTACTCAGCGATTGAGATACCTGTAGCGGCGGAAGCATTCCACAAACGGGCACCGTCCAAATGCAAACGTACATCATTCTCCTTACAGAAGGCAGAAATTTTCTTGATCTCGTCTAGAGGGAACAACATGCCATGCAAAGTGTTTTCCAAGGAAATGACCTTGGTTGGACAGCCGTGGATCTCTCCGTCGTCTGGAACGAAGTTTGGCAAAATGTCGTCCTTCAAAGTCAAGTGAATACCATTTTTGGGCGCCACAGTCTGAACCATAGCCTGAGAAAGCGTTGGTAAACCACCAGCTTCGTGGATGTAGACATGCGATCTGTGGTCACAGAGTACTCCGTGGGGAGGCTGGAACAAATTGGATCTCAAGGCGATCTGATTCAGCAATGTTCCCGAAACACAAAAGAGGCCAGCCTCCTTTCCAGCAAGCTTTGCTACCTTATCTTCCAACCTGGTTGTGGAATCGTCTTCGTTATAGACTGCGTCTCCGAGGGTAGCTTTCGACAAGGCACTCACCATTGACACTGTGGGTGTTGTGAAGGTGTCTGAGCGGAACTCATTGTGTGCTGGAGTTTTGTTGAAGTTGGAGAGATCAACAGACATGGAAAAGAGTGGTTCTGGTGTGGAGGAAGCGGAAACAAGACCTATGTGAAGGAGGCACTAAATAGACTTCGAGGTTCCGGTGGGGAATTCTGTTGGTCAGGGGAGATAAGCAATCGGGTTATCTAGGCTTTGAGGAATTGAACTGAATCGAAGTGAAATTTGAAAGATTTGAAAAGTGAGGTGAATTGAGGGACCTGTCAAAGTGCGGTGACCGGCCCGGAATTACATGCAACGGAATGCGGTGAAATAATATTCGTGGGATTCTGAGATACCAAAGAGGGACAGAAACCGTTGCAGATGTAAGCTTTGCAGAAATATAGGATTGACAAATTTTCAGGGGTGTCTAGTAGGAACTGAAAAGTTTCTGATTTCAGGGGTTTATAGGGTCATCTATGTCGCAGTGCCGATAAGGTACGGATGGACTCATAAGCGCAAATACCCAGAGCTTCATGGTCTCGGTAATTCCAACAATTTTCTGTTTAAAGATACTAGTGGATGCCAAAACATGTCATCTAGATCGACCCCAAATTGAAAAGTTCTGAATCATGGATAAGCCGCATCATAAGACCCACTCAATACAACCCAACCCTTCCTACTCTGCAGCAAGTAGCTCAATGATGTAATTCTCCACAATTCAAGCATTGGGCTTGACTTTCGAAAACGCAGGCTAAACCTTCCCTCGGCGTGCATTGTATGCCCTCCAACTGAAAAAGTCCGCTACTATTCACCCAATTTCACGGCATTTTTCACACTATCTCCCAAATTGCTATAAAACGACAGCAAAAAAACAGCTCGCCAGATTCTGAACACTTCTTCAACCGCCGTTGTGTGGAATATTCGGAGGCCCAACGGGTGTATTCGCAAGGACTTACCCAAAAGGGTCGCGCTTGGCGCTGTCTTATCGCTGGACTATAAAGCCCCCGGAATCGACACCACACCTCATCCTGATATCGAAAAATGTCTCTTCCATTGAAATACGAAGTCACCTTGCCCGACGGGCAAAAGTACAAACAGCCTTCTGGTTTGTTCATCAACAATGAATATGTCAAGTCAGAGAAGGGCAAGATCATTGAGTCCATCAACCCATCCACTGGCGAGATCAATGGTTCCGTCTATGCTGCTGAGAAGGAGGATGTGAATGATGCCGTCAAGGCTGCCAAGAACGCATTCAGTGAGTGGAAGAAGTACACTGGTGTCCAGAGAGGAGACTTGTTGTACAAGTTTGCTCAATTGGTGGAGAAGGACATTGAGTTGATCAACACTATCGAGGCCTGGGATTCTGGTAAGACCAAGGAGCAGAACGCCAAGTTCGATGTGGCCGAGTTCGTCAGCGTTTTCAAGTACTACGCCGGTTGGGCCGACAAGATTACCGGTAAGGTTATCCAGAACGACCCCAGAAAACTCGCCTACACCGTCCACGAGCCATTCGGTGTCTGTGGTCAGATCATTCCTTGGAACTACCCATTGCTTATGGCTGCTTGGAAGTTGGCTCCAGCTCTTGCTGCCGGTAACGTTGTGGTTTTGAAAACCTCCGAAATTACCCCATTGTCGCTCTTATTCGTGGCCAAGTACTTCAAGGAGGCTGGTTTCCCTCCTGGCGTCGTCAACATTATTTCTGGTTATGGTGCCACCGCCGGTTCGGCCTTGGCTAGCCACAAGGACGTCGACAAGATCGCCTTCACTGGTTCCACCGCTACTGGTAAGATTGTGTCTGAATTGGCCACCTCCAACATGAAGGCGGTGACGACGGAATTGGGCGGAAAGTCGCCTTTGATCATCAGAGAAGACGCCGAGTTGGACCAGGCCGTCAAGTGGGCTGCCATTGGTATCATGTCCAACCAGGGCCAGATCTGTTCTGCCACATCGAGAATCTTGGTCCACGAGAAGATCCACGATGCGTTTGTCAAGGAGTTTGTGGCCCACATCAAGTCTGACTACAAGCAGGGTGACGTTTTCAACGACCAGGCCGTCGTTGGTCCACAGGTTTCCCAGGGCCAGTACGAGAAGGTCTTGGGCTACATCAAGGTCGGTAAAGGCGAGGGCGCCAAGGTCGCCTTGGGTGGTGAAGCCAACGCTGCTGCCGGCAAAGGGTTCTTTATCCAGCCTACTGTTCTTACCGACGTTCAGCAAACCTACAGAGTTGCTCGTGAGGAGATCTTCGGTCCTGTCGTCACTGTGATCAAGTACTCCTCCGACGAAGAGGCCATCGAGATGGCCAACTCCACCGAGTACGGTTTGGGTGCCGCTGTCTTCACCACCAACCTTGTCAAGGCTCACCAGATGGCCTCGGACATCCAGAGTGGTATGGTGTGGATCAACTCGTCAAACGACACCGACATGCACGTTCCATTCGGTGGAGTGAAGCTGAGTGGTAACGGTCGTGAATTGGGTGAATACGGCCTCACTACTTACACCCAGGCCAAGGCCATTCACGTGAACATGGGCACCCGGTTGTAAGCTGTGAAAAAATGTCCAAGCTTCACTGGCTGCAAAATGACGCAGGTATATAGGAGTGGGGCACCCTGCGAGAAGCAGCTCCACATGTCACACCCGTGCACCTTTCCAAGACCAGACCCCTATCCATGGCCCAGTGCACGGCTGTAGAAATGAAAAATCTCCATGTTGCGTCCCCCTATTTTTTCCTTCTTCTCCAGTTAGGCATCGATGGATTCCCTTCCAGCGCCCATCTTAGCACATATCTGCCTGTTGCTACCACAGCAGGATATGGCATCTTTGGCTTCTACCGGCCGGTTTTTGCACCCAATAGCCTTGGAGGCCTTGTATCAGAAGGTGACGGTGGTTGATGGAGCGACAAACCCGCTTGGTGTTTCTGACTCTGCTTTGATCCGCGGGGTTTCCGGAGGTCAGAACGGCTCGATCGTTCTGGATCCCGAAAGCTGTGAAATGTTGCTCCAGGTTTTGGAAAATAAGGCCGGGCTAGTGAAGCACTTTACGTTTGAGGCCGTGGATGCCACGGAACTTCAGAGTCGTTTCGTGGAGGCCTTGAAGAACCTGCCTTTAAGGACTTTCCGCATGGATCCGCCTGTTCTGGCCACTGGTGACCGTTTGACTCACACCACCGTCAACTCAGTGGATGAGCTCAAGCAGGCCGTTTCCCATTTTTCCACCATAGACGTCCAGCTTGACAAGATGACCACGAGGGTCCCAATCCCGTCGTCGTCTGTACTCCAGCATTTGAGCTGCGCTTCACAAGATCAACAAGGCCTCGAGGTGCTCTCTCACATGGACCCCGAAGAAAAGCTCCACCTAGCTTCTCTTTCGATCTCGCATTTGCATGACGATGCCGCTCCCCTAGACTTCTCCAGCATCGCCAGCTCCATAGACATTTCCCAGCTTTCCAAGCTTAGACTCCATGCGGACTGCCATCAGCTCGGGTGTGCGTGCTACAGCAAGTTTTTTGACTCGTTTGCTTCATTTGCAGCCGAAAACGGCGGTCTACCACAATTGAAATCTGTCGAGATTGAAGCCTTCCCCCAGGACGATTGGCTCCGTCCGGTAGAAATGCTTGAACTCAAACTTGAGCCCTTGAGCGCCTTCCTTAAACAGCTCACCGGCTTGGAAGAATTGATGCTTGATTTTGCCACTCCTTGTCTCAAGATGACGGGCGATAACGAGACGTCAATCTCGGACGCCAACAAGATCAACCGCCGCCTTGCGGATGCCTTCTTCCTCTCGATGTTTGAAAAACCAGACTTTGGAAGAAGACTCAGAAGGCTCGAGATCCCCGACTTTCTTGCATCTTTTGCATACTACAAATCAGAATTCCGTGGCTCCATGTTGCAGAGCTGCCCTTGCCACGGATGTAACGAAATCCTCGAGGAATTGTCGCTGAAGGTGCATCCCGAAATTGCCCAAGAGGACCCAGACGTTGACGAGAGCCAGGCGCTCTACCTCGTGATGTACGCCATTCTTTTCAAACTCCAAAGCGAAAAGCTTGTCAGTTTGGGCAAGAATACCCATTATACCCTGTCGCTCTTGAAAGCAGACTCTAGCGACTGGATCGCCGAACATTTCAGCAGCTGCACCGTTTCCGAGCAGGCCTTGAAGACGTACATAGCGCACCAGCTCCAGCCGATGAAGCGGTATTTCAACGGCATTTTCGAGAACTTGACCAGCTTGAACTTGCACGGAATTTACTTTGAGACGGGTGCCGACATGGTCAGCGTGTTCCACAAGGAAAACTATACATAGCGGAATGCACCATCAGAGACGGAGATAGAGCTTTAGAAGCAGTAGATTTAGTTTTGACATAAACTGCCAGTTTCTAGACGCCAAGGCAACTTCCATACTCCTCAGCCTCAGGTCCTACACGAACAGCCCCGAAGTTATGTAGAGGTCTCGATGATTGTTACTTGCGGTGAAGTCCGATCACGAGCAGAACACCACCTAGCAACGGGGCCAAAACTCTCTGTTTTCTGTAAAAATTCCAAACCTCGAGAACACATTTTCAGCCTCATCCAACTGGCCGGCCTGCTGCTGAAAAATTCCAAAATCATGCCTTGTCGCCCGGCTTCAGCTCCCCGTCTTGACCAATGAGGCTCCACATAACGCCCAGACAAATAGCCAGCGTCGTGAAGCAACGAATTGCAAAATAGCCGGGGATCCTGCTTTTTTCACCAAAATCCACCCGCCACTTTCCCATTTTTTTTCCAATCCTTTTCTCCTGTTCTTCTTCTTCACTTCACTTGCAGCCGCTGCAGCCGTGTACGCAAGCGAATCTGCCCTGCCTAATCGCTACCCTATCCTGTCGACTGTGCGGGTTGGACCCATTATCTGAGACAAAAAAAAAAAAAAAAAAAAAAAAAGAACCGTATCAGAGAAGAACTACTCGAGAGCAGAAGCAGAGCCAGAGGGCAGACGTAATTTATCCACAACAGCAAAATACGCCACCGACCGTCTTGAAAATAAAGTCGTGCTGACTACCCCCTCTCCCTCATTAGCCTAGTCCGCTTCAGACTCACTCCACCATGGACTCGTTCGATTTCTCCAGGGGAAACGAGTCCCCACAAGAAACCTTCTTTGCCATGCTTCACCAGTACTTGGTCCAGCTGGGCTGCAGCCAGAGCGCCTCGATGCTTGTCGAAGAAGCCAAGATCCACTTCAACAGCGAGGGCGCCTTCAACGATGCATACTTGTACGAGTGGTGGTGCCTACTATGGAGCATCCACAACTCGCTGAAGAGCCCGCCTTCGCTGATGCCGCCGCCCATGCCGCCGAACCGCTTTGAGTCAGACTGCCCAAATTCCGCCCTCTGCTCCTCAGCAACAGCCCCAGTATGGCCAGATGTTAATGCAAACGCCAGGAGCAACGCCACAAACAACCGCAAAGGCCAAACCGAAAAAGATCGAACGCAAGACTCCGAAGAATGCCCCTCCTCTGGCCCCGGTGGGTGCTCCTACCCCAGGTGGTGCACCGGGCTCTCAAGCTGGCCTGGAGAGTCTGGCAATCATGGTGCCTGGACAAGTTCCGCTTACCGTTGGAAGAGGCCAGCCGCCGGCAAAGAGACATAATCTGGCCAGTATCGCCATGCAGCGGCCCCAGCTACAGCCCCAGCAGAGGGCAGCCGTTTCCCAGCAGCAGATGGCTCGAGCACCCCAGGCCCAGGCCCGAAATAACAGGAAACCCGTTGCACAGACGCCACAGAACAAGCCCCAGCAGGTCGGCCCCATACAGCAGAATCAGCAGACCCCCAGCCAGAGCCAGACCCAGCAGAACCCGCCAAGCCAGCAGAACCAGCCTAGCCAGCAGAACCAGCCCAATCAGCCGCCCGTGCAGCCGAACCAAGGAATGGGCATGCCCATGGGCGACAACTACATGCCTACTAATGTGCAACTGGTACCTCTGGCGCCGCCGCTGGCACCCAGCCTGGGCCCTAATTCAGGTCCTAACCTGAAACCGAACCTGGAACCCAACCTGACGAACTTTGCCCTGCAGCCGCCGCCCCTTATGCCCGGAATGAACGGCGACTCCCTCAACGGACAACCCGACGGACTCATGGACAATGAATTTGGCATGAACTTCTTGGGAGCAGACCTCAATATGGACCTCAATGGGTTCGACATGACCAGTATGCTTAAATAGTCTCACGAATATGTACATACAGAAGTGGCTGCTAGAAACCGCCTGATCTGTTTACATTCCCTTCCTACGCCTATCGTGCTAAATGCTCTCTTTAGGTGTTTCTGCCTCAGACCATTCTTGTGCGACCCCATGGGGGTTTTCACCTGCTTGTACAGAAATCGCATAATCAAAACACACATCGATCCGAGCCAAAAGACCTCACGCTCGTTAAAAAAATTATCCCTGTCTAACGGATCCCGGCTGCAGACGATAAACCTTATTCGATAGCGAGCCTTTTTCGAGAAAAATCTGTCCCTCATCCTCGGTTATCAACCCTTTCAGTCCATGAGCACAGTTCCTACCAGAACATGAACTTCGAGAAATTCGGCCTCGGCAAGTTGAACCTACTATCCAACTACCTGCCCGCAGAGGCCGACTGGGGTATCGAGGAGCCTATAGCTCCACCTCGGCCCAGGTTCAATTCGACATCTACATCCGAATACAGCCATCAGCAGCGGTACCGAGACTACTCTGTGAAAACTCCGTCTTTTGCAACTTCGTCGTATTGTGCCAGTGTTCGGAAGACGCTACCGTCAACGACAGCCAACTTCCACAAGTTCATCAAGAAGTACCTAAGTCTCGAGCACAAAGATACTGCAATCGTTGAGAGGTTCAAGTACAACTTGGTGGTGCTGAACCTCTTAGACGCCTCGATGGTGCTCTCAAAGAACGAACAGGCGCTTAATAATCTTGTCCAGATCCGCAATGAGGTCGACTCGACTTTGCATGTCAAGTTGGCCAAGGAGTTCTCGTTCGATGGCACCGTTTTGGAGATCACCAACAAACAGTACCGTCTTTCGTTCCCGCCCGCTTACAGCAGTCCACTCCTTTTGCTTAACATTCTTTCACTCATTATCTTTTTGTTGAAACAGAATTTCCACATCCGGTCTAATATTTCACATGCTGGCAGAATCACCATGTTCAAGATCTTACTCATTATGGCCACCAAGCTCGTCAAGTGCAAAAGAGCCAAAACCACGCTAACAGCATCCAGGAGCTTGCGTAGCCTAGATGACTTCATGATCTCCAACTGTAAGGTGAACAAGGCCTTGATCACCAGCATGATATCTTTGAAAGAGTTTGAGATGTTTGCCTTCATGAACAAGAGTTCCAACAACGACCTGACAACCAAATACTCCGATGAACTAAAAAACCACCTCAACATGCTTTTAAACTGTCTTTCGTTGAATATTCGTCACTCCGTCAGTACCTTGTTGCCTATGTGCAATGGCCAGCTTCTTGAGCAGTACTGTGAGATCAATAATATTCAGTTGGCCCATGTTTTCGAGGAAATCGTGGAAAACCCAGAAGAGCAGCTCACTTTGGAGAGTCTTAAAGAAAAGCTCAATGCTTTCAACAACCTTCGGCGCTTCTTCATCTGCCAGCTTCTTACCATCCACGATTCCCCTCTACGCAACTTCTTCATGCTCAAGCTTTACGACGCTTTTCACATCGACGATGCTGAGGTCTTCCAGCTTAATATATCCGAAAGACTCACCAAACTTGAGCACATTTTTGAGGAGCATACAAAAACTTTAGACCAGCTCCTCTCTTTAAACGAAAAATTCAAGGCATTGAGCAAGACTACCGCATCTACCGATTACGCAAACGATGATGTTCTCTCCAGGGGCAAGACCCCTGAACGCAGAGACGATGAGCTTTTTTTGATGGACTCTGAACTTAATCTTCGAAACTTGATCAACAAGTTGACCAACGTCACAACGAGTTTGCTGTACTTCAAGAAGTACAGTCAGGCAATCGCAGAAGTCAACGATTCAGAAGAGTATGACGAAAAGATGTCTATATTTGCACTGTTTCAAAGTGAGCTTCGAGGTTGTATCGATCTATACAATGTCTGCAGAAGTGACTACGAAGGTGAATTTAATCGCAAGTTCAGACCACAATCACAAACATCGAGTACCTCAACATCGCAACGCAACTCGTTGAACAGCAATGAACATTTTAATCCAAAGGCTTTCCAAACGGGCTCATCAGACTCTATGAAGAAGCGGTATTCCATACCGTCCAACGGAGACTTGAACCGCATTGATAGCAAATCAGTCTCCTCGAAGAATGGCTCTCTGGAAAAGAGGTATAAACGACTCTCTACTGGATTGCAGCTAGGACTACTCACAGTACTCGAAGAGCCAAACAACAAGGATAGCAGCTCAATGCAATCTCCAAGGGAACTGAGGGGGGACCTTCTGTCCCACGGAGATGGTACCGGAGCCACCTCGCCGCCCGCAAATTATGAAGCATTCAATCAAGCAGCTTTGGACGCTCTCACCCGACGAAGAAGTGTTCGACAGTCCATTGGGAGGTTTTCTGTGAACTCTCTCAACTCGAACATATCGGGCATCACAGATTTAATTGCATCTACAACCGGTGACGAAGATGAAGGGGAGATATCGAAAACGAGTCTACTCAGTGGCCCGGTGCCACTGGGGATATCAAAGGAAGAACTAAAGAAGAAACTAGAAGAGAGTTTTACAAGAATCTACAGCTTGGAAAACGAGAACAATGAGCTCAAGCATATGGGGCTGCTAGACGCTCCTGGTGAGCTGAAAGAAAGCGATGAATTTCTAGACCTGGGTACACGATCGAACCGAACGGTGGACCCGTCTTTCATGGCTGATTTGGAGAAAACGCTAAATCTGAACACCCCTACTAATTAACACACCAATTATATACGAGTTAACTCATCTTATGACATAATACATTAATTTATTCATGACTCCATTTTGTAAATCTAATGAAGTGTAGCCTTACACCTGTGTTTGTGGTGTGATCGTTCCCGAGAACAGGCCCTCTCCCTCGTGATACATGGCCTCGAGGGTTTTACTCATGGGTTCCACTGAAGGTGTTGAATCGCCAGTATTCGAACTTGTACCTCCAGCGGTGGAATTGGAAGTCGGCGTGTCGTTAGAATTGTCATCGTCACCCAAGAGAAGGAATGCAACGTCCTTCTTCTTGTTGGCAGCATCTTCCTTCTTCTTACCAACCGAAGCCTTTCCTTCCATGACAACCTGTTGCACTTGCTCTTTTTGTTTGGCACGGTCTCTCATTCTCTCTTCGATAGTGTTCTTGGTCAAAAGTCTATAAACCGTCACCTGCTTCGTTTGACCAAGTCTATGTGCTCTGTCCATGGCCTGAGAGTCGATTGTAGGATTCCAGTCAGAGTCGTAGAACACGACAGTGTCTGCAGCAGTCAAGTTGATACCCAAACCACCTGCTCTGGTAGAAAGCAAAAAGACAAAAATCTCGGGCTTAGTCTGCCAGTCGTGCACCAAGTCTCTTCTGTCTTCCAATTTAGACGATCCATCTAATCTAATGTAGTTGTGCTGTCTAAACGTCAAGTATTCCTCCATAAGGTCCATCATTTTGGTCATTTGGAAATAGATTAACACTCTGTGGTCGTTATTTTTGAGATTGTCAAGCAAATTGTCAAGCATAGACAACTTACCAGACTCGGTAATGAATCTATTCATTGAAGGCATGCGAATGTTGGAGTAGTCGATGAACTTGTTCACCGGTTCAGGTAACATGTTGGATTTAGGGTATTCTGGAACAGGCACCTTCTTCTTAATTAGTTCAAGCTCGTCGTTGAGTGACATTGGGTTAAGACTAGAGCGGATCTTCTTGTCGAACAAAATGTCCGACTTTCTGTGACTAAATGACATGTTGCTGCAATTCAATTCAACGGGCACTGCAGCGGCGATTGGATCGGCAGCTGGCTCGAGAACATTGATGTACATATCCTCATACACTTTTTTCTTGACTGAATAAAGGTCCTTGAGGTGAACGGAATTGCTGATGTCACAGAGCTTATCATTTTGTTCTCTGATAAGAAGTTTTCTGTTTGTGGGAATGTACCCATCTTCGTCATATGCATAACTGAACCTGTTCGTCTTTTCGTAGTTGTCATCGTTATAGCTTGACCTCGAAATGGCTCTTCCGATAACATCCTCCTTGTTCATTTGGTAAAACTCCTGAGGTGAAGTGTCGGTAAACTTCAAAAAGCTGAAGTTATCCAACTCGTCGTCCTTAACGTTATTGGGGCTGTAGATATTGAACATTTCGTAGATCTTGCGCTTCGAACCAAGATCGTTCTTTTCGTTTGGTGAAAGCATCTCTTGGTAAACGAGCTTTGGAAGATCGTAGTTGATCAAGTTTCGAGATGTGTATGCTAATTCCAAATCGGTCTCACGAAGGAAGGAAGATGTTTCGGCGAAAGACCCAAAAGAGAAGCTCGACTTCACGTCGGCTCTCTCAAAAAGATCAGGGTGGTTGCAAACTTTTCTAAACTGCATGACCAAGTTCATCAACGACTGCGTGCTTTCGTCGTTGCTGTTGGAAGCGTCAAGCAAGTCCATGATAGAAATCTGTGACTTCAACATCTGGTAGTATTTCTGTTGTCTGTTGGTCAAGTCACAGAAAAGGTCAATCTCGACCTTGTCACCTAACTCGCTTTGAACATTCTTCTTCACACGTCTCAACATGAAAGGTTTGAGAATAACGTGCAAACGCTTGAGCTGTTGTTCGTTAAGCTGGGTATTGGATTGGGCGTGGCTCTCGATATCTTTGGAGAACCAGTCGCTGAACTCATCGTGGGAGTCGAACAACGACGGCATGATGAAATGTAATAAGGCCCAAAGCTCTTGCATGGAGTTTTGGATAGGCGTACCGGTCAAAAGCAAACGGTTACGACAGGAGAAACTCAACAACGACTTCCATCTCGAGGATGAAGAGGACTTGATGGCCTGGGCCTCATCCAAAATCATGTACTGCCACTTCATTTTCTGGAAGTAGGGCGCATCAGCAACAACCAATTGGTAGGATGTCACAAGAACGTGGAAAGGAGCATCCTTATCGTAACGCACGCTCTTTCTGTCCCAGAACTTTCTCAAGACCTTACGGTCCTTGGCACTGCCCCAGTATGGCAACACCTTGAAGCCAGGCACAAACTTGGTGATTTCCTGTTGCCAGTTGTGCAATGTGGAGGCTGGTGTCACCACAAGGTAGGGACCCCAGATGTTGTGAGTTTCAGCAAGATAAGCAAGCACCGAGATACTCTGCACTGTCTTACCAAGACCCATCTCGTCAGCCAAAATACCGTTGATACCCTGCTCGTACAAGTTGGCCAACCAGTTGAGACCCTTGACCTGGTACTCCTTCAAGGTGCACTTCAACATGTCAGGCTGGGTGATGCTCATGTCACCAATCAAGGTAGGGTTCTGGAAGTTCATTTCCTCGCCATTGGTGTCAGGGTTACGGAACTCGTCGTCGTCGAAAGCCTGGGCACGCAGTTTGGCCACGTCCAAGGCGCTTTGGGCATTTGCAGCAGCAGCTCTGTGCAATGCATCCTCGTCATCCTGGTCGAAGTCAAGCAGACGGAAGTCAGCAGTCTCGCCCTTGACGCCGTGGTACTTGTCCCAGTCTCTCTGGTTCTCGTCCTTATGCAAGTTGGGGTCAGCATCAGTGCCCTCTATCTCGTCAGTCTTGATCTTCTTGCCAATAAAGTGCGAGTACAACTCGGTCTGGGTGATCAAGAAGTCCAACTTACGGGACTGGCGCTTGGCCTCACGCTCCTCTTCCTCCTTCTTGGCCTTGTCGACCAACTCCTTCTCCTCCTTCTTCCGGCGGTCTCTCTCCAAACGGTCGTTGCGCTTCCAGAAGTTGAACATCTCACGCATGGCTCTCCTGGCCTTCGACGTCAAGTCCTTCTGGTTCTTGTTGTTCTTGAGCTGCCAACGCTTGGCCTCACGGGCGGCCAAGATGGCTGTTTTCTTGAGATTGATGAGTTTGGCCTGGTTCAGCTGCTGCATCAACCGCAGCACCTTGGGTCCGTCTTTCCTCGACAAGTCCTTCCAGATGGCCACAAACGTATTGTCGTACTGTTTCGTCACCAGCTTGAGCTCCTTGGACTTTTGTGGCAGCAGTCTGTCGTCGTCGGGGCCCTGGGACGGCGTTTTGTCGGGATCGTCCTTCATTGACTGTCTGATCCGCTGGCGGCCGTTCTCCTTGGATTCACGGCCCTTGGGTCTATCGTCGTCGAGCTTTCGGCGCTTTTCCAGCAGCGTGTCGTCGCTGGCACGCTTCTTTTTCGGCTGCTCCTTCAATTCGGGCTCCGGCGTCACCACACTCGAAAACCGTGCTGCGTTGGTCTCCAACGCCTTTTGTCTGGCGACCCTAGCCTCTTCGTTAGTGCCCACCCTGGTGGATCCATACGCTGACGAAGGCACCTCGGGAGTATCGGGCCCAACAAGCAACGCCTCGGTGGTCATGCGGTTGGCGTAGCCATTCTTGTAATCACCGGTCCTCTTCAAGAGCGCCTGCAACCGGCGTCTTTCGTCAAGAAGCGTATGTTCTCTCAGCGAGTAGACCAAGGCCTCGTCTAGCGTGGTCAAGGCGTTGGCGTTGGCTTCAAAGCGGGTCAAGTACTCAGAGTCTGCTGCCGGAAGGGAGTCGTGGCGACCATTTCTCGATCCGTTTCTCGTATGGATGGTGACGTTCATCTGCTGCTGGGTCGGCGCCAGCGCCAACAGCAGTACCGGCGGCGGGGTGTTATCCAGAAGAATCAGCAGGAGGTTCATGGTGGGGTGCCGATGTGGGATGTTTTTTTTGTGGCAGCGAAATTTTTTTTTCTGCCCTGTCGTGAATGTGAGCTTCCCGCCTTGTTGCGGCTTCCTGGCCGCGAGGAGGAGGATCCTATTGGGGCTGAAACAAGGGCCCTTTTTGGCTATTGTGGGGTGCCGTGCTGAGATTTTATGCAATTCCTTGCGAACTTCACTTGGTGATGGGGGATTTTTGGAATTATTCGTTGTTGCTGTGTTGCGCTGCTGGACCCTGTTCCTCGTGGTCTCACCACTCGGTGAGGTCCAGTGAGAGTCACCGGATCAGGTTTCGAAATGGCCTGAGAATTTCAAACAATTTATATTCTGAAGGGCCCCTTCACCGTTTTTGACTTCTTTGACGACCCCTGTTGGCTGCTCCGCACGTGATGCGGTGCCGAAGCTTATTGGTGGTGGTGAGCTCCCGCTGGTGGTAGCAGAGTGGTGATAACGAAAACGAAAACCGCAGAAAAAAAAGAGGCGTTTTCTACAAACATCAAATTCCGTCTCGTCTACTTTGGTTACTTTTTTTGTTAGGGCGCCGCCCTCAGACTCTACGGGGTCTGGCAGATAGGGCCACTGGCCAAGAGGTATGAGGAGTCGGCGAGCCAGGGTGGATCGGCTCGCATCCAGATGGTGGGTCACGTGACGCGCTGTTAACCAACCGCTTGATCCGGTGCCCCCCATAGCTCCCAATCTGGCTTGCGCATGCCTTAGAGTACCCAATGCTGATATCCGATCCTTCAAAATGTGAATCTTGATGAAAAACCTTCGCCCACCGGTTTCCGTGAATTCGCTCCCAATTCGGACATGGTCACGTGACAGATCACCGAATCACCCTATTTCTAATCCCTCCTCGTCTCCACCACCACAACTCAAAATGGAACACCCAGCTTTCACACTTTCCGGTTTGTGCTTTGTCGGCGGCGTCATGGGCTACGACCGTAAGGCATCCGTGCCTTCCTTGGCCGCCGGCATCACTTTCGGCGCCATTTACGCCGGCGCCGGCTACTTGTTGAAGAACAACAGAGACTGGGGTTTGGAAATCGCCTTGGGCGCCTCCACCTTCTTGCTTGCCGCTGGAATTGGAAGATCCATCCCTACCCACTTCTCGAAACCCGTTCCCTTGGTGCTTTTGGGTTTGGGTGCGGTTCTGACCGCCTACTATGCCAAGAAGTACAATGAGTTCTACCCCATTTGGAATTGAGCATTATGTAAATACAAAGACTTTTCGAGAGATTTGATGTAGCATTGCGTAGTAAGAGTTTGTCGATAGACGGCTTAGCGCTTAGGGTTGTGCCCCAGACGATGGTTACGGGCCAATGGAAGCGAAAGTCAGATTGGACAAAATTAGGTTTCCCGAGATGGCTTTAGCTGTTGCTTTGTGTGGCCATTCAAGTTAATCAAGTGCATCGAAGCTTCGAAATCTACGCCTTGGTCTCAGGTAGTTCATCAAGTATCGTTCATTGCGTTACATAATAAATAGTCGTTACTGAATTATCATCAAGAATCGTCGCCAAAAAGTCATCATAAATGCTCAAGCAAATTGTTTAGCTGAGCTCGATGACAGAGACAGATCTCTCTCTTCCCACAGAAGCATCAGTAATGGGACTAACAGCTCCAGATGGGCTGGCTGGGGCAGCCTTTGGAGAAGTAGGCGAAACGCCTGGGATGACAAATGGCTCAGAAACGTCGTTGGACAAGGAAAGGTAGGTTGGGGTGTACATTGGAAAAAAGTGATAGGAAATGAAGTATCCGGGGCCACTGTATTTATATCATTTCTGGACTTGCACTTCCGGGGAATCTGAGGGATGATGCATCTGGGGAACAAACTCCGAAGCTGTCGCACCGAGGTCCGTTGGCCCGAATGACGTCAGGGCGACTCACTCTAAATTGCCCTTGGAGCCATGAATTGCGCTTCAAATTGTACGGATGAAGTCATATTCGGATTATAGACAGAAAGGGGTCAAAAATTTGATGAATTGGCTTTATGGGCTCGTACCGAGCTTCGAATACAATTTATCCGAGCATTTTCATGCTCATCTCGCACGCGTATCAATGCATATCTAGTGGGCCCAGATAATACGTCAAGAGTCATCAAAATCTTGATTAAAAGGTGGGGCCACTGGATTCGTTTAGTATGGCTTGATTGGAACGGTTGGTAAAATTCCACACTAAACGAATCGAATTTGCCGATGGGATCGACGCTGTGATTATCATAAGGCGACAAAAATGTCGTCTCTCTGTTGCCGGTTGACCTCAGTAAAAGTCAGCAAGGAGCGCACCAATGGGCATAAAAATTACATCTTCGTGACCGCAAAATTCTGAATAATCCATTCACAACCTCAGATTTTGAAATTCCCCGGCCACCATCAAGTTTACTCGGGGTTGCTGAGGTAGCCACGACATTGTCGCAGGCTTTTCCTCGGAGTATGCGCCCGAACACTGCTTGTCATGCATAGCTCTCGGCCCACAGCCAGAGCGCTTATCAGTGGAACCACATTGGTTGCGGATAATTACAACCGAAACCGCGGGCGATGTTCTGTTTCTCTGTTCCAATAAAATTTCGATAATTTGACGTCAGCGAATTATCGTAAAAGGCAAATTTGAACAGAGGCTTGGAGGGAATGAGGCTTGGGGAGTTTGAGTAATACTTTTTCGATTCTAAAATTTGAGATGAAATGGGGTTTTTGAGAGAAAAGACTTGGCTGTGAATTGCCGTGTCAAGAGTTTATAGTGTTAGCGAGCGGTATGTCTCTTCTTACAAAACCATATTCGAATGGGGATTTGACGATGCAACGTATAGACCTTCTTCGGTTTCTCAGGAATTTGTGTTTTACTTCTTTTTTCGCAGCCATTTAAACTTTTTAGCTTTGGAGAGAGGCGGGGATGACATGGAAGTAGAAGGCATCACAGTGATCGGTAGTCGAACAAAATTCATCATATTTTCTTATTTTTGATTTAAAAAGCAACCTAGAGGACAAAGAGGATGGAGGAAAATTGAACTTTTCAGAACTGTTGTTGAGAAATGAATAGCTCGAAGTCTTCATCTTAGTCTACTCATGCTAACCAGCACAATTGATAGGACAATTTTTGTCGGAAATACTGTTCCTCAAAATCTCCAAACTACATCATTGAAAGGTAACGTGGTATGTATTAAGTTACACTTAGGCAGCAGCCTGAGGAGCAGCAGCCTCTGGAGCAGCCTCTGGGGCAGCCTCCTGCTTGTAGACCTTGACGGTAGGAGCAGCAGCAACCTCGTCCTCGTCCTTGTACTCAGCAATCTTAACAGCATCTGGCAAAGCCTTAGGACCGAATCTGTTCTTAGCTGGGTCTCTCATGATCTTGACCTTGATACCCAAGACACCCTGTCTCATCAAGACGTGTCTGATGGCAGAGTCAATGAAGTCCTTGGTTGGCTGACCAGAGTGGATCATGAAACCGTCAGCGTACTTCTGGGACTTGGCTCTGGCAGCTCTCAACTTACCAGAAATGACAACCTCAACACCCTTGGCACCGGCACCCATGGAGAATCTCAAGACACCGTAAGCGGCTCTTCTGATTGGCAAACCAGCCAACAACTTGGCCTTCAAAGCCTCAGCCTGGACAGCAGCAGAAAGAGCTCTCTCCTCGACTCTCTCGGCGTAGATGACAATACCCTCTGGGGAGAGCTTGAATCTCTTGACAATCATAGAAGTCAACTCGTGGATTCTTCTACCCTGCTCACCCAAGACACCCTGGGTGTTAGAGGCCTTGACGATAACCTCCAACTTGGTTGGGGTCTTTCTGACCTCAACACCAGCGTAACCCTGCTCGGCCAACTCTCTGGTGAAGAATTCGTTCAATTCAGCGTAGAAGACACCGTCAGCGACGAGCTTTCTCTTCTTGGACAAGATCTGTTGAGCAGACATTATTAGTTGTAGTTGGTATGGCTTTCTCAAAGTGAGACTGAAAAATTTTTTGTCTGTTACCGGACAGGGTTTTGGCCCGGTGCACGACCATGAAAGTTTTCGCAAACCACACACATGATACGAGTCACGTGATCACATTCCGGCTTTTACTATTGAATTCATTAGTACCTCTAAAGAGCTTTTGAAGAGTGGTAAGACAATTTTAATTTCACGAGTAGCTGAATTGAGGTGGTGTTTATGCATATTGTATTTTGATCATTCAGATTTTGCTGGAAAGGGCCACTTTCTCAGTGGCTGCAAAACAGCAGTCAACTCGGTAGTACGCCTGGAGCCAATTATCCAAGATTAAAGACGAAGGTTCTTCAGAATCGACCCAGTACAAACATATCATATTTCAAACAAAGCATATTTCAAATAACCAAGGGCTTAAAAGAGAATTCGTTTCATAGACCTCCACAGTACCTACCCCACAGCTATCCTATAATGTGTATTCAATGTCTGTCTATCGTACAATTTCAAAACTTTTCTCCAACCCACTCTCTAGCGGACTTGAACAAACCAATCCATGGACCGTAGCCCTCCCACTCAGCATACTTCTCGGTAGGGTAGTAGGAGTTAGACTCCAATCTGGTGGTTCTCTCAGGATGAGGCATCATAGCCAACACTCTACCATTGGCATTGGAGATACCAGCGATACCCTCTGGAGAGCCGTTAGGGTTGAAGGGGTACGTCTTGGCAACACTACCGTAGTTGTCCACGTATCTGATCACAGACTGCTTGTCCTGGGTAAGGAAAGCCTCCTGTCTGGCCTGGTCCTCGAAAGAGGCTCTACCTTCACCGTGAGCAACGACAATTGGGAACTTGGAGCCCTTCAATTTTTGCAAGAAGATCGACTTGTTGTCCTGCGTCTCGTCAACCTCCACCATCACGTATCTGGCCTCGTACTGCTCACTGAGGTTTCTCTCGAAAGTAGGCCAGTGCTCGGTACCTGGGATCAACTCAGCAATTCTGCTCAAGAACTGACATCCGTTACAGGCACCAATGGCAAATGTGTCCTCTCTGTCGTTGAAGAATCTTCTGAATTCCTCTCTGGCCTTCTCATTGAACAACACAGACTTGGCCCATCCAGCGCCAGCACCGAGAACGTCACCGTAAGAGAAACCACCACAGGCAGCGATACCGGTAAAAGAGTCCAAGGACACCTTGCCGCTCAAGATATCCGACATGTGCACATCGTAGACATCGAAACCAGCTTGAGAGAAAGACCAGGCCATCTCTTGCTGAGAGTTCACACCCTGCTCTCTCAAAATAGCCACCTTAGGTTTCTTGTCGCCAGCAGCAATGTTGAAATCCTTGGGGTCAAAGGTCAATTGGTAGGACAAACCTGGGTCAGCATCGTCGCCGATAGCCTCGTACTCCTCGGTACTGGTCTCTGGGTTGTCTCTGAGCTTTTGGATGTGGTAAGAGGTGTTGCTCCACAACTTCTGCAAAGTGGCTCTGGTGTTTTCGTAGACAGTCTCGCCGTTGTGCTTGAAGGAGATGGTCTGCTCCTTGGTTGGCTTACCAATGACAGAGACGTACTTCTCCTCGACCTTGTTGTCACCCAAAACCTTGACGAATTTTTCAAGGTCAGCAGACTTGATCTGGAAAACAGCACCGAGCTCCTCGTTGAACAACTCGGTCAAGGCATCCTCATCAGAAGACAAGTTGACTTGAGCACCGCATCTGCCAGCAAAAGCCATCTCAGCAACAGTGGTCAACAAACCACCTTCGGATCTGTCGTGGTAAGCCAAGACATCAACATCCTGGTGCAAAGCAATCAAGGCATTCAAGAAACCCTTGAAAACTGCGTGAGAGTGGACAGTAGGAGCCTTGTCACCAACCTGCTTGTAAACCTGGGCCAAAGCCGAACCACCAAGAGCCTTCTTCACGTCCTTAGCCAAGTCGACCAAGACCAAAACGGTGTCTTCGTCAGCAACCTTGAGCTGTGGAGTCCAGGTCTTGGAAGTGTTAGAAGCTGGACCGAAAGCAGTGATGCACAAGGACAAAGGAGCAGTGATCTCCTTGTCGTCCCACTTCATCTTCATCGACATGGAGTCCTTACCGACTGGAATGGAAACACCCAATTCTGGGCACAAGTCCAAGCCGATAGCTTGAACAGCCTCATACAACTTGGCACCCTCACCATCGTGAGAAGCAGCAGACATCCAGTTAGCAGACAACTTGACTCTGTCAATGGCAGGAATATCAGCAGCAAAGACGTTGAGCAAAGACTCGGCAACAGCCATCTTGGCAGAAGCAGCGGCAGAAATCAAAGCCAAGGTTGGTTTTTCACCCATAGCCATGGCCTCACCAGTGACCAAAACAGAGTCACCAAGAGAGGTGGCAGTGACACCAACGTCAGCAACAGGAACCTGCCATGGACCGACCATCTGGTCACGGTCAACCAAGCCAGTGACAAATCTGTCACCGATGGTGATCAAGAAGTTTTTGGAGCCGACAGCGGGGAGTTGCAAAACGTTCTTGACAGACTCCTCAACAGACAAGCCGGAGGTTGCAAAAGGGCTCAATTGCAAGTCCTGGGTGGTGGCCACTCTGGACATCTTAGGGGGCTTGCCAAACAAAACAGACATTTCAAGGTCAATTGGGGTGGTGTTCAACAAAGAGTCGGTCAAGACCAATCTCTGTTCCTCGGTAGCCTGACCAACAACGGCATATGGAGCTCTCTCTCTTTCACAGATGCTCTTGAACAACTCCAAGTTCTCTGGAGCAACACCCATAACGTATCTCTCCTGAGACTCGTTACACCAGATCTCCATTGGAGACATACCGGGTTCAAGAGAAAGAATAGATCTCAACTCAAACTTGGCACCCAAGTCGTTGTCGTGCACCAACTCAGGCAAAGCATTGGACAAACCACCAGCACCAACATCGTGGATAGACTGGATAGGGTTGCCCTTAGCTCCGAGAGAAACACAAGCATCGATGACCTGCTGAGCTCTTCTTTGGATTTCAGGGTTACCTCTCTGGACAGAAGCGAAATCGAGCTCAGCAGAGCCTTCACCGGAAGAAACAGAAGAGGCAGCACCACCACCCAAACCAATCAACATACACTGGCCACCCAAAACAATAAGGTTGGCACCTGGGGTGATCTTGGTGTCCTTCAAGGCCAAGTCGGGTCTAATAGCACCCATACCACCAGCCAACATGATAGGCTTGTGGAAGCCTCTGAACTCGTTCTCTCCCTTGTGGTTCTTGACTTCGGTGGTCAAGGTTCTGAAGTAACCGTTGATGGCAGGTCTACCGAACTCGTTGTTGAAAGCAGCAGAACCAAGAGGAGCCTCCACCATGATATCCAAAGCAGAAGCAATGTGCTTGGGCTTACCAATGTCACGCTCCCAAGGCTGGGGCAAAGTAGGGATGTTCAAGTCAGAAACAGAGAAACCAGACAAACCGGCCTTGGACTTGGAACCACGACCAACAGCACCTTCATCTCTGATTTCACCACCAGAACCGGTAGCAGCACCAGGGAAGGGAGACACAGCGGTGGGGTGGTTGTGAGTCTCCACCTTCACCAAAGTGAAAACATTCTCCTTGATCGACTTCCACTCCTTGGTCTTGAAGTCTGGGGTGAAGAGGTAACCGTTAGGGCCCTCAAACACAGCAGCATTGTCAGAGTAGGCAGACACAGTGTACTGGGGGTTCTTGTTGTGGGTGTTTCTGATCATCTTGAACAACGACAAGTCCTTCTTGACGCCGTCAATGGTCCAGTCAGCATTGAAGATCTTGTGTCTGCAGTGTTCAGAGTTGACCTGAGCGAACATGAAAAGCTCCACATCGGTGGGGTCTCTGCCAATCACCTTGGTGAAAGCGTTGATCAAGTAGTCGATCTCACCCTTGTCAAGAGCCAAACCGAGGTCGGTGTTGGCCTTCACCAAGTTGTCTGGAGAAGAGGTGACGTCCACATGAACCAAAGGCTTAGGCTGGTGGTGGGCAAACAAATCGTCGTGCTTTGGAGCATTGTCGTTGATGTAGAGCTGCTGGGTCATTCTGTCGAAAACAGAAGTCAAGATCTCACCGCCACGGGTGTTCAAGGCACCCAACAAGTCGAAACCTTCAGTGGCAGAAATCAAGAGGGAGATGCCTCTCTCAATTCTCTCGATCTTGTCGCCCAAACCAACAATGTTGGCAATGTCAGTGGCTTTGGAAGACCATGGGGAGATGGTTCCCGGTCTGGGCAAAACTCTGACAAGCACATTGGACTCGTTCAATCCGGCAAAAGAGGTCTTATCGTCTCCAGACACAACGACCAACTTCTGCAAAGTCTCGTTGGCCTCAATGGACAAGTCAGCAGGGGAGTCGTAGGTCAACAAAATCTCTGTCAACTTGGTCTGCGCAGGCGTCAAGGGCTCCTTCAATGACACATAGTGGGTGTAAGCTGAAGAAACACTGGCGATGACGCCCTGCTGGTTCAAGTTCTTCTCCAACTCTTGCACCAAGTTGGAGACTCTGAATTTGGACAAGGCCTGAGGCCCTGGCAAGATGAGAAAATCGCTCATAGAAATTGGCCCTTTGGGTGTAAGGACGTAGCCTGAAGAGATCAGGAAGATGGGATCAGCTTGCAGTGCAGAGATGAGCCTTTGAAATTTGATATGTCGCGAAACGGAGTCATAGTTCTGAGGTGGTCCGTGGGTCAAAAAGTGGAGGGGAGATTGGAGAAGAAGATAATATAATGGTACTTGTTACTTTGATGCTTTGTTACAAAATCAGCATTTTGTATTTGTGGGACAAATTTCGTAACCGTTGTTATCGTGGTGCTTGACTCCTCTAATTAGTCTCTGTGCCTAATTAACGGCTAATGCGCACAGGGTATAAGATGAGGTTACTCACATTTGGATGTTTTTCCGAAATTCAATGAAATCAATGAACTTTTGTAGCCAGAACAAATGGTGTTATTTGACGAAAGCAGGAAAGAGGGCGGTTTTTTTAGTACATGTCTCTACCCTAGTCAGACAGACTGGAAGAGGTTCCAGACACATACCTTTTAAGCAATCTGTGATCTTTATTTAAGCTAATCTGTTCTAGTTCAATCACATAGCAAATTTTGAAGACCTAGTGTTTCTCCATTCACCCCAATTTCATCAAACTTGAAATTCTCCTCAGATTTTGCAACCGATGTGGTTCACCTCATCACTCCTGCAGAGGCATCATAAAGACTACAACCACTCTCTTCTTGATGGCTCAGGGTAATCTAAAGCTTAAGTCAAAGGCAAAGGCCAGAGTTACCAAGAAACAACAAAATCCCCGCTCTTCGGCTCCGAAGATCATCAAACCCAAGAAGGCATCTGCTAAACAAGCGTTCAAGCTCCTGAAGTCTCTTAGTGGTCTGGCTGGAACGGAAAAGTTGATTGCTAGTAGGGTCGGTCACTTGGAACTCATCAAGGGATCCAGAAGAGAAGTCGAGAAGGAAGAAAAGAAGAAGAAGGAGCAGGGGAAGAAATAATGTCGAAAGCGGAAGTTTTAAGTGCTATCCCTCAGTCTAAGTTGGCTGAGCAGGAAGAGCCTCAAGATTTAGGAAATGTCGAATGCAGAGGTTCAGTGAATATAGCTGATGTGAAGTCTCAAGATAAAGATTCACAGTATAAACAGACAACTGAGGTATTTGCTCAGGATCCCCGTGCTTTGGACCCCGACGCAGTGGCAGACGAAGCTAAGAGACTCAGGAAGTCCAAACGGAGACATGAATAGGTTCAATTTTGAATATATACTTTAATGGGGAATCAACAGAGTAGATGCGTTTTGTGCCTCCAACTCTAGATTTCTCCTCTTCATCTCCATCTCTTGGGATCTGACAAAGAAAATCATGGCAAAAGCAAACAAAATAGTCAACACTGTCAAGACAGAATTAACTGGACCGGGGTTCATATTGAACATGGAATGCGTGATGCGGTCCAAAAGCTGCTGGAAGATGTTGCAGATGCCAGAAATGCAAATGATAGTGCCGTAGACGGTACCAAATGTTTCGAAGCCGAATACCTTGGCACAAAAGTCAGAAACGGCAGTATAGTAAAATGGTCTGTAAACCACAAGCAAGATGATCCCTGCGTAGGTGCCTGGAAGCCACGAAACAAGACCTAGTATACCCACAGAAACGGATACAATGGAGAGAATCCACAAAACCGAAAGAGTCTTCAATCTGTCAAGAATGAGGCCGATGAAAGGAATAGAAACGAGGCCACCTAGTGGCAAGGCAATGTCGAAAAAGTGGTTGATGCGGGACGCAAGCTCTTGGTCTCCATCATATAAGTAGAGTTCTTGAGCCCGGATTGTAGCAACGAAATAGTTAATTCGGAGCATTTGAATAGTGGTGAAAATGACCATCAAGTAGAACCACGGAGACCTCATCTGCTCGTCAACACTGTATCCGTGCAATATTCCAAAGACACCACCAGTGGACTCGAAGAGCTTGTCTTCAGCGTCTTGCTCATACACTGATTTAGCGGAGGACCTAGAGGCTCTTGAAACGGTCAGTCCTCTTCTCCTATCGCTCTCTTGAACACCAAACGACGCTCTTCTCATCAACAAGCTTGTTGTTTCGGACATGTTGGGCTGCTCAACTGCTTCAGAAGCTGCATCTCTATCCACAGCCAAGAGCTTACTCCTGTCCAAAGGACGGCCAGTCTCGTCAATTGACGTCTCGGCTATTTTAGCCAAAGTACCCACAGTCTTGTATGAAGTGGTTGGCATGATGGTAAGCTGACAGACAAAGATGAATATAGGCACGACTAAGTAGTACGTGAAAAAGCTCGACACGGGCAACTCAAAGTAGTTTGAGTAAATGACTCTGTAGCCCAAGAAAAGAGCTGAGGAGGTGTCGAAGGCTCCAGTAAGCAAGGCCAAAATGAGGCCTGAGTTTTTGGGGAATGAGTTCGCCAACTGAAAGCATGAGATGAAGACAAAGGGTCCACCCAATGCCATCATGGTATAACTCGTGAGATAAAGGTCAACGAAATCAGTACTTGGGGCGTAAATCATGGCAATTGATGCAAGCAACAATATCATGGATCCGATGATGCCAGTGGTCTTTGGACCATAGCTATCCAAGATAAAGCCCACAGGCAAAGCGGAGATGTTGGTCACCATGCATGCAACAGTGAACAACAAGTTCAATGCCAAATCTTGTTCTGAACATGGAATCTGACTATCTGTAGTGGAGATATCACACTTATCCAGGTAAACGCCCTGAGCAATAAGAACTGGTTTCAAAGCTGCAAAACCAAACACAGGGCCCGCAGCAAGAAGACACCATAGTATAGCACAAGTCACTTGGACCAAGCGCTTAGGTGTGGAATTCAGCATATGGTGTAGGTGATGAGGAAAAGCTGCGAGATACCTATAGATAAAGAATGCTTTTAGATAGCGAGCAACCTGCACTGGCATATCTGGAAAGTTAGACGAAACGTACCAAGGAGCAATCTTGGGAATACCTGCCTCGGGAAAAAGAAAACGTGGATAGGTGGTTTTCTTCTTTGTTATGCTTGACTACGAAGGGCTTAGAGAGACAGGTTAGTGAACCATTGAACAGGTGAGTGCTGCTCATGCATAACGTAGCATTTTTTTATATAAACCGGCGGAAGCTCCCATGCGGTCTTCCACGAGGGGAGAACTTTAGAGAGACAGCCCAGAACAAGCATATGATGCATTCTGCTATCATCTCTGGAGAAGTGAAGTGGTGAAACCATTATCGATGGTCTCGTGACGGTAAATGCATGCCTAGAAGGGGGAGATGACATGGTCCACGTTCTTGTAGGAGTTTGTGGCCCTGGCAATTTTTTGGACGACGTGATGGACCACAATCACAACAATGTTCAAGACAGCAAACACACCAATGCCAACCAAAATACGGAAACCAATCAGTTCAATGAACTCTTTTCTTTTAACAAGGTGACTGCTAGACTCTTGACCCAAGAATTTCTCGGCCAAAAGCTCGTAAAGGACAAATGGACCTTCCTGGAAAGCTTCGAAACCACAGAAGTAAATGAAGGCTCCAAGAAGCCCAAGAAGCAACGTCAAATATGTGAAAATGGAAGGCAACACCGAGAGCGGCGAGGCCTGTTGTTCCTGAGAGGGATTAACCTCTTCCTCGTGCTTCTCCATTTTTTGTGTGCTATAAGGAGAAACCAGTTGTAGTATACTGAGGCGAAGTGATCAGATCTGGTAATGCCCCTACAGGTTAATTTAGAAACAAAAAGGGCGAGATTCGGCACGTGACACTGCACGTGATCTCAGCCTTCAGCGCATCGAAAAAAACCTCAACCGAAGCTCATTAAACCTAGCTAACCACATCGCCATGTCCGGGATCTTGTTTGAGGATATGTTCAACGTCGACTCTGTCGACAACGCCAGATACAACAAGGTCAGCCGTATAGAAGGTCAGTCTTCGACGGCTCAGGATATCAAGATCACCTTGGACATCAACAGCGAGTTGTTCCCAGTCAAGGAGAGCGATTCCTTGACGATCACGTTGGCTTCTTCCTTGGGTAACGAGGATTCCATGATCACGTCCAACGGCTCGTGGAGACCACCAAAGAGAGGCGACCGCTCATTGGCTGACGATTACGATTACGTCATGTTCGGTACCGTTTACAAGTTCGAGGAGAGCCAGGACAACGACAAGATGGCTGTTTACATTTCGTTCGGCGGTTTGTTGATGCGTTTGGAGGGTGGCTACCGTTCGTTGTCGAACTTGAAGCAGGAAAATGCATACATCTTGATCCGTCACTACAAGGACAACTAATGGCTGTGGCCAATGCATAAGGGCTCCAGGAGCCGTGTACTATATATACGAATAACGTGATGAAATGTAGTTTTTAGCAATTGTTTTGTTGTTTGGGTACTTCATCTGTATGGGTGGGTAACATACTAGTGCGACTATTACTACATCTCAACTACCATGATGGATGACACCGATAAGCGTACGTAAAGAGACCCCCATGACTTGATTTGAGACAATGACTAACACACAGCTGATCCATTCCTCCAGCAGGTGCCCTTACTAAAAAATCCGGCATTCCAGCCTCCAAAACCTGTGTCTCTCAATACCAACTATGCCAAGTTGATCCCAAACCTACCCAACAGCGTGGTGCCGCCCAAATTGAACATAACGGAAGCTGACCTTGAGTCTTGGAGTAAAGAGATTGAGGATTTTAAAAAAGACCACTTTGATACGGACGCAGAGAAAGCGGCTGTTAAGAAGTATCAGGATTGGCTCAAAAGCGTACAGAGGAAGGTCGCTCCGGGCTTCAGCCATCAGATCATGACTCCTACTAGTGCTGGTAACCAGAAGGAGAAGCAGGATAAGAATGATAAGAATACAGAGGCTGAAGAGCTGAGAGTAGAGCCCGACAAGTCAGGTATCAATGAGGACCTCAGAAATCTCTCCATGGATTAGGGAAGATGGAGCTATGGGAGGGATATGAAGGGGTTGAAGGGTCAATTCAAGAGGCTGTTTGGTTGCTACACTTTGTTCTTCACTCTGTACTCCTTCGCTAGACGTAATTTTCCACGGGCAAGGAATTAACACTCTTTTCATACCGGAAATATCAAATTCATTTAATAGAACTAAACTCTCGTACGGCGCCTATTGTTCGTTTCCTCTATAGGTGTGCAAAGTAAATACTGATAACGCTCGGCTTCTCGGTGTATACAACGCTCGCGCCTCAAGAAATCTATGTTGTGATAGTTCATCCATGGCCAAGAAATGTTTCGAATCAAAAAACGCCTAATACTAATATCATTGTTACTACTAGCGTTGATTGTGTTTACAAGATATGACAGGCCGCAAGCTCCGCAAATAATTGAGAAGTTGGAGGTTACAAGTCGCAGAGATCGTTATGTCAATCCCATATACGCTAAATGGAAACCGAAGGATCAAGACCTTGAAAGCAACTGCAAGGCCTATTTTGGCTATTTTGACAAATTGCAGAGGATCCCATTAGAAGAGCAGGCAAAATTTCAGCATGATGGCCTTCTCTTCAAGAAAACAAAATGGCTTCGGGAAGCGGGAAGGATTTATAGAAAGGAGACTCGAAGGAAACACCAAAGATTCGAGGAAAACTACGAGGCGTTGCTTATGGAGAAGTTTTATGAGAAGACCGCCCAACACAGCAGGTTAGAGGAGGGGTTTGTCAATGACATGGCTCATATGAGAGCCTTTGGAAAGTGCTTCTTGGAAGACAATACTTATGCTTCAAAACATGCAAAGGGTTGTGATCAAGCTTCATCTCAGCTCTACCCTTTTCTTCTGGGCGAGCTACCTAGAATTGATTACGATGGGAAGAAGCCCAAGACGGCTTCCACACATGATAACGAGTGTTTTCCGAAGCAACTTAAGCGTAAAGGTGATGGAGATGGTATAGTGATTCCCATATTACCTAATCCTTCTCGGAGCCAACAGCTTGTCCGAGCTATTAGGCTTATCAAGGTGCTCAGAGCGGTCAACAACACATTGCCCATTGAGATAGTTCTCATGGACGATAATGCTGTCAGAAAGGACCTAAAATTAGACATCATGCTGGCTGCCAAAAGAGCAGATATGAAATTGCCTGCCTCGTTCGAAAAGCTCATGTCTGACGAAGGTATCAACGAGGTGACTTTGCCAGCACAAGAAGTGAGATTTGTCTATTTGCAGCGTGCTATCACCAAAGAATTCTACAAGAATTCTGATGCATTGATGATGAATCTATCTCCGTTGCTCAGCTCCTTCGAGAGAGCCATAGTGTTATCTACGCAGACTATACCGCTTACTGGAGATCTTTCTGCCGCTCTTTCTGATCCTGACCTCAAGCAATTTGGCGTGAAATTCTTCAAAAGTCGAGCAGTTTTTGAGCAAAGAGTGAATCGTTACCCAGGAGGCTACTTTGAGACAAACGACCTCATCAACGGCATGGCCGATGTGGGAACGAATGAGACTAACCTGTTCGGTTTAAAGCGTGCTAGACATACTTATACCAAAAGGGTTAGACACGAAAGCTATCCGCAGCTCATTGACACATCTATGATTGTGGTCGACAAACTGAAGGCGCTTCCAGGACTTCTCATATCCACAGCGCTTCAATACTACCCCGTCATTAGCTCCAAGTACGACTTTCTGGAGAGTAATTTTGAGAGCTTATGGCTTGGCCAAGAACTCACGGGAAACATCGAGTATGTTCCATTCAATGCCAATTTCGCCTCTGTTGCTGGTATCCTCACCCCACCAGAGAATGTGCAGCTTGGTATACCCACCAGGGAATTGTGCTCCAGCTCATGGACACAGGTATCGGATAAGGACGATATTAATCTTGTTTATGTCACCACACATCAAATTGAGAACCGAGTACTTCCCGAATTTGACAAAGCATTGAGAGAAAAATACCTGATCAAAGTAAGCAAAGATCCCACTGACCCTGAAGTGGATGACACCATACACAAGACATTCCTTAAGAGAAACCCACTTCGACTTGAAACCGTTCTTAGACCGGTGGCAGTTGAAAAAAGACAATTCAATAAAGAGGGATTTCCCGAACTACCTTGGAATCGGAAAGGTCTGTTTGGGTCTCTGGATGATTATTGGTGTGCCTACGATATCGTCGGTACCACTAATCTGCCATTGAGGGGACTCGTCACGGAGATAGTTGACCCTAAGAAGACGTGGTACAATGCATTGATAGAGATTTGGCTACTGTCATCACATCAACAATCCTCAAACATGGGTTCGTACGAATAGGTATCAATAAATGGTCTAATGGTTGCAAAAAATTTCGTCACAGACAGGATTCGAACCTGCGCAGGCAATGCCCAACACCTAAGCTGCGGAATAGCAGGGTGTCGCCTTAACCACTCGGCCACTGTAACTGCATATAAAATGTGGTCCCAAATGCCAACTATGTGGACCAAGAGCATCGAGGAACAATGGACTGCATACAATATACATGTCCAACTCCCCCTCCTCGTTTGGAAAATGGTTGCGAATTTGATAACCGATGGCAAAAAGAATGGGAAATGAAGAACCAAATCTACCCGTGCCTTCCTCAGAACTATGGATCGGTGAACTTACAGATTATAAGAGGGCTTTAAGACTCGATCATGAAGAGTACGCGAGTATAATCGTGTATGATTACGATTCCAGTAGCACAGCTAGGTACTTGTTTTATGTGATCTTTCTTGACAGACGTCCTCATTGGCAATTGCTTGTCAGAGATGGTATCCTCAGATGCTATGATATCATAAATAGTGGCGGAGACTTCGAAGAAATCAATTTCCCAGGTTTCGACGTTAGACGAGACCCAAAATATCTATCCAGACTTCATTAGCTCACATCCCGACGGTAAGAATACAACAAATAGTCTTATAGCTAGCAATAAAACGACGAAGGCCAAACAAAAGAAAGAAAATTCAGTGAAGTAGTACAATGTAAAACGGCACAGTGAGCCCTTTACTCTCAAGTTGTAGTCCCTTGGAACTGTTGGTGCATAGTCGCTCATGAGGAATAGGCAAGGCCGACTTGAGTCTGAGAGCATATACATCAATACCAACTCTCTTTTGAAAAATCAAAAAAATAGTGACTCCGGCGTGATTCGAACACGCGCATCTTACGATAACAGAACTTGAGTCTGCCGCCTTAGACCGCTCGGCCACAGAGCCAACTGATGTAAGGATCTCTTGCTGGTAAACTATATGCAAGGCTGAAAAGGGTAGTGCAAAAAGTCAAAAATTTCAAAAATCTGATATTTGTCTGTATTTAAAACTCCAGGTAGTCACCATAGGCAAAATTTGAGCCAATCTGCGCCATAGGAAGCAGAGTTACGCCAACTTTTCTAAATTTTAAAGAATTCCAGTTGAGCTTTGGCTTTCTGCAAACTAAAAAATCAACGGGGGACCTACACCGACAACAACAAAGCTTTTTTTAAAAAAGAATGATGAGTTTTGATTAAAGTACTTGATTAGTGCTCCAAAATGCGCAAGTTTCCAGTGATGACGACATTTTCCAAGACTGCTCCGTTTGGAATGTCAATGGACTCACCATCGTTGACAACGATGATGACAGTACCCTTCAAGGTGACATTTCTGCCAAGGTTGACGTTACCAGTAATGGTCAAGTGGTCCAACTCCAAGATCTTTGGCATGTGTGGGATTCTCTTCTGGAAGTCGTTGACCTTCTTGAAATACGAACCCAACTTGATCAATGGGTTGGAGAAGCCGTCTCTGGTTGGGTCCAACTTCAATGCACCGTGCTCAAGGAAGAACAAGTCAGACTTGACTAACAACAAGTCGGAACAGGTCTTGACTGGCAAGAATCTGGATCTGGGGACAACAACACCGTGAGCACCGCCAAAGTGTCTGATAGCGGCACCAACAGCAGTTTCAAGCTGCAAGACATTGATGTCAGAGGAGCCCTTAGAGATGGTCTTCTGGTTGGGGATGATCTCAGACTCGATAGCATTAGACTCGACCAATCTCTTCACGGCACGCAAGTTGATCCACAAGTTGTTAGTGTTGAAGTACTTGAACTTCTTGATACTCTTGAATTCCTCAACGTGCTCCTTAGGCACCTGAGCGATCTCCAACAATCTCACCTGACCATCGTAGTTGATCAAAGTACCACCCTTGACATCGGCTCTGGTCTTATCGGTCAATTCCATGATGTACTCGGCACCGGACTCGATCATGTGGTTCAAGATCTCAGTGTCGACGGTAGCACCCAAGTTGTCACCGTTGGAGACGAACAAGATTTCTCTGCCCTGGGCCAAGAGAGAGTCCAATTCACCTGAGGAGACCAAACTCTCGAACAAGTCACCGTGTCCTGGAGGGTACCAGCAGTTCAAGTCGTCGTCAAACGAGTCTGGCACAGGCAACAAGGAGTCCTTGAAGATTCTGGGGAAACGGGACTGGTTGAAGGTTCTGACTCTAATTCTGTGGCCCTGGTACTTCTTGATGATCTTGGCGGTGTCGGCGTCAGTGTTGAAGGAGTTCATCAAAAGAAGAGGCACGTCGGTGTCGTACTTTCTGTTCAAGTGCTCAATCTGTCTCACCGACAAGTCCAAGAAGGTGTTGCCGTCTCTGACCTCAATGACAGACTTTGGACCCACACAGCCCATGGAGGTTCCCAAACCACCGTTCAACTTCAAAACGGCCAACTTGGACAAGCCCTCGGTGACCTTCTCTGGCGCTTCCTTCAACGCGTTGTACTGGACCACCTCGCTAGGAGATGGAGACTTGATCTTGTCCCAGTCCAAGGTGGAGCCCGAAGCCTTATCCGTCAAGTATCTTCTGAACAAGGCAAAGAACGAGTCCATTTCGGTCTCGAATCTCTGCTGGTGCTCTTTTTCAGAGACAGTGTCAGCCAAGGTGTTCAAGGCATTACGCATCTGCGACGCAGCCACAGTGGTAGCGGTGTTGTCAAAGGCCTGTTGTTAGCGGGAATTGATGGAATTTCTTTCCGTTTTACATACATATGTCGATTGAGTCTTGGTGTGTTTCTTCATTGCGAAAGAGCTGGAGGTGGTATGAGGGATCCTGGTGGGTATATAAATGGAGAGGTTTATGCGCACCGAAGCTCATGGCCCGCCCTGCTTTTTTTGGAACCTTACATGCCCGTCCGGTTGCTGTTTGGAGGGGTACGTAATTTGGGCTAAGAAAATAGCCGGAAAACTTGCATTGATGCCTTAATTCCATACTTTTAATTGCCTAATTTTTTTTTCTTGCGTCTGTCGTAAAAATGTGTTGAGGTGTTGGCGGAAGTGAGGTTTCCGGGTCTGGGCTGCAACATGGCGAATTATTTGTTTGGCCGCGTTTCGTGAATGGGCAAACCAGCCCGCAAGCCATGATGGCGTGGACGATGAAAGAGATAAAAAAAGGCTTTTTTTTTTTGAAATAATATAGAGGTTTAAGAGAATTTGTGGTATTTTGTGAAAAGGATAAATCTGCAAATTCGATGTTTCCCATGTTTTTTGTAGCCTTACCCCAGGCTTTGTGACACCGGGGTGGGGCTCATTTGCAACACGACCAGCGCTACTGCAGCGGCTTTGACACCGAAGCGACCTAGCACGTCAAGCCACCTGAGGATTCCGGCGTCATGATTGGCTGAAATGAGGAAATATGCATGACATTTTGGCGAATTTTTTTTAGAACGTGGGGGTCCTTGACGGACTTCGTGAAAATTGCAACCGTCCATTTGAGAATGGCTCGATTCGGCTCGTGACGATCATGATGGGTCACGACCAAATCGACGTAAGAGGGAAGGATACCAAGGAATATTGAGTAAGATGTAAATCGACGTCACCTGTTGGTGCCATGCCTTTGGAGGAAAGTCCACTGGGATCCAACCTGAAACACGATCACGGGGTTCGGAGAATCGCTGCAGTACGCACCAGCACATTTTTGCATTATAGTAAAGTGTAATTTTTGCACTCCGCTTTCTGTATCCAGAGGAAGTCTACGATGTAAGTATGCTTCTAGAAGGTGGAAGACTGAGATGCCCAACAATTGCATTTTCGCAGCCACTGATGGTAACAATAGCGACACATTCCGTGGCTGCAAACCATCCGCAGATACACTGGACCCTGGTCGAGCCGATCCGGGAGGATATTACTTACTTGCTTCTAAACAGAATAAGGAAAAGCCATTTAAATGAATGTGTGACATCGGAGAATGAGAGCTTGTGTTTTTGGGTGTCTGGGTTCTCACTATGGGTCATTTTGCAACCACCAACGAATGAGCCAAGCTAGCCATCAGAACAATACAGAATAGCCTCAAAGGATAGATATTCAAGCGAGGTTTACGATTATTGATGAAAAGCACACATAAATACACTTCTGAGGGTGATATGAGCTATCTCGCTCAATTTTGGCCCTACGACGCTGAAAATTTGCATGAAGAATGAAGAGACATTAAGAAATCTATTTAAACATTCAAATTGGTCAGTATTTGAGATGGCTAAGTTTGCTGCAATATAGTAAAGCACCATTTTTGTTTCTTCAACAATGGCTCTGTGGCCGAGCGGTCTAAGGCGGCAGACTCAAGTTCTGTTATCGTAAGATGCGCGTGTTCGAATCACGCCGGAGTCATTATTTTTTCCAATTTCATCTTCCTGCTGCTAGTTAAGGATTATTTTTTAGCGCGCCTCGTAATGACCCTCGTAACCGGGTCCGTCCTCGAGTGCTTCCGGTGGTGCACGGAGGCAGCAGAGATCAATCGCTCTAGATAACTAACTACTGGTCATCTAATTCTTTCACAATCTTTCATAACCAACACCGTCATGGTTGAACCAGCCATCCCTTCCCTTTTGGACACAGACTTGTATAAGCTCTCGATGCAAGCGGCAGTGTTCCAACACTTCAAGGATGTGCCAGTGAAATACAAATACACCAACAGAACGCCACAGATGGTGTTGAACAAAGAAGCCATTGACTGGTTAAAAGCTCAGATCGGTCTTTTAGGTGACTTGAGATTTACCGAGGATGAATTGAGGTATATGAGGGAGAGCATCTCGGTGCTTCCAAGCGACTACATTGCTGCCTTGAAAGATTTCAAGTTGAACCCTTCAGAGCAAGTAATTTACGCCAATGACGAGGGTAACTTTGAGAATTTTGAGTTGACGGTATCAGGTTCATGGTTTGAAACCATTTTGTACGAGATCCCCATCTTGGCGCTTGTGTCTGAGGCTTACTTCAAATTCGTTGATACGGATTGGGACTACGAGGGCCAGGAGGCACTTGCGGCTGATAAAGGAGAAGCCTTGCTTAACGCTGAATGTGTGTTTAGTGAGTTTGGTACTAGAAGAAGAAGATCGTTCAAGACCCAGGATCTCGTTGTCGATAGCCTTGTCAAGATCGCCAAGCTCCTGCCCAATGGCCGTTTCTTTTCTGGTACATCCAATGTCTATTTGGCCAAAAAATATAAGGTTCCTCCAATTGGAACAGTGGCCCACGAGTGGTTCATGGGAGTCGCTTCAATCACTCAAGACTACCTTAATGCCAACCAGGTCGCCATGGACTACTGGGTCAAGACTTTCCCCAATTCAGCTGGCCTTGCTCTTACAGACACTTTCGGCACTGACTCCTACTTGCGGGTTTTTGAAAAGCCTTACACCGACCTTTACGCTGGCGTAAGACAGGACTCTGGAGACCCTGGATTGTACGCTGAGAAGATAGCCAACCATTTCGAAAAATTGGGATACCCCAAGAATTCCAAAACGATCTGTTTTTCCGACTCCTTGAATATTGACAAATGCAAGAGCTACAAGGCCAAGGGCGAGTCGGTCGGACTCAAGGTGATTTTCGGCATCGGCACATTCTTCACGAACGACTTCAAAAACAAGACGACAAAAGAGAAATCCCAACCGCTTAATATTGTGATCAAACTTCTAGAGGCCAATAACCAGCCTTCGATCAAGATCAGTGACAACATCGGCAAAAACATGGGAGATCCTGAGGTGGTAAGCAGAGTCAAGCAAGAGCTAGGCTACACTGAGAATGAGTGGGCAGAGGGAGACGAGGCTCATAGATGGTGAAAGAATAATTTATAGAAGCTAGAGATTGACACTGTACAACTATACAATGACGAAAGACTATAATGACTGTTTTCCTGTATGCGCCCTGTAGCATCACCAATACACCTCTTCTCAAGTGAGTCCACCCTATCTTCTCCAGTTGAATATGGCTGTTTCGACAGAAGAGCTTCTAAAAGTTCTCACCATTGTGGATGGCTCTCAACGCAGTCTGCTCCATCATGAAGCTGAGGCTCAGCTTAAGAAGTGGGAATCAGAGCCTGGATATCATTATGCCCTTCAGGATGTCTATCTCAACATTGAGCTTCCAATGCATGTCAGATGGTTGGCAATCATTTGCTTCAAGAATGGCGTTGAAAAGTACTGGCGCCCATCTCGTCAGAATGCCATTAGTAAAGAGGAGAAAGCAGAAATCAAGAAGAGAGTGTTTGAGCTTATCGGAGAGAACAATAGTCAGTTGATGATCCAGAACGCTCATTCCATTGCCCGTATTGTGCGTTTTGACTTCCCTAGTGAATGGCCTACTTTGTTCGATGACCTTGCTAAAACATTGGAGGACTACGTCTTTGTCAAGGGCAACCTAATTGCAACCAACAACCTTCTTATCATACTCAATCAGATCATCAAGACAGTGTCTATGGTGAGAATTGGAAGATCTAGACATGCAATGCAGAGCAAAGCCCCCATTATTGTCCCTATTTTGGTTAAACTGTATTCCAAGTTTTTCCTGATGTGGACCTCGTCCTTAGACTTGACCACAATGGAGGTTTGCTACCTCTGCTTGAAGAACTTGAGAAGAATAATTCCAGAAGGGTTCGAGCAGCCTCATCTAAATCAGGACATCACAGATTTCCTCAAAGTTTCTGTCACGCACCTCCAAGCGTTGGTTAACGAACACGAGAAGTACTCTTCCGATCTTTTAGAACGATATGTTAAAAGCTACAGCAAGCTCTACGTCAGTCTCATCAACCTGAACCCTACAAGTTTTGTTCTCGTGCCTTGCTCACAAGAGATTATAACGACATTCTTGTCGTTGTTAGAAACAAGGGCCGAGGACGTCTACAAGAGCAGTGAAGATAATGACTTTTGGGAGACTTTGGCTCTCAAAGGATTCCTCATATTGAAGAAGCTTGTGGCCTATGTTTTCAAACAGGGTGCGGTGACTCTCAAGCAGAGGAATGATAAAGAGGATGTGGGTAATGCCATCAACAAATTGAAAACTAATTTGTTTACCCCAACTGTCATATTCAATTTGTGTGATCTTATAATCAGTTGGTACCTCAGGCTCAAGCCATCTGACCTCGAAAGCTGGTTACTTGAGCCAGAAGAATGGGTGAATGAGGAATTCAGCTCCAGTTGGGAGTACCAAGTCAGACCTTGCGCTGAAAACTTCTATCAAGATCTCATAAAGTACTTCAAGAATGAGCTTTGCGAATTTATCCTCAACAAAATCTCCAATGGACTCAACAGTAACGATTCCGTTTCCGACATTCTCACAAAGGATGCTACGCTTTGCACTTTCCAACTCTCGGCTGATTCCATTGCCAACAGTGTTGATTTCGATCAATTGCTCAACCAAGTCTTCCTCCCTGAAGGTCTTAAGAATGACTTGGTGGAAAACAAAATCATCAAAAGAAGAATCTGTTTGATCATCGCAACATGGGTCCCTGTTAACTGCTCTCGTGAGAGCAGGGTCAACATATACAAGCTTCTTCTCACATTCCTACAATTTGACAACAAAATAAATGACAAGGTTGTCAAACTTACTACAATCCAGACGCTTAGAACCATCATTAATGACTGGGACTTCAACAAACAAGACTTCCAACCATTCTTGAAAGAGTTCGTCTCGCTCTCCATCAAAATGTTGGACGATATGTCATTCACTGAATCCAAGCTCTACATTTTGGATACTTTGAGCGCTTTGATTGAGAGATGCAATCCTTTGATCGATGAGGCCACTTTGATGACAATTCTCGAAATTGTTCCATCCTACTGGGAGAGCTCCAAAAAGAATGATGAGGCTATCTTGCAATCTTCATTATTGAGAGTTCTCAAGCACTTGGTCATCGCATTGAACCAAAATTCCTCTCGCACACATTTCATCACGATACCCTTGATCAAAGCTTGTTGCTCCCAATCATCGGAGCACTATTCCCTTCTTTCAGAGGACGGGTTTGACCTCTGGCTCGCTGTCGTTCAATACTTCCCATCTAACCTGGAGCCTACAGACACATTGGTTGACCTTTTTACTCTTTTGCAACCAGCACTCATGGATGCCACTGAGATTCTTCCAACAATCATTTCTATCGCTCGAAGCTACAGTCTTTTGACTCCTAAAGTCTTTGAGACCGAAGCGGCTCTTGAGCTGTTCAGAGTCTTGTCCGGTTATCTTCCAAAGATGCGTGACGACGCCTTCGACGTATTCATCACTTTAGCTGATATTCTTTTCTTACAAGAGAGTCACGAGGACCAACTCATCAACAACCTAATTAACAGTGGATTGTTGAATGCGATGACTTCCTACGTGCTTGATGAGAATCACAGCATCGTACTCGCGAACCGTATCTTGCTCGTTCTTTCAAGGCTTGCGACAAGCTCAGCTGAGGTTTTTTTGAGAGTCATGGATCATCTTCAAGTCAACGCTGCTCAGTTTATCGACGTCTGGATGAGATATTACAAGAACAATGGCAATCCTAGAAACAAGAAAGTAAACTTGCTTGCATTGCTCTCACTTGCCGCATACGGTGTGGGAAAGAATCTTCATGGTATTCCTGAGAAGTTTGGTGAGCTCGAGAGAAACTGCTTCTTGTTTCTTGAGGAGGTCAACGAGGACACAGCTGGAAATTGTCAGGCATATGAGGGTGATTATATCTACAGCGATGTCGACAACTATGCCTATCTCGACCCCGATATTGCACCCCACGGTGAAAAGGTCAGATACCAAAGGCTCCTCGAGACCTCTGACCCGGTCATGAAAATTAAGATGCAGCAGTACCTTAGGGACGCTCTTCTCAAAATCCGGGGCGAGCTAAACGAGTCCGATTTCATCACCTTAATGTCACTCAACGACCAGTACACATCTGAAAAGGTTCAACAGCTACTTGCATAAATCATAGCATTAAATAAATTAGCATATCCATAGAAGAAGGGCTTCCACGTAGTTTGCTTGTGTGCACGAATCTTACGATATAGAAGAATGGAATGCGCCTTCTTGAACGGAGATTATCACCAACTTCTTTACAATGATCTCACGTCAAATTTGCAAAAGCAGCCCTCTCCTCAGGCTGAGCTGCAATATTCCTAGAAATAACTGGATAAATCCAACAAAAAGATGGTACAGTCAGGAATCAAGACAACCGTCTGAGGAGAACATCAGAAGAGCTCGTGAGCACTACGAAAGGTACCAGAAACAGAACGAGGAGAAGCTCAAAATGAGAAATAGATCAGCAGCGTACTACTCTGGCTCTGTCATTATGTTCTTTTTGGGTCTTTCATGCGTGGCTGTCCCATTCTACAAATATCTCTGTAAGAGAACAGGCTGGGATGGTACGCCTATCACCGATACCAGGATGTTCACTCCCGACCGTTTGATTCCCGTGGACACAAACAAACGTATAAGGATCTCGTTCACTTGTCAGGCATCAGGCATTTTGCCCTGGAAGTTCACACCTTTACAGAAAGAGGTTTATATTGTTCCAGGTGAGACAGCCCTTGTGTTTTACAGAGCAAAGAACATGTCCAAGGAAGATATTGTCGGTATGGCCACGTACTCTGTGACCCCTGACAATGTAGCTGCATACTTCAACAAGATCCAGTGTTTCTGTTTCGAAGAGCAGAGACTTGCAGCCGGTGAAGAGGTGGACATGCCAGTTTTCTTCTTCATTGACCCTGATTTTGCCAAGGATCCAAACATGAGAAGCATAGACGATGTGGTGTTGAACTACTCTTTCTTCAAGGCATCGTACAAGGACGGTGAGTTGGCACCTATTCCAATGCCCCAGGTGGAGGCCAAGGCCTCCGTTGTGTAAATATCATCTCAAAATTGTAAATAGTCACGGAACATATTCGTATTGCCGTGTTGTCAATGTAGATTTGCAGCCATATGTTCTGTACGATTCTCGCACTGAGCATAAAACTCACCTACACCAAATGGTACGGACCCAAAGTAGAACGATTACAGCACCTACTAACAATAGCAACACGGCATAAAGAGAGAGAAATTGTCCGAGTCAGCCAAGAAGGCAAAGCTCGAAAAAGACAGAGTCAAGATCAAGCATTACAGGAGACTCACGGCGAAGGTGTTGAGTGACAAAAAGAACAAGATCTACAACGACGAGACGTTAGCAGAAACTACCCAGCTCCTAGACCTCAATCCAGAGTTCAATGCCGTGTGGAATTACAGAAGAGATATTCTAAACCTGCTATTTGCCACCGGAGCAGTTGGCAAGAAGAAGGCTCTAGAGGGTGATCTAGCGATGGTGATGCAGATGCTCAAGCGGTTCCCCAAGTGCTACTGGATCTGGAATCATCGCTATTGGTGCTTGGCTCAGCTACAGCAGGATAATGATGCCAATTGGAAGTTTGAGTTGGGGATAGTCCAGAAGCTCTTAGAGATGGATAGCAGAAACTTCCACGGTTGGCATTACAGACGGTATGTTGTCGAGAACATGGAATCGCTGGCAAAGGCTGCAATGGGCGATGAAAAGAATGCGGCAATTGCAGAGCTTCAGATTGACTTGATGGACTTTCAGTATACCACCGAGAAGATCAACAAGGATCTCTCCAACTTCAGTGCCTGGCACAACCGGTCCAATCTCATTCCGAAGATCTTTAAAGAGCTCAGTGAAGTGGACCATGCCGCTCTTCAAGAGCACGAAAAACTTATCAAGGTGTTTGAGCTGCCTACATCTCTTCTAAAGCATGATCTCCTGCTTCTCAAAACAGGCATTTACATGGATGCCGAGGACACCTCGGTGTGGCTGTACATGCACTGGCTAGTCACAACGGAGTTATTCACGGAAGATCTCAAAGCAAAAGGAGAATTTAAGAGCGTCATTGATCAGCTCTTGAAGGATGTCGAGGAACTCAATGAGCTTGAGAAAGACGACAACCAAGGCCGCGACAATGTATGGTGCCTTAAAACGATCGTCATTTTACAAGCGTTGTTACTAAAATCTGACCCCGAGGCACTTCAAGAGAAGGTAAGCCGCCACCTAAGCTCCCTAATTGAGTTAGATCCTCTCAGGAAAGGCCATTACCGGGACCAGCTTACAGGTGCGGCCCCCTCCTTTAGCCTTGTTAGGCAGACAGATTACAGCTAACAATAGCTGCGCGCATAATAGTCAAGGTGCTGGTTCCCAATGGGGAAATTTTTCAGAAATGCGCACGCATTAGGAAGGGTCTTGTGGGGTATCCTTGAAACATATAAAGATGAGAACGGCTGGTATTTCCCCTCAGCATGTCATCACACGATAAATTCACATTATACTGGCTTGACGAGTCCAGATCACATCGTATTTTATGGCTTCTTGAGCTCTTAGAGCTCGATTACGACGTTGACGTCTACCTACGCCACGAGGAGACATGGAGAGGACCCCCTGAGTTGTTTCAGGTTCATCCATTGGGAAAGTCACCAATTCTTGAAATCAAGTTCGCCGATGGAAGGCCGGACCTCCAATTGGCCGAGTCCGGCTTGATCATCCAGTACCTCTTGAAGCATTATGACCCACATCGGAAATTCCTGCCAAAGGGCGAGAGAGACCAGATCAAGATGGACTATTACCTTCACTACGCTGAGGGAACACTTGAAGCTATTTTGATGTCTATGTTGATCAACTCCACGGCAAAACGTGTGGCACCTTTTGGAATGAGGACTCTCGCCAAAGTCTACTCCAGAGGAGTCAATAACGGCTACTACATCCACGAATATCACCTTAATTTGCGCTACTTGGAGCAGCGGCTCCGTGAAGAAGGCACGGGATACTTTGTGGGTGGAAAGTTGACTGGTGCCGATGTGATCCTCACTTTCCCCATTTACGAGAACTTGTTTGATAATGAGGCCGGCGTCAAGGAATGTGCCGATGAAACAGACCTTTTTAAAAAATACCCCAACCTAGCGGCCTGGTGCGACAAGATCAAGAACAACCCCGCCTACATGCGGATCACCGAGATGATGAGAGCCAAGGTCGATGAGATGTACGCTATGAAGAAAAGCAAGAGAAAATAGATTAGTATCGACGAATATACTTGCATTCACTGTTCTGTCTGTATTTAGTTCAAGGGCAAACCCAAAGCTTCTCTCTGAGATTTAGAGTTTGGATCAAAGTATGGCAATTCAGCCAAGGATGTAACTCTAGTACCATGCCTAGGCTCCAAGCCCTCGTGGTCCCAAACAGCATTGTGCTGCGAGATTCTGTTATCCCAGATAGCAGAGGTACCCTTGCCTTCCTCGGAGGCCCAGTTGAATCTCACCTGGATGTCCAAGTTCTTCTCGTAAACCGAGAACAAGTACTCCAAGATAAGCTTCGACTCCGCTGGCTCCAAGCCAACGATACGGTCAGTCATGGAACGGTTGACAAACAAGAACTTCCAACCAGTAGCCGGGTGAGTTCTCACAATTGGGTGCTCTCTCTCAATGTGCTTACCACCTCTCAATGGGTTCTCTCTGTCCAAGTACTGGTGAGCAGATTTGAAGATAGCAGTCTTGCCGTCCAAAAACTTTTGGAAAGCAGGTGACAACTTGTCGTAAGCAGCGTAACCAGACGCCCAAAGAGTGTCACCACCAACTTCAGGAATGGTGTCGTTGTGCAAGTGAGTGATACCAGCAGGCTGGAACTCGTGCACTAAGTCAGTGTGCCATTGAGAGTTGCCCTTGCTGTTGTTCTTGAACGACAATGGGAGACCGAAGAACTCTCTGGCGTAGTCCTGCCAGATCACTGAAATACCAGGAAGACTCTGACCGTCGATGGTGTCTGGAACACGAGGAACTTGAGCATGAACCTCGACCTGACCCCAGTAGTGGCCCAACTCCAATTGTTTTTGTGGAGACAAGTCCTGGTTCTTGAAAAAGACAACGACACGCTCAGCGATCAAAAGGGCCAATTCGTCCTTTTGCTGATCGTTCAAATCAGCCAATTGCAAACCAATGATCTCAGTACCAATGTGCTTCGTCAAGTTCCGGACTTTCTTCGCAGCACCAAACAAGGCCTTCTTCTCGGGATCGGCGTTCTTACCACGCTCGATGTATGGGAATTCCTTGTTTCTGATCTCATAAGCTTCATCAACGAACTTTGGAATGTCCTTGTTCTCTGGAACCTTTGGATATCCGTTCGACAAATCAATGCCGTATTTGTCAAATCTCTTGCGAGCTGGCTCTGGGAGTCTTTCGACCCAAGAAGCTTGAGAACCAAATTTGACGCTCTTGATGTACTCTCTTCCTCCGAGAGGCTTAAGAGCACTCAACTTGAGAATGGTGCTTTCGAGCTCGGCCTGGCTTTCGCTGGTGTCGACAGATGGAGACATTTTGATTGATCTGATAATGAAGGAAGATCCTGGGATCCTCGCTTGTATTTATAGTGCATCTGTATAGACTAAATGCAAAAAGGTTTATGGTCTTATCATGAACCACAATTGGGTGCGAATCGAGAGACACCACACTTTTGACAGCTTTATTTATGCGCGACCGGTGCATAGCATGTCTAGGCACGTTATCCACCCCTCGCTAAACTGTGGCATCAGGGGCGAAATATAAGTAATGCCTTGCACATATCGATATGGATTAATAATCAAACGGAGATACCAGAGAGTTGGCCAATTAAAGTTTAAGCCCAATCGGCAAGAACCGTGATTTGATATGTCCGTCTCGCTCGTCAATGAATTAGATCTCTGTGGCTGCAAATCTAAATTGCATGGACGCTGCATAGCCTTCTCCTTCAATAAACAGCACTCAAGTCTCCAGCTTCATAGTCGATCCAGGTGGCTAAGCAATTTTGGTCAAAGTCACGATCGTAATCAGAAAACTGACCCACTTTGCAGTTTTTCGTTGTAGGCGTATTGGGGCAATGGCGATAAGGATTATGATGGTAGCCGATATCTCTGAACCAATGAATCCTACGTTTGTCGGCAAAAAGTGCTAAACCAAGAGAGTGCACAGGAGCATCTCCCCATCTTTCGTAATAAAAGTTGCCTGTGGAGTCTAGATGCTTGAACCAATTGGAGTAGGCTTCTCCACGATAGAAGTCCATATCAGCAATTTCGAAATTTGACCAAAAATGGCATGTGGAATAGCCCTTTGCAGTTTTTGTCTTTTTCGGATTTTGTTGGTCCTCTGTGATCCATTGGAAAGACCCATTTTCGTTGACATACTTGTAGTTGTCCCCTTCATTCAAGAATTTCAATGTTTCAGGATACAATGTTTCGATGCTTTCGTCAATGTCGTAAAGGCTTATTGTGAAGCCGTAAATTTTGTTTGTGCCCTCCAAATACTTGAACACGTCGTAGTTGACGTCGGTGAAAAACTTGACGCTGGGCTCAAGACGCCAGTAGTACTTATACTTGCGCATTTCGGGAAGATTGTAGAAGGCACCAGAGTAAAATCGGCACATATTGTGGTAGGATGCTTTCTTAGCGTATGCCACGTTGAGCATCTGGAGCCGATCCATAGCTGCTCGTTCTCGAGGTATATCGATCGAGGCAGGCTTGTCCCACATTTCCGACGGTATTTGAATAAACTCCACGGGAGCGTCGGTGTATTTCCGTATCTTCTCTTTGAATCTGTCAGTGAACGGCTGGTCATTCAAAAAGGTATAAGGGTACTTGAACTTGCTGTTGAACAGAGCTTCGAAGGACTTGATTGCGGAGCCGATCTTTGCAGCCTCGTTGTTTCTGACCAATGACATGATGGTTGCATTGGCATGCTGATACGTAGAAAGGTCCTCGGGTGGGCGGATCAGCTCAATGTCAAAGTCCTTGGGCTCGTGGATTGCTTGAGCCATGACTTCATCGTACCTCTTATTATTGAGGTCGAGGATTTGCTCGGGGGTTCCCTTCCTGTGGAAGAGATTGAGGAAGTTGAACTGAACGTTACCCTTCTCTAGAACGTAAGGCGGCCTGAGATCGAGGCTCTTGGCATATTCTAGCTGTTTCATGAAGTCAGATAGATTCTCTCTCACATCGACGCCAAATTGCACTGAGATGAGCATCGTGATTCCGATCAATGCCACCAAAGGTAGTAGAACCCGGACCACGAGCCGAGGTAGTTTAAACGACAATAACGAGAACATCCCTAGTGATACTACCACGTAATCGAATGTTTATCGGGTGTATGTGAAAGAATCGGGCACTGCCTTGCTTTGTCTACAGGAAATAGCTAGGCTTTGCAAGATAATGGAAGAGCGCGTACTTACAACCGAGATAACCGAGAGAGTATATTCAAATATTATTTATTAACAAGAGCATGTATGTTTAAAACTCGTAGCCTTTTTGGCGTGGAATTTGTTTGTCGAGGTGTGGACATCCGTTGGCATCACATCCCTTCAGGGCCACTTCAGTGCCCCACCATTTGTAGTTCTTGGAACCTCCAGTGTACACCACACAGAAGTAGATTAAAATGGCGGCAATAGCAACACCCGAGTCAAGGGCAATGGAACTCACCAAGTTGTACTTTCTCCACCAGGATGTGTACTTACGGTGGATGAAGTAGTTGAAAATGGCTGCGGTGACGAACCAGGTGGAGAAGTTGTAACCAGTAACACCTGGAATCATACCAGCACCGCCGAAGAACAAAATAGGGTCGAATCTCTTGACCCAAGATTTAGGTCTAAACCTGCACCAGGTCCAGTGTGCAATTGGTACAAGAGCTCCAACGAGGAAGAACCACAAGACCCAGCCGTATCTGCCACCAGGAACAAAGATCTCGCTGCCAAACAAGCCCCACATGGTGTGACTGTTGAAGGAGGTCTTCTGCTTACGACAAACCATGTTGTTGGCGGCGTTGTCGGTACAGATGTCGTCGATGTGGTTCAACAAGTAACCAGTGACAGATGGAGACACAAGAGAGGCCCAAATACCGGCACAGAAAAGCAAGAACATGATATTCTTGGGTGGAACTCTCATGTAGTGGGCCATCTTGGCACCCTGAGCCATGTGCATACCGTGCTGGATGATACTGAAACCGAAGGAGTAGAAGTAAAGCAACTTGTATGCGTTACCCTTGTACCAGTTAGCACTGACAATCTCGAAGAAAGCAGCCAAGGAGACGTTCGTGTTGGCTCTGGCTTCCAAGAGGGAGAGTGGAACAAACATGATACTGCCAATCAAGACAGAAACGAAGTATCCACCAGCGTCAATTGGAGAGTCATCCCAACCTTCAGAGAAGGCAAAACCAAGAGCCAAACTGATCACCAAGAAAACAACATAAATCCACTTGGGGAATTCCTTGTACTGTCTGACGGCCTGGTTGAAGATGTCGTCGTGAGTGCTTCTGTTGGCCCATGGACCCCAGATCTCAGAACGGAACTTCAAAGCGGTGTGAACCACAAGGGAGGCGAAAACAGCAATACTAAGAGCCAAACTCATCAAGAAAGCAATGGGCATGAATGCCTGCGAGTAGTTGTCAAAAGCCTCGCGATCAAGGTTCCAACCGTCATCCACGATTCTTGAAAAGTTGTACTGCTTACCGTGAACGTCGAAAACAGAGTTACTCATGATAGGCATGTGAGCAGTCTGCCAGTGGTTCTGGTAGTAAAGACCAGGCAAGACAATCCAAATCCAGAAGACAAACGAGGCAAACATTGAAGCAACAGCAAAGAATGGTGTAGTCAATGGGTTGTTGATCGAAGTGATCTGGGTCCAGTCCAAGGTGAATGGGAAAAGACCAAGACCATTCTTGACACCGAAAACCTGAGCAAGAGGAGCACTGCTTGGCTTGCACCAACTGATCCATGCACCGATGGTGGAGAAAAATGGGAAGATAAGATCAGGGAACCAGTAGTAGACGAAAGAACAGAGGAACACAATGATGAAGAAGATCCAACGAGGCATCTTCCAACCGTGAACCACTGGATTGTCTCTGGAGTAGATGGACTTGAACAAAGCAATGTTAGAAAGCACACCAGGCCAGACTCTCTCGGCTGGAGTCACCATGATGTCTCTGAAGATACCAACGAGGGCAACAGAGTGGATATAGCACGAGATGTTGAAAAGAATCTGACGAGGAATACCAATATTCTTCTTGAAAAACTTTGTGTCCTCAATGACCAAATTGTTAACCAAACCGGCACTGATGACGACGTTGCAAAAGACGAAAATACACGTGTGTTCCTTGTAATTAAATGGACCAGGATTCAAGCTGAAGGAAAGTCCCCATGGAAGAGGAACAGTCCACTGAGGAATGATCATGTACCACAATCTACCGATAGGCCAGGCAATGACCTGAATCACAACCACACCGATACCAATTGTTGGGAAACGCATGTTGAAGAAAGAGTCAACACCGGCCACTAAAGCACCAAGACAAACAGCCATGACCCACATTCTCAAGGTCAAACAAGGCATGTCTCCATCGTCATCCATCAAGATGGCCATGATATCGCCCTGGTTGAACTTGAAGCCATCGTCAGTATCCAAACTGTTTTTGGATTCAACGGCAGCCAAAGCATGGTCCTTGGTAGAGCCTTTCTCTGAATAGTTATCACTCAGATGCGAGTTGTCCTCGCTCTGTTGAAGGTAACCATCAGAGACCTTCTCTTCGATTCCGTTCTCCGCTGGGATTTCCTTGGGAGACATCGCTGAAGATGAGATGCAATAGATTGATCAGATAAAAGATGAGGCGGAGACAAGTCTTTTATACTTGAGCCGGAAGTGCATTTTTCACATTTACCCCATTGGGGATTCCGCTGGTTGGGTTTGTTTGATGTGACAGCATGCATCAGAGCTGCAGGTGGAAATTTCTTGTTCTCGATTCGATAGACTATCTTCACGGCATGCCCTGCAGAGATAGTCGCTATGTCCTACATCACATCGAACACAACCAATGAAGAAGTAGTTTTAAGAGAGGCAGGAGGTATGAGATGCCCAACGGCACGCCAGGGCTGCGCAACCCATGCATGGTTTTGGCATATTGAGGCCGTCAAACCTGTACATTGATGATGCATTGTGACAGCTAATTGAATGACACAAAAACTCATGTTGCCGACGCCGACGCACAAGTGACTGATCCGATCTGATTGAGATGAGAAGCAACTCGGCAAAACCTACTAATAGCTTACAGGTACGGAATTTCTACGCGCTAGAGCTTTCGTCAAACTAGTCCACCAACACAGGCCTTCCACTTGTCGAGTTTTATAACCAAAATGACACGGCACTTTTCAACAATGAACTTCCCGAACTTCAAGGGATATCATGCGGGTATTAGTGTGCGGCGAGGTGACACTTGGCAATCCAGCTCTCATATACGACAATGCAGGTGCGAAAGCTACAGCAAATCACAGCTCTCCACTGGATCTGTGCTACGATGGACAGTAGCTGGGGTTAATGTATCGAATCACACGGGCAACGATATATGGGTGACAAAAAGACAGTTGCTTCGTCATTCATCAGAACGACATGAAAAATCACCAATAAGCCAGCTGAAAATTTTTTTCAGCCCGTTTGTCCGGGGTTAGAATGCTCACTTGCAAAGTTTCGGGAGCACCCTTTCAACTAGACGCACCTCAGATGCATCCAATGAAAAAGCCCCATGCATCGGCATTTCCCTGCGGACCCCGATGCGGTCTACTTGCTCGCTTGTGCAACCTCGCCGCCCGCTTAGCCGCCCCCTGGCATGCTAAGCCCAGACTATCTTCTTTTGCTTTTCTATTTTGGTTTTGCCACAGTCTAGGACCCTGATGACAATGTTTCGGTCTATGTTCGACTTTGCCGAAGTGGTTGCTGGTACAAGTGCGTACAAGTTCTTGGCAGCGCTTGTCCTCCACTTTGGCCTAACCGCCCGCACGAAACATCACCTATCTGGCGGCAACACATAAAAGTATTTCTTGGCACTGCATTTGAAAATCCTGTCAACGTCAACGTCAAAGTCAAAGTCAATTGTGAGCTGTCAGCCAGTTGACAGCTTGCTTTTCTTGAAAGAGGAACGCATGGTTGAAACATTTTACTCACCTGATGCGAAACGCCCGATGATGCTCTGAAAGCATGCATTACAAGCTGAATTCCGGCCCTTTCTAGAATACTGGGGGGTCCGTGGAAAAGAGATTATCCTGTCGCAGACTGGTGCATGAGGCGCTTGTCTTTGTGAGGGTGCGAATTACAAATCCAGAACACAAAGAGAATGAATAAGCGCCGCATTGGCTCCAAAAAACAGAAATTCCACTTTGGGACTGATGCGAGTCTGCAGAAAGTAGCATCTACACTTCTACGAAGGTACAATAGATGGTTTTTACGATGATGGGTTCCATAGCTTAGTTATTGGTTTGGAGAAAGTTATGAACAAGGTTTTTGTGATGCACTGTAAATCTTTTGTATGAAAAAGTTTTCACTTTAAACTCCCCCAAAACCTTATTTCGAGATGGTTCGAGCGACGGCTAAATTTATCCGGCCGTGCCGGATTATGGGGCCACCAAACATTCCAATTTCATCAAGCCTTATTGGACTCCACAATTTGCAGCTTAATGCCACAAGATGCACTGCACTCGGGGTTTACTCAACCACCTCGGATTTCGGCGATACTTCCTGTGCAACCTTATGCACAAAGTTTCAATGGCATGTCGATCGCCAAAGCCGATCCGGACTCACGGCTAACAATAAGAAAAAAAATCCTTTGTTAAAATAATTTGACAGCCGAGTCAATTCAGAAAACCGCTTCTTGGGCCGGTCTAACGTGAGACCTGCACCAATGCCTCTACATTGTATTCGCACCACCTACTGGGTGTATTCAATCATCAAGAGATGCTATCGGCGATATCTCGACAATGGAGCCGCTCGTTAGCCCTGGGTCGCCTCCCGCCTAAGGAGGCTACTCTAGCAAAATTTGCATTTCCTTCAGCTACTCACAATGTCCGTGATTTGCTAGCAAGTGGAGAAAGCTGGACCCACTGTCCAATCAGTCTTCATGGTCATCTTCACAGAAAGCCCAGGAAATTGGGCAAGAGAACGTTTGCTGAATTGAGAGATTCGAATGGGGATGTGATACAGCTTCACATGTCTCCTGAGTGGACGAACGCGCAGAACATGGAGTTGATAAGGAGGTCTGGTACCGAGGACTCTTTGGTCGTGAACGGTATATTGCGAAAGAAGGTTGCCAAGGATGAAGGAGATTTGCCCGAGTATGAGCTTTCAGTTTCTGAACTACAAATCCTCAATGAGGGCGGCGTTGACGCGGCGCAACTCGACTCCTTGAAGCACACCAATCCATCTTCGATACCGCCTAAATTCAGATACTTGCAATTGAGAACTCCATTTTATCAACGAGCTTTGCGTGCTAGGTCTTTGGCAGCTCACTTGACTAGAAAGGTCTTGGTCGAGAGACATGGTTTCACAGAGATCGAGACACCAGCTTTGTTCAAGTCCACGCCAGAGGGTGCTAGAGAGTTTTTGGTTCCTACAAGAACCCCAGATCGCTTTTACGCCTTGCCCCAGTCTCCTCAGCAGTATAAACAGATGCTTATGAGTTCTGGAATTTCGAAATATTTTCAGATTGCCCGTTGCTTCAGAGACGAGGACCTTAGAGCCGACAGACAGCCTGAATTCACACAAGTTGATTTGGAGATGAGTTTTGTCAACAACAGCAAGAAAGTTCATGCTGTCATCGATGACATAATTGAAACTGTGTGGAAAGAGGTTGCTGGTAAACCCATCTACAAGCTTGATAGCGACGGCAACATGGTTCCTGTTAAGGCTAACCGCCACAGAGAGACGGCTCCTGCCTTCACAAAATTGACCTATCACGAAGCATTGTCAAAGTACGGCATTGATAAGCCCGACCTTCGCTCTGCACTCACCATAGTGAATCTCTCGGAATTTCTTCGACCAGTACACAATGCCGAAGATTTTGGTGTTGTAGAGGCTTGTGTGTTGAAGGGTGTTTTTGATCCAGCAACAAAATACAAAGTCAGCAAAACACTCAACGATTCGGAATCTTATCCACGCCGGAAGCCTATCATCTTGCCAATTCAATCCGAGGAAGATGCGCTCAACTGGTGGAAGAAGTTTGTCGAAAAGGATGTTTTGTCCCCCACTGATGAGTGCTCACAACTCAAGATACTCAAGACACTCAACTTGGAACCAGGTGATGTTCTTGCGTTTTCGACAAGAGCCGAACTTTCTTACGAGAATCCTACTCCACTTGGAAAGTTCCGTCAACTCGCCATAGAGGAGTTCCCTGGTAAGTGGAACAGACCACTCAAGCCAAGTCAAGGAGAGAACTTTACCCTTGACTACGACCCCAAGGACGTTTTTGTGGGTGCATGGGTTGTTGACTTCCCCCTTTTCAGTCCTGTTGAGGTTACCGAGAACACTACAGATCCATTCCCTCAGTATGACCCCAAGAGATGGGAGTCAACACACCACCCCTTCACGATGGCCAAGATTGAAGATTACGACCTCTTGGAATCCGATATTGCTAAGGTGAGAGGTGAACACTACGACCTCGTCATCAATGGTGTCGAGGTTGGTGGTGGTCTGAGAAGAATCCACGACCCAGAACTTCAAAAATTTGTCTTCGAATCCATCCTTCAAATTGACAACTACGATCAGCTTTTCGGTCATTTGCTCAAAGCCCTTAGTATGGGCTGCCCTCCTCACGCAGGCATTGCATTGGGATTCGACAGACTTTGTGCCATGTTGGTTGGCAGCAGCAGCATTAGAGATGTAATTGCATTCCCCAAGAACCAATCGGGAACTGACCCAGTCGTGGAAAGTCCCACAAGCGTTGACAGTTCTACTCTCAATGAGTACTACATCGACAAACTACTCCTGTAAATACCCATTCTTTTAATGACATAAAGCTAGACGATTAACGGTTTCTGCCTCTAACTTTGACCTTCTTCAGGTTGGATCCTGAGAGTGGTGCCCCCTGTCTTTTTTCTCCCTGATTCTGCTTTCTGAAAATCTCCTCCATCTTCAAATCAATTGGTCTCTTCTCCTTGGCAGGCTCGCCGTTATTATTGTCCGAGCCCTCGGCATAGTATGCCTCTTCTTGCTCCTTCACCAATCTCTTCCAGTCGAACTTTTTACGAGTAAAAAGCTCCATGGACCAATTCTTCCAAACAAGTCTTCCATACGAACTCTCCTTCACCTTGTGAGAATCGGCATTGAGCTCAGAGCCAATACGATCCTTGTACATTGGTAAGAGCACAGTGAAATCCCAAAGCTTATCCACGATGTGCGATCCATAGGAGTTGCATGCCAACTTGAAAATGTGGCCCAGAAAGATGTTGAGGAACTTCTTTCTTGAAATGAGTGTGTCCTTTGGCTCGGGGTCTGATGCTGGTTTAACAACTAGGGTGTTCTCAACAACATGCGAGAAAACTCCATGAGTGCACATCTGCAAGAAACGTTCAGAAGGAAGGGCCATGCAATTGTACCATGCGCAAATGACGAAGGAGTAGTCATACTCCATGAGCTTCTCCAAGAAAAGAGATCTTCTCCTCTCTTCAGCAGTGGGCCAGTCATCTCTGGTGTTACCCAATGTGGAGCCAGTGAGCTGCAAGGTGTTTTCGAAAAACTCGGTGGTGGTGTCATCAGGCTCCTCTGGGTTATAGTTGGGTGCAAACTTGAGGAAAAATTGTTTGATAAGCTCGTCTCTTCTATAGTTGTATCTGGTAATGGAAGCATCAATGATGGATTTGGCAAGGTCGATGTTTTGGTTCTCGGAGATAGATATTAGGCTGGCAAGCTCTGGAACGATGGCATCCAAGATGTGTTCGACCTCACCTGGTTTGAGCTTGAGAAGCAATGCTTGAATAATGTAGACACCAGTGGTAGCTCTTCTGGCCAACTTCAACACTCTATCCTTCATGTATAAACGATAGAGTCTCTCGATGTACTTCATTCTGGCGCCATCATTTTTGATGACAGATTCGAGGAAATGAGAGCCGACTGGGTCAGACAAAAGGTACTCAACGAAACCTTCCTCTTTTGAATCTTTAGGCTCTTTTTCTCCTAAGAAAATCAAATGCCAGAGTGAACGGTCCCTGTCGACAATACCCTCGACTCTGATGACAAGCTGAAGCACTGGGGAAGCAATTTTGTGAATGGCCATTTCTCTCGCCTTCTTGGTGTCCCATCCTGCTGTAGATGCTTTGATGAGTTTTCTGAGCTCGTCCTTGAATGAAGCAGGGACCTCGAATGCACGATTGAAATCATTATTGTCCTTAATCTCGATCATTTTTCTGGCGATCTTAGACTTCTTCGATCTCAAGGCCGAATTGGCCATTGTGGTGGAAGGCAACTCTTTACCGGAAAGAATAAGCACAATGATTCTCATAACATGGGATGCGTACTGGTGTTCAATCGTGGTGCTCCAATATGGGTGCAACAGCTCGAGCATTTTGATGAACATGGACTCCATGGTAGTGGAAGCAATAAACTTGTCTTGCTCATTATCATCATCAATTTCAGCTTCGAGCTCCTCTTCTTCGTAGTTATGTGCGAGCTCCTTCTCAATCAAAGCAGCACTTCTCACCAAAAGCGTTTCTAACACATGCGAGGAATATTTGTGATGAGCCAAAGCAGGGAAATGGGAAACGAACTGATGAAAGATGTGTTTGAGCTGGCGATCAGTTGCAAAAAGCACGAGACGTTCCATCAATTTGGAGCAGATTTGGTTTGTGACGAGTTTAAGCTCTTTTCCTCTGGACTCCTCAAGCACCGATCTGATGAAACCAGCACGCTCTTCGTCGCTCTCGAAAGCATTGATATTAAGCGTGGATTCGGCCTGCTTGAAGTAGTCGACTTCACTAGAGTCAACTAGACCAAAAAAGACGGTGGAGAACTCTGTAGGCTGTTTGGTCTCAGAAGAGATGGGTTCCTCCTCACCATTTTCGATGACTTCCTGGAAATCATTTTCCACATCCTCAGCTCCTGCAACACGCTCTTTAGCTGCCGTCTTTTTTTCTCTTCTTCCTCTTGGTTTAGGCATAAGATCTGGAGCTTGATACTTTTCAGTGAAGGCATTATGCGCATCTCAGGCATCGCTAGATGTGGTGTACGGATGCAGCATTCGATGCCCCAGATCGATAAGGCCATCTACAATAGAAGGTAACCAGATGTTTTATTTTTTTTTTTTTCTTTTTTTTTTGTTGTGAACCGAAAATAACAATTAAAATTACAAATTGGCCTTCTCAGTGGCCACTGCCTTCTTTCTGAGAGGCTGACCAGCGACGAGCTTGCTCCATTCGTACAAGTGTGGCCATGCCTTGCTTGGAGGAACGTCCAAGCCAAGATTACGTGCTCTTTGTTCGTTCGAGAAGACGTTCTGACCCACGGGAAATTCGAGGATGATGTCAGCGCCAGTCAATTTGTCGCCCACGAAGAATCCACCGCCCTTCTTAGCCAAGACGTCATCCAAAAACTGGAGATTGGTCTTGAGTCTCTTCAAATAATATTCGGAATTGATTTTGCCCACAATGCCTTTGACAAGGTAGCTAGCAGGCCATGGAGCTTTGTGGGAAGCAACATCACCCACCAACAAGGACACAAGGTGTGGCTGTAAACTGCCCTCGGCAAAGTGCAAGAAGTAGTCCACCTTCTCCTTCTCCGCATCAGAAGATGGGGTCAATTTGCCCTCAGTGTCGTAGTGACGAATCACGTACTGAATAATGTGGCCCGACTCAGCCAAGGTAAGTGGTTCAGTTTCACCTTCCTTGAAGATTTGCAATACGGGAGACATGCCTGTTGGAAACACATCCAACAATTCCTTGGGTGCAAGGACACCACCGACTCTTTTGTACACTTTCAACAGAAAGTCAAGGTTCAACTCCTCCAAGAGCCAAACAATTCTCAGCGCTCTGGATTCGGTAAGACTGATATTAGTAAGGGTCAATGCAATTGAGAAGATTCAACATACTAGTGAAGAACAAATTTGTCACCAGCCATTTTGTTTGCAGTAAGTAAGAAGAGTCTCCGTGGGGTATTTATACCTCGGAGGCAACGTCCTAATTAGCCGCCCTGCGTAAGGAGCAAGAACATGTGACACGCCACCGTTTAAACTCCACACGAAACTAGAAGAGAGCTAACTTTATGTGCAAGAAATAAACTTTTAACTCCTAGAGGCTTTGTAGAATACGGTGTCTTTGGAGTTCAGGGATCGTATTTCGCAATTGATTGAAGCAATGGTTGATAGCCCTTGGCCACAAGCAACGTATAGCACCTCCCTATATTTGAGTCTTGTGCACTCAATTGTCGGTTGGGAAGGTGCCAATAGTGACGTTTTTCTTTGTGCCCACTAGGCACGGAGGATTGTCAGAATGTTATAACGATAGATGTATGGAAGCTCTAGGCAATATTTCATAACCACTGTACTTTTTTGTTAAATACTGTAATTGAAAGGAGAGGTGAAGCTAACCAGGCTTCAGTTTCTCAATAAGCTGTATAACACTTTTTGCAAATTTGGGCTCATCCAGTTTCCGAGTGTGAGATCTTATTTTGCAACCATTCTGTACCTGAAGCGCAGATCTCATGAACTTCACCCCAGCTTCGACAAATCTACGACAGAGTGTGTTTATTTTTTGAATAGACTTTCGAATAAAACTGGATTCAAGAAAGGTAAAATATTAGATTGAATAGAATAAAGGTCCTTGGAAGACCGAATGTGTGTCCCTGGCGATTCCCAACGGATACACCCTTCTTTTGGGAGGCCTGGGAGATTTGAATTGGAAAAACAAATCACCCCTCCCGACTTATTTTCGACACACTAGATAATTCTATCAATTTTTCCTGGCTCATTTTATCCTAAAATTTGTGTTCGTCAACTCTACCCCACTGGTAGGGAGCCTGTGCGAAAATTTCAATGTACATCTAGGCATCGCATCTCATCTCAGTTACACATACTCCTATAAACCCCAATAATGACAAGCAAATCGGTTGATTCCTGGGTGCTTGACGCAACCCCACTCATCACACAACCGGCCTCGACCTTGCAGCAGTTTGCTAACAACTTTTACACAACACCAGGTGTGAAAGCCGAGTTAAAAGACGAGCATTCTAGAAACCAACTTCTTCTATGGGCAGACCGTCTCGTTGTCCGTCAGCCCAAGCAGCTGTCCATCGACAGAATCAGCAGTTTTGCTAAGTTGACAGGTGACTACTCCGTCTTGTCGATGAACGATATTCACATCATTGCATTGGCATACGAAATAGAGATCGAGAAGGCAGGGGCCGATAAGTTGAGGAGATTCCCAGGCCAGAAGCTAGAAGGCGAGAAAGAAGAAAATCCAAGAGAGAAGAGAGAGTACAAGCCCAGAGCTGAAGTCGTCGAAGAAGAGCAGCCACAGGAGGACGATGACGGATTTCAAATCGTCAGCAAGAAGAAGAGCAGAAAGCCAAGAAAGAACTGGGCACAGAAGCAAGAAACGAAACTCGAGGAAGAAGTGAAGGTTCAAGAACCGGAGGCAGAAAAGAAGATCGAGAGCAACTCCGATCAGCAGAATACAGAAGGTGACGCTGTGTCACCAGAGACGACCGAAGCCCAAGGAGAGCAGTTGAGTGAGGAATATAATGAAGATGATGACGACGGAGACTGGATTACTCCGGAGAACCTTCAAGAAGAGATCTTCAAAGACAATAACGAGACTGTTCAGGACGACAAGAGTTCTGAGAGCACCTTCATCCCGGTTGCCCTTTCTACAGGAGATTTTGCATGTCAAAACACCAGCTTGCAGCTCGGTCTCAAGCTCATGAACCCTTCTTCGGGTAAACAGATCAAGCGTGTCAGAAACTACATGTACAGATGCCACGCGTGCTTCACCATGACTCCGATGTCCAAATCGGGCCAGCCAAAGCATTTCTGTCCCAAATGTGGCGGCAACACTCTTCTCAGATGTGCCGTTTCCGTGGATAACGAAACCGGCAAGATCACACCACACTTGAAAAAGAACTTCCAATGGATTGTGAGAGGTCAAGTGTACTCGATGCCATCTCCACTCAGTAAAAATCAACAGAAGAGTCAGGGTAACAGAGGGTACCAGCACAACAAGGAGCTCAGGCCCAGCTCTCAGGATCCAATCATCCTTCGAGAGGACCAAAAAGAATATGCCAAGGCATTGAAGGACGATGCCTGGCTGAGGAAGAAGAGTGAGAAGATGCTCCAAGAGTGGATTGGAGGAGGCAGTGCCGATAACTTCATTTCACCCTTTGGCACCACATACAAATCTTCCGGTGTTAGGGTCGGAAGAGGCAGAAATGCCAATGCCAACAAGGGAAGACGGAAGTAAGGAATGAGATGGCTGCAAAACGTTTTAGTATGCATACGCGAGCTTATGCGTCAAAGTCGCAAAATGGCTTGAAGGAGGGGTTGTTATTGATGTCAGTTAATTTGAGTCAATTCGCTAAAACCGTAGCTTAGGTACTAATTATCAATATCTTATAGACCGATAAAACCGAACGGAGTAGATGACACATTGAAGGGTGCCTGAGTGGCGCGAAATAGGGCGGAACCAGCTAAACATAGCCTTCAGTGTGCGTACAAGCCCCAGGCACTCGTAACACTATTTTTACCCAAACAGCATATCTTCCTGTTTTTGACACAATCCTACTTCTTTCAGCTACATGCTTCTTTGAGGTCAAACATCGATCCCAGAATATCCATTATAGAATGAGCTCGGCACAGCTAGCCGCTTCGGCTGCGTTCCGAGCAAATAATCAAAAGACGCAACCGCCTTTGACCAAAATCACCAAACCAGAGTTAAAGAAGCCGACCCCTTCGAATTCTCCCAAACAGCGACTGAAGGATGCTTCACCTGAGACAACCGACCCGCCTGCAAAGAAGAAGCCCACTGAGGTACCCAATTTATCCAAAGCTGCTGCTACTAAGTCCTCACAAGGTCAGCTCCAGCCTCAGCAACCATCGAAAAAACCAAACCTCCAGATAGATTTGAGCAATTCAAAGAACACTTCACAAGCATCCTTGGCCACCGCAGCCGCTGAACACTCCGCAAAGAACCAGAAGTCCAGTGTAGGCTCTGGGTCAGTCTATAATACACCTTTGGTGAGAACCCCAGCAGCGGCAGCGGCGGTGTCGTCGTCAGAGAAGCTTTCACAAACACCATTGCCCCGAGCCTCAATAGATGATGACAACGTTTCTTTGAGCTCAGCCCATAATGATTACTTCTGCATTCCCAAGTTTTACCAGACAGATAACGCCAATGGACCGGGTGCCCTGCGTCTGCGTGTTAGCGTCGTCCTAGACCCAAAGGACATGGTTGAGAACGTGAAACAGTCCATAAATTCCAAGGCCAAGTCTGGATCATCCAAAGATGTGACCAAACGCAACCAGGAAGCGCTCAGTAACTTCAGACAGAGCGTGGAGCTGAAGAGGCATTTTTCACAGATACCGCAAGAACCCGACGTCAATGCACTTGTACTTCGAGACTCAAGTGAAAGCCTGTCTCCTGGAGTGGCTCCAAGTGATTCAGAAGGATCGCTGCCGTCGTTGGAGCACAAGGTGTTTAATATCAAGGACCTTAAGAAGCTCAACACCTCCGGATTGTCAATGGACTCGTATGCGTCAGACAGTGAAAATGAGACACCAATAACGCCCTCCATTGCAATAATCGATGCTGACGAAGATGTCCAAGACAATGACACCCTCAAGAAGCCGCCTTCTGCCCCTGAAAAGTCAAGCCATCCCATCCCTGTACCACCATCCCCTCATGCCGTTGCTCGAGGTAACGCGGGTAACGGAACAGGGGTTCCAGAGATAGCTGCCCAGCTATCACCCAGCCTGCCTGGTAATGTTTCCGACTTGAAGCTTGATGAGGCCTTAAAAAAGGTGAGGCGTAAGCCACCACCCGAACTAATAGAAAGTGAGGGGAGCTCTGGCCGTCAATCTTTCGACCAGTCCACAAGCAATCCTCTGAGTGGGGCAGAAGATGACCAGAAGTTCCCGCAATTCCCCGATATCAAGGATAAGAAGAAACACCGCCGGATTTTCGGCCGGAGGAAGGGAGAGGCGGCTCAGACTGTACGAGAGCGTCAGTCAATGGATCTGCTGAACGAGGTTGAGATAGACGATGAGCCTGAACCTGAGACAAAGCCTACGAGCGGCATCTCGCCAGTGATTGCAAACCCACATGTTGCCTTGAAGACGACCATGAGAAAGATGAAGAAGAAGGACAAGACGTTCGATGAGAACAAGCCCTGGAAAAACCACAGCAAACTTAATGAAGTCTCGGATACCGAGAGGAAACGGTACGAAGGTGTGTGGGTAAGTAATAAGGGCTATTTGGTCAACAAGGTTGTTACTCGACTTGCAGGTGTGGACTACAACAAGAACTACACAGAAGAGGAGAATGCAAGAAAGAGAGAACTTCTGAGGCAAGATCCGCTGGAACTTGCGGCCAAGCTCTCGTCGGCTGCTGAACCTTGTAATCATGAAACCATGGAGGACCATATCCAAGAGCGACACGGGCTTAAACTGGCCGATCCACACGAACTCATACACGGAATTGTCGTAAAGCGTATTTGGAAGAGGAGCAGGCTCCCTCTGGAAACGCTTGAGGCCATTTGGAATTTAGTTGATTTTCGGAAGGACGGCACCCTTAATAAAATCGAGTTCCTTGTGGGCATGTGGCTAGTGGACCAGTGTCTCTACGGAAGAAAGCTTCCAAAGAAGGTAGAGGAACAGGTGTGGAGTAGTTTAGGCAATATGGGCCTAAACGTTGTTATCCGCAAAAAGCGGCGCTAATAGATAATATAGATCATTTCCATTAGAGCTTTCTCGCTTCCTCTTTCGGACCTGGGCCAAAAACCGATCGCGATGTTCCCAGAGTATTACCTGCAGCTAAAATCTCCCGCATACCTCTGTCGCAAACAATCTGCCTAGGGTCTTTTTCGTGCTGCAAAAAGGTATATAATACTATCGAGCCATATTCACCACTCCACTAAATACTACACTAATATCAAAAAAACTTATCTGAGGAATGAATTTATTGGATCTCCTTTCCGACGACAATCCAGCCGATACCGGTACTGGGCAGGTGGATATGCAGCATTATCTCGATAACGTCGGCTCTGAATTTAGACCCGAGCACAGCCAAACGTACCAAAATCAACCAGAACAGCAAATATCAGGGTTATCAGGACCAACCGCCGACAATGTTATTTACCTACCATCGATGATGTCGAATTTGCAGAAGGATGTGTGTGAACTTATCGTTCAGATCTTTCGCAAAGGGCTCGAGCAGGAGCTCCAGCGAAGCAAGAACAGAGCTTCCATAAGCAACCTTTCGAATGGTGATGATGATTTACCTGGGGGTATGGGTGCCGGTGATGTCCGTGAGTCTAGGGCTAGACTTATCAACCTTATGTTCGAGCAGCTACGTAAGGTGTCCATGCACCCCTCGCTACTAGTGGACCATTTTATTCCTAAACGCTGGCTTTTACTGGAAGTTAACGAGCGTCTTTTGAATCTTTCCGGTAAACTGGCGCTTTTCGATAGAATCATCGAACTACTCTGTGATAGCTATGGTGAAGACGACAAACCAAAGAATGATTTTAACGTGCTCGTCATGGCGGAAACAGTCAAGGAGCTCGAGTGGATTGAGGGAACCATCATCGGAAAGAAAATCAACTACAAAAATCTTAATACAAGGAAATTATACGATATGGACGAAGCATCAAGAGATACTGGAGACGAGTTTACCGAGGATGAATTGTTCGCAGCAGACAACAGAAACAAGAGAAAATACTACTCCAGGCGGCGCAAGGTGATGGCAGAAAAGAGTCGGAGGCCCGGCGTGGTTTTACATTTGGCCACCTCCAGACACATGTACGAGAGTTACGCATCCAGCGTTCAGTTTGACCTAATCTTTTCATTCGACTCGCATCCGGATCTTCAGAGTGCCAGCATGCAACTCATAAGGGGAAACAATCAAGCTCTGTCAGTGTCTTTGCAGGCAAGGCAATACAAGACCCCGATCATAATCCCAATACCAATATACTCCGTGGAGCACTTCTCGTTAGTATTGCCTCGTCCTGAGCTCGAGTTTGATTTGACCAGTGGACCGGATCCACAGATCAACTGGAAGCTCAAGGTGATCAGCGCTTTCGTGGCCAACAGACATCGATTGTATGAACGTGACGACAGAGACTTTTACGTGGAACACTTTGGTGACAATTACGTGGATCTTAGAGGCTGGCTTATGAGATGGTGGGAGGTTCCTCCACCTGCGTCTGCTAGTCTACTTGAAAATAGCAAGGCCTCTCTTCTGCTTCATCCTTCTGAAGAGAAGCTTCTCAAACGACTCCTGGAGAATTTCACCGACCACCTCAAAGCGGTATTCAGCTTAGAAAAGCACAAGTTTAAGTTTGAGAACCCCAGCACCGAAAGTGTGGAGGAGATTATCACAGATTTTGACACCTTTAAGAAGAAGTTCGCCGAGGCTCTCAATTACAGAACTGAGCTTGTGGAAACCACCGTTCGTCGCGGTCTTCATGAAGTTCTTCCCGAATATAAAAAGGCGGAGACCGAAAGACAAACCGATATTGACGCTTGCGAGGACCAAATGGGAGAGAGGTATCGGAAATTACGGAAACTCAACGAGGAAGCGAGTATCGTTGATAGAAAGCATAACCGAGCCGAAGCCGAGCATTCGAAAACGGAAGCTACACACACGGAAACAAAGGAAATGCTTAAGCACCTTGAAGATGTGCTTAGGGAAAAAAGTGACGAAGACATCAAGAAGCTTGTTGAGGAGCAGTCCAAGATAATTTCGCAATTGGGCGATGAAAAGGAGAGGCTAGACAAAGAATTAGAAAAGGCGGTCGAGGAAGGTGAATCCCTTCGTGGTGAGTACCAGACAAAATCGAGCGAGGCAGTCAATTCCAGCTTGAGTCTCAGCACAGCACAAGCGAAGAAAGACACACTCAACGGAACATTGAATGGTCCTGGCATGCACATTCTCCCATCCTTGAGAAGGCAATACGAGCAAATCAGCTACGATACCAAATACAACCGTTTGCATAAGGAAAACGCGTTTCTCAAACTGCTATTCCTGTCGTATTTGGACAAAATGGTCAAGGAGCGGAGGGCGGTTGTTGACAGCACAGCCGCTGGGCTGAGTAGTCGCCCCACAAATCGAATGAGTCGGGGTCTGACGCCCTTCACCTAGCAGATATTCCAAAGGACAATTCATTGTGGGTGATTAGAAGGTTGCCAAGAGCTTTGTCAAAAGTGACACAAAACTTGCATTTCTGTAATCCCCACTGTTTATCACCGGGCCAGCCCGGAGTTTTCGATTATGTTTACATTGTTTGCAGGTCATTAATGTTCGTCTGCCCCTAAGCATTGTTCCTGGTTATGTAATTATGCCCTGCACCATGCCTCGGTGCGGTGACTATCGCAAGGATATACCTATCATCTCTCCGCAACTACTCCGGTCCATAATTGAAAATAAACTATAAAAGACATGGTGGCTACCGAACAGGCGTATCTCAAAGCAAAAATGTTCGGCCAGCCTTATGTGCCCAAAGATTTTCGAGAGTTGATTTTTGTAACTGATATCCATGCCAGACGATTTGCCATTACCGCTAAGTCCAAGTTCTTGGAACACTACTTCTCGGATATTAGCGCTCCTTGGGGATACTTGGCTTTGATCAGAGACGTTCTTGTTGTTTTCTGGGTATACACTGTTTTGCACAAGCTTGTGCTCAACTTGTATGGCTATGGTCCGATCGGATGCCTCAAGAAGGTCTATCGTGCCATCTCCAAGTGGTTCTTTGGAATCGTTATGTCGCTTCCTCCCATTAAGTCCAAAGTTGATAAGGAATTGAGTGAAACCCAGGCCAAAATGGAGGAGATGATCATGAAGAACGACGATTCCTTGCTTCAGTTCCCGGTATTGCCGACCGCAGGCTTGCATCAAGATGTCGTCGTGCAAGAGGTGTCGCTTACTGAAAAGGCACTTACAGTGGATGACTGGCACGATGGTAAGTATACCGGAGGTGTGTATCACGGTGGCGATGAATTGCTTAAGTTGCAATCCAAGGCTTACGAAATCTACAGCGTTGCAAACCAACTTCACCCGGACATCTTCCCTGGAATTCGTAAGATGGAGGCTGAAGTGGTATCAATGATCTTGAAGTTGTTCAATGCCCCTGAGACTGGCTGTGGATGCTCTGCTTCCGGTGGTACCGAGTCTCTTTTGCTTACAGGTTTGGCAGCCCGTGAAATAGGACGCAGGAAGAAGGGCATCACTGCTCCAGAAGTTATCGCTCCCGTTACTGTTCATGCTGGTATAGACAAGGCTTGTTACTACTTTGGCATGAAGCTTCACAAAGTGGAGCTCGACCCAGTCACTTACCAGGTCGACACCAATAAAGTGAAGAGATTGATCAACCGTAACACTGTTTTGCTCGTCGGTTCTGCACCAAACTATCCTCACGGAATTATTGATGATATTGAGGCTTTGTCGGACCTTGCTGTCAAGTACAACATTCCTCTTCATGTCGATGCGTGCTTGGGCTCGTTCATTGTCACTTTCTTGGAGAAGTCAGGTGTTCACGGCGACAAAAAGCTTCCTTTGTTTGACTTTAGATTGCCTGGCGTTACTTCCATCTCTTGCGATACCCACAAGTATGGCTTTGCACCCAAAGGATCCTCCGTTATCATGTACAGAAACCCTGAGCTTCGAAAGCATCAGTACTACGTCGCAAGTGATTGGACTGGTGGTTTGTACGGCTCGCCTACTCTTGCTGGCTCGAGACCAGGTGCTTTGATGGCAGGCTGTTGGGCTACAATGGTGCATATCGGAGAGACCGGATATGCTGAGTCGTGCAAAGACATTGTCGGTGCTGGCATCAAACTTAGAAACGCTTTGGTTGAAAACGAGACACTCCACGAGCACCTAGAGCTTCTTGGTGACCCAATTGCCTCTGTTATTGCCTTCAAGGCTAAGAACCCTAACAAGGTTGATATCTACTCCATAGGCGATCTCATGGGTAAGAAAGGGTGGCATTTTGCAACATTGCAAAACCCTGCAGCTTTGCATTTTGCTTTTACGCGTCTTACTGTGCCCGTGACCGACGACTTAATCAGCGACCTCGTTGACACTATTAAGGAAGTTGCAAACTCTGACACCAAGGCTCCTCCTGGTGACACTGCTGCCATGTACGGTGTGGCAGGCAACGTCTCTACTGCGGGTGTTGCTGATCGCTTGATCGAGACATTCCTTGATGCCTTATATAAACTTTAGGTAGGCGTATCACAAAACAAAAACAAACCCTCTAGGTCACACTGGTTGCAAATTGTAACATCGCCGCTCGGGGACAAGGCCTTCGACCCCGCGCTCAAAGTGACGAATGGTGTGCACATAGCTCGCTTCGCTTCCTAATGCGGTAGGTGACTCTTAACCGCGGTGATTCATCTTTGCATTGTCTTATCTCGACATACATCCCTATCCACTACCACACTCTTCATTCAACTAGATAACCTAACCTTCCTTTCACCACACAGGCATGATAGAGTGTTCCACAGCTTCAGCGCTTTCGCATTTCTTCAGCACTTTCTCCCTCATAAGCTGGATGGGAGCTCAGCTCCCTCAGATATACACAAACTATGTGAACAAGTCGGCAGAAGGAATATCGCCACTGTTTCTTATACTATGGTTCATGGGCGACTTCCTTAGCTTTACAAGCTGTCTTCTAAATGAGTCGACCCTAGCTTTCCAAGTTTACCTAAGTTTGTTTTTCATATGCAACGATATTGCGTTGTGCTACCAGTTTTACTATTACAACAACATCTATCCCAAAGCGAACGCACCAGTAAAGCCCCTGGGCGTCGAAATCGCTGAACTGCTGGTAGCGGACGCAGATATTCATGCTGGCTCTGGAACTATTCATATCAGATCACATATTCCTGAACCCGAGGAGGCCGATGAATGGCTGAGTCTCACACCTCCTTCAGATGGCTCCATCCCTGGGAGCTACAACTCGATCAATAAGAAGCCCAACGTTGCTAAAGTGGCCACTATTGGTTCTATTCTCAATTCCGGCTTGTCCAATGCATTCCCTGTGAGCCGTGCGATGGAATCAGTCATCTCGGTCGCAGAGGAAGCCGGAAGTCATGATGTTCTTGCTCTTATTCTTGCATGGAGCTGCACTGCTGTCTACGTGAGCTCCCGTTGTCCACAGCTCTACAAGAACTACAAAAGGAAGTCGGTTGAAGGCGTCTCACCTCTTCTTTTTGGAGCCGCTCTTTTTGGAAACTTGGCATACACCATATCTGTGCTCACGAGCTGTGAGTTTTTGCTTTCCGACGACAAAGCTACATATTTCTGGCATCAGCTTCCATATCTCATAGGAAGCTCCGGCACGATAGTGTTCGACTTCGCATACTTCTACCAAAGGCATATCTACCGCAATTCTCACGATTACAGCGCAGTGGTGGGTCTCGAGCCTTGGGATCAACTAGAAAGACGCCTGAGTGACGTCTAAAATATATTTATAGAAAACTGAGACCATACAAAGTAGAATGGTTATTCCAATAAAATTCAAATTGGCATCACGTGACTTCACTGCAATTTTCGTTATACTCTGGATCTCGGATCTTCTATCAGTTCCAACACTTAAATGATTAATAGACTTCGAGGGCCTGTGTATCTACGACACCTACTACGGTGGCCACACCGCCATGCATCATATGCGACAAAGTCGGCAACCCTCCCGAATCCAACATTTGAAACCAAAGTCTACTCAAAGTTGAAAGACGAGCTGGCATACACTCAGATAGGACCAGATACATACCCGAATCCGTTATATTCGTTGGAGAAAGAGGAGATTGAAAAGTTGAACGAAGAAGATTTCCGTCACTTGATCTCTATTCCATACAAATCCATCTCGGAGACTGACCAGTTCTGCTTCAATGTCATACAGCTTGTTCACGATAATCTTATTCTGAATCCTGCGAAGGCCAAGATGTTTTTGTGCAATATTGAAGACGAGGGAATTCGAACTGTGATTGTTGATTGTCTCAAGCAATACTACAAAGCAAACCTGGTGCGAGACTCTATTCTTCAATTCATAGTGGCGCCTGAAGCGGCTACAACTAGAAGAGCAATCTTTGCCAACATAGAGGATATTCTATTCGAGAAGTCCACGCCAAAGTCTGAAAAGCTGACATTATTGTTGAGCTACCTACGGAAGTTAGCGCTTAGCTCTACTTCAAACCACATATCGCTTTTGTTGCAAGATAGAACAGCGAAGTCCATATTGGAACACGTATCGGAGACGAGTCGGGCAGAGCTTTACTCCTACTTTTTGCATATTAACATGAAATTCTCGGACATGGCTATGTTTGATCAATTTAAACAGAGTCTTTTGCATGGATCTAACCTCAATAATTTGGTCGCCAAGACTGGCATTATCGATGCAAAATGGCATCACCTTAATGACGTTGTCATTGATGAGCAGCATAAACAAAAAATGTTGAATTTTTTCACCTTTAATGACCTCCAATATTTCACGACCCAAGCCATCGAGTCTAATGACCTACTCGATGCCAACCTTTACCTTGATCTTCTTGTCGCAAAGCTTGAATCGCTGTCTCTCAAGTCGAATCCATCGGGACACAAGGGCAGAATTCAAAAGCTTTTGCACGTCTTACTTAAACACTCGATGACGTTCAAAGGTCCCCAAGAGTGCCTCAAATTCTTGAGGTATATGCCCCAAGTGGGATTAGAAATACGTCCAGCCACCATGCTACGTGTGTTGATACAGCTAAGAAAAGACGAGTGTTTCGACGAAGCACTCTTGTTGATAAACAACCTTCACAACTGTGAGCTCTCAAGTCATCAACGTGCTATGTTAGTACATGAGATTGTAAACGTCATCTCAAGGAAATTTGCTGGCCATCCAGAAGTCATCGTCGGATATTTTGCATCAATGTTTGGCAATGATGCGCTTCACTTGTTGCACCGTCTCGGCTTACTTCAATTGATCTACAAGGATGATTTCAAGAGCCTCGATTTCACCAGCATCAAGAGGGCTGATATTCACGAGGACCTTACATCATGCGTGCTAGAGCACTCTCATCTCCAAATCTTATATGATGTCGTCTTGAAATATCTTGGGGTGAGCAGCCTTGCTCCAAGACTCGTCATGGACCTTTATCACAGGTATATGAACGAGCTCCCCAATTGTACAAAATCCTCCAAGCTTTGGCAGGTTGATGACGGCATTGTATCACTATTTATTGAGTGTCTTTGCAAAACTGAACCCGGTAGCTTGGACATGAAGCTTCTGAAAGACAAGAAGAGGTATGAAGCGGCGAAGGCGATCAGCCAGGATTTCTTCGACAAACAGCAATTACCAAAAGAGAAGAGGAAGTCATTCACCTATGACGTACTCATCAGCTCTGCTTTGCTTCAACATAATGACTATACCTTCGCTGCAGCGGTACTTAAGCATGCCAGAGAACACAAAATACCCTCAACCTTCAATCAGCTCTACCCCTTCATCATGTACCACTACGTTCGGGGCGACCGACAAAGAGCTGAGGCATGGTACAATATGATGGTGAAAGATGGCGTAAAAGCTAAATCCACAGCAGGCGACAGGCTAGTCTCTATTGCTGAGGAATGTGGTTGGAACATCAAGGGTTCCCTCTACAGAAGAACGATTAATCATAGAAACCAAAAGATACGCCGGGAACTTGCGAACATGAGAGGTGACCATCTCGAGGCATTGGGCATCAAAGGAGACGAACAACGTTCCCACGACCTTCTCGAAGAATTAAGCGCAATCATAGGTGCGAAGTGATTTGAAACATCTTGAATTCCTCACTCTGACGTTGGTGCGCATTGTTTACATCTGTGCCCCTTTGGGCAATTTGCAAACAACTGCCATCTGTTTTCCTATCTGATGTATATCATAGACTTGCAACATCTTAAATCCAAAACTTGGTAGAACCGACATCATGGTGGACGACACAGGCACACCAAATAATAATGCAATAATACCTTCATCACCAGAGCGATTAAACATGTCAGATGAATACTGCTTGCGAACTCCCCCCCTCGACCAAGTCAAGACATACTACATCATGGCGAAAACACACCATCCGAAATGCTAGATCACCTAGACTCAAAAAAGAGGTTTGAATCGATCGTTGCCCATGTCAATCGAACTCTACTGGAATTGGGTGAAGTGTACAGTGAAATTGGGTACTCCAATCGTGAGATCAACCAGAGGCAGGCCGATGTGTTTTTGACTATTGACGATACCATCAAATCCATAAGCAGCAATGCTCTTCGAGAAAAGAATCTGTTACAGAATGAATGTGAGTGGCTCCGGCAGCAAATCAGATTCATGCTTGCCACACTTAACGACAGCCATGGAGAGAGAACCTTGAAGTTGAGCAGTCGAGGAATCGTTTTCGAAGATGATGTTATGTACGCTACAGGGTATCGTGAGGATGTCAAGGAGCAAGTCCACTCGTTTCATCACTACAATCAACCATCATTTCACGATCCTACCTTCGGTGATGCTGAGGAGATCGGCGAGAGCGATTATTCCATGCAACAACAATATGACTATATGACTAAAACGATACCACAACTACTGTTACTACAAACCAAACTGCTGCTAAATAACATATTTCTAGATGTTCTCAAGGCGTTTGTTAAGATATTCCGCAAGTTTGCCGACTTGAGCTACCGCTACTGGGAAAACGTTGATATCATCGGCGCTGAAGCTTCAAAAGCAAATAGCCTAACTAGTCAGCTCCCAAATAAAACTGAAGCCGAAGAATATTTGACACTCACAGAGGATTTCGAGGCCACCGTGAAGCAGTTGCGTCTCACGGAAAAGGTTTCCAAAACACCTTTCACCAGCATGGGCAATGCTCATGACGATGACAATGCATTTGTCATTCTGAGCCCGAAGAAAGCCAAGATACGTGATCTCACGAGAGCTAAGGAAGATGTTGCTGATATTTCTGGTATCTCCCAGTCTTCTCCGGACGAAACTATGAGTCACCTTCGAGAGATCAATGGAAAGCTCATCACGGCGTTACGAGGATTAAAGATCATTAAGTTGAATTCAAAATTAATTCTGGACCTCACTGCTGAAGTTGAGCAGAGTAAGACGGAAGTTGCAAACAGAGCCGTTGAAATGAAAGACTTTGTAAATCAGTGTCTTGATATCGTGGTCATTTTGCTGCTCAGTGATTCTGACTTAATCAAAATTCAGCAACGTGTGATACAGGCCAAAGGAGAAGAGTATGCCAAAGAAGGTCCCTTTGATTCAGAAGCCTTAAAATTGATCGAGGGAGACATTCTTGCATTTGGCTTGGAGAGATCCAAACTACTCTATCTTCAGAAACTTACGCATACCTTGACACATTTGCGGGACTCAAAGCAGAAGAAGTGGAATTACTATATGTCAGCTTGTCAGCGACTTTGGGATAAGCTATGCGAGTCGCCTCAGTTTATATCACATTTCCAACAAGAGAACTCCTCTCTTAGTGAAACTTCCTTGGTGAACCTCAAAATGGAGCTCAACCGTCTATACATGAAACGGTCTGAATTTATTGGAAGCTTCATTGTTGATGCGCAGAAAGAGATTGCTGAATATCAGTCATTGTTGTTGTATTCGGATTCTCAAAGACAAGCATTCGACTACTTCGACTACAACGCTGATGATGATTCGGATGACAAGGAGCAAATCCTCAACCTCCATGAAGCTGAACTCAACAGGCTTAGAGAAGAGTACGAGTCTAAGAAAACGATTTTGGAACTCTACAAAGAACTCAATGAATATCTCGAGGATCAGAAGTTTTTGGAAGAGTCATCCAAGGATTCGTCCCGTCTTCTTCAAAAAGATTCATGCAAGATACTTATGAAAGAGGAGAGAATACGGAAGACGATCCACAGAAATCTACCACGCGTTATTAAGGCATTGAAAGAGGAAGTCATTCAGTTCAACAAAACGATGATTTCTTGCGAGAAAAAGCCATTTTCCATCAATGGACAGGATCTATACGAGAAGGTGCTCACGATAGAGTCCCAGTCATGTAATCAGAGACGTCCTAAGTTTACTCGTGGTATCTCTCCGAGAAAGGGATCAGTGTCTCCAAAGAGACCTGAACCCGTCAACACGCAAAATGGGTCAAAAAAAAGCGGCAGACTCAGATCACCGATCAAGGTCGGAAAGGAAACCTTGCAACGCAGAGTCTCACCTGCTATCAACTCAGTGCGCTCTTTGAAGTCTCCAGCACTTAACGAAAGCAAATCAACTATTGCACTGCGTCATGAGACGAGGGTATTGAAAGAGGCTAGGAATGGTTTGGCAGTTAATTCACTGCTTGAAAGTTCTCCAAAGGCATTCAGGAATGCACCAAGCTCGCATGTCATGACTCGACCTCAGTTACAGCCGTTGCATTCTCCTTTGAACCCTGAGCTGTCAATATCGATGAATTTCAGTCCATCTGAAAGTACGCTATATTCTATGTGTTCTCGAGTCTCTCCTTTGAAAGACAAAAATACAAACAGCAAAGCCGATTTCTCGCCCATAAGGGAGACGGAATTTAATGCCGAGGACAAGGAGAATAATAGTGTTTACAAAGAGAAGCATTTAGCAGGCGATGCAAGGGATATCGCCAAAGAAAGTACAAACCACAGATTGAGCACGCATAGTCTTGCAAATTCTACAGTCATCAGTGACGTAAATGAGGACTGGAAAGAGCAGAGGCTACGTGACATTCAATCTCGTGCTGAGAAGATTTACGACAACAGCCACATCTAATGATGTACCATATTTTTTACTTCTTAAGGAGTCACCCACGAATGTATTATTAATAAATTTAGAGGGCTATGTTACACCGTCGTGAAGTTCATTAAGCAACTTGTGCAAATCGAATGCAAAAAATGTTTGGAATCACCTTCGTCTAATATCCCACCACTCTTTTCTTCTTATCCGCCTTCTTGTTCTTCTTGTTGTGCTTCTTGTTACCTGACAATCCACCGTTTTTGTGGAATGGGGAATCCAACTTGGCCTGGACGTTGTTCATTTGAAAAAACTCTCTGTCCAAGTCGTCAGCCGCACTTTCCAACGCAGCCTGTCTTCCACCGTAGAAGCGGGTTGTAGCTTCACCCTGCGAGTCACCATTGGACTTCTGATTGTTATCGCTGCCAACATGCATTGAGAAATTAAGCTTAGCAAGGTCATTGGCAAGGTCAAACTCGTCAAATTTCATGTTCTTGTGCGACAACGCAGCTTTGATCTGCTCCTGTCTTGTCTCTGGTAAACTGTGAACTGTGTAGACTTCTTTGTTGAACTCTCTGGACTCATCAATACTTCTGTTGTCCCACAAACCATCTTCAAGCTTCTTAGGAGGTGGGTTGATGAAAAGGAGCTTTCCGTTCACGTAATCCTTAAGGATGTATCTGGAAGCTCTTGACTCATCTGCACTACCAAAACCTTGAGTCATGTATCCTCTGGCTCTTGCATAAGCATTCAAGAGTTCACGGGCTGTTGGGTATACACCATTGCCTCCATCAGCTTTACTTTGAATAGGGATGTGAATACCATAAACCGCCTCGAGGAAAAATTTGGGAATCCTTTGACACACCAAAGAGACTGGAGGGATGTGCTCTCTCAACTGATCGATAGGAAGAACACCATTACACACCAACTCACCATTAGAGTATGCAAAGTTAGGGAACACCAAACCTGGACAATCACAAAGAACAACGTCTGGTGATAATACGATGGTCTGGAAATGCTTTGTCTTACCTGGTGTTGCGGAAACAGACACTTTCTTGGAGCCGACTAAAGCATTGATAGTAGAGGACTTACCGACGTTGGGGTAACCGACGAGACCAATCTGCAATTTACGGTCAGGGAAGTCTTCAGTCTGTTCAAAAGTTGGAGCGGCAGAAAGGAATAGATCTTCCAATTCTTCCACTTTAAGAATCTTGATATCCTCGTCAGTTTCCTCAACCTCACTATCGTCGAGACCAGCGTCAGAGACGAAGTTCGGATCGTTTTTACGTTGTTCTGCCTCTTCTTGCTCCTTCTCCAAAAGAGCGTTCGCATTTGCGGCCGAGAAGAAAACGTACTTGATTCCTCTTTCGTTAAGATAGTTAGCCCATTCCTTTCTTTGTTGTCTCGTGAGCAAGTCAGCCTTGTTGATCAAAAGCAAATTTCTTTTCTCCCTGTTCTCCTCAGGTTTGCTCAACGACTCAACATAGTTTTCAAGATCCACAGATCTGAAGAACAAAGGACTTCTGGCATCCACAATCTGCACGATCAAGTCACATCTCTCTACGACTCTCCACAATTGTCTCCAAACCTCAATGTTTCTCTCAAAAGGGGTCAATAACAAGTCATGCTTTTCTGATAATGTAGCCAACTCACGTCTCCAGTCTAAGAAAGCAAGATTCTCCTGTCTTTCGATCTGAATCCTCAGCTGCTCCTTAGCCCACTTAGGTCTTCTTGGAATGATCAACTTGTTCTCAAATAGCTGGTGCTTTTTACGGATCTCGTCAGTCTCCTCTTGTGAAAGCAAACCAGACTGGTTCACCAATGCTGTGTTACCAACCTTGATAATCTTGACTTGAGAGTTTCTTTCAGCTGTGAAGTCCAGGTCTGCCAACTCTGCGGTGTTCAAGAACTCGTCTAAAGAATTCTCTTGGGTAACAGACCTCATTTTAACCCAGCTAGCCTCCTTTTTGTCCGTGGTGAATCTCATCTCACCGTCTGGCAAGATCTCGATTGCATTCTCTTGCTTTCTCTGATTAGCAATGGTTCTTCCAAGACCAATGAGATTCTTGTTCTTATGGTGAACGGGCTTTGGGCCTTTTGGCGCCTTCCACTTTTTTGGCTCTGGATGCAAAGATACCTTGTTTCCATCCATTATGAGTGAATTTCAGAAGTAGAATGCTTATTAACGGAGCGATGAGGGCTTCCTAATTATGGCTGCAAGTAGGGATGTACGGGTGCGAAGTATCAGTATCCCAAATCTACACATTTACCATTTTCAATTATATGCATTTGACACATTCTTGATGAAAAGCCGAACCTAAACACATCAAAGAGCTATAAAATGTGATATAGTTGGATCGTCCAAGAAAGGACTTTCACAGGGTGACGTGGATCTAAATGTACTGGGACAACCACTTGAAGCCCTCACCGTAGCCCATTCTCATAACAACAGAGACCATGAAAACCTCGATAGGTCTGACGTTCTCAGCCAACTTGCCGACATCCTTGCCGGTAGTACCATACAAGCCCAAGGCAGTCTTCAACTCGGACTCGTTGACAGCGTCGCTGGCGTCGATCTTGTTACCCAAGATCAAGAAAGGAACATTGTTCAATTCCTCGATCTTGAATAAGGACTCCAACTCAGCTCTGGATTCAGCCAATCTCTCTGGGTCAGCAGCATCGACCAAGAAGACAATACCGTTGACCTCTGGGAAGTAGTCCTTCCACAAACGACGGGCCTGCTGGTGACCACCCAAGTCGAAAGTAGTGAATCTAACGTTACCAATAGCCAACTCCTCGGAAGTTGGGTGCAAAGTGGGCTGTAAAGTAGCCAATCTATCGTTCTTCAACATGTGCAACAAAGTTGTCTTTCCGGCATTGTCCAAGCCCAAAAACAACAACTTGGCATGCTTGTTCCATAATCCTAAAGAGGACAAAACGTCCTGGACTGTCATGTTAGTTCTCGTTGTTTTTCACACATGTCCTATGAGATCTGTTTCCACATCGACGAAGCAGCAGTCACAGCTCTTCATCAGCAATTTGGAGAGACAGATGCCAGAAGAATACGAATTTCAAGGTACATACCCCAGCTGAATAACCACATGTCTTATGACTTAGTTGTACGATCGATGCGATAAGGGTATTGAATTATAAAAGGTGTCGGATTTAGGGTGTACGGGTGTCCACCACCGAGACCAAGACGTTCCAAGCAAGGGTGACATATCAGTCTACTGATTTTTCTTCTATAGTTTCTATTTCTGGTGGATCTTTGCTGCCTCTTTTGTCATGCTAATCCACCGTTTTTGGTACCTCAGTTTTCGTGCTCAAACTGCTGTGGCTTTCCTGAATTTTGACCACACAACCGCGGATTAATGGTGTTTACCGTTCATTTTCACGTTCGGGCAACTTGAACACAAGGTGTTCTTTTCTAAGTTTTGCAGCATGCTTGAGAATGACTTCTTGCCTTGCATCCTTGTCAGCTTTTGTATTCTTTCTATCCTTCACTCTCTGCTCACCCCATGAAGACGGCACTAATCCTTCGTCAAGGAGACCCTCCTCTTGAATCCAATTGTAAAGCAATTTGCAGTATTTAATGTCTTTGGGTGTCTTGAGCGAGTGAAATTTCTTTCCAGCTCCTTTTTCAGCCACTTCTTTCTCGTACGCCTCTCTCCTCTTCTGTTCATCAGGAAGATGTAAGCGACCACTGTAAACTCTTGCAACTACAGCCATTTGAGCTTCAGACAATGGCATAGGTACAACTTCCTTTGGAAGGGCAATGAAGGCAATTGAAGGATCATTTACACGGAAGAGCTGGAGGTAGATATCCTTCACCTGGAGACCATCGGTCAAATGTGGCAAGTAGTCCTTCAAGAATGGATAGGAGTATAGGTATCCCGTGCAAAAAACGATATCATCAATGTCGCTTATCTCTCGCCCGTCTACTAATTTCACAGTCCTCGTGGCATAGTCATACAGCGTGATGAGTGGTAGCATAGTCACTGCCTCGTTCTTGTTGTCGTGGTCCTTGGGGTCATCTTTGACACTCACATACGTATTCTTAGCCACAGTGCTTATTTGAGTAGAAAGATCGATACCACTTGTGAAGGCGCCAACGACAATAACATTTCTATCTCTAAAAGGGGCACCATCTTTGAAGTACTTGGCGTGAATGACAGAATGAGGGTCCTGTTTGGCCCATTCTGCTAGACCTGGAGCATCTGGAATAAAGGGTATTTCAAAGTGGCCATTGGCAATAATGACAGCGTCAAACGTTTTGGTCTCTTGCGCCAAAGAAATTGAATCCTCAACGGTCACTGACCATTCGTCTTCGTTCTTCACTATCTTCTTAATATTCCTGTTGAAATGAAAGTTGGCAGCCTGCGGGATTGTCTTTTTGTACTCATGAATGTAGTCGAGCACCTGGCTCCGACCCGGATATTCCTTGATATCAGTGGTAAAGTGAGCCCCACTTAACCGATTGTATTTCATCAACCGGCTGATAATGTTTGTCTCAAGCTGATCGTACATAGGCGAGAAAAACCTGTTTTCGAATCCGCCGTTAGGATCTAAGATCTCGTGGGAATCAGGTCCCACTGATGGCACTGAAGGTAAGACCTTGGTCTTGTCACCACCATAGTACCACAAGCCACCAATATTGTCTCTTCTCTCGTACAAGTCAATGGTGAATTTGCAAGGTTCTAATGCTAGTGCTTTTGCTGCTGTAAGCCCGGCTGGGCCTCCTCCAATTATGGCAATTCGTCTATACAAGGCCATGGAGTGAAAATTGCAGCAATTTGTATTGATCCAAAGTCAGTGCGCATTAGCTGATAAGGGCCACATTTAGCCACCCGTGAATGCGTCCCTTAACTACTACCAATTGGCTCAGTCTTCCTCTAAACAAGCATTGTGCTGCATCTGGTATGGTTCAAAAATACGTAAAAGGGCTTTTAGATTATTATAGGTCTCGCCAGGAATGAGCCACAGTTGGCTTTTTACATTGTGCAAAGCCACATAGCTTGAACCACAACAGAGGACTAGTCAATTTCTCTTACAAGGCCGGCAGGCTGATCAATCAGACTCAGAAAAGATGTTGAGCTCCTCTTGCACCTATTCCATGGCCTTACTTACCTCGCACTGAAGCGCTATACCTCCAGTACCTTAAGGGCATAAAAAGAGATCAAAACGAATGAAAACAACCTACCTTTTTTCATATCTGCTCCGTAGAGCTCTGCTTCTTAAATTTGTGTGTCTCGCAAATGTGTGTCAAAATGTACTTTATTCGAAGCAACCAAATTCTGCGACAAATGCTTTTTCCGTTTCGCAGCCATTCCCGACAAAATCGGCAAACCCTGAAATGAAAACCCGATCTATAAAATTTTTGAATGACCACTACATAAATTAAAGCGGACTACTCGCTTGCTCTAATTCACACAACCTGATGGTTGCGCCTTTCTGTTCCGTTCTATTGTACGATTATCTATGAGATCAGGCAACGGGGGTCTCTCCATGTCGCAGCTTTACCCCGGTTTCATTTCGCACGATCCAGGTCATGCATACTATCTATGGCTGGTACAGGCCATAAAATCGGCCTGGTTCAGTGACTTACCCCAACGTTCATCCTGAAACAACTACTGCTGAAAGAAGTGCCGCAACTATCATAATGTCCCATCCTGCTGCAAGCATCAAGTCCATCTTCAGCGGGAAGGTCAACTTGACCGATTCCGGCTTTGAGGATGTGAGTGATAACAATGCTTCATTTAGAGACGGTCAACAAGATGACGGCCAAGATTCCACTGCAGACTTCTCCAAGCCCAAGAGCTACTTCTCTGATGATGAGCCCATCTCAGACTCCTCGTATCACGACTCACCCAACCAGCTCAGAAATCCGACTCCTATGATCAGTACCAGTGCTCCTAGTGATGGTGATAACTATAGTGTCAGTTCTAGGAACTTAAGACTCATGATGATGCAGAAAGGAGAGGTGTACGACCAACAAAATCTGTCGACCAATATATCCTTGGCTTCAAGCGGTAGCGACTATCAAGCTCCCATTCCGAACGATCCTGCTACCTACAATTACGATGCCAGTCAGAACGGATTGCTCCTTAGCGACAGTCTTTCTAGACCTCTTTCCCGTAACTCCACCACCTCCTGTCTTTCCACAACAGCAACCAAAGATGGCGTCGAAGGGAAAAAACTACATCGCCATGGCCCCACACCTTACTTTTCCAGCGTGATTGCCAACATGCTTCTGCAACAACAACAACAACAGCAACAGGCTCAACAACAACAGGCTCAACAACAACAGGCTCAACAACAACAGGCTCATCAGCAGGACCGACAACAAGAAAACCAGCAGAGCTTTGCACAACCCCCGGCGCATCTCAGTAACCCTACCAACCCAACCACACTCAAGCAGACACCGCCAACCACGTTTGAAGCACTGCTTGGCGATGAAGATTTGAGTGTAGCTTCCCATACAAATGGAGAGTCAGGCAACAAGCAGCTCAACGACTGCGACTCATTGGGCCTCCCTCCAGTGACATTGAAGGAAAAAATGATGTTGCTCAACCCCGACCAGCCAAGGTCATGACTTTATGACGACACGTAACGATAAATAAATGATAACTTGTGAATAATCTAGCATTTGTAGATGGATTGTACATCAATGCTTGCGCATTAAGCGCTGGCGCACTATGGGTGCAAAGTTTGCATTCAGTGCAACCAACCTCTCCGTATCCCTTTTACCCACCAACATGTTGAGAAGTGCTGCCAGAATTGGGTCCAGAAGGACTACTCAGCTCATTCCATCGGTCAAAAAAACTGCCGTTAACACAATTACCAAAAGATTCCTTTCCGAGGAACCCAAAGAGGTCTTCACAAAGATCAATGATGCAAAGGATCCTCAAAGAAGCCAATTCTTCCAATACAGTTGGGGCTCTTGGTTGAAAAACGACAAGGTCGAGAGGGCCAGAAGAGAAACCAGATTCTCCATTGAGGGAGCCACTGACCTCGTAAAGAAGTTGGAGCTCACTGATGGAGAATTGTCCATCCCCAAGGTTCTGCCTACTGGAGCCACCCTTTTACCCCACAACATCACCAAGGAGATCTTGGGCGAAGGCGACATTGAAGTTAAGTCAATTGCCAGTATTCACGAGGGCAGACACCACAGAGTGTACAAGTTGTCCCTCAAGAACGACAAGTCTCTTGTATTGAGAATTCCATACAAGCTTGAGTCTGATTTTGCCATCGAGAACAAGATTAAGAGTGAGGTGGCTACCATGGACTTTTTGGCCGAGAAATTAGGCTTGAGCGTTCCAAAAGTGTTGGCCTACGGTGCTACCAGAAGCAACTCATTGCTGTCTCCTTTCATCTTGATGGAGCACATCGAGGGTGATCTCTTGATGAAGCAATGGGACCCATTGTCCAAGGATACCGAGGACAATGCTCACTTGAAGGCGGTCATTGACCCAATTGCCGACTTCCAGGCCAAGCTTTTGGAGACTCCTTTCAACAAGATCGGATCTCTCTACTTCTTTGATGATGTCAAGCCAGAACACCAGGACACTGAGCCATACGATGGTGAGACTGAGATCAAATTCAAGAACAGATGGAGAATTGGTCCTTTGGTTGAGGGTGTCTACTCCAAGAACAAGAAGCACTTGGCCGCTCAGAAGATCACCGAATTGACCGGTCCTTTCGAGAAGGATCAGCCACTTGAGGTGGTGAAGTCAGTTGCCAACATTCAATTGGAGAGTTTGAAGGCAAGACTTGGTTTGGCCCAAGCCGACGCGGGAAGCAAGGTGGAGAACATCGAGGACTTGAAGAAGCAAATACACACTTTCGAAAACTTGAAGACCATCAGTGATAAGTTGATCAACCCAACATCTCCAGCCATCATGAACTGTGCAGAATTGTTTGCTCCAAGACTCTATGCTCCAGACTTGGACCCATTGAACATTATCACGGAAAAGGACACCGGTAAGTTGTACTTCCTTGATTTCGAAAACACTTCTATCAAGCCATTTATCTTTTCCAGCTACCCTTCATTTGTGGCTTACCAGGGTGCTAAGATCTTCAACTTGGAAGAAGACGTGCCCAAGTACAATGAGATGGACGAGGTTGAGAAGCTGCAATACGAATTCATGTATCACAAGACCAGAAACGAAAGAATCTGGGAGCATGCCTTGAACGACAGAAGACATGACTTGATCGCTGTTGCTTCTCCACATCTCAAGCTTTTGAAGGCTCCATATTTGCACGCCTTGGACTGCAAGAACGACAAAGACTACTTGTTTGTTGAGAATGCTATAATTCAATTGAGAGCTATGTGGGACACCTATGTTGCTAACCAGTTATCTAATACTAAGGAGAGTGAGTTCCCTGTTGATTACAGTACCGAATACTTGGACAAACATGCCACTGATTTGGAGAACTACCAAGTTGACGTTGTCTCCACACCTTTCGCCGCAACTGGTGGATGGGTGCCTCAAGACATGTTTGATGCTTTGAAGAGGGAGGGTATCATCGTTCAGGACGAGAACGGCGATTATTCTGTCCAAACTGAGGCAGCATTGAAGGACGAGCCCAAGCCTGAGTAAGTATATAGTTAACGTTACAAGTATTTTCTTGCCAAAAGTTTCAAACGGCAGTCAAAGTCGGGTGAGACAATCGGATCATTGACCAGGTAGAATGGATTTAGTAGCGTCTGCACGTATAAGTCGTAGGCCTCCGCAAAGAACTGTTTTATGACATTTTCATCGTGCTTGCTTGAGGTCAGGTTGGATGACATCATGGAATCTAGGCTGCTTGAACCAGATGTGTTGGAGTCGTAGCATAGCACGAATTTGATGTTGCCTTGTGTGACGAATCCATTGACACGTATTCCGTAAAAAGAATCGACTTTGCCGAGGTTGAATGCATTAGTCGACCACTGAGCATCTTCAATGAGATCTAGCGAGGCGTTGGTAATGAACGGTAAAAGCTCTTTGATCCTGCTGGAAAAGTTTGATTGACCAGGGTAGCCTGAACTCGATGACGAAGTTTTGAACGAGGAGAACTCTAGCTCATAAAGAGGATTGTCACGTGTACCAATGACCGTGAAATAATATGAGGACATGCGGGATTTTCAAAAGGACTGAGTTGGTACTAATAGTTGGATAGGTGTTGATAGTGCGATCGGTACTACGTAGGACGCATTTTGGTTGCAAAACCAGAACATGTCCCAGTAATAAACTGTGGTAGTCTTGCAGAAACAAAATAAATAAAAATAACATTTCCACATCAAGATGATATACGTGCTTCCATGATCCAAATAATTTCTCAAGCTATTGGGTCACAATTTATGTGAATGAAGGATATGGCTGTGAGATTTAGTTGAGAAACAGTCCAAGAATGGTGATATGATCGAGAAGAGAGTTTTGTAATAATATAAGAAAAGATTCAGCGTTTATAGTTAACAGACGTTAGTAACCGGCAGTAGTTCCCACATACTCTTGTGCCACTCCCATCGAATCCTGCCAAAATTTGTTTAAGAAAACTCATTGAAACTTGGAATATTTTGGCCATGGGTTCTACAGAAGAAAGAGCTAGAAACTTCAAATCTTCGGTAATATATCACTTTGCTATGCCGTGGAATTTCTGTAAAGTGAAGGATCCCAAAAACGAAAATACCCATTGACTGTTTGCACAATACGTTTTGTCATGCCATCCGTCGTCAGGCGGAGCTTCAATCCTTTTTCGGAAAATGCTTATGTGACCCACTCTCGGTGTATTTATGTTTCCTAATCGATCCAGCGCGGCTTTCGTTGCAGCCAAAATCTACGACACAATGCAACCAAAAACCCAAAATCCATAGTATCAAAAACTTAAGGTAAACTTATAACAAATTCTTTCACAAAAAATTGATCCCTACAGTTGTTAAATTCGAACCATCCAAGATACTTTCCGAATTTTTTACCTTGATCCGGCCTGTCAAAATCAGCTCCTACATAAAGTGAGCCTCTGTTTTTGTTTCCGCGAGATCCCATTATCAATCACAGCACTTAAGCAAGCACCTAACTACACCACCTTACCATGGGCTTGGACCCTCCGTTTACCAGTGGTTCCCCGCAGGCGACTCCATCGGTAGATCCAGTCAAGCCTCGGGTGATTTTTTCGTCCAACATTCCGCAGAAAATAGCGGACTGTGTCTCTGAAAAGCGACTATTCTTAGGTGGATCCACGAGCAGGCTTGTGGATTTAGCCAAGGACATTGGTGAACTCGACGTGATACTCGAGCTCAACACTTTGCTTTTACGAAATCGTTATCTTACTCCATCGGACTTGGTGCGCAAGAACTTGGTCTTCGTTGCGAAGAAGAAGAGCTCTCAGAATACGCCGAAACCCTTTTTGGGGTTTAAGGGCATATGGAAAAGCGTCTTTGAGATGTCTAGTCCATCTGAAGTTTTCGTGGTGACTTTGAGAGTCTCGCTCAAACGCTTGGTCGTTGACTTGGCCAATGTAGATGACATGATCATCATTCTCCGTCATGACGAACTCCACGGTTCCATACTACGAGATATGGACTTATTGAAATCCATCAAGACTTATATTCGCCAAAGACTTCTACTAGAGCTACGGAGCAACTCAAATATCACATCAGACATTGCCGATACCAATACTATCCTTCAAGATCTGCCGGTCAATGACTCGTTGCCACTGATGAAGGACTTACACAACCAAGTCGAAGAATTCGATAGCAGTCTCGCTGATCTAACGCTAGACTCCAATACCGGTATGCCGCTCATAGAAAAACAGCTAGTGTTTGAGGATTTCCAAGATGTATCTACGTCTGACGAGGAGTTGAAGATTCTATATTCTGATGACAGTGGAAGATGTACGGTTGACGACGAAGAGGACTTGCATTTCCCCGATGGACAACCCACAAATGTATTGTCTCCGGCAATGCTTGGCGAGTTACCTACGTTGAGAGAAGAGTCACCACCACTATCATCTCAAACTATCCAGCCGGTTACTCCTCAGAAGAATCCTGAAATTCTTTCTCCTAGAAAGATTTTGATGGAGCCTCAACCAAGGACTCCTACCAGGCGCCCAAATGTACTTCAATCGCCTCCTGAACTGAGTGTGGAGCATGAATTCGACAGTCCCAGGTCCGCGTCGGTGCCGACTGAGTTATCACCAATCAAGCCTGCAACTGCACCTTCCTTGATGAAACACACGTCAATGTCGACTCTTCAGCCATCTCTCAAGAAGAAAAGCTCGGCTTCCTCCTTCACAATGATAAGTCACGATGAAAGCCATGGCTTGGAATATGCCTTCCGAGACAAATCTCCGACCGTGCCAACATACATAAAACGTGACAAAAAGTTCAAGTTCATCAAAGTTGGCAAGGTTCAGAAGTTTGTGAATTTATTCGAGGAACAAGGGCCCGGCAGCGAGTCTTCAACCAGAAACAGTACTCGGCCTGGAAGTCCACTAAAGGGACCCAAATTTTAATCATACGTAACGAATTAACGAATTTAACGTTAGCTTTTCTCAAGTGCAGAGATCCTCTCAATTAATTTGTTGAACTCTTCAAATACCCTCTGTATGTCCTCCTCACTAGCCTTGTGATCTTCACCTTCAGGTCTCACCTTCATGGTGTCTAGGCACCAAGTTTCTCGTAGGCCTCTGGTAATTGAAAGTAAGTCCTTGCATAGACGGATTATATTATGTGCATCTGACTCGAGCGTCAAGTTCTCGACTGCCAACAGTTCTCTTGACTTGTTTTGGATGATTGCCTTATCGAAGACTTCTTGAAAGTTTTCAAGAATCTGATATATATTGGTGTCAATCTTTTCTGTGGGTTAGTATAAAGACTTTTGGAGACTGCTTCTTCGACATACTTAGAAGGGACACCGATTTCTGTTGCATCGCTGAGATGAAAGTTGGAGTATCTAGAGCCGCGAATATCAAGAGTTGCACCCACTACGCACACTACGAGATCGAAAATAGTGAAATTATTAGGTGTTCAGAAACTTTCATTTCTAAACGTAATTAATTAAACGCCGAATAATAGGGAGGTGAGCTTCCAAATGATTTTGAGAATGGCAAGAATGAACTTGTAAATGTTCACCACAAACCAAGTTAGTCTCAACAAGACCACAATAGCGTTCTCTAACACGAAATAGAGTATCTTGTAGTTACCGCCGTCAGTGAAAGTTACATCACGATCACTAACAGATGTTGGGACGATGCTTCCGAAAAGGGATTGGTTCACTCTATCGAGGTTTTCATTGACCTTCTTCATGTCGAGGGATAGAGAGGTGTTTATTTCACCAATGGAACGATCAGTTGCACTAAGAAGGTGGTCAATTTTCACAGCGTATTCGTCATTGATGACATGCATGAGAGACTTACACTCACTTAAGAAGCCAGTGTAGAATGATTCGTGTGCCGGAAGTTGATTGTCATTGACCAGAACAATATCGTGAAGAAGGACATTTATGTCCTTGTTGAGAATGTGATTTAGCTTCATGGACGTTGTCTCAACGAGACGCGGAAACACGGAGTTCATGAAGCTTTCGCTGAGTATCAATTGCAGCTCTAACGAACGCCCATGAGCAAATGCGTCCATTAATTTGAGTTCTTTGGAGTCAACTTCGGGGGATTTTGAAGATTCCGTGCTAGTGACAACGTGAGCACTGCTCAGATGTGACCTGGCATGTAGAGGAGTAATTTGAACTTCGTCAAGGTTCATCTTGGATCTATTGCCGTTAGATTCCTCGAGATGCAGAGTTTCATGCTTTGAACTGATGTCATCTTTTGAAACCGAATTTGTGTCAATCCTGATTGTAGGTAACTCAGGCTGTGATCTTTGTGCTTCCGATGAACCGGAGCTTTCAAGATTTCGAGGGATTTGAAAAATATGCCCGATATTAGAATCGCTATCAGATTTGCTGCTTTGTTTTAGCTTCAGAAGGCTCTCAGAGGACTTGACCGGCTCGTTACTCGACGAGTCAACATCAGAATTAGAGTCGCCTGTACTGCTGGCGTTACCATAAAGTCGCTTGGCTTTCTCCTTGATATTTTTCCCGATACTTTTTGTAGATGGAGACTTGGACCGGCTACTGGAGCGGTCCTCTGTGTCGACGTCGCCCCAAAGCTTATCATGCAAACGGCTGGAACGTGGTGGCTTCGAAGGAGTATCGAATGAAATGACAGAACGTGGCGCTGGATGTGAATCAGAGAACCAGAGTCCACCTTTTGGGTTCCGGAGCTCCTTCCAATGCAGGGATCGCCATGCTTCGTCATTGACTAATTCATTGAGTTCGATGCCCCACAACATCCTCCATGGCTTCCCACCTGCCTTCTTGTGGGAGCTGAAAACATTGCACGCTAAAGGAAGATTAGCATAGCGTAGCGGAGGTGCCGGCTCGTGGTACTTGGCCCGAATGGCCCGGTTTCGTATGATTTGTAACGGATTATAGACTCCCTCCACACCTGGGTACTTGATATCATCAGAATTGTAATCTTCCTGACATTTGGCCAACCAGTGGTACTTCAAAGAAAGCACGCCCATGACGGTTTCCTTCCTATTCTTTGTTGTTCGGGATATCTGCAACTGCTTCTTGTTGGAGGCACCAGGCCCCGTCTCTTTCTTATCGTCTAGAGGGTCCACGACGTTGTATCTGACATTCATGGCTCTGCCGCTTTCTAATAGAAACCCCGCTAGCCGTTTCACAGTGGTGTTTTCCTCTTCGGCGGGCTTATGTACGACTTCGTCATCAAGATCGTGGTCCGTCACCAACGTCTCGGGGGTACTTTGTATAGTGTTTTCGTCAACGTCCACGTCAAATTGAAAACCAGGGCCAGCCAGGCGCCTCGTAGCAGCTAGGGTGTTTCTTTTTCTTGCTCTTTTGTTCCTTGCCGAAACCGCAGGTCTCTCCAGCCGGCTTTCCCTATCCTGAGCCGTTGGAATCGGCGATATTCGTAGTGCTGACAAAGGCAGCTTACTGGCTCCCCTCAGATCCTTCTGGGCATATTGCACAGATAGAAAATCGTCGTTGATAGCCATAATGAGGACCCCGGTAGGAGTATAGTCTGGCAGGGCCTTGATATCTCCTGCAGCGTTTGCGCAGGTATACCCAAGGAGGCTCAGAAAGGGCCCCACAAAAAGGTTAAATCTGAAAATTCCGAGGGGCTTACAAAAGAATTTAGTAGTCGAATGAATGAATTAGTCCAAAGAAGTTTGCGTTGCTAGATGTGGTAGATAGGCCGATTTGTGTGGCTCTCACGTGTGCTCCTACACCTTTTGAGCCAAGCGCATAGCAGCTGTCAAGTACCATGTCTTCCATCCAGTTTGCCAAAAACCAGGCGGATTTTAACAATTACCTTCTGAATAACAAATACCTTGTGGCGCAGTTCACTGCTTCATGGTGTGGGCCCTGCCAGGCTATCAAGCCCGTAATTGACAATCTATACAGCTCAGACAAGTATAAGAAGTTGGAGATTGTCCGGGTCGACTTGGACTCGTGCCAGGAGGTGGCTGCCAAATACAGTATCACAAGTGTTCCTACGTTTTTGTTTTTCGAGAACGGCAAGGAGGTCGGACGTGTCCAGGGTGCTTCTCCCAAGATGATGGAGAGCTTTGATCTGTTGAACGAGAAGGCCAATGCTGATTCCTCTGCTGGCCGCAGCACAGGTGCTAGTCTGTCGGCATCGTTACCCAATGAGCTTGGGTCTCTTATCCCCAAGGGCTACCAGGTGCTCAATGATATCATTCACTTCGGTGAGTTGGTGTCCTTGAATGCATTGACTTTAGTTAAAAGTGAAGAGGCCAAACCCTCTGTCTTATTTAGGGTTCCCGAGAAGCAGACGGCCGTTTTGTCTGATGCCGACTCGCAGGCGTTGTTTTTCGTGCCATTGAACAACATTTCCAAGGTGTACTCTGTTCTCCTCAAGATCTCCGATCTCAGCAACTACAAGGGCGATCTTGAGTTGGACGAGGACGAGATTAATGAGGAAACGCAACCTCCATCGACCCTCAAGCTTTGGATCAACAAACCTGGCATCATGTCGTTTGATGACGCCGCTGCAGACAAGAACGCTCCACATGTGGAGACACTTGATCTTTCAAAGGTCTCTGACGGTTGGTACGAGGCCAAGTTGCGTTTTGTTCGTTTCCAGAGCGTTCAGAACTTGACTGTGTTTGTAGATGGAGAGGATGAGGACAAGCACACCGTGGTGGACAAGGTGGTCATTGTCGGTATCAGCGGAGACTCTCGGGAGCAGGGATCCGTGCAGCAGCTAGAGGAAGAGTAAAATAGGTCGCCATAGGTGTTATTAGGTAGAGAGTCAAAGATGAGTTAGATGGTAGCGATTGACATGGGTTATCACATGTAAGGCCGACTGACCTAATAGCGGTTGGCCTGAAGGGCTCGATTTCAATAGACGTTCACTTAATCTCGAATAATTCGCAGCCATAAAATCTTGGAAAAACGGCCACAAAACTTCCCTGCTGATCTATTCTCTCGGCTGCAAACCTTAAAGGGCCAATGCACCTCGGCAAGCTGAGCCACGAATGAACAAACGCCCATTTTACTTGAAAAGTTTACTTTTTAAATCGGATCAAGTAAAAAAATGGATTTTTCGAATTCACCAAAGATGCTCCAAACAACCAGGCTTTCCTCATCGAGTGGCGATTGTCTGTCAACCATGCAGCCACTAAGAAGACAGGCATTAGCGAATGCGAAACGTTAGGTTGCGACAAGGACATCTAGAAGCCACCACGAAATCAAAAAAATACCCAAGTTATCAAATCCACTGAAAGCTTCAAATTCCGCCATTTATTTCCAACCCTCCATCCATATTATTTCCGAGTGGTGCTCGGCTATTGGCGCGGCCGTTTTCCACGGGACGAAAAAAGCCCCAGCTTCTCAGAGAGTCTCTGGTATATAAAACTGCCACCCTCTGGAGCCGTTCTCACCTCAACTACTGTCCAGTTTTGCCCCCAGCTCCCCTTTTAATACCTCGTGTACTCGAATCCGGAGCCAGCTCGGTAAATAAATTTCATGAACTCCGTGCTATCCAAAGGCTTACTTGCTCGACACGTGCTTGTCTCACCTTCCCGCCGGCTTCTCGGTAGGGCGTCCTTGGTTCTTCCTATGAGCTATGGACGCCTTCCAGCCCGCCAGGTGAGGCACCAGTCGACGAAAACGGAAGAAACGAAACCAGACACGCTGGTGATTCGGAAGCAAGATGGGCCATCTACCGAGGTGGCCGAAAGCGCCGAAAAAAAAGCAGCTGAGAAGGCAAAACCCACCCTCTGGGAGAAGGTCAAGCACGAGGCGTCTCACTACTGGAACGGCACCAAGTTGTTGGGTTACGAGATCAAGGTCTCGACCAAGTTGTTGGTCAAGATGGTCTCCGGCTACGGCTTGTCGAGAAGAGAAAACAACCAGTTGCAGCGCACCATTGTGGATGTGATCCGATTGGTGCCTTTCTCTATGTTTGTGCTTGTTCCTTTCGCCGAGTTGTTGTTGCCTGTTGCGTTGAAGATCTTCCCTAACTTGTTGCCATCCACCTACCAGTCGAAGCTGGACATCAAGAAGAAGAGAGCCGACTTGTCCAAGAGAAGAGTCAATGCTTCTGACTACATCAAGAAGACTATGGAGGAGAGCGGCCTCAAGTTGTCCAAGATTTCGGAGGAGGAAAAGCAGGCCTTCGTTGGCTTTTTCGACATCATCTCCATGGGTAAGACGCCAGACAGAGAGCACTTGACCAGGGTCGCCCGTATGTTCAAGAACGATCAGGTTTTGGATAACTTGTCTCGTCCTCAATTGGTGGCCATGGCCAAGTACATGTCGCTCAGACCTTTTGGTACCGACTCCATTTTGCGTTATCAAATTAGACACCGTTTGTTGACCATTATCAAGGACGACAAGGCCATCGATTACGAGGGTGTGGAGTCTTTGACGGTCCCTGAGTTGCATGTGGCTTGTTCCCAGAGAGGTATCAAGACCCAGGATGTCTCCCCAGGCAGATTGAGAGAGGACTTGGACACTTGGTTGGACTTGAGATTGAGACAGAAGATCCCCTCTACCCTTTTGATTCTTTCCTCTGCTTACACCTACGGTGAGCACACCCAGGGTATTGACACGTATTACGATGCCCTTTTGGCTGTCTTGTCCTCTATTCCTGACGAGGTGTACAATGTTGCTAAGTTGAGTATGTCTGACGACTCCAAGTTGAAGTTGGACATCTTGAAGGAGCAGGATGAGATGATCAATGAGGAGAACTTGAGAGAGAAGGACACTGTCAACAACATTAAGGATGAGATCCAGTTGGACGAGTACGAGGACACTGCCAGCGAGGGAATGAAGATTGAGGAAGACGAGTCCAAGGGAGGCAAGGAGAAGGACAATGAGAAGAGTGAGAAGAACAGTGAGAAGAAGAGTGAGGAGAGTGACGCCGGTACTACTGTCAGTGGCGACAAAAAATAGAGAAGCAGCCCTGTCTATAAAAGTTAAAAACGAATTAACGAAATATTTATATAAGCTATTCGGTACAATTGTGTAAGATTATTAGTTGTGGCCGGTAGATCCGAAACCACCCTCGCCTCTGTCGGTGTTATCCAACTCCTCCTTGGAGATAACAGCGATTTCAGCATTCACGATACGCTCCAAAACCAATTGGGCGATACGGTCACCGGCCTTGATCTCAAAGTCCTTTTGAGAGTGGTTGAAGAGCACAACCTTAACCTCACCTCTGTAGTCAGCATCAATAACACCAGCACCGGTAGAGATACCATGCTTCACTGCCAAACCAGATCTTGGGGCCACTCTGCCGTAAGTGCCCTCTGGCACAATCACAGAGATATCGGTAGCGACGAGACCCTGACCCTGAGCTGGGATCACGGCTTCTTCTGCGGAGTAGAGGTCATAGCCTGCAGCCAAAACGGAACCTCTGGTAGGAACCTTGGCTCTCTCAGAACGAAGGAAAACTCTGAGGTCGGTTGTCACCTTCTGTTTCTTTTCAGTTGACATGGTATGGAAGAAGATGTGATGGAAAACTGTGTAGCGCGTTGCAGCGCGACGCGAATGGGGTCTATTGAACCACAAATCCTAGGTAAGACTGAGGATTGAAGCAGTCATGCAAACGGATATTTAGAATGTTGGGAGTAATTTGTTCTGGCAATTTTCTAAGGCTTTCGCCACTGACCCTCATATTGAATGGTCTCACTGTTTCCAGCTCGGTAATGCCTAGAGGAAGGCCTTCGAGTGACTTGGTAGACTGCTTGAAGATGCATTGGTAGAGCGTGAGCTGTAGGATAAGTATGATGAAGTCGATCAATATGAGTTGGAAGAGGCCTAGCTGCCAGAGCCGGAGCCATATGTTGGAGGATGGATCGTACTCAGGTACAGATTCACCAATGAAGGAAACAAGCCACCAGGAGCCATTCGTGATGTATTCAAGCTCTTTGCCATCGGCCACCAGTTTCAACCAGAAGAAAAAGAGCACATGATAGAACACGTTCAGGATAAACTTGCCGTAGATGAGGGCTAAGACAAACTTCGTAAGGTTGCTCCTGAAAGTCGTACTAGGATCACCCGTTTCCTGTTCTCTCTTTTTGATTCCTTGGTCTATCGTCTCCAAAGTGGACCAGTTGTCAGGTTCTGTAATGGCCTTGACAGATATTATCACTTGAACCACTGAATCTATGATGAATGGCCATATACAAGCTAGATGGCAGTACTTGATCAACTGCAATCCCGAAAGTACAACCACTGTTTTCTCTAAATGGCGTAGCATATGCCGCTGGCCTCGAGCTTTGGATACTAGGTACTCGGACTTCTTGAAGGCGGTTAGCTGGTCTTCCTCGATATGTAGGGTGTTCCATTTATTGCTGGACGATTCTATTGAAGTAGATCGAGCCGCACTCAGCAGCTCTATAGGAAATGCCCCAGGCATCAACGAGCCCATGTTGGAAATGTGGAGTAGTTGATTTCGATCTGTCACTATCAATAGCTCTTTATCAGTGCAGGCTGGTGCGCCGAGGGGCGGGAGGGCTTCCGAGCATGATGCTTTCTAAGAATTAAAGGTTTATTCTCAGGAGAAGGATATTTTTTTTGAAAAATATTTGATTATTCCTTCAAATGGCTGTTTGTGGATACTTCTGGCAAAAATGTTGTAGGGTTGCCGCACTTCGTATTACTGTGGATGCTAGGCTAAGTACATCACTTTATCTGCTCCAGCTGCTTCTAAGGTAGGTCAAAAACCAATATTCTTGAACTAAGCAACGAAAAGAAGGGTCCTTACTATGATTGTATGGGTAGATTCGAGTGAGGCAGGCTTATCATTGAATGTGCTTTGCTGCGAAATTTCCCTAGCTGGTGTCCTGAATCATAGCCGTTGTAAAAGCAATCCGTTCAGGTTGATAAAAAAAGTTATCATCATAGGAAAAGAGCCTATGACTGATCGACATTCATTGTCTGTTATTGCCAATTAATCATTCCTTACCTGAACGACCGAACCAAATTAAAAGCACTACTTGTTCTTGAACTGGAATAGGGGTTTTAAAGGGTCTTTCAATAGTGGCGATTCATAAATGTAGGACAAAATAAAAATTTCATCTTCTAGTAAAGAGGTACTTTTGCGCTCACAATGGCTGCAAATGCCTCGCGGAGCTGGAACTGACTATTAACATGTCATGATAACCGCAATTCTGCCCGTTCAAATAATCTGACTTCCGCTCTTCTATCTTCCTCTCTTTTTCAAGTCTATCTTTAAAAAATAAGCGAATTTCGCTTGTCGGTCTGATTAGACTTGTCCCCGTATTTCATGCTTCCTACACGTAACGAGTGTTGATGTACGCGTCGCTGAATCCATCGAAATAACACACGGATAATGACTCTGGTGGAAGAAAAACCCTCTCCTGCCATGGGACAGAGCTCTGTTAAAACTGAAACTCTTACTTCTGGGAAGAGACAATTCAATATTGACGACTTTGCGAGAAAGAAACCCAAAACGGACTCTGAAACAAGCGGCTCCCAAGAAGCGAGTCCCGAGATAATCGAGATCGAGGATAAAGAAGTGGACCCCAATGTCGGCATTACTGACATAAAGCAAGACCCCATACCCACACCATCTACGCCGATGGACGCGAATGAGTCCATTGACTTGACTACTCCGGATGGAAAGACCAAGGATGCAAGTCCGGTGACTCTCGAGAGACCTACGGAGCCTGTGATTCTTGAACTGCCAAACGTTGATCACATCAAAGAGTCACAGGATACCAGGATGTCGGTTGAACCAACGGCACCAGTCACGACGAATGAAATGCCCAAAGTTGAAGCACTCAAGATCGATGAGCCAAGACGTTGACACAGAAGCAGCTAGAAAGGCTAGAAAAACAGAAGATACGGGAACAGGAAAGACTCGAACGAGAAAAGAAGAAAGAAGAGGAGCGCATACTTAAGAAACTAGAAAGAGAAAGAAAGGACCAGGAACGGCTAATCAAGAAGCAGAAACTCGAGGAGGAGAAAGAAAGAAAGCGCGAGGAGGAGAGACAGCGCAGGGAAGAAAAGAAGAGAAAGGTGGATGAGGAGCGGAAGAGAAAGGAACAAGAGCGCATAAAAAAGGATGAAGAGAAGAAACGCAAGGAGGAAGAACGCAAACAGCAAGAGGAAGAAAGAAAGAAGCAGGAGGAGCAGAAGGAACGAAGCCAAATGAAGATTTCTAGTTTCTTCACTGTAAAATCTGCTGCTTCGAAACAAAAATCTTCTTTGCCAGTTCCAACATCATCGAAAGCCACCACACCGGGTAAAGAAGCTAGCCTTTATGAGAAGCAATTCCTCCCTTTTTTCATAAAGAAGAACACAACAATGGCTGCTTCAAAATCTATGTCCAAGGAGGCTTTGAATGCTCTGATAAGCGAATTCGATAAAAGCTTGTCCTCGTCAGAGGCTAGCAGCATAAGTCAGATGTTCCCACAGCCTACGGTTACTCCACAGCGATCGACTTTCACCAACGCTGAAGACCTCGCTGAAGCATTAAACTCCACTTCCGTCAGTGAGTCAAGCGTAAAATCGCTATTGAAAAACCTCCCCAGCATAAAATACTTGCAGTTCTACGAAAACGCCAAGCCACCCTATGTTGGTACCTGGTGCTCCAAACTTCACTCTAGAACACCATTCACTGCATTCAACCCACTCGATACCTCACTCACAGGTTACGACTACAACTACGATTCCGATCTCGATTGGCAAGATGGTGATGAAGGCGAGGGTGAGGACATCGATGATCTAGAGGATGGTGATGGTGATGAGGATGATGTTAATGACGACGAGGAGATGGATGATTTCGTGGAGAATAACAACGATGGCAAGCGAAGGCTAAATATGGGTCCTATGGAGGCAGTGACAATCATTAATGATGGAAGCAACTCGACCTTGTTTGAAAAATTGCAATTTCGCCTCTTCCAGCCTCAGCTCAAATTTCCTATCAATCCGAATGAGAGTCCCAAGGAAGGTGCTAAGATTGCGGAAAAGCCATCTACACAAGGTGATGCTCCTTTCTCTGTAAGCCAATTGAAGGCTACCCCATTGCAAGGGAAGAGCACTGCCAGCCCCAATGTCCTCACGCCTCAGAAACCTATAATTCAAGATAAAGCGGTTGTTCAACAACTAATTGCATTTATCGAGAAGAATTCGGACTTCACAATAGGAACTCTTTCCGAATTGGCGAAGAAAGAGTTCAAGAATTACACCAAGAGCATTCTCAAGCACACCATCCAAGACGTTGCCATTTACAACAAAAAACAAAGTTTATGGGAAATCAAGGAGGGTGTCAAAGAGAAGGTTTAGTTTACTGCATATATAGATGGATATGGAATATCGATCTCGGATGAGCTTGTGGGTACATGTAGATGTAGACGCGCGTCATCTCTAGTTACACTATCTAACAGAACCTATGGAGAAAGAGGAGGATGACGAGCCCGCCTCTCTATTTTTCGCTTCTACACAGATCCAGTCTCGTCATGAAGATCACGAGAAAACAGAGCAAACTTTAGGAAAACTTCAAAAATTCAAAAATGATAGCCCCCACACAAGAAGATCAATGTGACTATGCACAAGCCGCCTAGGAAACCAAGGGCAAAGAAGTCTGAGATAAAAAAGAATAAAGTTTCGGCCAGCTCACTTTCTTTGAATGCTTTTGTGAAAGAGACGTTCCGGAACAAACAAAAGCCTGATCCACTGAGTATCCTAGACTACTTTGCTGGTGATTCCCAGAAAGTTGACCAGTTCCTCAGCAAAATCGAGGATGTTGCAAGAAAAGACGGAGACTCAAAGCATGAGATCAGACCTTCTATTCATTCTAAAGAGGAGTGGGAAGGCGTTTTGAAGAGCATACGGCTTCGATTTCCAAATCTCTCAACAAGGAACCAGAGAACACTTAGCAAGATATCACAGCAGTTGAAAAGCCTACAGCGTTCGGATTCTGAGTCCATCACAGAGCTGCCGTCCGTATGGTCACAGGCATCTAGACAACCGAGCGATAGTCTTACAACGGAGGACATGAAGTGGTTGTACGACTTAGATAATGCGGAGGGAATCAAGGACCTAGATGCAAATGACTTGCAACTTCACGAGGAAGAAGAGGAAGAGAAGCCTTTTTACCTCACCCTTTCGCAGGCTATGGATCAGAGCAAGGTGAAGGATAGTGAGGACGAGGGCGACGAAAGCATTCAAATATTAGATGCAAAATCCCCAATTTTAATTTCAGATTCGGAGTCCGAGCCCGAGCCATACATTCCACCGAACAATATAGCAGCAGCCGACGATATACCATCTCATCAGGTGGCTGGTCCACCTGAGTCGGTCGATCTTCTTACTAGCATCGCATTTAACTCAAAGTGTCAAAGGGAGGATATGCCCGTGGGGACTCAAACTCAGCCACTTGTGGTAGAAGAGGACGAAGCATTCCTGCCAAAGAAGAACAACGAAAGCATCATTTTCTCTTCTCCAATCAAACCTGTGCTTACCAAGAAGCCAAAAACACCAACCAAGTGGCCAAGTAATCTTGTGATAACATCGTCACCTGTCTCATCAGGTAAAGAGGATCTGGCGAAGAAAGGTGAAGATGAAGAGGTGTTTGCAACGGCAAGAAGTGTTCCTGACGAAACGCAAGGCTCGCAATCGCCCACGCTACAATCTTCGATGCCGCTGCCAAAGCGAAAGATTTCGAGAAAGCGGAGCTTCAAGACATCCACGCTAGAATATTGGGGCATGTGGAGTTCCCTGAAGATCTGTCCAATACTATTAAAATGAGAAAAATACCTACAACTTCCGAGGGGGATCAGATCCCGGACTCAGAGGAAAGCGATTGTGAGGTTAGCTTGATTGAAATAAGTAAGCCATCCGATCCTATAGATCCTCCAAAGCCCTCAAAAACCCATCGATCCTACAAGTTCCCTCAAGTCCACGACTCAGTACACAATCGGACAGCTTCCTGAAGTTGTCACTGCTACCCATGAAAGATGTGAGAGAAATTTACTTACATTTGGGACTCGCACCTGCAAAGCTCAAGGCGACAATGGTAGCAGCGATAGAGTATGCAACTGAACTCACGGATAATTCTATTGAAGATTTGTTAAATAATGACACGGAGCTCAAGGCACGACTGCTCGGGAAGCAGTTCATGAGCATGCTATATGATAAAATGACCAATCTGATCAAAATGTCTGATGATTTACACTTGAAGATCGCCTTGTTCGAGCCAATAAATATAGAGGCTGTTGCACAACACTTGAAGGATGAAGAAGTGTTCCCGATCGAGATAGACATTCCGTTCCTTCAAAAGTATTGTGATGAGAAGGGGTCAGCACGACAAACAGGCCCATTTAAAGAAATTTTTTGTGATCAGCGTCTATGTCATCGCTCAAAAGACGAGTTTCAAGGAAAAGTAAGATTCTGATCATAATGAAGGAGCTTAATGCGATGGATCCAATGGTAACGGCCACTGTCGAAAGAAGGCCACCAAACTTACGGTCATTGATGGCGATTATGACCCAGTACAAGTGGTAAAGGAATAAGGCTAGCGCGACAATAGTAGCGCCAGTCATGAAGGAGGCTTTAGCCGCTCTTGACTTGGAGATTCTCTCCTGTCTTGGAGGAACTGGTTTCTTAGCGTAAGGCATTTTGAAGATAACGCGTTTTAGTGGAATCAGAAATCTGTCAGAGAAGAAGCGAGCAAATGCGTATCGCGCGCATGCAGTAAGGAGTGTCAGCTGCGGTCCTTATCGTACCTTTTTGGAAGCGATAAACCATGCAACTGTAGAAGTTAATGAAGAAGGGAATTCCTTCAAAAGTTGGTTTGAATCAGCATCATATTTTGATATCTTAAGCATCTTGTTGCTGTCCGAAAAGACAATACGGCGAGTTCTGCTATCCTGCTAAGCTCTATGAAGCTCCCCTTTTGACCCACAAATAATAAGATGTCCAAAATTACCTTGAACTACACCAAAACATTATTTTCTGAGCCAAAGGTCGAAAATGTGTAGTGCCCGAGTATCGGGTTCGGTTTCTAGAATACGCACGTGAGGCTCTATCTGCAAGCGAGGTTGTCTGACCTTTTCCAGACTCAAAAGCACAAGCAGCTTTATGTCCTATTGAACACTTCAAAAGCATATTTATTATGGAGAACGTATACAAAGCCGATCCCACGCTACTGGTGAAGCCTGCCTACTATTCCAATGGAGTTCCGGTTTTCGAGCCGACCATGGACGAATTCAGAGATTTTTATCTGTACAATAAGGCTATCAATCGGTATGGTATGCAATCCGGAATAGTGAAAGTTATCCCACCTCCGGAGTGGGTTGCTCTGTTGAAAGGAACATATACTGAAGACAATCTTCTGCAAGTGAAGATCAGAAACCCTATTGTGCAAAACATCAATGTCACTGCTGGTTACCTGGGAGTTTTCTCTCTGCAGAACGTGGAACGTCAAAGGAGTTATAATATATTCCAATGGAAGGAATTGCTGAGGAAACACAATCATAGCCCTCCTGCTCGTCGCAAAAGTAGAGGACGGGGGAGCAGTCTGCCAAAAGCTGAGGAGACTGAAGAAACTGTGGAGAAGGACCAAAGAGCGAAGCGCTCAACTTGCAAGTCCTCTAAAGAAATTACTGATGAACTTTTAGATGCTGACTTCAACATTGATGCCAATGAGTTTACTCCAGAGAGATGCAGTGAGCTTGAGGCGGTTTACTGGAAGTCAGTCGGGTACTCGGAACCCATGTACGGTGCTGATATGTTGGGGTCACTATTTTTGGACCGAACAACCAGTTGGAATGTGGCACACCTTCCCAATGTTCTAGACTTGATGGAAGAGAAGATTCCGGGTGTTAACGATGCCTACCTTTATGCGGGTCTCTGGAAGGCCACCTTCTCGTGGCACTTGGAGGACCAAGACTTATATTCAATCAATTACCTACATTTTGGGGCTCCTAAGCAATGGTACTCAATCCCGCAGGAAGAGAGTGGTAAGTTCTATAACCTTATGAAGGAGATATTCAATGAGGATTATAAGAATTGTCGTGAGTTCTTAAGGCACAAGACATTTATGGCTTCGCCACAGTTCTTACAGAAGCACGGCATTACCTGCAACAGCATTGTCCACAACCAGGGTGAGTTCATGATCACGTATCCCTATGGTTATCATTCGGGCTACAATTTAGGCTACAACCTAGCCGAGTCCGTCAATTTCGCTTTAGACGATTGGTTCCCGTTTGCAGAAAAAACAAACAAGTGTGAGTGTATTTCTGACTCTGTTGGTATCAATCACAAACAGATATACTGCAAGTTCAAAGGCATTCCTTACGTTGCCGAAGCTAAAACTCAACCAGAGAACGTTGAACCCCCTCAGAAGGTGATGGAGACTCCAGCAGCAAGGAAACCGTCAATCCGCAAGCGTGAGAAGAAAGAGAACATACAGAATCAATGCGCTCTCTGTCCCAACACGTTGCTGAAGGAATTACTAGATTTTCAACCTTTTGAACTTCTTGGAACTGATGTGGATGCTACAAAGTCAAGTCAAGTACATCGCATTTGCGCTGAGCAGTTCAAGGATCAAATATCCATCCAGGGCAAGAAAGCAAATGGACTCAAGTCTATCAGCAAAGCACAACGTGGACTCAAGTGTCAAGTTTGTCATGTACCAAACATAACACTGGGCACTGCTATTTTGGGAGCCTGCTTTCAATGTTCCCACAACAAATGCACCAGAGCCTTTCATGCTACTTGTGCTATCTCGGGTGGTGTGATGATGGACTCGGGCCTCTGCAAAATGCACAGAGTAACGAAATCACCATTTTATGAGAGAAGTTCGCTGGAAGCCCAAACAATCTTAGAGACTGTTCAAAAGGATTCGATCATCCAATTCACCTTCACCAACCTCACGCGTCGTCGACACTCAGGAGAGGTTTACGCTGGACTAGTGCTTAGAAACAATGTGAGAGAGTCCACCCTTGAGGTGCTCGTCTACCCAAATTTGAAAGACAAAGTGGAGATTCAGTACGACGATATACTTATTGGATCCCTGCAACACCTTGACAATCAACAACTCATGACAATGCAAAAGAGGTCTACGAAGGGTAGAAGAGCTTCTGAGCCAACCACTAGAAAGAGAAAGAGATCACCAGAGCATGACGCTACGGATGAGCTGCTGGCCGGCCCGGTCTCTCCTCTGGAGGTTGAGCTCAAAATGCCTCTCAAGCTCGGCAAATTTCAACCACCTCTTTTCGATGCCATGTACCAAACCCGGCTGCAAACCCAACCGCAGATGGTGTTTATCAACCAAACATCGCTGAGGGTGCACAGCCCCTTTCCCGAACCTCAAGGCTTGAGATTCGTGGAAGAAACATTTAATGACCATTGATGATTTGCTGTATATATTCGAGAATTTATGTGCGTGAAGGGAGTTTCCTCGTAGACTACATATCTAGAGCGCTAACATCGCGCATCAAATCTACCACCTCTAGCTTTATGGAGCAAGTACATGCCAGCAAAAAGAAGCAAGCGCCCTCCTAAACACGAAGACGAAAGTCTTAGTGAAGATGTCGACGATGACACAGAAGAGGCAATTGCATTGAAACCTTCCACAAAACGACCGAAGCCTGATCTATCTGAACAATGGATTGATAAGTACGAGCCTACTAAAGTTGAAGAGATCTGCTTGAATCCCAGGAAGCTCAAGGAGGTCAGCGAAGCTCTTAATGATATGATCACCAAAAAGCTGAACTGTCGACTTCTCGTTTTGTCAGGTCCAGCAGGGTCCTCCAAATCCACCTGTGCTAGGCTTCTAGCGAAGAGGAGCTTGAATGAAAAACACACTTTTTCAGGCAATTCCAAGCCCTCGGCTGGCACGGTCGTGGAGTACTTTGATACAAGCATCGAGGACGTGTACCAAATGGATCAATTTCGAGATTTCATGGATGGATGCAAATTCTTGGTAGGCACAAACCTCTCGGTGATCATCATCGAAGACTTGCCTAACATATTTCACAATGACACGCTTCAAGCGTTCAGAAGCTGTCTTCGTGACTGGATCTTCCTGGATCCCGATGTGGACCTCCCGCCCATCATTCTATGCCTCCTGGAAGTGGAGAGAGAGAACTCCGATTCCGGTCAAAAGACCTACTACAACATCGAGAATAACTTAACCGTCGAAACCCTCCTAGGCAGAGATCTTTTCAACCAGGGGGTGCTCATGGTCTCATTAAGCGGATAAAGTTTCTCCCCATAGCGAAAACGTTTATGAAGAAAACCTTGCATAAGATCATTGGCAAAGAGTCTGCTATTTTCAGCACCAAGCCGAGGCTGGAAGTGGAGCAATTTGTGAGTGCCACAATAGAAACAGGAGACATACGATCGCTGATATGCAACCTACAGTTTTGGAGCAGCAATGCGCTGAACTCATTCGGTGAGCGTGAGAGCCAGATATCGCTCTTTCATGCTGTGGGCAAGGTCATACACTCGAGTTCAAAATTTGCAGAGCTAGACAGTCAAGTCTCGGATATGCTTTCCCTCAAAATGGTGGCCGATGCATACAGCAATTTCGGACTTCTTCACCTCACACTTTTGGAGAATTACCAGATCGTGAATGGCGGCGACTTTGATGTCGATATTGCAGCACAAGTTGTGGATGCCTTGAGCTTGAATGATACACTCGAGGACGTTGACGAAAGCAAAGAGTACGGGATCATGGCTACCAGGATGAGTCTACGGCAGATACCAGTAAAGTCGGGTCGGACACAGCCCATGAAGTTCTCCCGACATTTCAAAACGATCAGAGAGTCCAACAAAGTGAAACGAGAGGTTTCAGACTATATTCGGTACATCACGCGGCTCCAACTTCCCTTCCAAGAGGCCAACCAAGTCGATGGTTGTCTCCTTCCCAAGATCTATAATCTGTTTCGTTACAAGCTTCTTCACGGGCGTTCTCGGTACAATTATAACCGTCTTGGCGGTACTCTAGCGCAGATATATGCTGACGACGAGCTACCTGTCATGGAAAACGAAGGTGAATACGAGGCTGGTGCTGAGGACCAGTTCAGATGCGATATACGACAAAAGATCAAGGAGGAGGACCAAGAAGATGGTTCAGATGACGACGAAATGAGTGAGGAAGTGAGTGACTCCGATGGAGAACTTGACGACACAATAGGCGACGATTTGGACAGCCTTCTCGGCAGTATGCGGAAGCCTGTGGAAGAGAATCTACTGGACGACCCCGAGCTCGACTTGCTAGTGTCGCAGGGGATGCTATAGCCTAATTATATATTTATTAATAATACTCTTCTATGCGGACAATGCAGTTTGGAAGAAATCTGGGTCCTCCTCAAGCGACTCTTTGATGATGTCCAAGCCGCCCTGGAACTCTCCATTGACGTATAGCTGTGGGAAAGTGGGCCAGTCGGAGAATGTCTTGAGGCCCTGTCTGACCGAGTCGTCCTTCAAAATGTCAAAAAATCCGAATCTCACCTGGTGCTCTCTCAAAATGGCCACCATCTGGCGCGAGAAGCCACACTGGGGTGAGGATGGAGATCCCTTCATGAAAAGCATCACTGGGGCTGCCGCCGTGAGTTTCTTTAGCCTTTCGTCAAGTTCTTCTGCAGTAGGCTCCTTGGTTTCAGCAGGAGCAGCAGCAGCCTGGCTGGCTTCAGCGGCTGTGGAAGATGGAGCTGTGTCGCCAGAAAACTGCTTCAACGCAGCGATGAATTCTTTAGGGTCGGCGCCACTCAACTCCTGCAAAATCGTGGCGTTACGAATCAATATTATGTAAGGAACGGCCGAGACTTCAAACAACTCAGAGATTTCGGAGTGGTCGTCGGCGTTGATGGAAAGAAATCTCACGTTGGAGTTTGCCTGGGCCAAAGTCTTGACCACTGAGTTCATCGTCTGGCAGGGAGCAGCCCAAGGCGTGTGGAAGTAAAGGGCGATCAACTTTGTAGGGTCATCTTTTGTGAGTTGCGTGAACTGATCCTCAGATTCGATCTCTATGAGGGACATGGTTGGGGACGAGATGGTGTAGGTTTGTCAATTAAGCGACGATCTGTGGCTGATGTGATAGCGCGCGTGATCCAGGATCACGTGCTTTGCCTTCAAATCGTGAATCTTCAGGACCCTCGGCATCTACAGACCCCATAATCCCACACACAAGTTACTGGTCGGCATCCTCCAGCTTCCGCGAACGGCTCAAGACGCAACCAGCTCAACCTGGCTCGACACACGGGATTACGAGACTTCACGTGGCAGGTCATGTGCCAGTCGGTCATGTGCTATATCACGTGCGTCACGTGATTGATCACCTGTGGTGCCGCGTGACACACGGAATCGGCCAACGCCCGAGCCGACAAGACCCCAACCCAAAAAGGAAGCTAGCAGGCCACCCCCGCTGTAAGCCACCGAGCCGGAGGCCGAAACACACGGAAAACAGCCAATCAGGTTGCACAAAAAACCCACCAATGGAGGTGGCGGCACGAGGCCTATTCTTCGCGCTCCCCCCACACCGATTGTTCTTTGTTCGGCTGGAAACCACCCTTGTGTGAAAGAAAAAATAAAAAGCCGTCTTTGTCACTCTGGGGAGGTTTTGCAGGCCACCGGAACCCCGGTCCAGGAGCCGAGCCAAGCACGCCGTAGACAGGGCCGGTGACTCTAGAAAAACATGATTGGCTGGTTTTTACAAGGGGCTGGTTTCTAGCGTTTTGGGCCCCGAGTGGCGTTTGTTGGACTTGCTCGTTTGGCACCCTGGGCTAGTGAGAAAAGCGTAGCGCAAAAAACACTGCAGCAGGGCCAATGAGGTGTGACGAGGCGAAGGCAGGAACAGCTTTTAGATAGTAAAGATAAGATTTGGATTTGGGGTGACACGATTGGTCGGATGGGCCGGCGACGTCTCATTGTACTTTTTCGTTTTTTTCCTTTTGTTGTAAATAGCCCCCACCGGGACCAACAAGAGGGTGTATTGTAAAGTCTATCGTATAGCGTTTGCAGCATCCTGCTGCGCAGCCAACTGAGACCATTTCAGGTGCCAGCCGTAGCCCTGAAATTGACGGAGTAGAGCTACAAAACATTGCTTACAATTGAATATCATAAAATTCTTAAAAAAAAACTTCACCTGCCCTCCCCTTATTCTAATCTCTGGGCCCACCCGGATTCCAGATGATGGCCTGCCTGGTGCGCCTATCTTGGGCAGGGCTTTTGTGCTTTGGTCCCCCGCAATTTCCGCACTGTCTGACCAACATTTTTTCCCCCAGACTTCACCATCACCTACTACTTCTTCCAACCCTTTCCAACTGGCTTGCCACAGCCCAAGTGTGCCCTATTTATTACTATTTATTCTAGGCTCCGTCAGAGCCCCCGTTCCATTGTGGCTTGATGCTTTCTTCCACCGCTAACCTCCCCAACCACAACCTCTCGCCAATGGACTTTTCGCTTCAGGACAACATCGAAAGGGACGACTCTCCCGACGCCCTCGCCCCCGAGTCAAAAAAGAAAATCCCCCGCGAGCTCACCGCGCACGGCACCACGCCCTCGGGTAAGCCCAGGCTCTTTGTTTGCAACACATGTACCCGGGCGTTTGCCCGTTTGGAGCACTTGCGCCGCCACGAGCGGTCCCATACAAAGGAGAAACCTTTCACTTGCGGAGTGTGTCAGCGTAAGTTTTCCCGAAGAGACTTGCTCTTGAGACACGCCCAGAAGTTGCACGCGGGTTGCGCTGATGCCATTACTCGCTTGCGCAGAAAGCTGATTAAACTGAACTCCATCCTGCTGGCCCTGGGCGAGTCCTACGACGATGCTCTCTTGCTGCAGTCGCCGTACCAAAAGGACTACGCTGAGGCTACTCAGGGCGCTGGCGTCGTGGGCTCCAAGGCCAACGCCTCCGCTGCCATTCCAACCCCAGGCAACTCCCACCGCGGCTCCTTGGACAGCATCCAGTTCAACTTGAACTTGTTCAACCCGGCGCTGGCCTCGCGCAAGGTGAAAAAGGACGTTAAGACTCCGCAACTCTCGCGTAATCCTTCGCTTAAGGACTCCAGCTTGCAGCGCCAGATGTTCGACCGCAGGAAGAGCAATAGGGGGAGAGGTGCATCCTTCTCTGCCCAGTCGGGTGGCAACTACGCCATGGCCATGCCCGAGTACAATGACTCCTACCCTGGCGCCGACAATGTCGAGTTCTCCACTCCTCAGTTACTTCCTTCTACCATGGGCGATGACAACTCATGGCTAAGTAACTTATCCACGATACCCGGAATGGAGAACTCCCACAAATCTGGCCCATCCCGCACGCGGGACGAGTCCATCACCTCTTTGTCGTTGGACAATCATGACTTGCAAAATCCTACTTTCCAGAGCATGATGCGCTCAGACAGTATCACCTCCACAGGGTCGTTCCACAACATGGACGCAGCCACTCCAAGCCAGCCTCCGTACCCTTCACAGAATGGAAGCTTCAGCAAACCATCAAGAAATGAACCTCAGATCAACAGGCAGAGCGACGGTGATATGGGCTACTCTTTCTACGGCATTCCTGAGAGTATGATGACAAAAATGCAAGGCGTACCTAAAATGAACCAGCCCCTCTCACCGATCAAGCAGGAACTTGACGATGAGCTCATGGACTTGGACAATGGTAACTCGTTCGATGCCATGCACAGCATGAACATCCCCGCTGCCATCACGAATGGAGTGAACTTCGACTTGAACTTCCTCAAGGATTTCGACGAACTCACCCAGGATTTTGATGTTGGCTCGAAGTTCTTGCCCAATGGCTATTCTTTCTACGGTGATGTCCAGTCAGTGTCGTCCTCGGGTATCGACTCTACGCCTCCACCTCAGCTTCTTTCTCCATCTGGAAACAGTGGAAGCCATCATTACTCACAGTACGGCCAGTCCCATCATGACGAAAATGCCTTACAGGCAGGTGATTCGAGAAGTGCCTCTGACGGTGGTTACAGCAGGACGAATTTGTTCACGAGAAACATCAGATACATGATCAACAAGTCCTTGAGCAAGTACCCTATCAGCGGCATCATGTCTCCGTCCATTCCTTCGAATGAGAAATTGGAACAGTACTTGCAGAACTTTGTTAGTATGTTCCTCTCCCACTTTCCTTTTATCCATCCTTCCAAGCTCAATGAATACGAGATTATGAGCATGACGTCTAATGAGCCCATGAGTAACGAGAGCGCTCGTGTGTGTATGCCGCTTTTGGTTGCCACTATCGGTGCATTGCTTGCGAACAACAAGAACGATTCTGAACACCTTTACGAAGCTTCTCGTCGTACTATCCATATCTATTTGGAAAACAGAAAGAACTCTGCTGGTGATATTATCGGAGCTTCTCAAAGTCCAACACAGACAGTTAATCCACTCTGGTTGATCCAGTCCCTCACTTTGTCTGTGATTTATGGATTGTTCTCCGACAACGAAAACAACGTTTACATTGTCATCAGACAGCTTAATGCCTTGAACTCATTGGTGAAGACTTCCATCAAAAGCAACAGAAAAATTCTTTTCAGCATCAGTGGAGAAGATGAGGAGTTTTTCAAAATCATCCACGAAGGCGGTACAGCTGATAGAAACATGTCTATGATAAGCGAAGAGAAAAAGGGTGAGGTGTTCTTCAAGAACAATATCAGTCTTCAATCTCAGGCAAGAATCGTATTCATGATTTACAAATTGACCAACTTTATCTTGATGACCTACAACGTCCCGCTTACATTGAGTATCAATGACTTGGGTAGTTTGACTTGTCCCAACACTCACGATGAATACTTGTGGAGCTTCAGAAATTACACCGAATTCACTAATTACCAAAAGGCCACGGACACCCCACATGGTATCGATTTCTACTTGAGCAAAAATGAGCACAATTCCATCGTTTTTAAGGACCTTTTGTTTAAGCTCCTGAAGAATGACAATAATCCCTCGCTTGTTTCTCAATTGTCGAACCTCAGCAAGTATGGATTTACTTCCATTGCTCACGGTATTTATGAGATGAAGCAGTATGACGAGATGAAATACATTGATGTCTTCTCGATCTTGGATAGCTTAACGATGTTCGTCGACAATTCCAAGAACAATTCGGACACGAGAATCGTCAAGGATGCGTCATTGGACTTCGAAAAGCAGGACTATGCTTTGCTTGTCAGCTTCATCAAGATCAGTTCGACAATCGACTTTAAGCTCGTCAAGGAACAGAGCTGGCTCAAGAACTTTGACGAACTCACAAAGAATTATCACAAGTTTTTGAATTCCGCTAACTCTGTGGATGACGTTGAATTCTTGAAGGTAATTGATTGCTGCATTCTCATCATCAAGCTCATTTTGTTCAAGACTGAGGACAGAGGTCAAGACAAGGATGTCAATGGTCTTCAATTTGGTGACAACAGCTTGCTGCATCAGTACAATTCTTGTGCAGACTTTGAGAAGATGATGGGTTGGAAAATCAACGATGAGGTTGACATCACCAAGAACTCGGTTCATTCACAGATGTTGTTCCATGTCTTCACGATACTTTCAGTGTTTGCCATCTTCATTGCCAAGAGAAACCGTGGTCAGAATGATCTCGCCAACTCTGACAAGCCCACATACACTAGTCAGCTCAACCAGCGCTTCATGGTTGTTCTCCGTGTGCTTGCAAGAATTGAGCAGTTCTTGAAGACCAAGTACCGCAATTCGAAGCATGAATCCGATCTCACTAATCTTTACTTGTTTTCATCGTTTAACAACGACAGTCTACTCATGGACAGCACTGACTTCATGCATGACGATAGTGCTATGGAGCAGCTTGTCAACTCTCACGAGAACTACTTCGCTTTCAGTTTGGAAAAAGCACTTTACGTGCTCAAGATTGGAGAGCTCATGTTGCGCTACTTGTACGATACAAACATCAAGGTTTGCATCTTTAGAAAGTTGAGTGGAAGTCTTCTGCAAATGAGGAAGTTCTTGATCGACAACGAAAGTCGGGTCCTTACTTGAGGGAAGCAGCTACGGACACACCCCATAAAAGATAAAAACCTTAACAGTCAAAAAATCAAAATATCATTATTTATTAACAGTCTATTTATTGCCAGATTCGTCTGGCCCAGAGTCTAGTACTCGCTTGTTTTAGTTCTTTCTAGTCACGATGCTATGTCACTTTCCCCACAATCTATCGTAGTGCGATTTTTATCTTGGACATATTTTCAGCCCCCACACCTATAAAGTGAACGATGTCCAACGCCAGAGCTTTGAGCAAAGAAGAAAGAGAATTCAGGCGTGAAGAGCGCAAAGAAAATGAGCAGAATATCAAGGATTTGAAATTTGCTGTTGGTGGGTTTGTCGTTTTGGTGGTCATCCTTACCCATTACGCTTTGGTCATGAGACAGCTCTTGAGATACCCAGACATGTCTTACGTCTGGATGGGTGTCCACTTCGGTGGCTTAGGTGTCACTATTGTGGCCACTGTCTGGCTTTTCATTAAGTTCGTCTACAAGAAGATCTACGCTGAAGAACTCAAGGAGATGAATGAAAAGAAGGAGGAATAAGTGCATCAGTGACATTCAGTTCATGAAACGAGTAACGACTGCTCATAATTACGTCATTTTGTTAATTATTTAATTGTTGATCATGGCCTAGCCAACAAGACACCGTAGGCGCCAAGGGTGACGAGAGACACGAGGTTGAAGATCGAGGAGAAGCCGTGGTGCTTTCCGAACTGCTTATTCAAAGCAACCATCTCATCAGTAGGCTTTGTCTCGCCATCAACAACATGCTCGTGCTTCTTGTCGGCAATCAACTTGAGCTTCTCTTCCTTGATTCTCTTACAAGTAGGCAAGCACCAGAAGTAGTTCAATGCACCTGCCACCAGGGAGACACCCAACAAGGACAAAGCCACATTACTGAGCACAGGAGATGTGACACCAAGGAGAATAGGAGCAGCAGCCTGGCCAATGAAGTAGATTGGGAAGACCTTGTTCTGGAGATTTCCAAATTCTTCTCTGGGCAAGTATTTGAACGCAAGGGGCGATACAATGTAGGAGTGCATCACACCTCCGCCAAAGGCGACGGAGTAGAGCAAGATGTTAACAGCGGATTTGATGGCCATTGGCAAAAGGATGTAGTTGGATTGTTGTTATGAAGAATGGATTAAATATGCAGATTCGGGGCTTCTCGGTAATATCGCGTGGTCCCACACTCGCAGGAACCTAGAGCGTCTCGATCATGCGGAAGACACACTCGAGAGCATTGGCCTTTTCGGTTTCGCCATATCGTAAAACACTTTCTTCAAGATCGCCGTAGTGCTGGTAAGCCCAAGAAAAGTCACTTTGAAGGCCGATGCTCATCTTGCTGATGTGCTGCTTTTGGTGCTCATCCAGGAGTTTTGAGGTCTGCTCGTACTCTTTTGCAGCCACTTCAGCCTTATCAACAATCTCACTCTGGATGCCACACATGGCAGCAACATTCATGCCGAAAGAGCCTGATGCAGTTCCTTCTTCTAGCTTGTACAAGAATGTAATGTTTCTCGAGTTTTGGTCCACCACGATGCCCATTCTCATGGCCTTGATGCGAGGATGGTTGACAAATGAGAGACCCATGCTTCCGTAGTGAGTAGCAAAGAACCCGAGGGGTTGCGCGTGTGTGGCAAGATGATGCAATACAGATTCGGCTATGGCGTAACCATCACTTGAAGATCCGCCTCTTCCCAATTCATCGAGGATAACGAGCGAGTTGGAAGTGGCATTGCTTAAGATCTTCTTTGTTTCGGACAACTCGACGAAGAAAGTGGACTTGCCTTGCATGATGTTGTCGTTGGCACCCAAACGCGTCATAATCTTGTCAACAGGTGTCAATGTAGCTTTCGAAGCCGGCAAGTAACAACCTATCTGACTCATGACAACAGCCAAGGCAGTAGTTCTCATAAGTGTCGACTTACCAGCAGCATTAGCACCAGTCAACAAGTTGAAACTGGCTTCGGATCCTCCAAGGTGAACATCATTTGGAATGAAGTCACTGGTACCTAAGAAACATGGGTGTCGAAGCTCATCAAATTCGATCTTGGAATCCGAGTCTGATATAAATGTTGGACGACAAGATGGGAAGCTGATTGTCTCGGAGGTCTTTGTCAAAGCAAGCAAGCAGTCAATGTTGCTGGCGATTTTGATTGCAGACATCCACAAATCGTAGTGTTTGTCGAATCTTTGGTACATTCTCAGAATCAAGTTGTCGCAAACTGTCTTGTGAGTTTCTCTTTGTTCCATGAGACTTCTTGCCGTGGCCTTCACCTCCGGAGACCAGTATCTCTTGACCTTCGATGTTGCGCCCATCTGTTGCCAGTCCTTTGGAATCGACTTGATTTTGATTGGCATTTCAATAAGGAAGATCTCCTTTCCTGAGTCTCTAAAACAGATCTCATGGGACTTGTATTCTTTCTTGTACCCTTTAAGATAGTTGTTGAGTTGCTTTTCAAGGTCCTCCATAATTGCAGTAGACGAATCGAATTCTTCGTCGACGCCCTTAGCAGGCACGACCACATTCGCCATAGCCTCCTGTCTATCGAAGGCCTCTTCCCATGAACCGATAAGTTCATGGAGTTCATCGGGGAAGCGGTTTATGAACTTCTTCAACGCACCAGACTGTTCAATGTCAAACTTCTTAACATTCTTGAAGATCTTCGAGATCGACTCGAAACCCTCAATAACCTTGAGGAAGTCCTTGAATCTTAATGTCTTTGCATGAACTCTTGCAATGAGCCTTTCCAAATCTGGAAGGGCGCCGAATGTGCTTTCTAATTCAACACGAAGTTCAGGTTCATTGTTGATAAAGAAATCAATGGCATCGTACCTTGCGTTGATCTCGTCAACGTTCATGAGCGGGTGAAGAATCCACTTTTTCAACATTCTCCTACCAAAGGGCGTAATTGCCTTGTTAAGGAGTTTGAAGAGTGTTCCCTTGTCTCCACCATCAAATGAATTATTGAGCATTTCAAGGTTGTTGAGTGTGATTCCGTCTAGGAGCAAATGGTTCGAGCCTCTCTTAGAAATCTCATATTGCTTGATGTTTCCCAAGGACATGATGCTCTCATCGAGCTTCAACAACTTAAGGTAATGCAACAAGCCACCAAACGCATGGAAGGCCACATGGTGTTTATCCTTGAAATCCAAAAGCACCTGAGGGTAATTAGAGAAGTCATCAAGGTCTTTGGCCTCGTAGTATTTCCCCTTGACCAATGCCTCCAAAGTAGCATCGTAGTCCAAAAATTCAGAAAATGGGTTGAGGTGATTCCAGATCTGATGCGAGTTATGGGCATTGAACTTGATGATCTTGACAGCAGTTGAACACAAGTTGTTCTTCTCGCACAAGATCTCTTTTGGTTTGATTTGAGTAATCAAGGTATCCAATCTAGAACACTCCTCGTCGTCAACCAACTCAATGAAATTGACTTCAGAGGTTGCAGTATCGACAAAGCATGCACCAAATACCTTCTCGCCTTCCTCATTAGTGGATTCCCGGATAGATAAACAATAAGTAGCCATGTCGTCACTGATCATATCAAGATCAGTGAGTGTACCACCGGTCAAGATACCCGTGAGTTCACGCTTGATGATCTTTTCCTCTTTTGTGCCACCACCCTCATTTCCTTAGCTAAGAGCGATTCTTTTTGGTCAACTTTTGCGACTTTGTAGCCATTGCTTATAAACTCCTTAGCCCAGTACTCGAAGGACATTTCTGGGATACCAGCCAACTTCATGTTTGCTCTTCCACCGCCGGCGATTTTCAAATCAAACTGGGTATTGGCAATGACTGCGTCATTTTCGTACAATTCGTAAAATTTTCCCTTCTTGAAAAAGACAACTGTGTCCCACATTTTGCTCTTGATCTCCCAATACTGCTTCTCGAATGCAGTGAACTTGGTCCACGCTGATGAAGGAATGTAAAGCGTACGGGAGTCGTAGTCTGGATCGTCCACGGTTCTCTTCTCGGCATCCTTTATGTTCACAAGCCATTGGTACCTCTCCTCATTCTCTTTGGCGAATGACTTCGTCTGAGGTTTAGGTTTGGCCGCTGGCTTTGCAGCCGCCAGGGCTGTGTAACTCGAGGACGCTGTGAACTTGCTGCCCAAATTGGAGCTAGCGAGGTTCACGGCCTTCGCCGGAGGCGACTGGGTCGAGGACTTGGGGCTCTTCCTCTTCTTGACTGGTTTTGTCGATGCGTATGAGTCCTCGTCATCGTCATCTTCATCCATCAGGGCGACGTCGCTCTCGTCCTCATTCACCACAAAGTCACTCATGTGCTCGTCGTCATCGTCGTCAGCATCCTCGGTAGGCTTGAAGTCATCTTCATCGTCGCTCTCCACCACTCTTCTTCTCTTCCTTCTGCTGGGCACATCTTCGTCCTCTGAGTCGGATTCCGCGTAGCTGACGCTCTTGTTTCTGCGAGAGCCATTATTTGGGCTAGAGCTCGACTCTTGCTTAGGCTTGGACACTTCCTTCTTGGGCTGAGTCTCCTCCTTTGGCTTTGACTCTCTAACTGGGGATGACCGAAGGTTAGGCTCTTTGGCAGGGACATGGTTCGTTTCCAGCGTCAACGGCGTGTCAGTTGTAGTGTCCTCCATCATGCTCGAGTCAACGTCTTTATCACTTTCAACCTCATTCCCCTTGGACTTAAGAGGACTAGAGGGCGTCTTTGAAGGTGCTGGTTTGAAGAAAGCCATCAATGACAGCTGCTTCATTTTCAGAGACCCGAGCCCGAGCCGGGCTTCTTCATCGGCTTTTTAACCGGAGTTGTGGTCATTTGACAAAGAAGATTATGTGGTTCTAGTGAAGAGACTCACGGTATTTTGGCGTCTTAAGATCAAGGACTATGCGCTTCGCGTCGCATACTATTTATTTTGCTTCGCGCCTCGCGACTACTTTTCGCAGCCGGCTTTTTTGTGCTTATCCCACACAAACTTTTTGCACCCATTTATCTAGAGGACCTCTTCCACTTTTCATGTTGTTCTTCAAATTTTTGCTTTCTTTTGCGGCAGCTGCGCCAGCTTTCCGAACATTGTTCAAAATCTCCTCCAGAACCCACTCGCCGTCCTTGATCTCTTCTCTCCTTCTTACCAAGTACAAAGAGATCGGCTCCGGTACCAATCTCTCCAAGGCACAAGCTCTAGCTCTTACAGAAACCTGTTCAAATAATGCCGTTTTCAGATATGTGTTAGAGTCAGCCCAGGTTGCACAGACCTCCGTGCCTGCTTCTGAATGTAGACTTAACCGAGACGACTACTACCAAACTGTGATCCTGCCATTGTCTTATTTTCAGGCATCTTTATACGATGATAACGAAGTTGATGAAGAGTTAAGACAAAGATTGAGGAGCTTTCTACTGGAAGTCCTGCCAGGGCTTACATTTTCCAACTTCACCGATCTTAATTATGAACTTGAGTGCCACGGTGATCACTACGAGTTGACGCAAGTTGTTCTCAAACAGACAGTCATCAAAGCTGCTCTTAAGCTACATGTCAGTGTTACACCAGAATGTTCATTTTCCCAATTCGCTTCGCATCTTGAGAATGACTATACAACACTGGTGGAGATTGAATTGCCGGTCAACGGCTCTTTTGTTTGCACGACAGGTCGCACAGAGCACTGTAGTATGAAGAATGCAATTGCAACTCTGTTAAAGCTCAGAAGCCCGCCTTTTTAATCACATCACTATCTCGTACTTGGTGTCCGACTTCAATTCCTTGTGAGGAAGCACAACAGAGTTGTAGACGAACACCTGGTTGCTCACTAGAGTATCCTTACACAATACAACCAAATTGCTCAAGAATGTAGAAGAGTTCTCGACACTGGCTTGGCTGATGGGTGCGTTCAAGGTACCTTCGACACGGCACCACTTGCCAATTTTCACTCCCAGTGATATGATGGCATTGCTCACGATAGTATGTGCCCCAATGGTCACATCGTCGCAAATAATGCAGTTTTTGAGTCGAACACCCTCTCCCAAAGTGACATTTGCGCCAATGGTAACATTGGGTCCAAGTTTGCACTCCTTGCAGCCCAACTTACTCAACACCTTGATGGGTGGGGTCAAACAAGCAGAGGGTTTGCCTGGGCTTTGTTTGAGGAAGAACTCGTTTGCGGCGAGAGCAATATGTGGAGTGGATAGTTGATACCACAGCTTCTCGATACCAAAAGCTCTGAAGTTACTTCCCTCGGTTCCTGGTAAGCTTTTGAAGACATCCAATTCTAATGACAAGATGTCGGGGTTGTAAGGGTCATCCAAGTCGTTTCCAGCGGCCTTGAAGTCCAGGGAACCCACTTTTCTTGCTTTGGCTTCCTCCAATTGCTTAAATACTGAAGCCCCAAAGACGTAAATTCCACCGTTGATGTGAGTCTGATAGTTGGTGTCACTGAACTTGGCAAAACTGTCAGATTCAGGCTTCTCGATGTAGTGAACCACGTCATGGGATTTTCTGTTCGAGAAGACAGTACCGTACTTGCGAAGAACTTGTTCCTTGTCCAATCCCAGGAAAACTTGGTCTTTAAGCAAGACAAGCGGGTCTACACCCATGATGGAGATTTTAGATGAACTCTTCTGCTGGAACTCCAACATCTCTTTGAAGGGATAATCGCAGACAATGTCTCCATGGATGAATAGGATTGATGATTCTGAGTTTCCACCGAGAATTTGATCTTTGAAGAAGAAGATACCACCACCAGTTCCCATAGGTGTTGGTTCTGTCAATAAGGTGATCTTCACGCCTGGGAACTCAGATTTGCTCGCCTTGAGATAAGAATCGAACTTGGATGGATCTTTAAAAAAGCTGATGAGGAACACCTCTTCCAATTCATTGCCTAAGTCATTCACGAGTTTATCGAGGATGTGGCTAATGATGGGCTTACCAGCGATCGGGAAAAGACACTTAATGTAGTCCATTGTCAAGGGTCTGAAGCGGGTGCCGGTGGTCTCCCCACCAACCAAAATAACAGCCTTCACCATATCTTAACGAAGTTGTTCTTAGAGAGAAAGTGGAGATCACCTGATATTTATAGTTGACAAGCTTACGGTTGCAACCCCTTTAGCATTGCGCAGGAGATGTGCATTATTGCATGTTCCTTTGTGCATATGTGGAGATAGCTGCGCTTTACATGCACGCGTGCCCCAAAGGTGTTGGCTGCGAAATGAGTCCTGCTCTATTATAACCTATGCATTGCACAAATTGCTATTATTCATTAGTTTGCTTCTTGCTCAATCGATCTTTTGGATGGAACCTCAGAAGTTTCTTTTTGTCTGTTCCGAAAAACAGCACCTCCAGACGATGGGGCTTGGTCAATATGTTGACTCTCCTTTGCCCGTCTTTCCATGTCTTGCTGAAGGAAGTATTTCGTGACATCGATGGCGGCAATAGAATCCTCACCACTGTCGTGTTGCCCTATTTGAATATTGCGACCTAAGTACCTGAAGGCCAACTGTTTGAGTGCAAAACGGAATGTGGGCGACGTCTTGTTGCGAGGATAGAGCACGGCAGTGTCAACGATCTTGTCGTGAATGAGTCTCATGGCGTTCATGTCATTCTCGAGGCCATGACCGACAAGAATAGTATTGGAGTCGATGATTTCGCCCAACAATGCAATTGAGTCTTCAAAGGTTACAGCCTCGGGTTTGATTTCCGCAACACCGGACCAGCGTGTGTTCAAATCAATGACTGTTCCCTTGGGCTTGACAAGAATGTCGAAAGCTTCCTCTCCCGTGAAGAAGTCGATGGCTGTGATACGAAGAAGTTCAAAACCGTAATCGGTGTAGCCCATTTCGCAGTCAATTCCGACTGCTTCCAAGCTTCCCTTCTTTGTTCCCCAAATATCTTCTGTACGCACAAACGGTTGGGCCTTGTGTAATTCTTCCGGTCCATCCCAATGAAAGACGTGACGATTCCACTGTGCACATGGCTCTGTGTCATTAGCTCCCAAGACTCCCTGGCAACACAGATAGATTCTCTCACTCTGATCATTCTTCAAGGGTTTTCCAGCGTGGTAACGGCAGTCCACTTCTTTTAGAGCATCCTCAAGCTTGAATTCAGCTTTGCATCGTCTGCACACACGTTCTTGCTTGAAGTCGGCTATCTTCTCCGGGAAATCCATGATGAAGCCGTATTTTATGAGTTTCTCACGATCAATGATATTACGCCTCAACTCGCCTAAAAGCTCTTTGTTGCTGTACTTTTTCTGGCCTTTCAGCTTTAGCTTCTCAGGGTGGTTGATTTCATAGATCCTCCGTTTGATAGAATGAGCGTAAGAGGCTTTGCCTGGACATTGACATGCGATTTTGAACTCCTCATCTATGCCATCAAGTATCGGCGTCTTATTATCCGGTTGATTCCGCTTAATGGCAGCCACGATATGCTCGATGAACTTTTTCCTTTGCGGCAACATGTCCGGGGAAGGGTTCACCTCCCTCGGCATAATGAACTTAGGTTCAACTTTATTCTCTTTCTTGTTTCCCAAATAATCCTCAACGTTCTTTTGGTACTCCTGTAGATTCTTGCTTTCCACAGCGAATATATGCTCTTTATCAACAGCGGAGCGATTGGGTGTTTCGCTTAGCTTGTTCTTTCTTATGTGTTCAGCAATCTGTTTTGCATATTCAAAGCGTTGCCCTCTCGGAAGACTGACTCCCGTGGTCAAGGCTTTGGTGATGATAAACGTCGTATCCTTGACTGCTTTGAAGTCTGGACTGGGTGTATCGGTCTTCACTCTTTTGGACGCAACCACGGCCTCATCTGATGATCGCCTTCTCTTGACATCATGATTGAAGATACAATTTATAACACGACAATCACCGAAATTAGCGAGATCAGGACATTGAACAGATGCAAAAGCATTGTTGTCCAAGCGAAACATTTATAGTTTATTATAGCAAGTTGTTAGTGTTCATATGTCGACTTCACAAACAGAACCTATTCACTATGCACCGTTACAAGGTTACCCGGTATGGATCTGTATTCCTGCACGAATGCGCGATGCCAGGGTATAAAGCGAAGGCTCTTCCCACGCCTTCAAGATTTTTTTTTTTTTCTCTGTCGACGTACTTCATAGGATCATTTCTATAGGTCACGTCCCACAATGACTCTTCTAAAGAGCCACTGAATCCAACTTGGTTGATGAGTAAGATACCCTCGCGCCCTCAAAGTGAGAACACATTTAGCTTGTCCACGATCCCTTGCGGTCTGGTCATCTACAATTTGTTTGCCTTTCACCAGCCACTTACGACCTAGTCATTAGTGCTGAAAGGAGCGATGATCTTGACCCTTTGCCACACGCTTTTTCGGAAGACGTGGCTTTGGGTGGGTGCGAGTGGCAGTCTGACAAGTTACTTGCCTTGAGCATTTTGCTCTATGGCTTGTGACTATAGTCTACTCCGTGTTGTGATGTCGGCGCATTGTAGTTGATCAAAACAGGTCCTGTTTTGATCGTGTTATTCTATGAACAATTTACTAGTTGTTTTATACGTGCTCAGCTCCAGCATTTGGGTACTCATACAACTTGTAGTAGTCCACAATCTGGCCGTTGAGGTTGTTTTCACCCTCGATGGGTAAGTAAAACAAGTTTCTCCAGGTCACGTCGCCGATGAACCAGAAGTCCAACCAGTTTTGCTGCCATCCAAAATCGGTCGGAATATGCAAGTTCTCGAGAGGTCCAGGCACTTCCAGCTGGGTCTTTCGGAATAAAGAGGCTACGGCAAGTTTCACTGTCATCACGAACTGGTCCAAGCCTAAGAGCTTGCAGCAGACACCAAGTCCATGATTGTGACCTCTTCTCACTGTCAGGGTAGATTCAACCGGTGGTCTTGGGCCATCGAAGTCGCTCGGAACAGTAGAATGGTTGTACATGGGATTGTTGACTCTATTGTTGAGTGAGCTAAATTCCCATGTCGTCAAGCCCTTGAGTACCTGGAACGTTTGCACTGTGCACAAAAAGCCAAGCCAGACCAAGTTGAACAAGCACCAAATGTTGAGGTTGAATATGAAGTGGTTGTTGTAGAATCCTTTGCACAAGTCCTCGCTAAGAAGGTGGCACTTTTCATCAATGTCAGAGTCGTATCCCAGGCCGTGCTCAGCGACATCGAAGAATTTGATGGACAGAATGAAAAACAGGACGATGGCCACGGCGAGGGAGTATGTAAATGTGAGGAATAGTTTGTGGTTTCTAACACCGATGTCGTTGTAAACCCATGGACAAAAGTGATCAAACCTAGCAATAAGCCTGTTGCTGAATCTTGAAAATTTCGATCTCAACGGTCTGCGGGCGAAGGTGTTAACGCAAAAGTGCTCAGTGTCGAATCTTGCGAGGGAAATGAGCTCTTTGACATCTTTGAGAACAGATTCTGAGTCAGTGGTGATGGGAATCTGACCTGGATTGATGAACATGGCCTTAAAGAAGGTATATGAGAATAGAGAAGCTGACGCTGCCACCATCACACTCGCCACAAAGCGTTTGAAAATTACAGCCGGTAGAATGGCGAAAATCCAAACTATTATGCACCAGAAGGCCGTTCCGGAGAAAAGTCCCGCCAAATATGGACTTTTTAATATGCTAGTATCTTTCGGCAGGTACATTGGAATCAAGAACATTTTGGTGAGTAAGGTACCAACTCCGAAAAGAAGACCAGACACGAAGATTTCTGGTATGGCTAGACCATTGCTGAAGTTGCAAAGCCTCAAGACGATAGGCAACAAGACGTAGGGTATGAGAAATGTCACCACTTTTGCGGGCTTAGGTTCGAGCAAATGCGTACGTGGAGCCCAGTTGTTCTTTTGGTCTCTGTCAGCTTCACGCAAGACCTGCAACCAGGTGTTCTCACAGTTCATGTCTTGGCTGACTCCGAAGGAGTCTTTATTTTTGTCGTTTTTATGATAGATGTCGGAACCCGCTTCCAAGAGTGCTGCAAGAACAGATTTGTAGCCTCTGATGAATGCCCAATGTAACGGGGTCATCTGGTTCTGATCGACCTTGTTGACATCAGCTCCGTATTTGAGAAGAGCGTTCACAGTGAGAATATCACCCTGATATGAGGCCCAATGCAAAGCTGTACACTTGATGGAGTCGGGCTCATCAATGTAGATACGTTTCATCGGATCGTCCGTTGCGACACAACTCAACAAGATGTATATACACAAGGTAATGTTGGAACTGTGGACAGCCAAGTGCAATGCATTGTAGTTTTGGGAATCCTTCATTGTGGGGTCAGCATCCGTGTGGGTGAGAAAGTAGTCCACCACATACACCAAGCCTGTTCTGCAAGCCCAATGGAAGGGCGTGGCACGCAAATTACCACCGACAGCATTGGGATCAGCCTGAGAGTATTCATTCTCCATGAGATATTTGACCAAACTCAATCGATTATTGATCGCAGCCCAGTGTAAACCGGTCACACCGTCACTAAACGTGTCAGAAGCCTGTACCTCGCCGGAAGAGATTTTTTGCTTCACTGTTTCAAGATCACCAGCTTGGCAAGCAGCCATGAACTGAGCCAAAGTGGGATTGAGGTCTTCCTCGCGAGGCTGTTGAGGTTCTTGTTCCTTGGTGTCATCTGTCTGGATGCCAACACTGCCATTTGTCTGTGTTTCTTCTCCTTTTGAATTGAGGGCTTCCAATTCCGTAGATGCTGTAGTTTCATCCTGTCCAACCAAAGGAACCATGGTCATATCGTCATCTTTGGGTAGATCAGACATTGGTGAGTTGTAGTATGATCTGGTTTTCCGTTTCGCGCTATCACAGCCTCAAGTAGGGCTCGGTGATGATGAAGCATTTCGGGTTTCTGCGGTCGAAATGTTATTTTGGCAAGTTTTAATGACTGGGAGTATGTAGTATTGAGTTTTGTAGGAATTTCGGAAAATTGGCATTCATTCGTTGTTTTTCAAGTGTGATCATAATTTTGCAGCCATTTGGTTATTCATCACATACATTGAAAAACGGATGCGAAAAGCGGGCTTTGTAGCTTGATGCATGACGAACCAACATCGAGAGATTTATATTGAAAACGATATATAAACTGAAAGAAACGAAGAATTAGGGATCCAGATTGAAGAATGTATTCTCGAGCAAAATGACGGTGAAGGTTCAGTATGATGATAGAAAAGTTATAGTCCAAGAGATTCGTGATAAGTCAAGGTGTGATCGATCGCTGCAGTTCGTATAGAGTGCTACCTACAATTTAGATAGGAAGGCTTCGAGACGCTAAAGGAAAGTAGTCTCCCATTAATAAAGTCCCATTCATATCTGAAACTTGAGTTAATAATACGAGCGCCCTTGCATCACGTCCTCGGTTTAATGCAGATCCTTCGCCCTAAGCATCTCATCGTGCATTTGTGATACCTTCTTGAATACCCATTTATTTCAATTTTACAATGAAGTGAGACCATTTTTGTATAATTTTCTATTCAAAATCCTTGGACGTGCCACGCTTGTTAGCCTTGAGGCTGCGTACGCTTTTGGCGTCGTCCTCGGTGAAACTATCCATTGTCGCTGTGGCGGTGGCCTCGGAACCTTGAATTGTAGGCTCTGCCGAGGATGGAGATGATGAACCCGCTGAGCCGAGTCCCTGCTGTACGAGGTGTTTCAAAGACTCACTGGCCTTGACGGCACCAGGCTTGATGGTCTCATCCACAAAAGGCTGAACTTTATCATTGATGAAGCCCGGTCTGACATCTGCCTCGGAGATCAAGCCCAAGTTCTTTTCACCAACGCGTTGCAAGTGCTTTTCGAGCAAGAGAAAGTTCCTCAGGTTGGCTTTGTAACCAATTTCGATCAACTGGCCAACAATGGGGATGAACGATAAGACAAAGTCGATGGCAATATTGAAGAAGAACAAAAGTTGGATATCCAAAGGCAAGCCGTCGTCCAAGGAACGAGCGTACCAGTAAATCAGCAATGACCAGTAGTTGGCCACAATGGCTCCGAAGATAGGCACCAAGCCTACAACATTGGACCAACCCAACTTGAAGCCGAGAACGCTGAACCACATGTCATAACGGTAAGCCTTTTTTCTGACAGTCTGCAATATACTAACATCGTTTTGCAGAAGGCCCTTTGGTGGTTGCCTCTTCACCTTTTTGTATTTGGTCTTCCCTGTCTTTTCGTTTGTAGACACTGGGATGTCCTCATAGTAAGGGTCCTCGACGCCAAGCTTATTGAGCTGATTGTCTTTCAAGAATCGATTCGCAACCCAATGCAAAATATACAGATACATGATCGAAGAAAAGTTGAAAAAACGGTAGTTTCAAGTAGTTTGCTAGCACACTATTGTGCAGAGAGACAGCAGAGGTGCCATAGTTAAGATTGCTAGGCCGATGCGCCCCAGCTTTATCATGTGCACCATTTCCATGTAGCACCTGCAGCATGAGCATCCCATCGATGGCCGAGGAGGTTAACAATATTTATTTCCCCATACTCCTTGGTTTTCTTCAGTCATGGTCGTTCGTGCTGTAATTGGAACGCTAGTCAACTGCATTCCTTACTCCGACCATTTACCCCAATTTGTACAGCATGCCATCTATGAGGATACCTCCTCGTACGAATCAGCTAAGCTGGAGTCACCCTTGGCCAGCTCTTCTGATGTTGGGACCCCCATGAGTCCACAACAAAAGATACACAACCGAATTTTACAAAACAGGGGCTCCGTGTCTACCCCTGCAATGCCGAATGATGATTTCTCACTAAACGACCCGGTAGACCCTGTGGACCCAGTTTTACCATCCCAGGATCGGAGTGACGCCTTGACCGAAACAGAAACCGTCCAGGACCCAGACTCCACCCGTCACAGCATGGTGCAGAAATACTTGGATGAGCAGAACGCCAAATTTGACACCCTTATCAACAAGAATCTCAATGTCGTTTTGCAACAACAAAACATGTACGAGGACGAGGCCTCGTGGCAACAGCTCATGGTTGAGATGGCTATGTCGAGAGACAAAGAAGAGATCAGCTTGAAGATGACCTCCTTGATGGGGAGGGCGTCTACATGGATCCAGTCGCATATACCTCGAAGCATTTCCAGCAAGCCGCCCAGCCGAGCTAACAGCAGGCCTGTTTCAAGAGCTGCGGTAACAGAAGCCGATAGCAACGAGCCCACGGACGCTGTAGTCCGGGCAGACGATGCAACAATCGAGAACTTCTTGGACTCGCTTGATTATCAAACAAAGGTGAATCTTTTACGTCAATTGAGGATCGACTTGGGCCTTTCGGACCAAGACGACTTGCTGAAATTTTCCCAAGAATTGTCAAAATCACATCCTGGAGCTCCTTCGCTTCTTATAGACAAGTTCGAGACACTCATGATCATTTCTGTCCGCTTGTCGTTCATTTGCCTCAAATTTATGATACCAATGGCAACGCTAATGTACCTCAAGTTCAGAAACAACGACGTGCTATTTTTCAACAACAAGAATTTCAACAGGCTTTTGACGCTCACAATCAGGTTTATGGAATCATTGGAAAAGAGACTAAAGACAGAGACTCTTAATGCATATCAATACGGGCAACAGGCCCAAGATCCCCAAGCGTCCACACAGACGATTGAGCAAGATACGGCCGTTGCCCAGCTCGAATCTCCATTTAATGAATCACCCATAGATACGCCAAAAGCTACATGGACAGATACGTTTACGAGAATGGCTGTTAATTACTGGCTTAAGTCAAGAAGCGCTCAAGCAGATTACGCAAAAGACCCACGGTATGCGCAATACTTCTCTGGCAAGAAGGACGGGCAAGGTGATTGGGACGATAGAGACGAATTAAACCCGGGAGAGCAAGGCCAGCCGTCTTTTATCGACATAGCCCAGCAGTTTGCAGATCAGCTCAGGTAGCTTTCTACTGAAAAGCGGATCCAGGCCATTTGATAGCCGACTGGCAGCAGCAGAGAGGGTAAGCAAGAATGGTACCTCATGTGATGTACTGGCTTGATTTCAAGAATGGGTGCAAAAAAAGATCCTCTCCTACTAGCATCTAGAGCATGGACTGCATGCAAATGGAGCAAACTAAAGATACTAGGCCAAGCGTTAAGGGCTAAAGCGTTACGATAATATTGACGACGGTTGAGGCCGTTATGACGTCCATCACCACGCCTATAGATTGTTGAAGGCAATCTCAATTCTTTATTTGCAAAAAAAAAAAAAGCAATCAGTAAGCAAACCACGGTCATACGATGGTGCCAAATTGGGCGAAAATTTCTTGAAATGCTGGTGAAATTGGGTGCCACCATGGTTAGAGACTTACTGAGATAGGAGACAAGCTCGCTGCATGGAAGAGGTGTAGAAGCTTAGAGAGGCATGGAAATGTCGCAGTTCGCAGTGCAGAGCCTCAGAAACGCTCTTGACACTCTGTTACTTGTATCTTAAGTATAGGGGCTAGGCGGTGCGAACGCTTATTGCCAGCGCATAGTGGTGCAAGAGCCAGAGTTGCTACGACATTTTTCTTTTTTTCTATAGACGGCATGAAACCGGACGGCATGTGCCGCAATATGTGTGCACATGGGGCGCGAACTTGAGGGGTTACCCGCCAGAAATTTTGAGATCTGGCCAATCATTTGTAGGATCGCCGCAGGAGCCACCTGCATGTCGTCCTAGGCCGCGACCCGCCGCCATCATTAAAATAGCGACAAATATTCCCTACGTTTTTCTAAAGCTTTCTTTTCGCGCCATTCATATTCAACCAGCTTTTTTTTTTTTTTTTTTTCTCCAACACTTTTGTTTCTCGCGCACTAAGTGTCACCCCTTCACCTACAAATTTTTCCCACTTCATCACTGGGACAAAAACTTTAGGCGTCGACTTCTAGTGCTTGTGGTTATTACCAGGGGATATTTTTTTTATATCAAAAGCTACTTCCAACCAGTGATTACATCTGTATCCTGATTGGCACCCCTTTGGCTGAAGTTTTTTATATTTTACTTTCAAGGCCTTTGAAACCGTGTTGGTGACCAGTTTTTGCCACCCTGTTCAAAAGTCTCCTTGACCTGTGTGCAAGCATTGTCTGACTCCTTGATTGGCTGGTTCAGACTAACTATTGAGTTTCGCACATAGTGGCATAACTCATCCAAACGTTCGCACACCAGACTTGTGCCGCCTGCATACCAGCGCTCACGCACAGTCTAATTATCCTGACTATGGCCTTGTGCTCTCAGGCGTTCCAATCGGCTAAGCGCTCCTGCGACTTTGGCTCGTCTCTGCAATGCACCCCTCAAAGAAGGTTTGTCTATCGAAGATTGACTTGAACACTGCTAGAAAACCTCACAAGGTTTGCTTCAGTAAACTCAACAACCCTCTGGCGTGCTACTCTTCATCTGAATCAGATGCGGACTCTGACGACCAACAGTCATGTTACAGCGCCGACCAGGCCCGTGCTAAAAGAAGAGCTTCTTCTAGGATGTCATTTTCTGTCAACAACGAGCTTTCGAAAGCCGTTTCACAATACAGTGACGATGACGACCTAGAGTTGGAAGCTTCTGAACGCGGGTCCCCCAGGCCACTGGCGATGCTAACTTCGACTGCAAGTTGATGAGCTCGCCTCGCGCCTCCTACAGTTTGGGCAGCTGCACAAACATCCAGCTGTGCCATGGCCAGCGGAACTCTATCACGTCCAGCTTTTTGCCAATCTCTGACAACAACTCGTCTGGCCCTAGTACCAAGAAGCACATGCCACAAGGTGACAAGTCCTCTCGTTCTAGGTGCTTCGACTACCTCGTTGGTGCCATTGACGAAGCATGGGCTAGATATTGTGATGCTGCCTCTTATGTGGAGGACGAAACATACGGTTACAACACACCAAACTCTGTTGCTACCGACGACGAGGACGACTATTTTGGCAACACCACGGACTTGACTGACTACGAGAGCGAGTTTGAGCACGAACAGAAAAAGTGCATTGCTCAACCAGTCTCCAAGAAACCCTCGATGATGGCCAAGCCCGTTGGTATTATGGCCAACGATAGCACAAGTCGTGCCTCGTCAACCTCTAAGGATCCTTCTTCGTGCCAGTTGCAAGCGTTGAAGGACCGCTTGATCAAAGCCAAGTACTTCTTGCAAGATCTCTTGGAGTCTGAGGACTACCAAGACGCATCTGCTTTTTGGAAGCGCTGGGACATGATCAAATATGCCGCCATTGAGTTGGTTGAAGATGACGACGATGACGAAATCATCGAGTCTACCATCGACGACTTGGAGGAAGGGCGTCTTTTTACCAACTAGATTATTCCACCGTAACGGTGACGCGGAGATGAAGATATGTGATTTGCTTTTTCATTGTTTTATTAGTTGAAATTTGGGATTGGGAGTTGATTAGTGAGATCGCTGGGTTTTCAGCCCCAGGGTATATACTTGTATCATAGATTATTCTGAAATATCATTGTAGTGCACAGTCTCCAGATGGCATTGACAGGTTGAATGCGAGTTTAGGCACACGCCATACCACCATGCTTTTCCTCCAATTGGTTGTTCTCTTGATCGCCCAAGTGTGGGCTGTTAAGGTTGAAATCGGTAGGTCATTTGAATATCATTTATCACCCCATTCTCACTAACTCCAGACGTGACCCATGTTCCTACTGACTGTCCTCACAAGACCAAGGCTGGTTCCCATGTTCAAGTACACTACAAAGGTTCCTTAGAAGATGGAACCGTATTTGATGCTTCTTATGGTAGACTGCCAATTGGATTCGAGATCGGAGCTGGAAGAGTCATTGCCGGTTGGGAGCAGGGTCTTTTAGACATGTGTGTTGGAGAAAAGCGCACCTTGACCATTCCTCCGGAGTTGGGCTATGGCAGTTCTGGAATCGGGCCAATTCCTCCCAACGCCGTCCTAAGTACGTATAATGTTTCTTTATCACCCCACAGTTGGTCACGTTCCCCATACTAACCCCAGCCTTTGACGTCGAGTTAGTCGATGTCTACATCCCTAAGGAGGAGCTCTAGTGGTGCTATGGCGCGACACATCAGTTCATATAGCTACTACACCATTTGCTTTCAAATTTTATCCTTGTAGCATGCGCAGATTTGCTAGAGCGCTCGAAGAGTTCGTGGCGCTGGCCAAGGACTTTGCTGTTGTTTATTCCACCTCCCGCTCTCCGTTGATACTGCGAGACACAGCCCGTGTATGTATCCTCGACTCCCTGTTCAACCCACCCCACATGGCCCACTACGCCTTGGCCCGTGAAGCATTGCTGTATCGTTTTGGGGATACGCATCTTGAGAAAAACCAATTGCTGCTTCTATTACTTTTGCTGGTCAAAAATGCGGACAAGGTGGACCCTCAGCCGGCTTCATTCGAGCACAGACTTGATATGATGCACCTCATGGCCGACTATTTGCACGACAACCTCAAAGTGGATGTCAGCATAGGCCTCACGCTGCACGCCAAGTTTGTGGATAAGCTGGTGTCGATAATGAATGACATACGGGAACGGCTGCCTGAGAGTGACGTCAAGTTGACTTTCCTCGTAGGCTTCGACACATTGCTTAGGATCTTCGATCCCAAATACTACTTGCCGGACAAGTTGCTGGACCTGCTTGACGAATTCATGAGAACGACGGATTTGTTCTGCTTGACAAGGCAGGACAACGTCATTTCGTACCAGAACCAGGTGGACTACGTGCGTAGAATCCGCCACGGCAAGATCGCCCATATCCCTCAGGCGTGGTCCGAAGCCGTTCATATCTTCAGTTTCGAAAAGCAGGAAGACGTTGAAACACTAGGGTCTGTCAGTTCTTCAGCGGTTCGCAAGGCTATAGCTGAGGACCCTCACCAGGAGCTCCCACTTATCCCCCAGATCAAGGACTACATTTTGGAAAACAAACTATATCAATAGCTACATATTAATAATGCAGACGAACAAAATAACGGCGATCCAGCAGTAGCTCACCGACAGTGCCCTCGACTCATTCACAACCATGGCCAGCAGACTTTCCATGGACATTGGATCGGTTGGTGTGTTGGCGACATAGTTCTGGTTCTGAGAATTAGTGCATTCATTCTTGCCACCACGAATGACAGAACTGATGCCGCTCTTAGACCAGGCCAAACAATCAAACGATTCATCGGTCGACTTTATCTTTGCACTTCCTCTGATCAACTTGAGGTTGGGTGCTTCGACCTCTTTGATAGGTCCGACCAACTCAAGTGCTCCACTGATCGTGGTGAGTTCGGGAAAGAAGTCAATCTTGGTCAATTGAGTGTTGTTTGCAAGCACCAAACCGCCATCGATCTCTTTTAGCTTGTCAAACAGCACCTCGGATAACTTCTTGTTGTCCACCAACGACAAAGTGCCCGCTACCCTGCCCAACTTGGGGAAGTTTGCAGAATGCAAATGATTCTTATTCAAACTCATCAGTCCCTTGCACTCGCGGAGCTCTCCGAGCTCGAGTTGGTCCACATTGTGGATACTCAAGTTTTTGGTAGAGTGAAGGTGGGGCAAGTCGACGTTAATGTGGTCGCCATTCGCTGCAATGTGGAGCATGTCTGTAACAGACTCCACATCGGAACTGACCGATTCCAAAAACCGGTTGTTGTTGATGTTGAGCAGCTCCATCTCCCCGGAGTTGATACCTATGATGTAGCTGAGAGAGGTATCCGAGATAAGCACACTAGACAAGTTATGGATTCTCTCCCAGTTTATGTCTGCTGCGCTCAAAATAGGAAGAACATTCCACTGGATTTCTCTTACGGCAGCCAAGCTGGGTACCTGAAGAAAGCACAAGGAGGTCAACTCTTGCAACTTGAACTCACCAGAGATCAGCTGCAACATCGGCATTTCCAAACGAACAAGAGCAGGCGAGTCTTTTACCTCCAACAGGCCGTCGACAAATCTCAACTCCTCAAGCTTTAACATGGCGTCGTCGAAGTTGGTGATCACAATATCACCCTGAATCTCGTCACAACCGAGGATCTGGTTCAAGTCGCCCAAAGACAGGATGGTGTATTGCTCCAGAGCACATTTGCGAAGGTTTTGCGGTCTCATTGGAGCCGGTGGACCCGGCTGCAAAACAGTCAGAGAGTTGGTCTCTTCAACTGGGTGTTAGTGAATACTAGAGTACAAGTGGGAAGGTAGGTCATACGGTCACGACGGGCCCGGGCAGGATGGTTGAAATTATCAATCACTTGGCCATCGAAAAGACGGAAGCCTGAAGCCACGGCTAGTAAAGTAATGGTGAGAGGTGGGAAGAATAACATGGTGCAAAAGAGGTTTGTGGTTTTCGCAGCCAAATCCTCAGGCTTTATAGTAGTCACGGTGGGCCACCAATACACAAAGAGAAGCACACAGACGATGAAGAAGAAGGGATTGGCCTTGGGTCCTACTTGGGGTATTTTAATAAAAAAACGACCTTGCTTTCTGGATCCTGGCTGTTCTGGTTTCGTCAGGTACATCAGTAGGGTTGGATTACAAGGCCAGTTCAGGCCGATATGAACGATCAGTAATTCTCCAATGTATATGAAATTCAACAACTCCTGGAATCCAAAAATTCATATCTTAAATCTGCCTTGCCTCTCGTTGTTCTCGGTGAACCCCAGACTGTACAAGCGATGCTCATCGCAGTGGATTTTTTGCACTGTAAATAGAACCAACCACAAGTGATAAGACTACGCATCAAAGCATGAGCCATTTCGTCAACTTGAGCCTTGCCGAGGCCTCGAATAGGCTCGATGTCTACAAAAATCACTTTCCCCAAAAGTCCGTGCCATCTCTGGTCGAGTTTGCTGATCAGAATGTGCAAAACGACTTGGACAAACTAGCACTCATTGCATTGCATCTGGACTCCACGCTTGCCGTTTACTACGCCTATGAGCCTATATTCCTTGATTTGATGGCTCGCTGGGTCCAGAATCCTGCTTGGTTTGAGCAGAATTACTGTGAAGCTCACGGGATCGAATCACCAGCTTCAGGCTCCATCATCCTACTTGCATTGTCCAGGGTCATAGACTTGGCGCCAGAATCCACCAACTTGATAGAGTATTACTTGGCTTCTAATAACGGCCTTCGTGGACTCATGGAGTCGGGCTTATCCCCATCGGATCTTCAGGCATCCCTTTTGGCATACTATAGAATCTACAAGTCCAACCCTCACAAGTTCAAGCACTTCATCGATCCCAAGAAGCTCTTCGAAATCATGAGCTTGGATGACGAGAAATACAACATTCCAAAGATCCTTGCCGTCTGCATTATCAGCAAATACATCAGCGCTTCTGAGGAGGCCCACGATGCGATGTTGGCTAAACATATCACAGGGTCATATGAGGGCTCTTTCGATGGCGGCTACACAATTGACTACAAGTTCCTCTCATTGGTGGAGGCAAAAAGACTCTCGAATCATACCAAATTGCCAACTGCCGTCTCCCACGCACATTCTCGAATTGTTACCATAGCTCAGAAAGACTTGTCCTCGCTCATTACCTGTGTTTGCGGTATCCTTCTCTTTAATAGACACCTGGAGAAGGACATCACCAAGAAGGACCATTTTGTGCCCATTGAAAGCTCTGTGCTGGTCTTGAAGCAGTTGGCAACCCAGATCCTGAGAGACAGACCAGTTATGCTTCATGGCCAGGCAGGCTCAGGTAAAACTTTCCTCATTAACCAGATGGCCAGCCACATGAGCTGTTCCGATTCCATTGTCAAAATCCACTTGGGTGAACAGACTGACGCCAAATTGCTTTTGGGTACATACACCTCTGGCGAGAAACCAGGATCCTTCCAATGGCGTTCTGGCGTGTTGACTACGGCAGTGAAAGAGGGTAAGTGGGTTCTCGTTGAAGACATTGATAAGGCGCCCACCGAGGTGCTTTCCATCCTTCTTGTTTTGTTGGAGAAGCGTGAACTCAATATCCCATCCAGAGGAGAGGTTATCAAAGCCCACAGCGGCTTCCAGCTTATATCCACCATCACCACATCTTCCGAACGTAATTCGAGACTTCCTGATCTTATTGGTATGCGTCTTTGGGAGCTCATCGAGGTTCCTCAGCTCTCTGAACTCGACTTGAAAGCCATTCTCACAGCTAAGTTCCCTCTTCTCGCAAAGTTTATCGTCAAGTTCATCACAGTCTACAACAAGGTGCTTCAAATTTTTGCAATGCCAGCTTTCATTGCCTTGAATAAGGGTTCTCACCCAAGAGCTAACTCCACTAGAGACTTGATGAAGTTTTGCTCCCGTTGTCATAAATTACTCCACAATAGAGGTGTTACTAGTGATGATACACTTTTCGAAACCCAGGTTTATGAAGACATTTTCGCCGAGGCCGTCGAGTGTTTCGGTAGCGCCATCACCGAACCCTCAGCATCCGTCCCCTTGATCAATGCCATAGGTGAGATCCTTGAAATCTCCGCAACCAGAGTTAATCTTTTTATTGAAAACCATGTTCCAACAATGCATCTCGGAGAGGACAGTATCGAGATCGGAAGGGCTGTTCTTCAAAAGTCCTCTGTTGATAAAGCGCTTTACAGCCGGGGTAAAACCAGTGAAGGCAGTTTCGCTCGCACTAAGCATTCCAAGCGTTTGATGGAGCAGATCGCTTTGGCCATTCAAATGGTCGAGCCAGTCTTGTTGGTTGGTGAGACAGGTACCGGTAAAACGACTGTCGTTCAAGAAATCGCCAAGATGATGAACAAGAAAATGACCGCTATTAACGTTTCTCAGCAGACGGAGTCTAGTGATCTTCTAGGTGGCTACAAACCTGTCAACACCATGACTGTTGCAATTCCTTTGCAGGAAACATTTGAGAACCTCTTTTTGGCGACATTCTCTCAAAAGAAGAACATGAAGTTTTCCGAGCTTTTATCCAAGTGTTTCAACAAAAGACAGTGGAAAAACGTCATCAAACTCTGGAAAGAGGCAGTCAAGATGGCCCGTGCAACCCTCGAGAAGAGCGAGGATTCCGGAGACGAAAAGCCCGATGAAGGTGGTCCCAAGAAGAAGAGGAAATTGAGTTCAACGGAAAAGCTGGCTATGCTTGAGAAATGGCTTGACTTCCAATCTGGAATCGAGAAGTTCGAGGCGCAGGCCGCCAATCTCGAGAACTCATTTGTCTTTAACTTCGTTGAGGGATCTCTTGTAAAGGCTGTTCGTAACGGTGAATGGCTTCTTCTCGATGAAATCAACTTGGCTTCATCTGATACGTTAGAAAGCATAGCAGATCTCTTGTCAGAGGTTGCTGAACAAAGATCGATTCTTTTGAGTGAAAGAGGAGACATTGAACCCATCAAGGCCCATCCTGATTTCAGAATTTTTGGATGTATGAACCCTTCTACCGATGTTGGTAAGCGTGACTTGCCCGTCAGTATACGATCAAGATTTAGTGAGATCTACGTTCATTCTCCAGACAGAGACAGAGATGATCTTTTACTGATTATCGACAAATACATCGACAAATTTGCCATTGGAGATGATTGGGCTGCGGATGACATTGCCGAACTTTACCTTGAGGCTAAAGCGTTGGCGGAAAAGAACAAGATTGTCGATGGTGCAAACCAGAAACCACATTTCAGTATTCGTACATTGACGAGAACCTTGACGTACGTGCGGGACATCGTTCAAACTTACGGTTTGAGAAGATCGCTTTACGAAGGTTTTTGTATGTCTTTCTTGACTTTGCTTGACGTGAGATCCGAGGGAGTCTTGAGACCTATTATTGAAAAGTACACTGTGGGAAAGACAAAGAGTCCTAAGTCTGCTCTTAATCATATTCCCAAGGCACCTTCTGACCCAAAGCACGAGTATGTTCAGTTCAGACACTATTGGTTGAGAAAGGGTGCTTTCGAGGTTGATGAACAGCCCAATTACATCATCACCCCATTTGTTGAGAAGAACTTACTCAACTTGGTCCGTGCTACTGCAAGCAGGAGATTTCCTGTCTTGGTTCAAGGTCCTACTTCTGCTGGTAAGACCTCCATGATCAATTACCTTGCAGCCATCTCGGGTCACAAGTTCGTTCGTATCAACAACCACGAACACACAGACCTTCAGGAGTACTTGGGAACCTACGTCTCAGACTCAAGCGGTAAATTAGTCTTCAGGGAGGGAATCTTGGTTGAAGCTTTAAGAAATGGTTACTGGATCGTTTTGGATGAGCTTAACCTTGCACCTACTGATGTGCTTGAGGCTTTGAACCGTTTGCTTGATGATAACAGAGAACTTTTCATTCCAGAGACTCAAGAGGTTGTCCATCCCCATCCTGACTTCATGCTTTTCGCCACTCAGAATCCTCCTGGGTTGTACGGTGGTAGAAAGGTTCTCTCTAGAGCTTTCAGAAACAGATTTTTGGAGTTGCATTTTGATGACATTCCAAGAGACGAGCTTGAGATCATTTTGAAGGATAGATGCCAAATCGCTCCTTCTTACGGAAAGAAGATCGTGGAAGTTTACAACGAGTTATCTTTGCAGCGTCAATCTTCCAGACTTTTTGAACAGAAGAACTCATTTGCTACGTTACGTGACTTGTTCCGTTGGGCTCTTCGAGAGGCTGTTGGTTACGAGGAGTTGGCTGCCAATGGGTACATGCTCTTAGCTGAGCGTGTGAGAAACGAAGAAGAGAAGCAAGTGGTGAAGCAAGTGATAGAAAAGGTTATGAGGGTGAAACTTGATATGGATGCTTACTACGAGAAGCTCGAGAACAAGGAAATCTTCAACATCGAACTGTCGATTGTCTGGACCAAGGCCATGAGGAGATTGGCAGTACTTGTTGCTACCTCTATCAAGTATAAAGAGCCATTATTACTTGTTGGTGAAACCGGATGCGGTAAAACCACAGTTTGTCAGATTCTCGCTCAATTCCAGAACAAGCAGTTGATAACTGTGAATGCACACCAGAACACTGAGACCGGAGACATTTTGGGTGCTCAAAGACCCCTCAGAAACCGTTTTGAAACCAGAGGCGAGCTTGTTAAGAGCTTAGTGTCTTTCTTCGAGATCCTCAACATTGATGTTCAGCTTGGTGAGACTAATGCAGAGGACTTGATCAAAAAGTACAGAAAGACAATTGCTGATCTTAGTGATGACGACAAGGGAAAGGTCGACGAGCAGCTCATTGTTGAGATTGAAGACAAGATCAGAAGCGCTGGGACACTCTTCGAGTGGGTTGATGGTCCTTTGGTTCAGGCCATGAAGACCGGTGACTACTTCTTGCTTGATGAAATTTCGTTGGCTGATGATTCCGTTTTGGAGAGATTGAACTCTGTCCTTGAGCCCGAGAGAAGCTTGTTGCTTGCTGAGAAGGGTACTGAAGATGCATTCCTTGTCGCTCAAGATGAGTTTCAGTTTCTCGCTACCATGAACCCCGGTGGTGATTACGGCAAGAAAGAATTGTCCCCTGCTTTGAGAAACAGATTCACAGAAATCTGGGTTCCATCTCTCGATGATTTCAACGACGTCAGACACATCGTGAGGTCTCGTCTTCAAGATCAATACAAGGATCTTGCCAATGCGCTTACCGAGTTTTCCGAGTGGTTCGGAAGGAAACTTGGAAATGGCAATGTCAACAGTGGTGTGATTTCGTTGAGAGATATTTTGGCTTGGGTCCAGTTCATCAATGCATGCGACCAGTCAGTGTCTGCCGATGCTGCTTTCTACCATGGTGCCTCCATGGTATTCATTGATGCCTTGGGAACAAACAATACCGCCTACCTTGCCGAGAATGAGACCAAGTTGTCAGATCACAAGAGACAATGTGTCGAAAAGCTCAGTCAGCTTGTTGGCAAGGATCTCGCCCAATTCTCGCTTGTCAACAATCATGAGGTCATCGTTGGAGAAGATAAGCTTAAGGCTGGTTTATTTGAAGTCGAACGTGTTTCAGGAACCACTTATACTGATCCTTTCAACTTGCACGCCCCTACAACTGCTGCCAATGCTCTGCGTGTTGTTAGAGCTATGCAAGTCCATAAGCCCATATTGTTGGAAGGTAGTCCTGGTGTTGGTAAGACCAGTTTGGTGTCTGCGATTTCCAAGGCTACTGGTAACGAGCTCATCAGAATCAACCTTTCTGAACAGACCGACTTGATTGATCTTTTTGGCTCCGATGCTCCGGTAGAAGGTGGCCAAACTGGTGAATTTGTTTGGAGAGATGCTCCCTTCTTGAGAGCAATGAAGAACGGTGAGTGGGTATTGTTGGACGAGATGAACCTTGCTTCTCAGTCGGTGTTGGAAGGTTTGAACGCTTGTTTGGATCACAGAGGAGAGGCTTACATCCCAGAACTTGATCGTTCTTTCCCACGTCACCCTGACTTTAAGGTCTTTGCCGCCCAAAACCCTCAATATCAAGGAGGTGGAAGAAAGGGATTGCCCAAGTCTTTTGTGAACAGATTCACGGTTGTGTTTGTGGACACATTGAGTGCTGATGATTTGACCTTGATCGCTCACAAATTGTACCCAAACATCCCCAGAGATGACTGCAGCAAGCTTATCAAGTTCGTTGCTGAATTAGAGAGACTCATTGTGAAGCAGAAATCATTCGGCGTTCTCGGCGGTCCTTGGGAGTTCAACTTGCGTGATGTCTTGAGATGGTTAAGTTCATTCCACTCTTCTCAAAACATCAATCGTGAACAGGACATGAGTCTTGGTGAATTTTTGGATATGATTGTCTGCCAAAGATTCAGAACCGAGGACGACCGTCGTAAGGTTGATGAGCTTTTCGTGTCTGTTTTCGGCGAGCAAAAGAAGAGAAGCCCATTCTATTCGATTGGAATTGATTATGTTCAAGCTGGTGGTGCTCTCATCAAGAGAGGCGAACTCATTCAGTTCGATAACTCGATCGACAGACTTAACTTGGTACCTCTTCAGTGTAACTTCCAAGTGCTTGAATCTGCGCTTAGAAGTGTCAACGAAAACATCCCATTTATCATCGCTGGTCCATCCAACGCCGGTAAAACTGAGTTGATCAGATTCTTGGCCAACGCTGCTGGTGTCAAGTTGTCTGAGTTTGCCATGAACAGTGACGTTGATAGCATGGATATTTTGGGAGGTTACGAACAAGTTGATGTCACTAGAGCAATGTCTGAAGTGATTAACAAGACTTACACATTTTTCAGGGAATTGCTTATTGAGAGCTGTCTCATACACCTGGAAACCTCGCCATCAGCTCTTCATGCTATAGAGATTGTTGATTTGATCGAGAACACTGTACTGGTCGCAGACTCATTCCCTCGAATCGCTAAACGTTTCAGACATTTCGTGAGCCAGTTCCACAATGAAGCCTTGAACAGCCTTCTTATGGAATTTGCGGCTGTTGAAACAAAGGTGAGAGAAAAGTCTGCAGTCAGATTCGAGTGGTTCGACGGTTTGCTCGTCAAAGCAGTCGTGAATGGAGATTGGTTGGTTTTGGATAACGCCAACTTGTGTAACCCATCTGTTCTTGACAGACTCAACTCCTTGCTTGAGGTAAATGGGTCTTTGATCATAAATGAGTGCAGCACAGAAGATGGTATGCCACGGGTTTTGAAGCCACACCCCAACTTCAGGTTGTTTTTGACTGTGAACCCCAAATATGGCGAGCTTTCGAGAGCCATGAGAAACAGATGTATCGAAGTTCACATTGACGATCTCGAGAAGCGTTCCACCTTCTTCGATAAAATGACCTTGGGATTGCCGCTTGTTGATGAGGCAACTTCCGAGGAAGACATCAGTGAATTGATGGAGAAGCTTAAATTTGGTCAGAATAGTGTCGGCAGACCATTGGCTACTTTTGTTCCTTGTAACGAGTCTAAAATGAGACGTTATGGCGCCACCGTTGATGCTGTTGATAATTATGAACACAACTTAGCGAAGAGTGCTTTGATCAGTATCTTTGCTCAAAGAGATGTCACTGTGATCGAATCGTGGTTTAACACTGTTACATCTAGCAAGGAATTTAGCTCCATCTACAAGTCAACTATGCAAGAGTCCATCGAAGTGTTGAAGGTCTTGTCCAGTGCCGACTACTTCACCAGTTGTAAACTTACCTACGACAAGGTCGACTCTTCTAGAGTGACTCCCTACTTCCCCCAGACTCAAGCTCTCAACACGATTCTCAATGAGTACATTGTACCATACTTGGGTGAGGCGGGTGAGGCAAACTGGCTTGAGCCTACCATAATGTTCCAAGTTGCAACTCGTCTTTTCGAAGCTTCAGCTTTATTGGACACCATTGAAAGAAGAGGAACCGAGAGTCCGCTTCATCAATTATCGTTTCTTGAACTTTCCGCAGCGGTTTGTTTCGGCAGGGAAGTGAAGAAGACGCCAAAGGTGAACGTTTTCGGATTCGTGAAGGAGGTTCATACGTGGATCATCAAGGCCTTCTTGGTGCACACATCTGCCTCTGTCACTTCCGATGGTCCAGTCTTCTCTGCATTGCTTGAACTTCAGGAAACATGGATCTGTTTGGTAAACTCTGCCAGAATTCAGAACATCACAAAGTTGAGAGTTTACCACAGCATCATTGGATCGTGGTTCGAAAAGCACAAAGACATTTCCATGCTTATTGATCAAGGGCTGCCAATGTCGAGTCTTTCCCTTCAGCTTGAATTGACGACAGGGTTCTCCATGGGCACCATCTGGAACCACTTCCGTCAATTATACCCATCGACTTCTGAGGCTTGGGATTACTACTCGAGCCTTTTGAGCATCTTATCTGAATTTGATACCTTAGTTGCCAACTATGAGATGAATGCAGAGGAGGTTTTGATGCTTAGACAGCTCATGATTGACCTTTACGGAACAATCATTACCGGCACAGCATCCGATGACGACCTCGCTAACTTGTTCAAGCAGTTAGTGAGCGGTATTGCTGCTCTTAAGGAAGCCGCAGAGGGTTCGGAGAAGAGATGTAACAGTTTCGAGGAAGAGTTCACGATGCTTTCTACATTCGTGGAGTCTGAAAGCATGGCTACTGGAGCAAACACTTCAGGTAAGCAATTGCAACTTTACCAAAAGTCGAGTAAACCAACTTCTGGATTGTTGAACTCTCTGAACACCAATGTCTTCAAGCCCTATCCAAGAATCTTCGATGATGTATACTTGAGAGGCTCAAGAGGGGGTGTTATGAATGTCTTTGCAGAGAACCTTCTTGAGGCTTTGAATGCCAAGGCACAAGAGCTCAACAGATGTCTGGGTAAGTACTTAGACAAGCAGTTAGCTGATATGAAAGTTCTCGCTGACTCGCTTGTTGAGAATTCCACATCGGTTCTCAGAGATCAAAAGCTGGTGTTCAAGACTTTGCTTCTCTCTTGGATCAAGGAAATTTTGGCCGCTCATCAAATTCTGATTATCGGAGAATCATTGAAAGAGGTTCTTGATGGGGTCAGAGCCTCTGATAGTACTGCCTTGATCACCGTCTTTGAGGCTTACATGGGACCCGCCGTGATGATTGCAGAGTCAGCTACCACGTTGAAGTCTCTCGGTAAAGCTTGGGTTCTCTTCTCATGTGGATGTGTACAGCTCTTTGTTCCTAGCTCCCCTATGGATCCCGCCATCGATGATCATGTTGTTTACGACATTTTCAAGACTCAAAATGAATCACTTGACAATCTTATTGCGTCTTGGAAGGTCGTGAGACAAACAATCACAGGCGATGAGCCAATTGCCACGGAATCAGAGTTGCCTCAATTGAGAAATGAGGATAGAGAGAAGCCAACCATTTTCAGACCAAGTGATGGCATTGACGATTTGTTCGAAGAGTGGGCTGGTTTCATGAGCTCATCCATTGACAAGGATGCTGTGACGAGATTGCTTTCGCAAGCAGAGGCTGAATACGACGAGAAGAATGTGAATGGAATCAACGTTTTCCAGCACAACTCTGTTAACTTCCTTACTCGTTTGAGAACTAACAAGGTCGTCTACTCAGACCTCAACGATATTCTTGCTGGTTACGTCTATGGCTTAAAGTTTGGTCTCGATTTGATGATGATGGAGAACGAGAACACCAAAGCCCAGGTTTCTCTCAAGAACCTTTGGTCTGTGGATGTGTCTTCTTTGCTCAATCCTGTTTTGATCAGAAACACTTTCGAGGATTTCAAGAAAGCTAGCAAATCGTTTGGCAACAACACATGTGCAAGCGAAAAGCTGATGTTATTCTTCATCAACATTTGCTTCATGCAACGCCACATGGAATCAGAGCCCGAGTTAGACCACATTATCAACCTGGCTTTCCAGACGCTTTATTACAGGTGGTACTACCGCAGGGCAAAGGAGGAAGAGCAGGCTGCTCAGAATGCTTCCCTTTACAAGTACGAAGGTGGTGATGATGATGTTGAGAAGGAGTTCCAAATGATGTTCCCTGATTACGAAGAGGTAATGGAGGTTGATTCCAACGCAGCCAAGTCGTCCAGCTCGCTAGCTGAGGTTTATCCTCAACTCTGCCAGCTTTATGTTGATTACTACCTCAATGGAAGACTGGCTGACATAACCAAGGTTATTGAGCAAGGTGCCACATTAGCTTGGGACTTGTCCAAGTTTGAAGACGTATTTGTCCATGGCTCCAACAGTCCCGAATCTATGGCAGCACTTTTCATCAACATGCTGAAGGTTCACGAGGTATTCTCCCTGCAAAGAGGTGACGTTGATTTCTACCATGGCGAGTCACCATTCGAATTCAGGAGAGCTATCAAGGTCGTCAGTAATGTTCAAAGAGCGGTTGCAACCCTTTTGGACCAATGGCCAGAACACGCCACTTTGCAGAATATCACGAGGACTGCAATTGAGTTTACCGAATTCCCATCAAATTTCCCCATTTCAAGACTCCTCCAGAAGCTCGAGGTAATCTTCACTTACCTCAACGAGTGGGAGAAGTTTGCCAGCAGCAAGGTGACCCTCAGAGCATGTTACGACGAGGTGACTGAGCTCATCGTGTCTTGGAGAAAGCTTGAACTTCTGTCTTGGAGAAAACTTTTCGACAACGAGGACTCTACTTTTAGAGAGAGGGTTGGTAAATGGTGGTTCTATCTCTTCGAGACTATCATTGTTCCGATTTTTGGCATCGATGAGGAGAATGATGAGAAGATGTCGACGATCCAACTTTTGGGTGCTTTGAACGTCTTTATGAGCGAGACCACCTACGGAGAATTTGCGACTCGTTTACAGTTGGTTCAGGCGTTTGAGAACCATGCATCAAGATTGGAAGGTGGCGAGAAGACTGCTAATGCTCTTCGCAACTTCACAAAGTTTTACGAGCAATACATCCCCCACATTGACGAGGCCATTTCGCAAACCAAAAAGACCCTTGAGAAGGAGATCAACGAGGTGATTCTTCTTGCTAGTTGGAAGGATGTTAATATTGATGCCCTCAAGCAGAGTTCCAAGAAGTCTCACAACAGTCTTTTCAAGATTGTGAGAAAGTACCGTGCCCTTTTGGCGACACCAATTTCTCCTCTTGTCCAGGCTGGTCTCGCTTCCGACTCCAAGGTATCAATTGCTGAAATTCCTTCAACCTTGTCTGTTCAGCATCAATCTCATGACCATGACACACAAATGGCCATTCTCAAGCTTTGTGGTAAGGCATCTACTTGGGACGAGAGACCAAACAGACTCAAGAATTTGTCTATGATCGAGAACAACATGCGTGTCTTCATTGATAAAGTCACCCGCTCAGCCGCACCATCGCTTTACGATTACGCCAAGGAGATCATCGAAGAGATGGATAGACTCAGAAAGGAAACGCCTAACGTGATGAATGATGACACCAAGAAGGAAGTGGCTGCGTTGAAGACACAAAAACACAAACTTTTGAGTGAAGTTTTGAAGGAGTTGAGAAGGATAGGTATCAAGACCACAGTGAAGCCTGATATCAAGAAGCTTTTGGCAACGGTGAATTTGATTTTCACCAATAGTGCCTCCTTCTCTTCCAAGAAATTGGTCAGTGCTGATGCTTACTTCTTGCGAGTTTTGGATTTGCTTCCACGTCTCAGAGCTTCAGTCTCTGAAGGAAACGATGAAGTGCCACAAGCGGATCTTGAAAGAGGTTTGGCGGCCACAGAGAACTTGTTGTTTTCTTTGGTTACCGTGAGAAAACCAACCAACAGCTTAGCGCTGTCACTCGACGAATTAGAAACTTTCAACGACGCTCTTGCGAATAAGTTTTCGGAGTTGAACTCACAATCTGGTATTCTTTGCAAAGCATCATCCATCGAGAGTTTCTTTACGACTTTGAGAGATCTCCAGGTTTTCGTTCGCAGCTTCGAGCAATTGATGGACTATATCTCAGAGGTGGTAAGAGGTGTTGTCTTCTTCACCAAGGTGTCCGATACGAGTGTCCTCGAGAGTCTTAGACAATCGGTGAGCCAATGGAGAGTAAAGTTATCCATTTCTGACCTCACTGTGCCCGTCGAGAGTGAACGCTCTATGTTGGAAGAGTTCAAACAGTACGTTGCACTGATTGTGAATGAGTTGGCTGCATGGAGGGATTCCAACACTGCCAACGGCTTCATTGCTCAAACCATTCTCAATTGGCTCTCCAATTGGGTGCAGAATGTGAAACCAGCTTCAGAATCCGCCCCTGCCAACACTGTTACAATTGAGGTACTCGAGAAGTCACTCAGGAAACTCTCCAACTCGATTCTTGTTTCCGTGCAGCGGGTTGTTGAAATCCATGATGAGGACATTAGCCAGGACGACGACAAGTGGTTACAAGAATCCCAGCAAAGACTTTCGCAAGCAATGAAGGCTCTCCACCACGAGAGCATCAACTCACTTCTCAGAAATGTCAGATCTAATTTGTTGAACATCGAGCACGATCTGGAGACATCTGCTGTGAGTGCTGCTTTGATGAGTTTCACCATGCCCTTGGTGCAGTTGTACTACAAGCTCGCCTCTGCAATTCAAATGAGAGCCCGGGAGAACTACATTCAGATTTCTAGATCCACCTATGTCTTGGCCACTGCTCTTCACAAATTGGCTTCCTCCGGTTTCTGTTCTCCAGAACCTCCACAGGAGCAGAAGAAGGATGATAACTTGCAAGATGGTACTGGATTAGGTGACGGAGAAGGTGCCACAAACAACTCAAAGGATGCTGAGGACGATGATTTGGACGAGCATGCTCAGCAGCCAAACGAGGAGAACGAGAAAGATAAAGACGACGGCGAAGAGGAAGACGACGACGCTGTCGACATCGAAGGTGACATGGCTGGTGATCTTGAGGATGCCTCTGACCAGGAGAAGGATGAAAATGACGATGGTGATGAGGAGCAGGACCTCGACGAGGAAGTTGACGACATCGATGATCTTGACCCCAATGCCGTCGACGAGAAAATGTGGGATGAGGAAGCCAAGGATGACTCCAAGGAAAAGGAGTCGGACAAGATGCCACAAAATTCCGTGAACGACGACGACAATATGGAAGCCATGGAAGACGAAGATCAGAAGCAGGAAGAAGGTGACAATCAAGAAGGAGAGGAAGGAGAAGAAGAAGAGAAGGAGAACGACGGGGATTCAGAAGACGACGGTGAAGACGTTGGTGAGCAAGAAGATGAGGTAAAGAACGACGAAAACGAACAGCTCGATGACTACGTCCCTGAGACTGAAGCTTTAGATTTACCAGAGGACATGAACTTGGACGACGAAAATGAAGACGAAGCTGCTCAGGACGAAGACGAAGGTGACGAGAAATTCGAAGACGAGTTGGACAAGAACGAGAAGGAGGAAGAGGGACTGTCTGATGAAAAGGACGAGGAGCCCGCCGATGCTGAAGCTGATGCCGAAGAAGCAAACGAGGAAGAGGCCTCGATGGAACAGGATGAGGAAGAAGACGACAAAGAAGGCGCTGGCGATGACAAGGAAGTTGACGAAGAACCACAAGAAGCTTCTGACGACGAAACTGTGAAGGGTCCCGAAGAGGGTGAAGAGGAGAAGGATGACGAGCCTGACTCTGCTGAAAATGGCGATCTTGAAGCTGATGGACTCGATGGAGCCGAACAAGATCAGGACGAGGATGTTGATATGGACGCTGCTTCCAAGGCTGCCGCAGGCGAGAAGGGCGATGGTGCTGACCAAGAAGTCCTCGAGGACCAGGATGATGTTGGTGCCTCTGGAACTGCTTCTTCTGAAATGCAACAACAAGAAGATAGAGATCAGGATTCTAACGACAACTCCAACAGTGAGATCAAGGAGTCCTTGAAGCAATTGGGAGATTCGTTGAAGGAATTCCATCGTCGCAGACAAGAGATCAAGGAAGCTAGTCAGAGGGACCAAGAGGAACAAGAAGCAAAGGCTGACGTTAGACCTGACGAGTTCGAACATGTCGAAGGAGAGAACACTGAGCAGGATACTCAAGCGCTTGGTGCTGCTGACAATCAGGACCAGATCCAACGTATTGACGAGGATAAAGCCATCGACGACGACGAAGAGGTTCCAGACCGTGAGGAAGTGGATGAAAAGAAGGATCCTGACGCCATGGACATCGAACAGGGAGACGAGGAGGCGGCTCAAGACGGCGAGGAAACGAACCAAGAAGCCGATTCAGAGAATGTTGGTGCTGTGCTAGGCGAGAGAAGAATTGTTAAAGAAGAGGACCAGGATATCGATCTCGCAGCTGAAGACCTCGAGGAAACGAAGGCAGAGGTTGACATGAAGAACCATCTTGATGACGACTATGAACTAGGCAGTGACGAAGTCCCAGCACATGATCTCATTACATCCAGAGAGCTCTGGAACCACAGCGAGCTTGCTACTCAAGAGTTGTCATCTGGTTTGTGTGAGCAGTTGAGATTGATTTTGGAGCCCACATTGGCCACCAAATTGAGAGGTGACTACAAGACCGGTAAGAGGCTCAACATGAAGAGAATCATTCCATACATCGCCTCGGAGTTCAGAAAAGACAAGATCTGGCTCAGAAGAACCAAGCCATCCAAGAGACAGTACCAGATCATGATCTCTGTGGACAACTCCAAATCCATGAGTGAGAGTAAGGTAACCGAGTTGACTTTGCACAGCATTGCCCTTGTCTCCAAGGCTCTTACCCAACTTGAAAGTGGTGGATTGTCGATTGTGAGATTTGGTGAGGACGTCAAGCTCCTTCACCCATTTGACAAACCTTTCAATCAAGAAACTGGTGCTCGTGTATTCCAATGGCTTGACTTCCAACAAGAGCGCACTGACATCAAACTGTTATGCTCAAAGTCTTTGAAGATTTTCGAAAATGCTAGAGCTTCTTCAGGTGCCGATTTGTGGCAACTTCAAATTATCATTTCTGACGGTGTTTGCGAAGACCACGAGACAGTTGAACGGATGGTCAGACAAGCTAGAGAAGAGAAGGTGATGTTGGTGTTTGTCGTGATTGACGGAATTACATCGAACGAGTCAATCCTCGATATGTCCCAGGTGAGTTACGTTCCTGATGCCAATACTGGTGCTATGACGTTGAAGGTGAACAAGTATTTAGACACATTCCCCTTCGAGTTCTACGTTGTGGTGAGAAGCATCAAGGAGTTGCCAGAGATGCTTTCGTTGATCTTGAGGCAGTACTTCACGGAAGTCGCTAGTGTTTGATTCATGCAATTGGATTATTTAAAAATGCAAATTAAGATAACGATCGTGGTAGGATTAAAGATCGTAGTATGTGGATGGCGCCCTGAGAGGCCCTGGTGGCTTGGGGCCCGACGACTTCTTCGACTGGGATGGTGATTTCTGAAATGGGATGTTGGGGACAACTTTGGCGAGACAGATGGACATGTCGTCAAGCTTACCACCCAAACTGATGTTCTTGCCAAAACGGTTCTCAGGGAGTTTGTTGACCATTTCGTTGTAAGGCGTGTAGGCGTTGTCATCGTAGGCCGTCAGCTTCGCCTTTCTGAGAATCTTGTTGGCGACAGCACGCATGTCATCATTCTTGAAATGAGTGTACTCATCGATCATATGGGCGATTTCCCAGTCATGCAAATTGTCTGTGATACCATCAGAACACATGACAATAATGTCATCGGGCTGGAGCTTGATGGAGTCAACCCATGCGACTTCAGAAGGCATCACATTAAGCGTTTGTGTGCCAATTTGCTGAGGACACAACTCGGAGACAAGCTGTTCCTCGTTAGTCTTGATGATCTCACCCTTACGCACGATGAAGATCTTGGAGTCGCCAATGCTAATCATCTTGAGGTATTCGCCACTCAACATGCACAAGACAAGCGTCGAAGAGCCTCTCAAGTCCTGGAGGTCCATCAAGTGGGAAGTATGCAAGTACGAGTCGTCCAAGATCTGGTCGATGTCTCTCTTATTAAGGTGGTGAGGTGAGGTGTTGAGCTTGTACTCTGTCATGAGACGACTGAGCGTTTCCACCATGGATCTAGACCAGATGCCCAGGGAACACTGCTCCCCCTTGGACTCCCAGCCTGACACGCCATCGGCGATAGCCATGACCGTCGGAGATACCAACATGGCGTCGTCGCCAGCCTTGATGGAGAGCGTATCGGCAGGAGAGCCCTGTGGCCTTCTTCTAGGCAAAAGACTATTGAGTTGTGTTGGGTCTGTCAAGTCACTAAGGGAATGCACGGTAGGGTCCGAAACCGTGGAATGATGGGCAAACAGGGCGTGCCCTAGCTGGAACTTGAAGCGGTCATTGCTGATGTACTTCATCTGCTCCCTGGTGACCACGGGATACTGGATATATGGGTTGTTGGCGTTCTCCCTCTCTTCCTTCTTCTCTATGTCAAGTTGGCGTTGCAGCTTACCAAACATGGAACGGACACTTCCAAAGAAACCCGTGCCCGACAGCAGGGTGGACTCCACCGCTTCTCGTAGGTAGCGGGATGCCAGTGTGAAAGATCTCCTGGCAATAAACATGGTAGTGGTATGGTTTACAAATTCCCTGTATCGAGGGGATCAGCCTGCTTAAGTAGTACAGCCTGCAAGAGGGTTCTGTGCATGAGTCCGATGGCGCACCTACTCCGAGAGGCCAGCTTTGTGTGCTGGGTGCAGGATAGCCCCGCTGGCGGGGTGTTTCCTAATTGCTTTTTTTTCTCTACTATGGCGTCCAAATAGCCGTTTTGCAGCCACTAGCGCAGTCCGAGTCAGAATCGTGAACTCAACCCAAAACACTCCTACTACACTGCCAGCTTCAGTGGCACCACCACGTGATGCTACAGAATTGCCTTATCGGGGGCTGTCAAGTCCGCCCATTCTTCCATTATGTACATACTACTCGCGCACAACAGCATTGTAGATAACCTTGTACGGAGGGGTGAGCCCCGTGTGGACCTCAAACTGCCTCTCTCCTTGGTTCACCAACATCTCCACACCAGGAACAACCGTCCACTGGTACTTGTCCTGGGCGATCTTCATCATTGGCGTAACACGTGGTTTGTACACAGCGTCGAGAAGCGTGGGGTTGAAGCCACCTTTCTTGGCCAGAGCCCCACGGTGAAGCAAACTCTCAACGCTGTTGAGGAGATTGTCGTCAAGAGGCTTGTCTGCAGCGACACAAGACACGGCAAGAGAGACGGGCTCTGCTGCATCGACTTGCTTTTTGGTTTCCAAGATTTCAATGTTGAAATTCTGAGGCAACTGGTCTCTGATCTCGTAGAGTTTAGAAGCCGTACGGTTGATCATGTAGATTTTGGAGCAGCCAATCTGGTGCAAAGCATAAGCGGCAGCTCTGGCAGTGCCGCCACCGCCAATAACCAAACCGTTCACTGAAGCGTGCTCAATAGCAGGCACACCGTTTCTGGTGAAAGACTTGGTGATACCGTACCAATCCGTATTGTCACCCAAGAACTTACCGGGCTGACCCTTAAGGGGAACCACAGTATTGACGGCACCAATAAGCTTGGCAGCGTCCGAGAGCTCGTCGGTGTATTTCATGATATCGAGCTTCAAAGGCATGGTGACGGCCAAACCTCCAAAATCAGGCTTCGAGATCAACTCATTGTAGACCTCTTCAGCGTTACTGCTTTCGAAACGGCCAAATTTAAACGGTAAGCTCAATTCCTGGTAGGCAGAGCCGTGGAGATCTGGCGAACGAGAGTGTTCTATAGGAGAGCCCACCACGTTGAACTGCTTCTTAGTCAAAATACCAATCTGGCTGAGTGAGCTGTTGATCTCAGCAAGAGTGACTTCTCCCTCTGAAGGAATACCAGGCAAGAGTTCGCTTGTGATCGGCGTGAAGAGCTTGTTCAAAACCTTCGACAACTTACCTTCCTCACCGTGGTTGTATGCAATGAGTGGAGTGCTCTGGTGGGCATTCTTAAAGTTTTCAACGTCAATATTCTCCTGGAAATCAGTGGCGGTGCCAACCAACTTGATCACATCAGCGTTCAAACTGAAAGCAGCATTGTATCTGTTGTCCCAAGCAGGATCACTCCACTTATGCTCTCCCTTCAAGTCAACGTAGGAGGCAATAATCTTGGTAAAGCCCTTCTTGCCGAAAATCTGCTTGGTAATCTTCACTGGAATACTCAACTGGAGATCCAAGTACTCAACACCCAATTTAATGGCCAATCCCGTCAAGTCCTGGTACTTCTCGATATCCTCATCAGGGAAAGCACCACCTTGGCTCTTGGTACGCACAGTAAAGATGATGGGCGAGTTGACATACTTTCTGAGAATGGCCACTTGCTCAGCAACGTAGGTGGGCGTGTGCTCCTTCAAGAGATCAACTCTCAATTCGACAGCAGAGGAGGCTGCAGTGATGTCTTCCAAGTCCTCAGCAATATCCTCCAAGTTCTCATGTGTGAGACCAACAGCGTAAGATCTCGTTGCTGGCACCCTAGTAACCTCGAGACCGGTGATGGTCTTGATGAAGTTTGAGAACGATTGCCTCAACTTCTTGAATTCATTATCGGTGGAGCAGTGAGCAGAGTAGAAAAGGAAATTTGAGCAATCGTGGTACCACTTTTCTCTTCTCTGCCAAACCTCCTTGATCTCGCTGATGTATGCTGGTCTAGTAGCGTCCGAGTTCAAGAAGATGATGGTCTCGTCCAAGTCACGGTGCAAGTGAAGGACAATTCCGGACTTAGCGTAGTTCTTGAGAAAAGTTCTCGATTCTTCGCCTTCGACAATTCCGCCACCAGTAGAGATGATGTAGCCTGTTGACTTCTCGGTGACAATGTGCTCGAAAATCTTGGCCTCAATTTCACGGAACTTCTCCCAACCCTCCTTCTTGATGAACTCTCTGATATCACCATGCTGCTCCTCAAAGGCGTCATCAGCATCGATGAGCTTGAAGCCGAGCAAGTTGGCCATCCAGCGACTCACAGTGGACTTACCAGCAGCTCTCATACCAATGACAACAATGGACTTGTCACCATTCTTTCTAGCATTGGCCAAAAGACTCACATCGTTCAAATCCTTAGGTGGCTCAAATCCATCTAGTTCAACACCAAACTTGGTGTGCAAGATGTCCCACCATCCAGGCCATGTCTTACCAGTACAAGATCTTTCTGTTATGAGAACTGGCTCAGGGCACATGCCAGCCAACAAGGAGAAAGACATGGCGACTCTGTGGTCATCGTAGGTCTTGACACCGCCTTGAGCAGCAGAAGGAACCTTCAAGTTTTTGTAGTCAATACCGTGAATCTCAATACCATCAGGAAGCTCGTTGGCAGTGACACCGAACTTGGCAAGTTCATCCACCATGGCTTTGATTCTGTTACACTCCTTCACCCTCTGGTTAGCAATACCAGTGATTTGGGTGGGTGTCGAGTCATTTGCAATAGCAGCAACAACAGAGGCTGTAAGGAAAGCGTCAGTCATGGGCTCCATATCAACATGCTTTAATGGCTTTAGAGAGCCTCTAGAAGGGCCTTTAACGGTAGTGGAAGTAGCGGTTTGTTCGACAGTGCATCCCATTGGTTTCAACACATCAACAGCAAATCTGGCATCACCCTGTAACGAAGAAGAGCCGATGTTAGGCACAGTGCAAGAAGTGCCGGTCATTGCGGCGAAAGCCAAGGGGTATGTAGCTGAAGATGCGTCGGACTCGATCTCATAGACCTCTGGGTTCTTGTAGGAGCCCTTTGGAATGTGATAAGTGTACTCTTCCGTCGTGGACTTGGTAACTTCAATACCAAAAGCCTTCATCATGGAAATGGTCATGTCGATGTACAATTGGGAGATTGGCTTACCTCCAACGAGGGCTAAAGTTACCTCTTCCTGGGCATATGGAGCGCACATCAAGATGGAAGAGACGTACTGAGAGGAGATCGTAGCACCGAGCTCGATTCTGCCACCCTTCAACCCATTGCCGGCTTTGATCTTCAAAGGCAAGGAGCCCTGGCTGTTCAAGTACTCAACTTCAGAGCCATTACTTCTCAAAGCATCCACCAAAGGACCAATGGGTCTCTCTTGCATTCTAGCATTACCAGTCAAGACAGTGTAGTCGTTTGACTGTTTGTTGATCTGGACGAGAGAGGCAACGGTGGTCAAGAAACGAGAGGCTGTACCGGCGTTACCCAAGTAGATTTGGTCATCGCAGGTGATCATGCTGCCACCGTTGCCGGTGACGACGATAGTTTCACCGTTGTCTTCGGTCGAGATTTCGGCACCTTTCAAAGCTGCAACGGCAGCCAACATATGTTTCGTGTCGTCAGAATGTAAAAGGTTCTTGATTTTGACAGTTCCTGAACCAAGAGCGGCCAAGATCAAAGCTCTATTGGAAATGGATTTGGAACCTGGTGGAATGACTGTATTGGTGGATGGGGTAGCTGATTCGCTGAATGGCAGAACCAACGTCTCATCTGTGAGGACAAACCTGAGATCTTGCTGGGAGACCTCGTGGGCCTTCCACTGGTAGCACTTACCAATTGCCTCGAGAATCACGGTTCTGATCTTGGAACCATCATTCTTTTTGTCCACAGCCATCTTTTTCAATAAGCTGTCAATAACAACAAAGTGTCTCTTGAAACCGACGTTCAGAAGGAAGGTTTTGTCGTTGATCGATGTGGGAAGGTTATAAGCATTGAGGCACTTCACGAGTCTGGCAACACCAACAGGGCTCAAAATACCCCAGTATCTGGACAATTCAGCCTCAAGAACCATACCAATGGACACACACTCACCATGGAGTGCCTGTGGGGTGACAATGGCCTCGATAGCATGGCCGATGGTATGGCCAAAATTGAGAAGATTTCTCAAACTGGATTCCTTCTCATCCTTGGACACAACATCTGCCTTTACTCTAATGGAACCCAACACGGTCTTGACCAAGTCTTCTTTGATCTCCTTGAGATCAATAGAGTCGGAGCTGACGACCTTCAAAAAGGTAGGTGCAAAGTTCTCAAGTCTTGTGAACTCAGGTTCGTCCCAGATAGCAGCGGTCTTCACCACCTCTGCCATACCATTGATGAACTGCCTCGTAGGCAACGTTTCCAAGAAGGAAACATCGACAAAGACATATTTAGGCTGATGGAAGGCTCCAATAAAGTTCTTACCCAAAGGTGTATCAATGGCAGTCTTTCCACCCACAGCAGAGTCCACCATTGCAAGCAATGTCGTAGGAACCTGGACAACACGAACACCTCTCATGAAAGTAGCAGCCACGAAGCCAATCATGTCACCCACAACACCACCACCCACGGCCAAAATAACGGTATCTCTGGTGCATCCACTTAATAAGAGGAAGTCTTCCACTTTGGCTTTGGTCTCACGAGATTTGTTGTTTTCACCGGGCGACACAGCGTATGTGAGAAGTCTCAGGTCCGGTCTCTGTTCTTTGATTTGTGATTCGAAAGAAGCCCTCAATTTCTGGAATGGAGCAGTCTTCTCCATATTCTCATCAGTGACGATAACATAGGTAGATGTAGCTAGGTTGGAGAGAGTCTCCTTCACAATATGGTCCTGGATCCCGTACCCCACATGAATGGAGTCGGTTCCGAGGATCTTCACCTTTTCTACCTGAGCCATTGAGTAGACTTACTAGGCTCTGATATCAGTAGATTTTCAATTTTCCAGATTATGACTGATTTTCGCGGCCAACTTTGATAGTGCAGTACTTGACACTAGGGTTGCAAAATTGACAGAGTGAGGCACCTACACACGATCACATTCTCATGAAATATTATTTATTTTTTTATTTTTTTTTTTTTTTCAGGAAATTTTTGACAGCTGATCATCACATGTCAGTTTATTCCTAAAGCACCTGGCGAATGTGCTCGATGCATTCCTCTGGGGTTGCCTGAGGATGGTCTAGCTGCCACTTCATTACCTCATCGGTGACTTCTCTCATCCATGGGCCTGGCTTTTTATCGAGCTCTTTTGATATTCTTTTCCCGTCCACGATTGGTTTCAAGTGAGCCACATCCTCCAATCCTTTATCTCTTATCGTCTCCAATAGACTCTCGTATTGGAAGACAGTTTCTCTGAATTTGTCCTCGTCCAAAGGTGCATTGATACCCTCTGGAGTTGGGGTCTCTCCGGTAAGGTCCACGATTTCCAAACCATCGAGGTAATCACTGAAAGCACCAAAGGCAATGTATAGCTTGAAATGCTCACCGTACTGGCGCATGTATAGACCAAGGTCTGAACGACTGATGGAAGCTGGATTTTCGAAATATTTGTCGAAAGTGGTAACTCCACTTGAGTTTTTCAAGATATTACTGACGGTATCGTAATCGTGTTTACCGAGCCTGAGACCTTCCTTGAGAATGACTTCAGGGTAGTGGGTGACCGCCTGCTTGCGTGCATTGAGCTTGACAAAAATCTCACTGTAGGGCTCGAGAATTAAGGAGAGCCACAAAGCTCTAGTTGCAGCTTTATCATTTAGTATCAGCTCGTAGATACTTTGTAACAAAGGTGCCTCAGAAGAATTTTTGATGGAATCCACAAACGAGTGAAGGTATTGTGTTGCAGCATCTATACGTAAAGACACCTTCAGGTCAAGATGATCAATCTGCTGAATGACGTCCTGATTGAGCTCCTCGATAGTGCTTCTGAGAGTGCCAGGGTTGAAAATACTGTTGCTGAAACCAACATGATTGGTCAAGCGAAGACCATAGCTAGGATTGTTTCCAGTGAGAGTTTTGTCTGTTTCAACACCCACACGCTCCCTGCTTATCTTGTGGATCAACGAGCTTCTGATATTGGCGTCCTTCATAGCTTCGATGGCTTCAGCATCAATGGTGAAATTGAAGCGGGAAGCAAACCTGATAAGTCTTAACACTCTCAAAGGATCGTCCATGAATGTCTGAAATGGCTGCAACGGCGTTCTGAGCACGCCATTCTTGAGATCCTCTATGCCTCTTCCGGTGAAATCTTCAACTTCGCTCTTATTAAGATTGTAAAAGAGGGCATTGAGTGTCGCATCACGCCTTAAAGCATCCTCTTCCGCAGTTCCACAATCGATGATGGGTACCCTGCTGTCTTCTGTATATTTTTCACTTCTGAGGTTGACGAAGTCGATGTCCAAGCCAAAGAGCTTAGCTGTGCAAGTTTCCAAATGCTTCGACTTTTCAGGATTCTTCTTGATGGTATGGAGACTTGTAGAGTTTCTGCCCAAGTCTATGCCTTGTTGTTCGGTGTATTCGAGTAACCTTGATGCAAAGTCTTCTCCTGAGAGTACATTTATAGCTATGTCAAGGTCGTGACTCTCTTGTCCGAGAAGTTTATCCCTCACCCATCCACCTGTTATTCTCAATTCCAACTTGTCATCCGCTGAGACCTTGGAATTATAACTGTCACAAAAGTTCACCAAGAGGTTACGGATCGTCTGTTCCCTATCGTCTAGAACAATGCTTGATTTCACCATGCTGGCTGGTGACTTTGTTGAGGCAGATGTAAAAAAATGTTGAAATGAATGTGTCAATCGGGGAGAATTAATTCTATGGAGGTTGAGGGATCTTGCACTGGAGAAAAGGCAGTATCTCATCGATGGGTCCTATTCTCGAGAAGTGAGGCATATCGCACGCACCTATAAATCTGAGCATCACAAATTCTTCTTCCACCTGCTCAGCTTTACATCAATGGCTATGATAATAACAAGGTCGATTTTAAATTAACTATAAAGTATTGTAGTTCTCTTTGTTTTCATTTGAGCAGGCTGCTTGCACTAAAAAGCCTACAAATCGGCTCACAGGCATAATTTGCAAGATTTGAATGCAGAGAGTCAAACAAAGGTAAACATGTAAAAAGATAAAAGTTGTTCGTGTGAAACGAAGTAGTTTTAGCCCATATAGGTATGGCATTTAAACTACCCGCATCTTTTTATGTTGAAGTAACCGCCTGCGTGGCGTAATGGTTAGCGCATTTGACTTCTAATCAAAAGATTCCGGGTTCGAGTCCCGGCGTGGGTTCTTCTTTGCGGTTTTAGCTCAGTTGGGAGAGCGTCAGACTGAAGATCTGGAGGTCCTGTGTTCGATCCACAGAAATCGCATATCGTTTTCTTTTTTTTTTCTGTTCTTTTCACTCAGTTGATATAGCCTTAGGTTGAAAGGTTATAAACTATTCGTCCAGGTGTAGTGAGTACAATGAATGTCGTGAAATTCGTAGAGGAAAGCCATAGCACGTTGAAAGGGTTACATGATGCTTCTCTTGTGATTATCTATTAAGGCTACTTCAAGCGTAGTTTCTTCTCGTTCCAGTACCCAATTGCTTCGTCTGTGTGATTAAGTGCATCGTGAAGCTCGTGGATTTTATCGATGTTGCAACCGTGGTGCACGAGAAGTTCTGATATGACGAAATACTCCCGAACGGTTCCCTCCTCATCAACCTCAACTAGCTTTCTCAACGAGTATTCAAAAATGTTGATTGTGATAGGTTGGACATGAGCACTTTGAGAGCCCATTTGAAGAGGTAGGTTGGGGTTTCCACCACAATTGAGAGCCTTGATAACATTGGCAATGTCAATCTTCCTAACAGCGTTAACAAGTAACTCATCGCAGTTCAATGACTTGTCGACGAAAGCACGGTTGATGTATTTGTCCTTGATAAATGACAAGCGGTGATCGTTGTCAATGTCTGGTGATATTTGATACTTGTTGTTCAGTAAGTATCTGTTGACCTGTGCGTTGTTGATGTAGTTTAGGAGAACTCTGTTTTCATTCTCGAAGTTATCAAGCTTCAAAGACTTAACCTTAGAAACATGCGAGCCCAAACTGCGGTGACAGGAAGAGCATTTCACACAAAGAGTAACCAAGAATGTGAGTGACATCCATTCAACATATTGGGAAGAGCCACAATCGGCACAGTAGCTGTTGTTGCTATCTGGGATGGTGTGCACCGCTCTAAGGTAGTCGATCTCTCTTACATCTGGAGAACCGATTTTGCTTGATATAATCGAAACTGGGGAACCATGTTTGTCATCATCCATGTCATCTTTAGCGTAAGATGGCTTCTCAAGGTGAAGATTTGGTTTATTCGATTTGCGTTTCTTTTCAGCGGCCACAAGGCGCTGAGTGATTTGGCCGGCATTGTACAACGCTTTAATCCACTTGTCCCTGTCATCGTCATTAATGGCCTGGAAAACGTGCTTCTGGCCCTTCGAAGTCATGATCTCAAAACAGAATTGTCTCTTGTCATACGTGATAGGTTTCACGCTTGCTAAAGCAATATCAATGGGTTTGTTGATGAGAGATTTACCTTTCCTCCAATCTGAGTATTCCTTTAGCTGTCCATCTCTTAGAACGACCCATTCCTTATGCCATCCTGGTTTGCCCTTACCTCCGAGTGCGTACAATATACCCGAGATTTCAGAATTTTGATCATCTGTAAAAATCTGAGGGGTGCTTTGATGGAATGTTAACGTAGGCGCTGGTCTCTGACCGGAGCCAGAGGCAAATACCAAATCCACTTTGGAAGAAGACATGACTCGATTAATTGCACTCTCAGAGTCAAGCGCTTCTTTAGAAGGATTCAAGGGATTCAACTTGACCACTTCGGAAAGTTCCTCATTGTTTGCACATGCTTCAATGGTTTGACGATATTGTAGCTTCTCACTGTTAAAGCGTGACATAGTATTGAGGTAGACACTAGCATCATCACTTAAAAGCTTTTGATTAGTTTTGAAGTCCTTAATGTCAGATTTCTGACTCTTAAACTTGGAACTGGAAAATTTGAGTAAATTTTCCAAAAACTGATTGAAGTACTGATTGTTTGAGGCGAGATTAAGCGAGTTCAAATAATCGAACTTTGACAATTCGAAGAGCTTTCTCTTTGCAAGTAGCTTCAGCTCGGGCCTATCCTTCTCGTTGGAGAGGTATTTGTTGAGCCATTCGTAATACTCTTTCGAATTCTTCTCGAAAGTCTTCTTAGCAGGTGACGATTCTGCGCCATCGTGAGGAGTCACGTCCGAAAGATAAGTCAACATTTTGGTAAGGAGAGTGGAGTTCAACACCTCTTTAAGTATGAATGACATGCGCTTTTCAATCACATCAAAAAATGTAAGGAAGTTCTTGTGGAATAGTTTTGGAAGATCAAGTCGAAGAAGCAATGGATTAAATTGAGAATCAACCAATATATCCAAGGTGTCAATAATACTTCTCTTAGAACTTATGATCTTCCTGAATGTTGACTCCATGTAGCTTGCATCCTCACACAACGCATGAACAGCCTTTCGTAGTTTTGGGAGGTTCTTTTCATAACCCGAGAGACATCCTCTGAATTCCGGCCCATCTTCTGTACTGAACACAAAGGCTTGCTTAAAGTCTGAAAGGGTAAATGTTGGTTCCTGGTCCTTCGGTGGATAGGGAAGGGCTTTCTCTCGCAGAGGTTGCGGAGGAGCCCGAGTCTCATCAGTCCCTTCAATTGGGTCCACCCAAAAAGAGAACGTGAGAAGCAACGAAGGCTCCTTTTCTGTGTTTTCCTGTTCCCAAAGAAAATAATTGAGCTTCCCATTTGAGAATTTGGCAGGGTCATACGAATCGTTCACAATTATCTCGTAGTCAGACGAGTCCAGCTGAAACTTTGAAAACGCAATTTTCGATACCTCTCGAGACCTGCTCTCTAAGTCATTACCCATAAGGAATTGCCTTAACTGATCGTGGCTAGTATCCTCGCCCAAAGTCTTTAAGATCACTAAGGAGTGGTCATCATGGAGATCTCTCTTGGCAAAGCGAAGGTGCAATTTGGATTTATGAAATTGACCTGGTACCGAGAGAAGTAAGGGAAACTCAGGCAGTTCATTTGAAACGTATCTCAATGGACCCGCTAGGCTTTTCTTGGATTGAGTGTTGAATTTGGTTATCGAGACGCAACTGTTCTCGGAAATCTGCGCTTGGTATCTTTCAGTATCTTCCACGTTCGTAATCTGTACTCGCAGAAGGCTTGCTATAGATGGATCCACCGAGGCGTAGGGTAGCGCCAAGGGAAAGACCGAAACCATTCTTGAATAACTGTGGTTGAAGAGGAAGCTTCACAACAAGAGTAGGCTAAGTCTGGCTGCATATCCTGCAGCTGCGCCCGTATTTCAACGCCTCCAAAAATACACCATGACTACCTTCCATTATTAGATGTGATATTATAAGAGGCAATAAAAGATGAATTGAGGTTTAGAGTAGACCATTACTCTTCGGTGTTATTGGTCCAAACGCAGAGTTACACCATTTGGTAGTACACAGTGATATGCAGCCATCTCGAGAGCAAAACAATTGCCAGAGCCTGAGAGTATATGAATTGGTTAAATAAGGGATGAATACGCTCGAAGTGCCAATAGTAAAGCTATTGCACCGTAGAATCCACAAGTCATACTTCTAGTAGAATTGTAAGTGCGATGAGCATACCGGGTAGAGATTTGGTTGAGCAGTACCGTATGTCAAACAATACACATTCATAAGATGATACCACTAATTAACTATTCGATTGGATTCTGCTTCGATACCTTGCCCTTGACAAAAAGTGTTTTGTCAGCAAAATTATCGGTGTGCATATAGTGCATATCAAGCATCGATTAGAGGGCAATCTGTTCGAGTTAACAGCATCTTATACATCATCCCTACCTTTAATCATGTCAGTCCTAGTCGACGATAGTAGGTCTAATGACATGTGTCCGATTTGCAAGACAGATCGGTACTTGTCACCAAATATGACCTTCCTAATAAACCCAGAGTGCTACCATAAGATATGTGAATCATGCGTTGACCGTATATTCTCCCTCGGGCCGGCCCAATGCCCGTACCCAAAATGCCACAAGATGCTTAGAAAGAATAGGTTCAAGAAGCAAGTCTTTGATGATATCAAAATTGAACGAGAGGTCGACATGAGGAAAAGAATCCATTCCATATACAACAAATCAGAGGAAGACTTTCCTGACCTAAAAGAATACAATGCATACCTCGAATACATCGAGAATCTCATTTTCAACTTGTCTAATGGAATAGATGTGGAAAAGACGGAAGAGGAGGTGAACAAGTACGAGGCTGACCATAAGATTGAGATTCTAGAAAGAGCAATGAGAGAGAGTGAAAAGGATGCCGATCTTACGAAATATCAGGAAGCAACTGAAAGGCTCAAACAGGAGAAGCTCAAAATTCAAAGACAAATGGAAATGGAAGATATGGAATTCCAGCAACAACAAAAACAAGAACTCATGGAGAGATTGTCATCCTCTGACGCCAATGCCGAAGAAATTATGAAGGAACAACGAAGCCAACAAGCCAAAAGGACAAATCAACGTAAGAGACAATTACAACAAATTTCCAACCAATTGGACCAGCAGTTTGCTTCTGCAAACGACGCTTCAAAGAAGGAGCTTGCAGGCAACAAGACACCATTCACCCCATTCCAAGGTGACAGAGACCTACATAAACAGTATTCATTCTTGGGTGCCTCAGCCGACGCTTCCAAGGAGTCGCAAGATGCATATTATGACCCATTTGTCAGCCAGCTTTCGAAGAACAAGGAATACTTGGGAGGTGGCTGGCGTATCGAGCAGGTTTTGGAGAGAGCATTGGACGAGGCCTTCATGGGGCTACACTGCTTTGTGGAGAAGGAGAAGCAACACGAGGCACCTACAGCTTAGTAGAATTGCATGATAGAATTAATGTCTATAATTGTAGGAGATCCTCATTATTGTCTTGAGGAGATGGTTTTTTGGGAACATCCCCTAGAGGGATGAACTTGTGTTTTTGTGGCACCTTAGCTTCAGAAGGTGTCGGCAGTCCGAGCAAATCGTCTAGCGTTTCTGTTTTAGTAGGTTTCTGTGGACTGACCGAGAAATTTGAGAAGGCATCGTCTATGCCAAATACTTCTGGCTCAGGTGCTGGTGCTGGTTTCGACAGCTTTGGTGTGCCATTAGGTTTCACAACATCTTTGAAGGTGCCTTTGTTAGGAGTAACGGGAGTACTGGTTGGACTTTGAGGAGGCAAGCTAGTCGAACTAGGATCGTGAGTAGTGTCCATTGAGCTCTTGGAGCTTCCGATAGTATTCATATCCAGGTCGGACGGATCAGTAGTACCACTACTTTTACTTTTACCGAAGCTGAATAACGTTCCAAAAAAGTTTTGGTTTTTGCTCTCCCTCTTCAGCTTTATCGCTGCATTCAATGCTTTGTCGTACTCCTCTTCCTTTTTCCTCATACGCTCCATATATCTGTCGTGATCCCTTTGTTTTCTTTCACTCACCCGCTTGGAAGCCTGCTCCAAACGCTGAGCTTTGATAACGTCAATACGATCTTGAATAAACTTGTGGCTCTCGCTATCGACGACTTGATGGAGTCTGACTGGGAATGATGGTTTTCTAACCGCTGGGAATGTAGCCTTTGTAGGTGATGTCACAGGAACAGGGCTCTTGGACTGACTTCGTAGCTGCTCTTTCCGTGCACGAATATACAGATCACCCGAAGACCACGCAAATAAAGCATTCGCCGTCTTCAGAACTGAAGGGACTTGTTCTGATACCAGAGTTTCTGAGACAGCAGCGTCACTTCCTTCCCAGGAGCGAACTTTCTTCATCAGTAAGGACTTAAGGTGGGAATTGTTAAAATTTATGATGCTTCCCTCCAGCAGGTCGTCAATAAATTGTCGCTTGCATTGTTGTAGTGAATGATAAAACTTATTTCCCTGAGGCGCTAGATGGAGTAGTTGTTCCGGGTATATATGCGGATCCACTTCAGAGGATGACTCAGAGTCTGGACTGGAGAATAGCTTGTCGATAAGCTCTTCAATCTCCTCCTTCTTCGTGCTCATAGCATGAATGAACGCTAAGTATTGGCACTAATCGCGATTAAGTATCTACAGGCGTGGGAGGTAATGCCGAGAAGTGGTCCGGTCACGAAATCTTGACGAAAAATTTAGTTTTCCGTTTTTTTCGCCGAAGCTAATTTTTGGATTATTTTTGATTTCAAAACGATTCGTAAAGATCTTCTTTCGTCTAAATCTTGACAGCAGCTCTTGCATTTAGCCTCTTGATAAAGATTCGCATCACAGGATGGAAAATAGATACACTCACAATGACCTACAAGACATTCAGCTTCCCACAATTCCCTGATTATACCGTATTTGTTGGATACTATACAGACATAACGCCGGATACATTGAAAGTGGTCAAAAATGAATTAGTCTCAGGAAACCAGACCTATAATTACTGCTTCGTTAACACGGCTCATCTCATTTCAGTCGATCAACTTTATTGCAGTCTACATCGTTCTATCCAGAACCATGTTTTCGGTAGAATGAAGGCCAAGACGCTCAATACGGAAATTTTGTATAATCTTTCACCCACAAACAACATCAACGAGGCATTGAAAAGGTTTGGTGTTGATGAGAGTCGTCCGGACATCATTGTCATAAAGGTAGCACAGAACTCGGAGGACGACTTGCTGAGTTACAATGCTGGCATTGAAGAGCTTCTAAGTGCAAGCTCAACGACGGAGCTCGAAGATTCCGTTTTGGCTAACAGAGTGGATCTCAGAAAGTTCTTGAAGTTGTTCAAGATTCAACAGAGTAACGAGGACTTGCAAAAAGCCCAGCTGCAATACACAAGTGAAGCGGTTGCGGCTAGTCTATTGAGGGGTTGTTGAAATGTATTTGATGAATATATAGATAAATTATCCAGTGAATGCAAATCTCAGTAATTTAAACCCGGTGCTTCTTGGAGGTAAGACTTCTTCATTTTCCTTATCACTCTCACTCAAGTTGTACTCCTCCTTTTGCAGAGATCTTGGCTGACTGACGCTCAAAAGGAGGTCCTCGTTGTCAGGAGTAGCAGGACCCAGGGAGGGATCGCTTTCGAATACCTTCAACTTTTGGGCAGCATTCTTTTGCAATTCACCTTCTGAGCCGAGCAGAAATTTTGCTCTCCAAGAAAGTCCGATTTGTTTCATCTTAACGGGCGACTCCTCGATATCATTCGAAAAACCGTCTTGATCATTATCTTCAACAATAGATTTGTTTGAAGCTACCAGCGGGGGCCTCGCCATGCTGGTTTGAAGAAGCGAGTTCTCCCTAAGCTCATCTTGCTGGCTATCCTCAAAATCATCATCCACATCGGTGAGGTACTGCTCGAGTTTTTCACTCTCCTTGATCATGGGGACTACCTCAGGAATAGGCTTGCAAGGCGACAGATTCTCTGGGACATCGGAGTCGCCTGCCAAGAAGCTTGAGTCCTCTGTAGCACGCAATATATCGGGTTTCAAATTCATGCTAGATGTAAGCTTTGACTTAAAGAAGTTGCTCGTTGAGCCTATCTTCAGGCTTGAGTCCGGGCTTATACGCTTGAGCTTTTTGCTCGTAGGTGAAAGCTTCTTCTCATCGGCTCTACCGGGATCAGGACGCTTCTCTTGCGTCATACTTTTAGCATGTTTGTCAACTTGGAAGAAGCTCTCAATTGACTTTGTTAGTGTGCCACCAAAAGATTCCGCCTTCTTCACGCCGGTGACTTGTTTCGTCAGCGAGTAGACCATGGAAGAGCTCTTGGTGGCCAAATTCTGCTCCCTGGATAATAGAGCCTCGAACGTGGAAGGATGCAACTTTCCGTTGCAAATGCCAAGATGGATTTGTGCGTCGAGGGTTCTTCCACAACAAAGCTCCACAACCTCCATATCCAAGTCGTGGTTTTCTGGATAGTCGTATAAAGTTGCTAGGATCTGATTGCTTGGGTCGAACACCTTTTGGAATTGAAATGCCAATGTTGCTTTAACTGCCTCATCAAGAAAAGTCTCTGGAATGTCTTTCTTTTCAGCCTGCAATGATAAAACCACATTCTCGATCGAGCCTAGCTTTTGAATGAGGTTGAATGCTGTCTTGAGACCTATGCCTGGTAATCCCTTTGTATAGTCACAGCCTGAAAGAATGGCTACCCATCTTAACTGTTCCTGGGTAAATTGGCCCAAGTTTGGGCGCTTTATCTTGTCAAAGTCCGCACGTTCAATGGTGACACACTCTCCGTAATCGTTGAGCTTTGTTATGAGACGCTGGCAGCCAAAGATAAGCAAATCAGAGTCTTCGGATAAAATTCCGTCCACCAAGCCGATCTTCTCAAGGTACACCATTTGTGGATCAGCCTCGTAAGGAGCGACAACGTATTTAACATGCTTCCTATCGAGCTCCACCATCACGGATTTCGCCATCTCTGGTGTGACTCCTGCCGCTTTCATAAATTCTTTCCAGGCTTGTTTTCTGTCACCCTTCTTCATACACATATTGGCAGATTCTCTAGCCTTTTCCCTGCGGGCAGCTCTCTCAGCGTTAGTGGCTTCTTTCGTGGGCAACAGCGAGCCGTCGAAAACCATATAAGGCTCAACACCAAAGTAACGAAGCATATCAACTTTCTTCATCACAGACGTTATATAGCTTCTGGTGGGAGTGTCAGTACATAGATCTTGAGCACAAGAGATGAGACCGCGATGGAGCCAGCCATAGGTGTCAACTGCCAAAGTTTTTCCTTTATACTCCGACAAGGTTGTCTTTTGTTGGATCTCTTTGAGCTGCTGTAGCAACCCTGTGACTCCCATGCTCGTATCTTAGGAAGGACGTGATGTTGTTATTGAAACTCGTAAACAAGTTGATGCGCGTAGCTAGCAACGCGCTTGAAGACTCATCACCGTTTCCATTGAACTCAGCACTCTACTCTCTTTGTGTGAATTTAGCCTTTTTCCGTTCATTATATTCGAGTTAATATTACTCCTATATTATATAACCATATGCTATTATTTCTTGGTTTGTACATGATCTGTGGGTTCAATGAGAACTTGTGGATGTTCATACCGCCCTTCTGTTTCTTGGGCTGCGGCTTGCTATCCCTCAGAGGATCATAGCCCATGATGGGGCCAAATGTGATGTTATTATTGTTTGACTTGCTGCTATTCTCAGAAGCTTTTGAGGCGCCTGACATTGCATTGGGCCTGGAATCATTGCGTGGGAAGAAATGCAATTGAGATGCTGGGGCAGAGTTGATGCAAGGTTGGTTCATGAACTGTCCTGCGACATTTTGAGGCATCTGAGCCTGCCAATTAGGTCTCGCTTGCATCATGTTACCATTTCTCATATCATCCTCTGTCACATCATTCCTTCTCTGCATCATCACAACTTGATTGTTGTTGGCAATATTAGGATTGGGTGGCCCAACAGGAACGTACTTCTCAGAACTCATCTGTTCGGAGGGAATGGATGCATTACCATTAACCATATTTTGTGGCATGGATTGAGCTGCTGCTTGCATTGCAGCAGCTTGTGCTACCATTTGTGGATGCACATGCTGATTATACTGCGTATTCGTATTCCATGTTGGCACGAACCCGGCATTGAAGTTCTGTGGCATCTGTCCAGCAGATGCTTGATGAAATTCTGGTGCCGTGGGTGGATCGACAGCAGTGAGTGGAGTCCTCGATTGGGCTTGTGGAGGTACGTGCATAGCGTTATGCATCATTTGTCTACTTTGCATCTCTTGAGACATTCTTGCATCGTAGTTGGGGTTGAACTGGTGAACCAAAGATGCGTTATAGGTGGGAACACTTTGGGAGCATCATTGATGCCTTGGTTTGCCAATTCAGTGTTTACCCTGAGATCACTCTTCAGAGGAGAGATCTTGAATGGTGATGCCTTCAATGGGATGAGTGCACAAGCACTGTGGCATTCTCGTCCGAGTCGTCATCGGCGGCTTTATCGACCTTTTGCACCTTCATGACACGCACATTTCCGCAACTTGATCTGTTTGAGGTAACGTCAAACTCATAAGTTAAGACGCCATGGATTGTTCCACTCGTCTCATTCTCACCCTCGTATATGACTTGAGTAATAAGAATGTTCTTCACGTCATTTGAGTTGTTCGAACCATTGCACAAGAACGTGAGATAACCAGACCAAAAGTGGTTCATGAAAGGCACTTGTAAATCGAAAGTGTTGTCCAGGGCTCTGTAGCCATTAATTTGTTCTCTTGTGCTCAACAAAACCTTGTCTTCGTCTTTGTAGATGGTGGTCAAGGATTTCCAGGTGAGCATCTGAGCACCGCTCTGGCCAGCAGAGACCTTAAACTCGAGGAAGGACAGGAAGTCACCATTGTCAATGCAAAACAGAGCTGGATCTGTCAAAGGGGACACTGGTGTCGAAGTCAGACTCACTGCTGGCCTCAAGTTCATGGCCCCGAAATGAAATAGACGGGAATGTCCCGAGCTGTGGAATGATGCGATCAAAATCTTCCTTGTATCTCCGGTTATTTGAAGACATTTCTTTTTCAAGGTCCTCAGCCAGGATGGTTGGGCAATTAGTAGGAGTATCCTTAAGAAGAAGAAATTCATGAATGCCCTGAACGGCACGCTTGTAAGTGAAGGACAATTCCATTTTCTTGAAGGTGAAATCCAATGGTGGCACCTGCGGACTTTGCGGTTCCAGGCTCAATGCTGTGATACTGTCTTGAAGGGACCTGGCCTGCTTCGTCGTCTCCACCTTCCTGAGTCGAGACAAACGAGATGCGATTTGCTTGGAAGACCGGCGGACTCCCGTTTTATTATATAGCATTTTTGAGAGCACCTGGTTCTGCGATGTCAATTTAGTCAAAGAGGAGCCGGGAGATTGGCCTGCTTTGAAAGTTTTATACTTTTTATGGCAGCGCACCAACACGTCGTCTAGTTCTGCAAACCAGAGCTCCTTAGTGGCCTTGTCGAGATTATCGTAAGCGGTGGAGGAGTTCTCTGGGGAGTCGGACTTGCTGATCTCTGCCACAACTGCCGTGCAAGGAGAGTCCTCGAGCAGTCGCTTTCTCTTGAGGGAAGATGTGGATTGAGGAGTGTCGTCCTTTGTGACCGGAGACGACTTAGACTCCTTCATTTCGACTGGCTTCTTGAGGAAGATGTCATGAGGCGACAAGAATGGCTCACACGACTTGGGCGAAGGGATTTCGTTGACGGAGGTGAGATTTAGCGAAAGTGATTGGTACTGTGAGTCGTTGGTCAAGGACCAGATGTCAGCCAGATCGTTCATAGTGTCGGAGTGCTCGAAGCCGTCTTTTGGCGAGGCAGCAACATCGTTCAGATCAAAAGGATTTTCCTTCTTCTCCTTAGCAAACTTGTTGAAAAAGCGCTGTGGCGACAAGGAGCTCAAGAGGTTGATATTTCTAGGACTGCCGAAACGGAAAGATGGCAGTAGACCCAAGCCAAAGGTGAAGGACGGGGTGATGCTGACGCCAGGTTTGGCGTTGGACCGGGGAGTCTGGGAGGCATGGCTGAAATGCACTGAATCTCGGGTCCTTTCCAGTGGTTGGTATTCATCAGAGCTGATGCTCCATAGATAAACAGACGCGAATCCTGCAACCGCGTACATAGGCACCCTAGGCGCGAGCACCTAGAGCGCAAAGGGACCAGCGCAGAATGGGTAGTCCCGTGACAGGAATAATGGGCCGCTCTAGAGAAGAAAGCACGAGAGATGTATGGCAAGCTAGGCTGTGGAAGCATGAGAGTCTCTTGGCGGCGGCTTTCATTGTGTGGTTTAGGGGAGCATTGTCTTGGTTGCAAAATCGCGGTACTGAAGAGAGCTGCGGGTACACTGACCGACGAGAGGGAGAGGGTTTAGCGGGATGGAGGCAATAGTACAAATGTCCGTTGATGACGATCCGTGGTAGCTCGGAATATATGGAATTTACTTTGATAAATCCAAGAATGTGTTTATTTGGCGTGGCGTGCGGCAGTGTGGAAATACGAGGCCGGCCTCAATCGCGCTGGACTGATGATCAGGTGGGTTCAAAAATGCATAGTCATATTGACAGTCTACAGGGTGGATGACGCCTTCGAAGTTGTTCAACTGGCAACCTGGCAAGAAAAATCCATTTTATAGCCAGATCCATCTGGGTGCTTTGCAGGTGGGTTATGCGGTTCACGGTGGTTAAAAAAACACAATGGGTTAGCGAGGCAGGCAGCCTCGAGGTGCGAGCATACCGCTGCAGATTCCAGCAAGCCGTGCTCGGAAATAGCGTTTACTTGTGGATCCACAAACTTAAAGTTTGATGCTGGATTTCGCTTTATTCTGGATAGGAATCACCGCTAAAGGTCATGGTTGTCAATGGCTGCAAATCTTGGCTGGGTCGGCAATCGCGGTTTCTTCCCTGACTCACAGCCATTGACTTCTACACAATGGGCATGAAGGCGGTCTGGAATTTAGCGAAACCCATTTCTTATGAAAAAAACCATGTGAACCTGTGGGAGCAATTTTGCCATTATTTGTATTCTACTGACCGTTGGCTTGGAATCTGCCTTCTCTATTGCTCCAATGCTTTCAACAGGTACCAGAGCTCTTCCACGATTGCGTGGGAAAGACCGCAGTTTTCCGTCTCCGCTTTCACGAATTCGTCTCGGAGACGACGAACACCCGTTTTCGCCTGGTCGTTGATTGCACGTACCCAAACTTTAGTCATAGCATCGTAGATCAACTCACTGTATTTGTTGCGCCAGGCATTTCCCATGGATCCTGTGAGCACCCACTCGATGTGATGGTCCTGCTTCTTTGATTTTCTAGGCATTCTCCGCTTGGAAGAATGTGGTTTGAAATGGCGATTCTTCTCCTTCAAAAGTGTCAAAAGTGGGCCCTCGTCAGGACACGTAGAAAAGAACCGGTGGCCGAGAAGCTGGGTAGCAGTTGGTCGAAAATTGGGGATTTTCATCAAGCAGCTTCTAACAAAGTCCTTTGTGGCAACATGGAAAGGTTCAGTGTCAAGCGATGGCGCTTGGAGTTTGGGGATATCGAAAAGCGCTTTCATGGGAGCCTTCTGGTAGTGAGGTGGGTTTCCACAAAGAAGCTCTATGGTAGTGATGCCTGTGGACCAAATGTCTGCTTTGGCATTGTACCCTTCTTTCGATCTTTGGATCACCTCCGGTGCCATCCAGTATGGTGTGCCCACAATCAGGTTCCTCTTTGTCCTGGTGAAGGTGAGTTCCCCACTAACACCAAAGTCTCCGAGCTTGACCTGGCCCTTATCGGTAATGAGAATGTTCCCCAGCTTGATATCTCTGTGAACTTTCTTCTCTCGGTGGAGGTACTGAAGACCCTTAAGTACGCTGCGTATAATGTAAGCTGTCACAGACTCCTCTAGACAACCATAGAACTTGAGCAAGTCGGCACAAGATCCGCCACCACAGTATTCCAAAACAATCCAGACATCGGAGTCTCTTAGAAACGTCTCGAAATGTTTCGTGAGGTAGGGTGAATCGATCCGCTTTAGGAATTGTATCTCTCTTATGATAGCGTCGAGATTCTCTGACTCGTCCATGGGGATCACCTTGAAAGCATACACTTGTCCCGTGCTTTTTTGAACTCCCCTAAAGACCTCTCCAAATGAACCTCGTCCTATGAAATCGTCAACTTCATAATCTGTTTCTGTCATGGTGAAGTAGTATCTATTCGCAGCCACAAAGAGCTTTTCGCAGCCATTCCTTGGTAGCACTTTGGTGACAAAAGAGTCCTTCCAAAACGCAATTCCCAATTGCACGAAACCTAGAAACCTGTCCATTTTATTCCATTACTTCAGATTCTAGAAATATCAAAACCCAAATTATACGATGATATGGACATTTCTTGTTCACAACACAGAAGTGTCGCTTATCCACACCATGCAGATCTCATCACTCAGTCAAGACTACCATGAGTTTTCTTGGGGACATCGTGGAACACGATACGGTCGAACCGACTGTTCCCGAAATTACAGAACATTCACAGAAACATGGTTACCCCGAATTACAGAAACCCTCTCTACCCAAAAGACAATCGAAATTCAAGAAGAAAGAAGCTCCAAAGAGTGAACCCAAGACCGAGACCCCTCCTCAGGCACCCCCATCTGAGCCCATTAGTGAAGCCCAGCGTATACATGAAGAGAATCTCAAGAAGATCATGCTGTTGTCTCCAGATCAATTCATCAGTGAGAGGGACGAACTCTTGCAAGGCCTTGACCCAAAACTTTTGGAGGGGTTGAAAAAGAGATCAGCTAAGAAAGATCGTGAACATGTGCATGCTGAAGGCCATGATGGTTGGATTGGAGGAGGCCGTGATGGTGTGAATCTCCCGCATCTCGATACAGATGAGGTCAACAAGGCGTTGGGTATCAAGTCCGTCAAGTTTGATGACAAACCTGTGGAACACCAAATAATGGAAAGCGTCGAGTCTGATGAAGAGCAGGAAGAGATTGAGGGTGATGATGAGATCGCCCAGAGGATTACCAAATTGCTCCAGAAGAGGAAGTACCTGAAGTCGAAGTGCACTTTCCGAAACCTAAGATTGCAAATGAGGACCCTGACATGGACATCAATGATCCTGAATTCCTCGATAAGCTACACGAGAAGTATTATCCAGATCTTCCCAAAGAAACGAGTAAGCTTGCGTGGATGAAGCCTCAAGAGCCACAGAAGCGGAAAACAACCTACGAAGCCCTCACTGACATGCGTTTTGATTTCAAAGGTAATTTGATTGAGTTGGATGCCAATGATGCCGACGATATACCTCATTATCTTGGTCTCCATCACCATTCCGCTGATCCTCACATGGCAGGGTATACGCTACCTGAATTGGGACATTTGTCTCGTTCAACCGTGCCAACACAGAGAAGTATTGCATTTCAGACCATTGGACGTATTTTGCACAAGCTAGGGCTCCACAAATATAACATCATGCCCTTCAAGACGACGAAAGTAATCCTATGACAGAGGAGATCCTGACGTTGATGAAGGAGTTTGAACTCATGATGTGGGATTTGATAGATCAACTTCGTCTTATCGAAACACTTACAGAGGCTGCTGACGAGAAAAAGAACAGAAATCTCTCAACAAGGAATTACGCAATCGAAGCTCTTTGGCTTTGGAAGCAGGGCGGTGGAAAACCGGAGGATACCAGAAGAACGGAAGAAGAGGTTATCGCTGAGCAATTGCTGCAGATGTGAATACCAAAGTGATGAGGATCAATGTCAAAAAAGCACTGAGCCCGGCTGGTGATGATATTTGTCAACCCTAACTCTCAATTTGGGCTCAGCAGAGCCAGCCATTCGCCTTCTCAACATGTCTCCAAAACGGAAACAGCGGCCTTAAAGGGAATTGACTGACCTGCTTTCACGAACCCAAAGGAAAGAAAGGGGAGGGTGTAAGAAAAGCTAGAAGGCAGTCATATTGTCAAAACGACAGTACTTCCAACCTTTGAGTGCTAGTCTTACACCCCCATTACGACCTCATTAGTATTCCCTCGATTTGCGCACATAGACACATCGAAACGGCACCGAGCAGTGTGGTGTATGAAAACACCGTCCGTCCAACTTAAGTTGTGCGTGTCTACATTAATCTGATGTAAATAAGTATATTAAGGTGTAGTTAGAAAGATTTTGCTCGCAGGATATTTAGTACACAACGATGACATGCTGGTGCAGGACATACAGCTTCTGCAGAGCCCATCCCAGTCTTGCAACGGCAACAAACCAAGACTTGGGATCAAAAGAAATGAAATTTCCCAACATAAAAATTATTTACTGTCACAGACAGTATTGAATCCGCGGGTGAAAAGAGCCATTGATTCCTTGGCTTTTTGCTTGTTACCTCTCCAAAGATACACAGTAGCGCAGACGAAACCACCAACCATTGCAGCCATTGCACCAACATCGACACTCACGGTAGTGGGACCACTCGATTCGGCCTTAGTATCGTTGTGTACCATCGTTTTTGATTTCGATTCCACGCTGATGACAGATCCAATATCCAGATCTGTCTCAGCAGTATCATCTGACAAGCTTTCTTCATCATCATCTAAGACCTCTATGTAGCCTTCAGATTCGCTTTCAGAAGCATTCGAGTACTCCTCCAAGATTTCTGCAGTCTCAATGTGCCTCAACTTTGGGGGCCTGCCCGACTCGGTGCCTGCCTCGCTCTTCTCATTATCGGAGTTATCAGGTGTGATTTGCTGACGTGCAAAATTCTTCAAGCTAGCTGCCCTTTTCTTCGAAATGGCATTTTTCATGGTATCAGCATAATCATGGGTGTGCTCATGGTACTTGCCCCAGGAGTCTAACAGATTCTCGTCCTCACCACGTTTCCCACTGTCCAGACCTTCGCTCGAGTACTCAAAGATTGTTTGGTTGTCGTATTTGGCTCTACACTCGAAAGGCATTAGGATGAGGCAGGAATGGATGACTAAATGATTGGGGTGCCCATCGATCTTAAATAACTATTTCATGAGTTGCCGCATGTGCATTGGTGGCAAAAGATGCATAAAGAGTGCCACCGGCTATGCCGATTTTACTGTGCATTAGAAAGCCCATGTTCTTTTTTGGTTATGCAGAGAACAGGTGTCACCTTTTTTTCAGCCTTACATTTTTGCATGTGCTTTGTAGAAAGTTTTGGGGAAGTCATTCGCAAGTATTACTATAGGTGAAATTCTGCGAAGTACCACCATCCAAACAAAACTCAACGGAAGAAATTAAGAATGCAAGCCAGTGAAAGTCAATTTGAAACAAACTCTTAAAATTACAAAAAAGAGCCGACGAATCTTACTCTGGACTACTCTATGAGCCAACTTCAGTGTGGTGAGGCATTGAGGTGGCATAAAGTAGGCACCCAATCTCTAACAAGATCAAGATAAATTTCATCAGGAACCTTAATGAATTAGTAGATTTTGAGAATTCTACTCCCACTATGCAACTTACACTCTCCTCTTTGCCGTCAGTTGTGGGTCCGTACTGCACATTCTGATGTCCATAGTTTGCAGTTTCAATCTAGCGATTTACCAACTAGACCGATAATGAAGAGCGGCGTTCCATTAAATGTGGCCACTTCCTTGCTCTTCTTCGGCCTTTTTCTTCTATTTGGCAACATTTTCACGAGTGAGTCGACAGATCAAACATGGCAGATCAATCATTACGGCTCTTTAAGCCAATTCAAAGCTCTTTCAGGAACCACTGGCATTGGCATTTCAGAGAGCTCTGAGTTAGTCACAATTGACTTGAGCAAGCAATCAATTTTGAGCTCAATAGATTTGGGGACTACGGATTCCGATTCGTATGCCTTGCTAGACTTTGTCTTGGTGACATATTCCACAGCATCTTCCACATTTTACGTGTACGAGAAATACTCAGGCATTTTTCTTGAAAAAGTGAAGCTTGATTCTCCTCCTTTACACTTTGGTCAATTTTTCAATTATGGTGTTCTTGTTCTCGACTCTAGGGGTATTTTGACTGCCTGGACGAGTGAACTTAAGAAGGAAATTGGGAAGTTCGATGTTTCTTCCTTCAAAACTGCCGCAATTGATGGATTGGTTTATGTCTCGTTGGGCCTGAATGTGCTTTGCTTAGATAACCTGGGCAAGGTTATCAGCACTGATGTGAAACTCAACTCCGACATTATTGACCTCGAGTTTGGAGTGGCTCTCACCAAAAGCGAGGTTCTAAAATTCGACGCACCGGAGGCTGAATCCGATTCATTAACATCTAAAACGATAAAGGCTTCACTCAAAAACCCCAAGGTTCTCTCGAGAAACATCGTGGGAGAATTCGAATCCGAAAGGTTCACTCTATATGAGATAAGCGAGGGTAAGGAACTCAAGCGGGTAACTCAGCATGCGGCTCGTCATGCCATCAGTATAACTCCTGTGCTCGATGCTGGCAAGGTCTTTGTTGTCGCTCAAGTTCCCAATGGTTTTGAAATCCATGACTTCACCAAATTCGTCTCAACTCTTGAAGTCAATGACATTATAAGTTACGAAAGGGTATCTTCTTCTGAGCACGATGACATAAATGTCTTTTTGTCTCCTCAATCCGATAGATTGGCGATTGTTTCACGTTCTTCAGATGAAGTCCACGTGTTTTGGGCTCTGGCTTCGACTGATGACTTGCAGACGTACACCTATCCGCTCAAAGAGAGTTTGCCAAGATCCAAGTCCATCTTAATCGATAGCCCAAGGTCAATTTCCCAGATCGAGAAGTCTCACTACTTGGCGGAAGAATCTCATAGAGACAGCCCAAGCTTAAGAATGCTCGCCAAAATGAAGCATCATTTGGCACTGCTTGGCAAAGTTTTCTTCAGTGTCTTGAAGGGCAACCTCGACATTGCAACAGCAAAGGAGGATACGTATGGCTTTCAAAAGCTTCTTATTACATTTGATGACCGTACGAAGGTCCTCACAGCCAGAAACAGTCAGTCAGCTAAAATCGCATGGCAAACCATCTTGAAAATGGGTGACAGTTTGATTGGTTTGGAATCTATCAATGATGCAATCTACTTGTTGTCTCCAACGCAAGTGACAAAAGTGAGCGCCAGAAGCGGTGCCGTTGAGAGTCTTGAGGACCTTCCGAGAAAAGCGGAGAAGTTAATCAAGTTGTCTGTGGATCTTTCGGAGGAACTTTTGGAAGAAGGATTTGAACCATACACATTTGTTGTAAAGTCAGGCTCTACGATCTTGCCCACTGAGCCTGGTAAGGCTATCTCTCCCAACCAGTTTTATCTTGATCAGGATGCACGCGAATTAACTGCTTACAAGATCGTCGATGACAGGATTACCGCCACATGGTCGTATTCATTGCAAGATGAGACTATATTGGCATCTTCCAAAAACCAGGATGTTTTACTGCCGGCCTCAGGCATTGCAACAGCGAACAGAGCGGTGTTGTACAAATACCTCAATCCAAATCTTGTTACAGTGGTGACACAGAATAAAGCTTCTCAAATCACTGTGCATTTGTTGGATGGAATCACAGGTGCTGTTCTTCATCTCCAAAAACATGAAGATCAACCCATCGATGCCTCCACTCTAAAGCTAGTGCAGAATGATAATTGGGTGATCTATACTTATGTGAAGAAAGATGGCTATCAACAATATGTTTCAGTCTTAGATTTGTTCTCGACCGTTGAGAACGCTAGAGGAGGCAAAAAGTCTGCTTTCACAGAGTTTGACACCGAAATTCACAATGTTCTGAGCAAAACTTTTATTTTCCCGAGAAAATAGAGATGCTTGCATCAACAAGAACGAGATTTGGTATCACTGTTAAATCGATTGTAATACTTACCGAGACAGGAAGCTTGGTTGAGATTCCAAAGTTTGTTTTCAACTCAAGAAGAGTGGACGACCGTGCCTTGACACAGGAGGATGCAAAGGAGTTCAAGATGATGCCTTACGAACCCTTGGTCGGAAAGCCAGATTTGCAAGTGTTGAACAAGAATGGAAACTTCAAAACAGCGAAGGGAATAGGATCGGTGTTGATTCAACCAACAGAGATGGAACTGACGAGCGTTATTTGCTACATTGATACATTTACGGAGTTCTGTACTGTCGTACAGCCTTCTCTGTCTTACGATATTCTCAAGTCGGGGTTCGATAAGCACAAATTGATCGCTACCATTGGCGTTTTGTACGCGGCATATATTGCGACAAAACCAATGGTGAGATCAAAGAAGCTTAATACAAAATGGCTTGACTGATTAAACGGGTATATTAGATGCAAGTATATATTAGTCAAGATGTAAATTAGAAAGGAATCATGCAAAGATGGAAGAAGAATCACAAACATAGTTTATGATTCCTTGATGCTGCGGGGATTTTGGGTTTAAGCCAAACAAGCTCCAGTCGATCTGGGCAATATCGTCACAATCATACCTTTCAGCCTGGTAGACGTGCCAGATAAGTTCGTAATGCAAGCCCGAAATAAGGTAGTTACTCATCTTGTTGATCAAAAAGAATGACTTTTCTTTGCTTCTCAAAGCAAGTAGTTTTCTTTTGTCACATTCCTCAAACTTGTGAATGATCTTGAGAAGTCTGTTTGTAGAAGTCATTCCATCACCATCGCACTTGGACAAGAATGAGTATGCTTGAAGAAACATCAGCTTGACAAATGTGTAATCATCAAGCAGACGCAAAAGCGGACTGGAATGGATATCTAAGAGAACAAGGGAAGCCAATTCAATACCGAAACGGTAATGCATTGGGACCTGATTGAAATTCTCCACAGTGCCAAATGATCTGGTAAACAAATCAAGGATGGCAGAGCAACAGTTGACAGCACGGTAAATCACATTTTTATACTCATCGAGGCTAATATCAACCTGCGAGAAGTAATAAATGTATAATTGCAACTTAGAGAACTCTAAAGACATGTCAATCAAATCGTCTTTCACCAATGGCGTGGAGTTCTTCTTGCTGAAATCACTAAGGATTTGCTCGAACATGTTCAAGTGAATGAGCTTGCTCATCTTGTTTGAGCTCTCGACGACGTCGTTCATGCTCTCGTTCATCTTCAGTTGAATCAAGGAGATCTTGAGAAGCGAGTTGATGAAGTTGTCAGTCGATTCAAAGGCGTCTTTGTTGAAAATATCGATATTAGCCGACTTGTTGATGATGTAGTCTTGATGGAAACCGTTGTAATTAGAGTTGGACAAGCCAAGGAAAACTAGCCAGTAGTTGGAGTTGATGTTGACAAATTTATAGATTCTTTCACGCATCTTGTCGTTGACATCGGGCTTCTGAGCGACTTGCAAATCGGTCTTCTTGCTGAACTCGCTGATGAAGTCCAATTTGTGAAGACCGAACTGAAGCGACAAGCTCTTCATGAGGGAGATGTACTTCACGGATATGTTGCTTTGAACCTTGGGCGAGCGGTCGTCCGGAAGAGGCCAGGTGGTAAGGATGAGCAAAGTCACCAAGCAGTACAAGGAACGGGGTGTGTTGAACCAGCAACTCACCACAACCAAGTTTTGCACGTGGCGAGCTAGCGTTTGGTACTCACCGGGCAGGTTCTGGTTGAGAAGCGAAGTGACCATTATGGACCAGAACAAAAGGTCGCTTTGCTTGTGGATTTCATGCAAGTTTGGGTTCTCGAAGAACAGCTCTGGCAACACAGGCAAGTACGGGAGGAAGTTGTCCTTGAAGTTCTGGAGAAGGAACAAAGCCCTGTCGTAGGAGATGGTCCATGGCTCGACAGCCAGGTTGGAATGGATGGCGAAGGAGTCGGCGAGACTCAAGGTTGGGATAGGGTCGATGTACGCTGGACCGGTGGGTTCGTTAGTGTCAGACTCTGAGTCCGAGGAAACGAGCACGCCCATCATGTCCAGCGGGGTGGCTGGAGTGGAGGGTGCTTTCTTCAAGATCTGACGAACCAAGCGGTTTTTGCTCTCGACAATGTGATCGAGCTTCAGGTGCAACTCCAGCACCTCGGCCACCAACTTCTCGGTAAGGTCGTAAGACCGTTGGGAAGGTTTCGTCACGTCAAAGACGCAGACGAGGTTTTTCTTCGAGCAGTACGTGCAAGGGTGTGGTCTTGTGGCGGCGGCGTCACATTTGGTCTTGTTTTGTCGACAAACCAGACACAGCTTTAGGATCCTAGAGCCCAGAAGCGACTTGGAGGGCATGGCGAGGGAGCGTCTGCGGTGCATCACGATGGAAACCATTGCAAAAGTAGTAAGGGGAGAAAACTGCAAGATGAGCAGACGAAGACGCTTAAAAGCAAATGAGTATTGACAGCCCTGAATGCACCTTACTATGCCTCTCACCTCACTCGTGCTTCAGGGCCCACCTGCACCTGACCCGTTGGATCGGGTGCAAACCCCAGCCCGCTTATCGGCCTGTCGCGAGATGAATAATTCTACGAAAGCCATTGGCTGCCGCGCCCGGAGTTCGGTTTAGACCCCCCACCGAGGTGGGACCAGACGGGAAATAGTACAAATGGGCTGGTTTTTCTCCGGAAATGAACAAAATAAAAAATCTGCCGATACACTTTTTTGACATGTCTTTTGCGCTTTGGTATTCCAGGGGCCGGTGGTTATTCGAGGTTAGCCTGCGGTGCAGCTCTGCCGTTGCCAGCCTACTACCTCATCGCCAGGGCCCCATTGCACTTGGACCGACTACAGAGGGCAAGGAGAAGACAATTGGGGATATTCATTGTAAATTCTTCATTCTGATTTAAATTTTGCTTACTATTTTTTTTTTTTCTCTTCTCGAAAATCTTCGTCGCCATTTTCGCCCGCCCCATTCTGGCGCCACTGTGGTGGCTGATGCTTGCTCTCCGTCAACCAATGCTTTCACCTCCGGGCACGGACTCAGTCAGTTCCTGGATTCTCGCGACTTTACCAACAGCGAGATCGGAGTGCGCTCGCTTACTCCCGCGCTAGTCCATTGGCTGCGAATTCGTATCAGCAGATAGCGGGGAGGGTCCGGGCGGAATTTGTTTTTATTTGTCGACCTGTCACCGAGCGGGAACGAGGGGTGTTTTCTCGAGAAGGATTGGTTGGTTGGTTATGAGCGGGGCCTTACCTTGGTGGTCTCTTTGTGGCAGGGTGGATTGGTCTTAGACGAGACAAGCTATGGGTTTACGACAATGGGTGTTCGTCGACACTAGCGAACCCCTCCTGCTTTTTTTTTTCTTCTCGTTCACACTTGGTTGTAGTTGTTGCATTCCCGTATCTGGCCACGCACCCTGAGGAAAATTAGCGCTTTCTTGAGTTCTCTCCTTAAGTTAAACTTCCACTGTAGATGGAGCCGCAAGCCTCGTACATTGACGTGAAAAAGTGTTGCAGCCACACGGTGGAAGCCCTAAATTTTCAAGTTCTACAAATTTTTTAAGAATCACTGAAACAAACAAATGCTAAATTATGTTATTCGTCATTTCTTGCAAAAATATTAAAAGGCCGTTCAAAATGTAGAGGGCATCCCAAGTTCCTCTCTGTTGATGCTAACGATGCGACGCATCCTTCATGCGCACAACTCATCGCTACTCCATCATGGACCTAGACGACGCTAAGCTAGTGCACCTCTATAATCTAGCGCACTATAAATGCCTCAATCCAATCCTGGCTTGTCATGCTGTTGATGCAGACATCGCCATAGCAAAGGCGGAAATCAACGTTCCCACCGTACGATCTCATTGCGACAACTGCGGCACCTTCCTACTACCGGGTCTCACCTCTTCCACGAGGATAAAGTATACCAAAGGTAAAACGGGCCGGTCGAGAGAACTTCGTACCACATGCTTGGTGTGCTCTCATGTGAGAGTGGACGATTGCCTCATCCACGCTAAGCGTCGTGAAGTGACCCCACAAAACCAGAGCACAGGCGTGCCCAAGAAGAAAAAGAAGAAGAAGTCCAATCTCTCATCGCTCCTCGAACAAAAGAGACAAGAGAGTAACAGCCCTCTGTTGTTTGACTTCATGTGAACGATCACTCGTGCAGATCCTGCTGCTCGGTCTCAGCCTTCTCCTTGCCCTTCTTGTTGATAGCTTGCCTCTGGCTGTACCTATACCAGCGACGTCTTCTGTAAATGTTGCCGGAAGGTTCTTCTTCCTTCACCACCGCGTCATAAACCCACTTCTCCTCGTCGTCTACGCTCACAAGGTCCATGATACAGTTGTCCACGACCCACAGGTGGGGATCGAGGTCAATCGACCACCTGCTATCCACAAATTTCCAACCAAGCGGGGCCCTGATTTCCGAAAGAGTGGCAACCAGTACGACTCGAGGTTCAGCATACTCGTTAAATGGAGTATCGAACAGATCATTCTCACTTCCATCATCCTCTTCGCTCTTTAGTATTCTATCTGGATGGTTGAGCGAGTAAAAGTCTTTTGTATAGCCAACAGGTTTCCAAGCTTTTGCAGTCAAATTGTACTGTTGTAATTCGAATATCTCTAGTTCACATCTGAACTCGTCGTCTGGAGTATCGCTGATATAGGTCATCAAATACTTTTCCGCTCTATCAGTGCGGTCTAATCGTGCAAGTCTGGCCTCCTCGGTCTCGAGTAGATCTAGAATCTTGTTATTGACCACAGGATGAGAACTAATAAAAACTGCCCATGTCAATATTATGAGGATTGCTTGAATACTCACCACTCGTAGTATCAATGGAGTGACTATTGGCAAGATATAGACGTTGAAGCCAATCAAGAATAGCAAAATTAAAAAAACGATCGTACTCAACTTTTGGTCCTCAAACAAAAAGTAATGCTGACCCCATTCAATTAATGAATCATGAAGACGAATGTAAGGGACAATATGATTCTGCATATCTGTGAAGTTCATCAAGTACTCCTTGGAATACATTGCAGCAGGCTTTGGGGACTTGAATTTACCGAGGGCTTTGCCAGTATGTGGGAATGGATTCCTCTTTAGATACCTACCATCCACGAATGTATTGTCGCTTGGGTACAACCTGAGATAACTGGGAAACATGTATCTGACCAAGATGAACGCAGGGAGAAACAGCGCAAACAATTGCGGCCTAAGAATGGCATGAGTTATTAATAAAAGTATTCCCACAGTATAGTACGGATTGTGCCAGGAGAAGCACATAAAGATGGCATCAAACCCCTCGAACATTGGAGACGCTTTTTGCGCCAATTGAGTGCTGTTCGTGTTCATGATATTCATCGAGAAAGGCGGACGTTCCTTCTGCATGGCTGTTCTCATTGGCAGTAGCTTCTGCTGACCATCGACTTCATCGACTATCATGACAGAGAGCAACTTTTCCATTATACGATCCGAGAATTGCTGGTTAGCTCTTGTGGTATCGTCATCCAAATACCAGTAGCTGGAGATTGGGGATTCAACTGCTTTGGAATGCTCTTCAGCAACCTTTTTAGCATTGCGTTCTGCCTTCTCAGGCTCCTTCTGTGAGGCTGTCTCAGTCTCTAGTAGGCCCGATTGAACTACCATATCGTCTGCAGCTTTTGTTTGCTCCGCAACAAGCATGTTCTCAAGAACGTTAGAATACAGATCCATGCGAATGAGCGGTTTATATGTCTATTATTTGTGGGGAATTCTTTTATCAATACCAGGCCAGCACACTTGAATGATCCAAAACGGTTGCAATGCAGATAAGGTGTACGGGTTCAGTATAGCCAGAAAGTCCGAATTTCTCAAGCGAAAAGTGGGGCTCAACAAATGAGTGACTGGGCCCAACCGAGCATCAAATGGGGCTAGATCATAAACACGGCATTCCAAAAGACACGAGCCGTCAATAAACGGCTTGGTGTGGCTTAGACTGCATTACCAACGGCTACACTGATATAAGTGGAGACAACCAAAATGCTTGGTCATTCTCAATTCTATTATTATCGTTAGATCATTGACTAGGCTTTCAAGCGCTTAGCACTTCCCTCGCTCTCTTGTTTGATTATTCTCTTGACCCCGCTGTTGAGCCTCGACTCACTAATATCTTGAAGCGGAGCGTCGTCTTCTGTCTCTACCTCACTGTCGGATTCAACTTTGATGGGCTCACAGAAACTTGAAGCAGGTGTGGGTAATCTTTTGACAGATCCGGAATTCTTCCTTTTGAGCGATGGACGAGTCTTCGGTAGAAGTATTGTCCTTTGCTTGCTTGGCGTCGTGGGAGGAGTGAGGAGCTCGGCGTCATCGTTCTTGACCTCAGGTTCCGAACTCTCCTGTTTGAGCTCTTGCTTGATGTTTTGCATCGTGGCAATAGCCTCCTTCTTGATATCAAGAAGAACCTCCTTCTTAATAGATTTTGGTGTCATTGTAGAGTATTTGAGCTTCTTGGAGTCGAGCTGCTCTTGTGTCAAGAACAAATCTGGAATTTCTCTCTTGAGCTGTCTGACGAAATCGTCACAATCACTGAGCACCTCGTAGTCAACCAAACTAGTCCATTGCTTTGGTAAGGGCAGCTTATTGATGAAAATGACTTTTCCGCCTCTATCGTGAATCGCTTTGGCCAAACTTCTGACCAATTTTTTGACTCCATCTACTTTAAGTGATGTACCCATTATAAGTAGACAGTCACTCTTAAAGCTGAGGTCGATGTTGAGTCCCCTCGTAAGCATTTCTGACTGGGGATGGTTTTCACCGTACAAGACGATATCCGGTCTCAATACTCCTATGCTTCCCGTAAGACGTTTACCCGAGTAGAGTCTCTCCTGGTACTTGAGGTAACAGTTCTCACACTCAGGGTTCTCACCTTGCTCAAGTTTCTGTTGGGCATCAGGAGTCCAGTCGTAGTGCTTGAAGCACTGGGTACACAGAAGTTTGTGAAGGTTGCCGTGGAGTTGGACAACGTCAAGAGACTTCCAGTTTTCCCGAAACAGCTTGCCAGCGCCATTATCGATTTCATTGAATTCCTGTGGGTCGATACCACAGTTAAGATTGATTCTCTTTTCGAGGCTATCTATGTTTTGTGTGTAACAACGCAAGAGCTTGTTCTTGTCCTTCAAGGTTTTGATGAAGCGGTGGGTCTCGGTTGCTTTGGCTGCCAAAGAGTGCTTATAAAGGCCCTCCATGAATGTGCAAAATATCAGAAGAGTCTCTTGGTTTCTGAAGAGAGAAATATCAAACAAATCCTGGCCTTTGATGAAGCTCTGGGGGTACTTTGCTTTGACTATATTGTACAACCCATCGTCTGATCTGAAATCCGGAATGCCTGCATTGCACGAGATTCCAGCACCAGTTAATATCACGGATTTTCTTGCTTTGTAGATGGTTTTAGCCACCTCGTGAAGCCTGACTGTGTCGTCGGCCGAGGTCCCCTCCAATAGGTTGACCGACTTCATGATGCGGATTTAACTAGTGAGAACGATTGTAAGGGGTGTTCAGGGGTGGCCGATAGAAAGGATGCTGGTATAAAATTAGCCTGGTTGATCTTCTTATTTGTATCAGGAAGAAGAAGTGGTGGGTTTTTGTGAGGTGGTCACCGACTAAAAAAAAAAAAAAAGGTTGTCCCTGCCCTGTCCTACATTGCGAGTTTTTAGGAATAGTAATGAACCGTCGAAGGTCGCAGTTGTTTACATAAGGGCCGAAAACGTTAAACTACTTACGTCTTGTTGCGAACATGAGCGAAAAACAAAAGAGAGTGAATGTTTATTTTGGAGTAATTTTTTCGAGTGATTCAATTGCATATTATTCTAGTCAATCTAAATAAGATTTTGATACCAATTTTATGTTTGTGACCTTGTCAATGCCAGGTGCCTCTTCTGTCTGTACAGGTATACACGAATCTCAAAATTCGTGCTTGACAGGAAAAATGTAGACAGAAAGCGTGCCTCGTGTCTTAGCGGTTTCTACTGGTCTTAGGTCAATTATTACAAGAAAGTTATAGTTTACTCTAACATCGTCGAATCAAGCCCCTTATTGTGCCTGAGTCGAGTTGACCGCCAACTCCATGATTAATCTCGTAGCCAAATGCAAAAATGGGTAGGCAGAGAAGGAGCTCATTTCGTCAACATCTTGCTTACCCGATTGTTTGCCATCTTGGGTAGTGCTGCTCTCCCATCCATCGAACTTAAAGTCAACAAGATAGTTATTAGGCTCCAATTGGAACAATTGAATCTGCATCTTCATTAAAGCAGGTGGGACTGACTCGCCCTCCTTGACCGTCTCATCAACCAAGCAAGGCCCGTACTTCCAGCGCACTCTAATAGTCCATAACTCTTCTTCAGTTGGCTTTGCCCATTCGGCTCCCAAGTTCTTCAATGCTCTATAAATCTCGCCCATGACGTCCAAAGGATACGACCTGGACCGTATGCCGAAATGCCATTTTGTCTTCAGCTTCTTTGAAGAAACGGGGTTGATCTTGCTCGAACCCTGCTCCGAGACGTTCATCATTGAGGCGCGATGGATCGAGGGCAACGAAGAAGGAAGAATGGCAATCGTAGAGTTTGGCAACGTCGATAAGTCCGGAACTGTTGCCAAGGTTTGATATGTGAGGGATTGCAGAACACCAGGGGCTCTATGCGTGGCGGTTGCTTCTTCGCCTTGTGGTGAAGACCATGAGGGAGGAGGGCTTGAAGACAAAAAGTTGTCCATATGTTCAGTCTTGTTCTTCTTCAAGTCCTTCACGAGAGAGTGGTTCTCTTTCATTAACAAGTAGGCGTCAAGTATCTCATTCTGTTGCTGTTGTGGGTATTGTTGTTTGTTGCATGAGTTGATTGTGTTCAAAATCTCATCTCTGTCGTAACCCATCGTCACACTCAAGGCATTGATAACATCCTCATCGATATCAATCTTATTATGGATGGTCTTGGACAAGTCTGGAGGTAACAAGTAATCCTCTATACCTTCCTTGAACCATGAGTCTTCCATGATCTCGTGGATGGTGACACGGTTAAGGGGATTGACGACCAACATCTTTGTCAAGATTTTCTTAGCACCCTCTGACAAGTAGTTGGGCAAGGTGTACACACCATTGCTAATTTTCTTGAATAATGCTGGAATGAACTCGTCATCGAATGGCAACCTACCACACAACATGACGTACAAAATAACACCGGAGGACCAGACATCAACCTCTGGACCGGCGTACAATTTACCGGAAATAACCTCAGGAGCTGCATAGTTAGGAGAACCACAGCTTGTCTTCAAGAAGTTACCATCGGTCATGATGTTCGACAAACCAAAGTCTGCAATTTTCACATTAAGGTGATCGTCCAACAACAAGTTTTCGGGCTTCAAATCACGGTGAACGATTTTGTGTCTATGGCAGTACTCCACTGCTGCAATGATCTGCTGGAAGAATCTTCTTGCTTCGTCCTCCGGCATTCTACCCCTCTGAACGATGTAGTCGAACAACTCCTTGCCCGCATACTCAATAACCATGATGATTTCGTCCTTCGACTTGATCACATCGTAAAGCTTGATGATATGGGGGTGTCTTAACAAGCGCAAGTATGAAATCTCTCTTTCAACACGACCTTGCATATCCGACTTGGCCAAAGTCTTTCTATTGATGATTTTAAGAGCCACTCTTTGGCCTGTGGTGGAGTGCTCTGCCAACTTGACCTTACCGAACGAACCTTCACCCAAAGTCTTGATGATTTGGTATTTTCCGATTCTGTTTGCCGAACTAGGGGTCGAGCCCTGGGGTGGAAATTGCTGTTGTTGTTGCTGCTTCCGATCATGACCATGGTGCCCATGATGGCTGTGATGATGATGGTGGCGATGATGTCCTGACAGTTTATCTTCTTCGGACATGTCGTTGTGATTTGACCAGCGATACAGCAGTTGTGATTGAATGTAGGTGAGGGGTCTGGTATATTGTAGAGGACACGCCCAACAGCTTGGGTTAAAAGGAAAGCAGAATACTAAAGGGAAGGCGGGTAAATGAGAAAGGACAATTAGACTGTTTGAACAAATTAAAAAATATATATCACCATGAAATTGATAACTATGTGGATATACGCCAAGCACGATTCGCACCGGTTGCGGGGAATGTTAGTACTTCGACAATAGCTTTTAGCGCCAGTGGTGATGCAGAATCTGGTTCAATCTTACTTATCAATTCGGAACATTCGGAATTCATTAAAGGTGAGAATGTTTTTCGTGTTCATGAACACCTCATAGAAGAGTTCTGTCTCTCGGCCCACGTTCTCGGGCATCATGATGGTCCTCTTCGTATTGCTCTCTCTTGGACAGCTTTCCTTCACTGCCTCTGTTATAGTTGGTTTTCTTGGAATCTTTTCGACTATAATTCGACTTTCTATGATCATCGTTATCACTTCTTTGGTCTCCTTGCCTGCCTCGGCTCTGGAAGCGGTCTCTTCTATCTCGCTGATACCACCCTCTGTTCCTTTCAGACTTGTTGTATTTTGATGCCTCCTGTGCAGCCTTTTTCTTCTCCTCGAGCAATTTTCGACGCTGCTCAATTAGCTCTTCCGGAATGCCATCCTTATCTTCTTGGGCACTAAGAAGATGCCTCCATAGTGCTTTGCAGAAGGTCCTACTTTCCTGTTTCCCGAGAAAATCGTCCATCTGATTCTCAATGGCATGTATATCAGGATGTTCCTCCCCTGCCACGAGTTCGTATATGAACCCTGCTGCAATATCGTCCTCCGGTAGTTGTTCGCTGAGCTTCTCCTCAATCCAATGTTTGATCACTTCCATGTTCACCTTTGAAGAGTCCACCTCTTTTTTATAGATCAGCGGCTTTTTGCCTCGAGGTTCATCCATTGTGGTTCTAATTCCAGGATCGAATGGTGGGGTGAGAATGATAAGCGTAGTGTTTGTTCTCGAGATCCAATCAATATCAATCCCCTACTATTGTCCTCTTCCTTTGGTCTCACCAATATGCTGAATCCGCTATAGTGAAGAATGTAATCAGGATTAGTTAATGGTTTGGAGTCACTTTCGCATCTGGAGCTGAGTTTACAACTTTTCACCGAGTGCGACAACCTTTAATATATTTCTGAAACGTTTCAGACTTTGAAACTTGAGGAATGCCTTTTTCTTCCCGAACATGTCAATTGGTTCACAGATCCGAAAGACTAATCAAGGCTATCTTCGGGCAAGGTGATTTCTTGCGTACGACATTGAAAAGACCAAGATTTGTGTTCCCCATCTTTGGCGCCTCCTGCGACTTTTGGCTGCAAAAAAGTGACGAGCATCATATATAACCCCGGAATCCCACACAACCCCCGTTTCATCAACATCCAGCTTTCAAAAACAAAACTAATATCCTATTTACTCAATATTCTTTCCCTTGCTCCCACCATGGTTTGCCCACTTTTTGACTCTACCATCATTGGCTTCAAGGCACCCAACCATGGCACTAATAGTTTACGTGGAATCTATCACTGTACAAGGCAGACATTGAATCTTCTTGACACAGTCACGTACTTAGCAGCCACTACCACACATTTGGAAATCTCCTGTGATCCAAACATTTGGTCCACCTGTTTCACGGGTGTGCCTTTATCCGCTAAAGTCCGTGAACCCAGGAAGTTGAGTTTTGGAAGAAGGCTCAGCTGTATTTCCGAGGAGAGCTTAGTGCAAACTAATACAGACGAACTGCCTCCCACTTCTCCAGAATCACTGGAGCCATCAACCAGCTGCGGTAACATCTTTCATGGAACGCGTGGTGTCTTTAGTGTGCCATCTGGCTCACGGTTCTTTGTCATCAAGTCATTCAGTGTTGAGGACATCGATGCATCCCTTAATAATAATATTTGGACATCTACGGACCTTGGAAACAAGAGGTTGGACAAGGCATACAAGGAGACAGAGAACGGCTCGATCTTCCTCTTCTACAGCGTAAATGGCTCAATGAAGTTCTGTGGGGTGGCACGAATGGAGGAGAAGGTCAATTTTGCAAAGAGTAGCGACGTCTGGGCCGAGAACTCCCGATGGAAAAGTGTGTTCCCTGTGTCTTGGTTGGTTGTCAAAGACATCTCCAACCGAAGATTGAAGCACTTGAGGGTCCCAAAGAACGAAAACAAACCAGTGACCAACTCCAGAGATACGCAGGAGTTGCCCTTTGATGTGGGCCTCTCCATGCTCGAGATCTTTGTAGAGAAATAGTTAGAGTGTGGTTATGAGTACGTAGCTAAATGCGAAAGCGAGCTCGGTTCTCGTAAAGTGAGAAATCAGCTCATACATCCTTGGTAAAACTTGCTAGCAACACAACCGCAAAAACCAAATAAGTTCAGACGATGTTGTCAAAGAGAGTCACTGTCAACGTCCTGCGTCTGTTTTGCACTAGCAGAGTCGCTCTGGAAGCCAGCAAGAAGAAGGCAAAGGCTAAAGCCCAAGACTACATCCCAGAGAATGTCAAGTACGGTGCCTTATCGAAGGCTCAGAAGGCATTTTTGGACCGTGTGATTCGTGTTGACCAGGCTGGTGAACTAGGCGCCAATTACATTTACATGGGCCAATACGCTGTGCTCTCCACGAAATACCCACATTTGAAGCCGGTCTTGCAGCACATGTGGGACCAGGAGATTTACCATCACGACACATTCAACAAGCTTCAGCACCAACGTCGTGTGAGACCTTCCCTTTTAACACCCCTTTGGAAAGTGGGAGCTATTGGCATTGGTGCTGGTACTGCTCTCATCAGCAAGGAAGCAGCCATGGCTTGTACTGTCGCTGTCGAAACTGTCATTGGAGGCCACTACAACCAACAGCTACGTGTCCTCATGAATCAATTCAATATCCCTGTTTATGATAAAGAGACTGGCAGAGGCCTCACGCCAGAAGAGATCAATAAGGAAATCGAGACATCCCCAGAGCTCGCCAGCTTGAAGAGCACCATTAGCACGTTCCGTGATGACGAATTGGAGCATTTAGATACCGCCGTGGAACATGATGCTGACAAGGCTGTTCCATACATCTTGCTCACGGAGACCATCAAGTTAGTTTGCAGAGGTGCTATTTGGACCGCGGAGAGAGTATAAAACAACTCTAGACCATGAAAACATCAACACGACTCACAAATTATACGACAACCAAATCAAAACAGACTATTCCAAAGAGCTTCATCCGCGAAATCTGAAGGCCTCACCAACTGATGTAGTAGTAGCACTCTGACATGCCTGCAGATGCGCGGCCGCATTCGATATGGATGTAAACAAAGTTCTCTTCAGCACTCTTCTTACATCTACAGCGTGCTGGCCCAAATCTTTATGAGTTCCGGATGTCCAGAATAAGTATGATAAACCGTGCTGACGGTTCGACTTTCAATGGGCCCCGCATATTCAACAGAAATAAGGATGCATTTCCCCTACTAGATTTCAAAGAGTTATCGATATGCCTTCAAACAATGGAGTTCACTGCCAGTGAAGAGTTGATATCACGACCCACAAGCCAGTACATAAGGACCCTTTTTGAAGAACTAGTTGATATCTTTATGGGTCTCTCGGTGCAATCGACAGAACAACTATCGCATGATTTGATAAAACGCAATAATGAATTTAACCTGAACGACATGCAACAGGATGATGACAACAACAACAATAATAATAATGACTTTGATGCCAAAAAGGACGATACTTCCCAACTGATTCCACTCCTTATTCTATTTCGTTGCTCTTTGGCATTTCTTGAAAAGTGTGGAGTGCATGACTTCAATATAATGGATCTCAAAAAACCAGAATCCCAAAGGATACGACGCATCCTCAGTGCCGTCATAAACTTCGCTAGATTCCGTGAAGAGAGGATGAAAGACTGTGAGCCAATTGCTCAAGTATGTGAAGATTACTCGGAAGAGGTGAGGAAATCAGAGGCCGAGATTGTTCAGGTCCAAAATGACATTGACCAGCTTGCATCTCAAGTTAATGAGGATCAACTGGGTCAAAGGAAGTCCACACTAGCACAGCTTAATAACTACAACTCCAGGCTTGAAAGTGAACTCAAGAAGCTTCAATGGTCACAAGAACAGCTTCAGCTCGAACATGCGAGGTATAGAGAACAGAAGTACGGCTTAGCCGAGCAAATTGAAGATCGTCTCTATCTACTTCAGGAAGAGGCATTACGGGTTGAGAAATTCAAGAAGTTTACCATGGTCAATCCTAGCGAATTGCAGGCGATCCTTGACGACCTCAAAGGTAACCTTGAAGATGCCGAGCTGCAACTTCGAACGGGAGACAACACTTTGCAAAATCGTTCAAAGACAATCAGAGCTATAAAGCTGGCAGAGGACGAGCTCAAGAATATTCTTACCATTGTTCAAAACATTGTCGACGATTTGGGTCATCTTGAAGAGGAAGGCAGCGAGCTTGATAGACAGGCTGAGCAGCGGGACAGAGAGAAGGCTGCAATTGAAGAGATTGAAAACCTGATTCGTCTTACAGAGAGACAGCTAAGCAATCTCGACGAAAAGATCCTCAACACTAACAAGCAGGCCTCGGAAAAACGAGCAGAAGCAGAGCACAGGCTTCAGAAGCTTGAAGACGAATATGCTAGGCTTACTGACGAGAGAGGTGTACGCGAGAGAAGAATGGACCAGAATAGAGTCACCATTCAGGAATTGGAAGAGGACATTAATAAGATAACCGGAGTGTTTGATCGAGAGAAGCGCAACATAGAAGCTGCAGTTGCAAAGCTTAATGCCCACATTAGGACATACTTGTCTGACATGAACAATCTTCAATGATAGATTCTACAGCCGCTGCTGATGAGCTCATTTCCTTTCATCCTATGTATTATTTGTAATATTAATTATCGCATCGATCTATAATTTATTGTTTGTTTCTCCTGTCTGAGTTTCTTCTCAGCGTTCGTCTGAGGATGTCCCTTGTGTTAACTCCTTGGAAGAGTCTGTGGCGGCGTCCTCTTTAGATTCTTCGTCGTCATCATTGTGTCCAATTTGGCTCTTACTAGGAATCTTCTTGTTTGTCGTGAAAAGAGAACTGATGAATGCAAGACTTGCGTATGCTAAGTTGAGATAAAACACATCTTTAAGGGCTCTCATGAAGGCAGCGAGTGCATCGTCTCTTGCTGAAACAGGGAAGTCCCAAATCATGGCGGGCGCCTGAATGATAGTCCTTGGTGAAAGATGCGAGAGACTAGGGTTAGACGCAACAACATCGACGAGGTACATCTGTCCACGGGAGGTGAGCATCAATTGGGATGTGACGACACCTATGACACCACCGACGGTTTTCATAGCATTGAGAAAGATGGTCACCAAAATCATGGAACCTGGAACATGACCGGGGGCTTCTAGCTGAGCACTCATCATGGAGCTCTGGAACATAAGTCCGACTGAGACACCCGCTGGAATCAACAAACCAATACGCTGGCTTGAAGGAGTGTCTGTGTCAAGAATTAAGAAGAGTCCGACACCCACAGGTCCTAAGATACCCGATATGAGCATGGTGATCTTCACGTAACGAGTGAAACGCATGAAAACACCATTGAACACTGATGCTAAAGAAACGGTGATGATAAACGGAAGCATATCGATACCAGATCTCCATGGAGACGCTTGCCAAATGACTTGGAAGTAGATTGCCAAATATGTGACGATACCCATGAAGAAGCAGAAGTTAAACACGGCCGTCAGAGTAGCCATCAAAATCTTTGGCACGATGACCACTTCTTTGGGAATAAGCGGGTTCCTCGAGAGTGAAAAGTTGTAATAAATGAAGATGATAGTGATGATGCCGCCTAGAACAAAGCAGCAGATGACAGCGGCAGACTTCCATGGGAACTCATTACCACCAAAAGTGAGAGCAAGAAGCAATAAGACGAGACCAGCGGCAAAAAGGAATGTTCCGAGGTAGTCGATCTTTTTTAGCTTTTCTTTCAAATCACCTTTAGGTCTGGGTGGATGGAATGCCAATATGAGCATACCAAGGGCGAATCCACCAACGGGCAAGTTGATCCAAAAACACCATCTCCAAGTGACATGGGAGGCAAAAGCGCCACCAATGAAAGGACCTGCCACTGAAGCAACGGAGAATGTTATGCCAATTAATGCCATTGAAAGTGGTCTCTTGTTGATGGGCACAGACTCTGAAAGCACCACAACAACCATGGATTGGATGGCACCTCCACCGACACCTTGGATGACTCTGCCGCCAATGAGCATGTCCATGCTGTTTGCCAAAGCAGCAATTAAGGAGCCAATCTCAAAAATGATGATACCAGCTATAAGGGTGTATTTTCTTCCAAAGGCGATAGAGATCTTTCCGTACAGCGGCATGAAACAAGCTGTAGGTAGAAGAAACCCCGAGGTAAGCCAGCCGACCTTGTCGAAGCCACCGAACTCCTCACTGATTTCTGTTAAAATTGTGGCTACAATGGTCTGGTCAAGCGCTGCAATGAAAAGACTCGCCACAATACTCATCAAGGTGAAAGCTAGCTTATAGCCATGGATATATTGCTCCTGGGCCCTTGTTCCGTCACCAGCATCACTCTGAATGAACTTTTTTTTGATCTTTTTGGCCGCTTCTAGATCGACAGGTATTTCAGCTTTTACCATACTGTAACGTAAGCGATGTCTGTGTGCTGGGTAATTATGCTAATGGAGGGATGCAGATTATGTGAAGCAAGAAATAGCTTACAGGGCAGATCGTAGATGCGGTATATATATTGCAATCAGAATAACGTAACAGGCATCGAGAAGTTTTTCTGGGTTATCACCTGCTGTGCTCTGAGTGGGTGATTTTTTTGAGAGTGCTGTGCGTAGGTCTGTACTCCTGGGCTTAGGAGCCGCTGCACAATTGCGCTGACACCTACGGTGCATTAGCGGAAGGCCAACCGAGCGACGGTTATCTGATGAAAAGGAAGGGATTCTCAGCCTTTGTTGTTTGTAAAAAACCGAAACAAGTTGAGCACCAGGAGCCGAAAGCCGAGAGCCGTCTCGAGAGATGAGCATCTCGTAGCGAGCGGCTGACCGGTGAGGCTGCGATTTCTCCTTTAGTATGACCGCAGCAAGTAAGTGCGCCTGCGCAAGATCGTGTTAAGCGTCGTAAGATTCGGCTTTTGACTCAGTGGTAAACGGAGAACCGTTTCTCAGAAATTCGCTAGCAATGAGTCGATTAAGGCCCATCACGTAAGAACTGCAAGAAATCGAGCTCGACGTCTTCGCCCACACTGCTTGAACGCTCACTTCTTTGCGAAGGACGCTTACTATTCGCATACGAGGCGGTTCCTTTCCTGTGGCCAGCACTAGTTTCTTGAGGAACGTACTCTTTAGATTCAGGAATGGGCTCGTGTGGATCCATCATGGAGAGCCTTCTGGACCTTGACGACTTGTTGGAGGGAGAAGTCATGCTGGTTCTGGGTTCTTGCTTACCTTGTGAATAGCTCGATCTCCTCTCTTTGGAGAAATTGAGCGAGTAGTTTTCAAGAGTCAGCCGAAAGTCTCCCTCGGTGATATCGCCATTCAAGAGATTGGAGAAATCATGCTTGGTCAATAACGTGGTGAAATCTGGGTTTCCATTTGCATCAACCGCTTGAGCGCTTCCCACATTCTGACCGGCCAAGGATCTTTGCTCCTCAAGACGAGAAGAGAGGTAGTTGTTTTGAAACTTTGCAATGTTCTCTTCTGTGGGGAGACCCATGAGTGGGAGACGTAATTTCGCAAGGACTCTTCTCCACAAAGAATACTGTTCGATGTCGATGGACATGGCAGCACTGTAAGAGCTCAATCTTCTTCTTCTCGGCAGAGAGTTCAGGTCACCGCTATGGTGGCGCATATAATTATCGAGGCGGAACGCATTATCCTTTTCATAGTTTTTCATAATGGTGTACTTCCATGGCTCTTCACGATAGAAGAAGACTAGAGCATCCACGAAACCATTGAATGGTTGCATAAATGCTCCCAAGTAATTGAGCCAGTAAACTGGTCCATGTTTTCGCTCATGATTGAATTGAGTACACTGGAGGAGGAAGGGGAAGAGCCAGACCGATACGTAGGCGATAGGGTATATGAAAATCGATTTCATCTGTCTTTCAATGAGTTTTTGACGCTTTCTGAAGCTAGCCAAATTGGCAGCTTCTAGTTCAGAGTCGTGCATGATATTATGGGTGTGGTTGACCCCGTCTTGGTCTTGATTAGGACTTTCGTCCAGACTCTGCACGGTTTTAGCTCGAGAACCAACCGCTTCGACTGCTGAGGCGTCGGAGCTCGAAGAGCTTCCGTTCCGCTCTGCTCTGGGAACGAAAAAGCTCTCATGAATGGTGTCTCTAACCTTCATGTAAAAAAATTGCAAGGAAGAAAAAAAGGAGGGCTTGTTGTTGGAGTCCCGGGTGTGTTGATGCTGCATGGTGGTGAATACGCCGCCCAAGGCTCTGAATTCCTTGAGCACGTAGTAATAAATGAGTCCGTAGACGAGGATGATGATGACGATGATAAGGTAGCGGGGAACCCAGCTAAGCACCAACCGGTACCAGACCGGCTGCTGCGGGAGGTAGCACCAGCACACGAAGGAGATGTGGCCGACGCCGATATATGCTAATGACGCCATGACCAAAGGTATGACGAAGGAAAGCCCGTAAACGTAGTAACGGTATTTGTACAAACCGCCTTCAACACGGCCCGTTTCGGGCAACTTGACGGAAAGCTGGGGCCGGAAGATAAGCAACAAGGTATGTAAAGCGAAGGACAAGATGGCCAAGTCGGCGCCTTCGATAGCTGTGGCGCTGAAAAAGCCCACAACCTGGCAAAACCGTTTGTTGAGGTACGCCGTTGGGTGGGTAAGCACACGGGCTGGATATAGTAACAAAATACAAGCTTTTAGTAGGTCGAATAGTAGGAGGAATGCAATGAGTTGGTGGCGGAACACCAAGCGCTTTGGGTCGATGGCCAAAAAGCAATACATGGCTAGCAAGCAGGCAAATATGGCCACCAGGGAGGACAGAATGGCCAACGCTCGTTGGACCAAGTTCTGGTAGTCAGAAAATAGATCCAGCTGGTTCTGACCATAGTCAGTTTGCCGTTTTAAAAGCTCGCCAGCCCACGATAGCCAGGGAGGAGGCATGGAGGACGGATATGTGGAGCAAGGCTCTGGAGCATCAAAGACACCCTTGGAAAAAGGCTAGGGAAACTGGCGACACTAGGTGGGTGGTTTGAAGAAGAGTGTATTGGTAAACTGAGCGGGTGTGAATGGCTCTTTTTTCGGCTGGTATGGGCCTAGATGTACGCGGCGCGGCGCTATGAACTGAGCTGACAAAAACAGATTACACAGGGAATGGGGGAAAATGGTAAAAATAGTGAAAGGAGCGGTCTGAGGGATTCGAATCGTTTCGGGTTGTGGGATGCCGAAAATGACGAAATTGAAAAGTAAAAAAGTTGCCAAGGCCTGGTATTATATATAGTGTCACGGGGCTCATCGATTTCGCAGCCATGCCCGCCCTAGAGACCTCAGTAGATATCTGGGGGCTAGGGGTCAGAGAACGTAGAAGAATCCATGCATTGCGTTGTTGACTTTATTTGTTGACGAAATTGGAATATGTCTTCTTTTGACCAATCGCTGCCAAAACAATGGCCACTGAGGAATGGTCTTTCGTGGATCGTGCTGATCAGCGCCTTTTTACTAAGCCTCCCGGGGTGGCAGGCCGTTCGCCGATAATCAGGCCCGACACGATACATTCCACACTGCAGACAAGTAGGTGTTAATTGCTATATGTATTTTTGAACTGAAGGATATCTAAGACACACTGCAACGTGTGTACTCTAGCACCGTCTAAAGCGCACTGCCAAATATCACGGTACAGCATCTCTGCCATAAGCTCTGCTTAACCTCACCATTAGCCTTCAACTGGTTCTTCTCTTCAAGCTGCTGGTAGTACCATGCCTCGTGCTCTTCAACCTCCTTGAGACCAGTTACCAAATCCACCTCTTCTGGCTTCTTCCACTTGGTACGCTTAACAAGCTTGAACACAATGTAAATGCCAATGTCAATGAAGATCATCAAGTAGGAGAACAAAAAGTTCTTGATGTCCCATCCACCAGGCATGAATGTCTCGTAGGTGCCGACAAATGTCATGGTGAAAGCCATAGCACCTCCGAATATCGCCAACCAAGGCTGGAACCATCCTCTGAAGGGCAACGTGCGGCGGTCAATGCCTTGTGCCTTCATTGCACGGTAGAAACAACAGTAGGTCAAGCACAAGATGAAGAAGTTGATCAACTGGCACGAGGTAATCAAGTTGACAATCCAGTCCAACACTTTGGAAGCTTCTTCACCTAACTGCAAGAAAGAAATAAAAGCCCACGCCAACGAAATAAGCATGCAATACATGGGAATACCAGATTTCGTGGTAGCGGTGAGAAATTTGGGAGCGTAGCCATCCAAGGCAAAGCCGTACAACGTTCTGGACGAACAGTAGGTGTACGAGTTACCAGCAGAGAAGGCCGCCGTAACCAACAAAGCATTAACAATATCTGGAAACACCTTGATTCCCATGTTTTGCATGGCAATAACGTATGGCGATCCTCCAGCACCAGGCTTAGTGGCACCACGAGTCTCAATCAAGGTTGGGTCATTGGAAGGCACGAGAATCCCGCAGCAAAGAGCGCCTCCAATGAAGAAAATAGTCAACCTGATGAAGACCTGCTTGTACGCCGATGGCAATGTCTTTCTGGGGTTGATGGTCTCACTAGCGACAAGAGAAACGTACTCAGGTCCAGCAAAGGTAAAGGTTGCTCTAATCAAGCAAGACAAGAAACCTCTGAAATAACCAATTTTGCCTGGATATTGAAATGCGCTCAAGGGTCCTGGATCACGCCAGTAGCGGAAACCGAATGCATCGTTCTGCGGGTTGCCGCCTACCATAGTGATGAAGGTGAAAAAAATAAGAGCAACAGCCAAGATAACTTTACCCAAACTCAACCAAAACTCAACCTCACCGTAGATCGCAACACCAAAGATGTTGATTAAGAAATACAACACTACCTGAAGTGCCAACGGGATGGCCGCGGAAAAATCGTCTCTCCAGTAATGAAGAACCGAATTGACTGTCACCACCTCAAAAGGAATTTGGGCACAGCACAAGAACCAGAAATTCCAAGCCGTCATCACCTCCAATGCGTTGTCACAGCACCGGCCGGCCATTCTGACGAAAGGAGAGGTAATGGGCAAGTACGTCACTATCTCGGCAGTACTGATAGTAATACACAAGATGGGAATTGACCACACCGTGAATCCAAGAAACAAGTTGAGCGGGCCATACACCACCTCTCTGCCGATAGCGACGAACAAAGCTGAGCCGATGGTAGCACCGATACCGAGCAACTGAACATGTCTCGATCTCAAGGATCTGTGGAGATGGTTGGAACTGTCTCGAGAAGTGTAAGTAAGAGTCGAGTGGACGGAGCTTACTTCACCAGCCTTTTCACCCTTGTTCAGCAGCAGAGGAGCGACATCAGCAGACGTTTGACTTCTGGTGAGCTGCTCCAGGGACCTCGGAACATGAGGGACGAAGTTGTCGTGTAAAAAAGAAGAGAAACCCATGGCGATTATCTGAACCAAATTCTCATGGGGTGTCGTGTTAAAAGAGTGTGGTAGCGGGAGTGGCTTTATAAAATAATTTTCCATCAATTTTCAGCCTTTTTTTCTCGTCTCAGTCACCTAATCGGGCCTTTCCTGCTTTAACTGCAGGTAAACCTGGGGTGATACGGCCTTTACTCTTCGCGATGACCACATCCGCGGCCTATTTCTTAGGCAGACAGGCAAATGTGGCTGGGTGCCAAGTCGATGAGCATCGATTTTTTGACAGGCTTTTGGGCGTTTTACCGCTGCTTACGAGTCTCTCGCCGGCCTTGCACATATTGCTTCCTCAGCAGTGCATTATCTCGCGCTCAAAAATGCACATAATAGCTATTGCAATGCACGAAGCTCTTCAAGGTGGGGAGCTGCTTTGGCCGATACAAAGCGAAGCCCAGCCGGGTCACGTCAAAGACAATAAGAACTAGTCTTTGATGATTTGAAGACGTTATGGTGCCACAAATTTGCAATCGTCCGTCGTGCTATGTACTGATGGGCAAAAGTTGGCCGACTCGGCCTACCTGGTCAGAGTCTAACACCAGTTGTGATCCCTCTGTAGAGAAGCATGTAGCAAACTGAAAATCGTGATTATCCGTTTAAATTACCAGAGCGAGCCCCATTAGACCGCATCCCACTAGTACAGGATTGTGTGGGCATCATCTTGTCTTGATAGTATTTGCTTACTGCTGTAGTGGAGCATACAACACTTGGGTCACATACTTTCTTTTGTACCTGATCACCGATGCTACCGCCAAAGTGTTATGCTTGACGCTGGTAGTGGCCAAGTGGTTGAGCACAACGTGGTTGGGGATAGGCAAGGCGCCGGAGTTGTTGTCCTTGTCCTGCGAGTTAAAGTTATTGAGAATAACGTTTTCAAGATGTGGGGGTAATTGTGGAGCAGACAACCAAGCCTGGTCTTGCTGATTTCTGTTTCTAGAGCGCTGCTCCAATGCTAGGTAATACTGTTCCATGACCTTTGGGTCTTCGAAAATGGGGGAATGTCGCTTACATAATTGTAAGTTTTGGCTGGAGCGTCTTCTGCTTCCTCGTGGTATCTGGAATAGCCGTCGCCCATATCGTCCTCGTCGTTGGTGAAACCAAACACCGAGTTTGAGCGGCCTCTGGAGCTGACAGACGACCTCCTGCTAGTACGCAGCTTGCTTTCCTCCTCCTCACGCGCCATCTCCTCCTGTTCTTCTTCTAACTGTTTAAGGTGCAATTGCACATGCTCGGGGTCACTTCGATGTAGTTGACGAAGTTGCCCATCAGGTCTGTTGCTGTGGGCAAGAAGTCGGAAAAACGCAACTCGTTGTCAACGACAAAACGGAAGCGGTGGGTGCCCACGGGCAACCCTAACGTTACAAGGTACGTTTTTTCCTCCTCTTGCTTCTGCAAACCAATCATCTTTCTCCATCCGGTGAAGGAACCGGTCACGTACACCTTTTCACCGCCCTGGACCCATTTGATGTCCACAGGAACGGTAGCATTTGGGTCGGGAAGGGGAGCGGACCCGCTAGGATCATTGGTGTTTTTGGAGGACTCCTCAGCCAGAGGCTGTTGCTCTTCCACATGCATGTTTTCGTTGTCTTCGCTGTCGTCCAAGATTAGCTTGGATTTTCTTCTTTGGGCGGTGCCTGCCCAGAGTCGGAGGCGATGCTGTCCACGGCGTTGGACACGTCCACCATGGAGAAGTCGTTGCTTTCAGACATCTCCGCTATTGTTTCGTGTTGTTGTCTATAGTGTGGTTGATGTTATGGATGACAGGGCGGAAAAGTAGGAATCTGCTACCGCGAAACTCTTGGTGGGCGGGACGGTGAGAATGCCAAAGCTGTCCCGGTGGGGATTTTTAAATTAGGGTGTTAAGAAGTTTATGAGGATAAACAAGTAAATATTATTTCTACGTTTTGCCGGAAAGGCAACTCCAGTACTGATAACTCGTGGGTGGGTCACAGCCCTACCGGTTTCAACGGTCACTTCACGTGAGACATAAACCTCCACCAAGGCGACGAGGCGGTGAATCCAACGAATCCGCGTATTCTAGGAGGCAGGTACGTCCGCGTAGTATATTTCATTGAATAAAGAGGGGAATGAATGTATGAGATAATGTTTGAGGAAGACTTCATTAGTCTACTTTCATTGGTTCTGAGGTCCCCCTGGACGCCAGGCGCTAATCGGTGACAGCTCTTCGGATGTTCGGATGAGCTGTAATTGTAAAGAGAATTTGATATTTGTTCATGAAGGTTTGTGTTGAGTGTGGAGACACTTTTGGTGCCCCGCTGTTCTCCGCCACTACTGGGTTGGGGCAGTCTGATGTGATCACCAATAAAAGTTAGGAATGAGCGAAAGAACACTATTGATCAGAAATTGAAAGTTTGGCCGCGTGACTCAACAATTGAGGTAGAGATTTGTCGGTGGAAGACAATTGGGTGATGTATAAGATATCATAAGCGTAATGGTATAGGAGCCATGTCTCGGCTAATAAGGTTTAGGTTTGTTTGTACACCTATACTTCTGTGAACACATTGGGGCTGTTATTTCACGCTCTGAGTGAGGTAGATGGCTCACAGAAAGATCAAGGACATACGGTGGAGCTTTCGTCCGTACACTGAAGCAGTTACCCCTGTTTCCGTGTCTTACCTCTTCTAGGCTCAAAGCGAGACACATTTGACGACTCAGTCCTCCTCAACTTCTGCCCGGACAGTTTGAGTCAATTGAAGGTTTCAACATCTTACAATTCGGCTTTTAAAAGATCTTAGAAAATTAAGGATGGGCATGGTCTTCCGCCATAAGAAGCTAATCTACCTCGTAGACTGCTCTGCAACATGCGTTTTCGGGATCTTCCTTGTTGTTTCAGCCATACATCAGTAACGTCTCAGATACGAGGGCTGTAGTCATCAGGAAGGCCTATTTTTAAAAAGCTGGAATTCCTGCTACGGACCTGCCATACCCGCCATTTTAATGGCTCAATAGTAAGGCCATCTCAACTGACACCCCATCTACACTTTCTCCTAAAGCTTTAAATGACTCGCATCCCCAAATACTAGACGTTTCACTCTTACATATAAGCCGCAAGAAGAATAATTTTCTTCGCCCACCCACATCATGAATTCTCATGGCTACTGAGATGTTCATTGTCGCAGCCCAAACAGGTATGCGCGTGAAACATTTAGCACCCAGTATTTTGCAGCCATTCAGTATAAAGCCCCTGCCATTTCCTGGGCTTGGAAAATAAAACAGATGGATTTTTCAGGTGACAGCTTGCTCAACTCTACTGCGACAGCAGAAGAGTACCAACTCATGTTCGGTATTTTGGACTCCACAGTGGAGCGTGCCCTCCAGCTTTGTGTGGTTCATGGAATGGCCATTGGGTGCGGTGCCCTTTTGATGCTTCTCTCGTGGGTAGTGATTATCAAAAAGACCACACCCACGTTCATTCTAAATCAACTTACTTTGGTGCTCATGATCATCAAGTCGGCGTTGTATCTTTGCTTTTTGTTCGGACCATTGAGCTCGCTCACATACAAGTTCACAGGACTTTTCCCAGAAGGAAGATGGCATGCCTTCCACATCTATATTGCCACAAACACTATTCATACCTTGTTAATTGCGAGTGTGGAAGCTACTTTGGTTTTCCAGATCTACGTTGTATTCAAATCACCTGAAGTGAGAAAATTAGGCTACTTCATGGCATGTGCAGCCGGAGCATTAGCCACAACCATTGTGTCGTTATATATCTACAGCACAGTGTTATCGGCCAGACAATTAAGACAACAACTATTGGAGCATGAGTTCACACCTACAAACTCTTGGATCAATAATGTGCCTGTCATTCTTTTTTCTGCCTCCCTCAATGTTGTGTGTATCATATTGATTGCCAAGCTTGCCTTGGCCATCAAGACCAGACGATACCTCGGATTGAAGCAATTTGATGGATTGCACATTTTGACCATCACAACAACCCAAACTTTCATTTTGCCTTCCGTTTTGATGATCGTGAACTACAAACAGTCAAGTTCGTACTCGACATTGTTGGCGAACATCAGTGTGATTTTGGTAGTTTGCAACCTCCCCTTCAGTTCATTATGGGCTACTTCGGCCAACAATTCCCCTACCCCAACATCCTCCCCGAACACTGTCTTCTCCAGATGGGACTCAAAAACCTCCGACACCGAAACATTGAATCAGGATACGCCCTTGATTCCTGGGAAGGCTGAAAAAATCCAGTTGGTGAGTCCTACCACAGAAAAAGGAGACGTTCAGACAGTCTGTGGTTCTGACGGTGATCACGATCTGATTGATCGGATTCTTGACGACATGGATGGAGCATTAATGACGACCGAGCTTAATCTCAGAGATAGAATGTGCTAATTTACTTAATTGTTTGTTTTTGTGCCATGTAGCCCATGCCAGTAATACCGTAGTGCACTTTTCGTATCGCGAAATCAGTCTTCCACCCATACTCAAACTACACTCTATTTACACTCTTTCAGCTAAAACAGATGGCCGACTATGATAGCCCCTTCCAGATGGACGAAGACCTTGGTCTGCCGAACCGTGCGCTAGATCCAGATCTATCGGGGACCAATATCAGTCCATCGGGGGTCATGAACTGAACCGTCCAAGAACATTACAGACTATGCCTGCTCAAAGCTCACAGAAAATTGGAACTGAGGCGCTCCGATCCCGTCTTCAGAAGATTAAGCTTGAAGAGGGAGTTGGTACAACCACCGAAGAGGAGTGGACATATGATGAAGACGCCGACGATAAGTTCGATAAGGAGGCTGCTGAAAAGACCCGGCTGGAATACATTAAGGCCGCCGAGCTTGCCACACAGCCTTTAACGCCGCCAGAAAACTTTGCTCCGGTCATCAACAACATATATCGGTCTTCTTTCCCACAGCAGCCGAACTTCTCGTTCTTAAAGACACTCAAGCTCAAGTCGGTGTTGTGTCTTATCCCGGAGGAGTACCCAAAGTCCCACGAGGACTTTTTTGAGGAGGAGGGTATCCAATTATTTCATCTAGGCATGGCCGGTAACAAGGAGCCGTTCGTTATCATCAGCAGTGAGCTCATTACTGAAGCCATAAAGATTGTGATAAACCCAGCAAATCAGCCCATCCTTATTCACTGCAATAGAGGAAAACACAGAACCGGCTGCTTGGTGGGTGTTTTGCGGAGACTCCAGAAGTGGTCTCTCACGATCATTTTCGACGAATACCGTAAGTTCGCTGCACCCAAGGAACGTCCTATGGATCAGCAATTCATTGAGCTCTACGACGAAAACAGGATATTACTGTACGCTCAGGACAATGGGTTGCTACCGTTGAAATGGGATTAATGACTATCGACAAACTACTCAGATGGCCAGATAAACTCCTTGCCATAGATTCCAGCGTTTCCTAACGCAAGACCCGCAAGGGCCAAGGGAGAAACATGGCCTCTGATTAGACTTTTGAGGGCCGGGCGCCCGTTGACAAGCAAGTACAATGTGGACCAAGCAAATGTGAAACCGGCACCATTCGGGACGTCTCCGTCGTACATGATGTAGCCGCCCAAGGCGCTGGCGCCGCCAAAGAGGAAGCACGATAATCTGTTCGGTTTGGAGGCGGCCACCGACTTACTGAAGTCAAATGACCCACCTGATCCTAGCTTTGGGTCCACAGGTTTCTGGATTGATAAGCCACGGTAGACTAGGGCCGCTGAGAGAGCCCAGGCAGGTACGGGCGAGGATGAAGCAGCATTGGTATATTTGAGGGCAGTTTTTGTAAAGTCGTTGGATTCAGGCATTGCGTCGTGGCAACCTGTAATAGAATGTGTAATGGAAGTTCACTATGTATATGGGGCACCTTTGCTGAGTATAGAAGCCGTGGCCTGCAGGAAGCAACAGTTTGACATAAGGTAGAATAGATTGGGTGCGAGTTTTAAAAAGGCGCACTCTACAGAGCAAATATTCTTCAAAAACGGTGTATTCGATACTTTACACTATTTTACAAACCAGACCAACGAAGTGAAAGATACTATTCCAGCACCGCTTACGATCTCTCGCCTCTCAATCTTCTGGCCAACTGGATGTCCTTCTTCTGGATAGTGACTCTCTTGGCGTGGATGGCACACAAGTTGGTGTCCTCAAACAAGGAGACCAAGTAGGCTTCGACGGATTCCTGCAAAGCACCAATGGCAGAGGACTGGAATCTCAAGTCGGTCTTGAAATCCTGAGCAATTTCTCTGACCAATCTCTGGAAAGGCAACTTTCTGATCAAGAGATCAGTAGACTTCTGGAATCTTCTGATTTCTCTCAAGGCAACGGTACCTGGCTTATATCTGTGAGGCTTCTTGACACCGCCGGTAGATGGGGCGGACTTTCTGGCGGCCTTAGAAGCCAATTGCTTTCTTGGGGCCTTACCACCAGTGGATTTTCTAGCTGTCTGCTTAGTTCTAGCCATATTGAAATGTGATGATAAAAAAAATCTTAACCGAGTGATTCCTCCCAGGTTATATATCTTGTGCGGGTTTGTTGGGGCAGATTGTTTATTTTTACTCTGCGCGGTGGAAAGCTACATTTTTGCTAGACGCTGCCAGTGACACGAAATGCGCACCCAAGAAGCGAGCGAAAGCGCCACTTGTGGTGGTTTTTCGGTGCGGGAGAGGCACCGAAAGGGCTCTTTTGCGGGCCTGAAAAGATCAATTTGGGGCAAACGGTCGCGCGCTGGAAGGAAAAAAGTTGCTGTGCGAGCGAAAAGTGGATAACTGGAGTGCTGCAATTTACGCACCGCGGGGCGTACATCGTGTCCTTCACTTTTTGAACGTACCTAGGCACAAAAGAAGCGTTCCTCAGGTTTTGCTTGTGTTGGTACTGCACAGCGTGGCGTCACCGCAGGGCCTCATTCTCGTGGTTGCAAAACACTCACGCTTGGTATAAAGCATCACCAAATTCCCCCAGTGAGAATCTTTTTTTTTAATTACAAACTATATTATATTACAATGTCCGGTAGAGGAAAAGGTGGAAAAGGTCTCGGAAAGGGTGGCGCTAAGCGTCACAGAAAGATCTTGAGAGACAACATTCAAGGTATTACCAAGCCAGCTATCAGAAGATTGGCCAGAAGAGGTGGTGTCAAGCGTATCTCTGCTTTGATCTACGAGGAAGTCAGAGGTGTCTTGAAGTCCTTCTTGGAGAACGTTATCAGAGACGCTGTCACTTACACTGAGCACGCCAAGAGAAAGACCGTTACTTCCCTTGATGTCGTCTACGCTTTGAAGAGACAGGGTAGAACCTTGTACGGTTTCGGTGGTTAAACTGCTGTGTATTGCTAGCTTCCATTCTTCAGTGTATATTAGAATATTATTGACTCGAAACTTCTATTTTGTATTTCAGTTCATGTTTTGAACAGAGTTTTTGGCAAACTCCCCACCTAGTTTAAGGTAACGGTCGATTTTGTCATCAATCCTTTGCTCTATTGCGTCCAAGTCGAATGGCGTCGTCTCCTGAAAGCGGTCTGACATGACCCAGGAGTAATGCTTGATGCACATGCTAGAATAATCCTCCGCATCCTTGTGACCTGGAGGACACTCGCAACGACACCCCACGCCATTTCGAGCAGTTGGGTCGGGCGAGTTTTTGCTCATAAAACTAAGCCATGGGTTGCTTTCTGTATGAGCAAATTTTTTTTGCGCTGCCTCATATGGGAGCTGTTTGCCTGGTGCATTGTTGGGACAGTGACCCATGGTCGTATGCTTGTATCCAATGTCACGGAAATAATGCAATTCTTCTCTCTCAAGGAGCATGGCCACCGCAAGCGAGTGAACGGGGCATCTCCCCACCGCTCTCTATAAAACCCACCGTCCTTCTCCAAATAATCAAAGTAGGCTTGATACTGCTCCGAAAGGAAGAGATCAGTGCGTGCAATCTCAAAGTTTGACCAGAAGTGGCAAAGATTGTATTCCTCGTCATCAAATTTGTCCAATGGGATGCTTGGTTTGTCATACGCCTCTTCAAAGATGTTCCTGATGTTATCAGAATCTTTGACTGCTTCGAAATCCTTATCAGTCTTACCACTTTTGGCGAGAAAGCGCCGCAAGTTAAGGTCTTTTTCCACCTTAGTTTCAAATTGGCGGTCAGTCATGCGCTCATTCCCCTTGTAATTCGCTGCATTCTTACCCTTCACCGCTCTGTACCTGTCGGCGACAAATTCCCAAGCAGACTTCACCTTGATTTCATGCTCTTTGATAAATGCCTTGGTCGTGGAAAAGAGAGTGGGGACACTGTAATAGATCTCTCCAATAGCGACCGTGAAGCCGTACTTCTTCTTATGTTTTGCCATCTCAATAAAGGGATCGTAAGTCAAATCACAGAAGAATTGCACATCCGGCTCCACCCTCCAATACCATTCATTTCTCCGAACAAGTGGATGTTTGAAAAATTCTCCGGAATAAAATCGGCACATCTTGTGATATGATTCCATGTTTCCATAGAAAATCTTGCGGTCTCCCTGGCTCTCGATACTCTCCTTAAGCACATCCGGATCAATGTCCGGACTAAAGTTCCACTTCTCCGGTGCAACAGTGCCAAACTCACATTTCGCCGTCGTATGGCGCTGAACAGTTGTTTTAAACTCATCTGTGAATTCCACGTCGTTGAGGAAGACCCAAGGGTAGTTGTACCACTGATTGAAATGCCTTTCCAAAGACTCCATGGATTTCACAACGTCGTCCAACTCGGAGTTCCTAGCTAGCATAACAAATGAGGCATTTGCCCGAGGGGCGTTTGTGTCTGGAACTCTGCACCCCACCTCAAACGGATAATCAATCTTTGAACTGAGGTTCTTCATGCCCATGCGGCGATCTTTCTGGTTGGTGTAGTCAGGTAGATCCACGCCATCATCGAAGTTTTTTCTCTTCCTGATGCGCTTGATATTGAGTGACACCAAGAGTGAAGCCGTGAGTATAATAAATAGAAGGAGGATAACTTTTCGTAGCATCGTCAAACGGGAAGACCAGGCCGACGTAACCTGGGTTTGAATATGTTGAGCAATCGCAGCCTTCTGGAAGATCCATGCTTGGCTTCCTCTAAATAAGCTGCATTGTCTGAATAATCGTCAGACATTGAACGTAGAGGTTGCTCTTCAGCCATCGAACTTTATAGTGCGCTTAATGAGTGAGACAGGCCTTGGATCTAGAGATAACGCGGTGCCTATCTGCAAGACATTTAAGGTACAACAGCTCTGCTTGTTTCTTGGGGCACTTTTCTAGTACATTGTCTATCTTACACTACTTATTTTCTCTTTTCACGCTGATGGCGTTCCGAAGAAGTGTCAAATCCTCATTGAGTTCTTCGACCTTCAACCCTTGCACACCCACAAACTGCTTGGTCAGACCTCTAGTGTTGGCCCTACCGGTCTGCTTACTCGTGCTCCGAGCCAAAATATTAGTGGCTCCGCCCTCTTCGTTGTTCATGATTAAGCTGTTGAGCTCGTCGTAGTCCTTGTCACTGAGGTTACTGTCGTTGCCGCTGCTGGCGCCATTATTGCTGACATGCTTCAAGGAGTGGCCCTGGCCGTTTCCTGTGCTGGTGATTCCTGATGACATCTCGTCGTTGGAGGAGTATCGCGTGGCGTAGTGTCTTCTGCGCTTGTTGGAAGACGAAGAGTAGCCCGCGGAGCCTGCTCCAGAGCCTGAGTTTCGAAGGAAACCGTTGCCATTTGAGGTGCCAAATCCTGAGTCTGAAAGGTCGTCTGCTTCTCCAGAAGTGAAGCGGGACAGAAACTCACGCTTTCGAAGGGACCGGCGGTCGTTGATGCTGAGTGACGAAGAAGCAGCTGCAGCGCTAAGTGCCGATATATTCTGATCGTTTCCACCTTGCGTGCTCCACAGACTAGCATTCACAAGATTGAGAAGAAGCTTATCCTCTTTTAGCTGCTTCACCTGTTTCTGAAGCTTGTCGAAAAACTTCTCCTTCAAAAGCTTGATCATTGTATCGTAGTTCTCCTTGGCCTTGGCGATGTCTTTCTTGTACTCTGTGTCTACTCGCTTGACCTGGTACTCTTCCCAGAGGCGTAACCTAGTAAGCTCATAGTCTCGACTCTGCTCTAGCACCTTACGTTTTCCAAGGTACTCCTCATTGGTACCCTGCTGGAGGCCGGTGAGATTGTTTTGAATATCGTGAACCATGATACGGTAGTATTCATTTCTCTCCTCGCTGAACGTGGCTTCTAGTTTGCTGAGCCGGGTACCAATCTGATGCCGCTTTCTGTCTCTTTTACTCACTGGGGTTAGTGGCTGAACGTGATACGGCGATGCCGAAGATAACATACCATCATTTATGATGCCATTTCGTGTGTAGTCATCCATTACGAGTAATGTGGGGGTCTTCGTGGGTATTTGTCGCTGTTGATGAGAATGGAGCTAATAAACCCAGCGATATGCCAGGCATTATTCAAAGGTTGTGTGCACTACCCTGGCTTGCTACCCATCCGCAATGCCGATTCAATTCTTTGGCAACTGGAACCACTTTCTTTTAGAAAAAATAAATAAAATCGAGTTTTGGCTCAAAATCATTCCAGTTCATGCCCTAATCATGTACTGGATTCAACGAGCTCACAAACTGATTTGAAGTGTGATACGTCAAGACCCACATCAATGAGAGTTCAAAAGAAGTGGTAAAATTGAAGGTCCAGCTTTCTTGAACTCAGACTTTTTTCTTGCTGAACTTTCAGTGTGGTGCTTGGAATAGCTCAGGCGTATGGGGCGGGATCCTAAAGGAAAAAAACGGAATTGCGAATGGAATCTCTCGGATATCCAAACTTCCTGCTCAGACTGTCAACATGAGTTCCAATTTTGAGTTTTTGAAGACCCTTCCTTTTGCTGACAGGCAGTACGAGACTACTCCAAAGATAACGGACAGCTGCATCTTCAATTTGGCCAAAGATGGTAGGACAGTGACTCTTTTCCCAGCATACTCATCCCATGAAGTACCACCAGCACTTTTTGCAATTCTTCACGAGGAATTCAATTATGTCATAGAGGAGGGCCAGACGTATCCTCACTACTTGCCCATGAGCCCTGAGGAGTTCGAGGCTTATCTTTTCGAGGGAATGGCAGCCATTTTGATCAACGGTGAGTTTAACAAGGACGACTTTGATCAACCAAAGTCATTCTGGGAAGAGAAGTACCTCGGTCATTTCTACATAAAGCCAAATTACATTGGAAGGTGCTCCCATGTTTGCAATGCAGGCTTCATCGTGAACCATTCCGTGAGAGGTCTTGGTTTGGGGAAGGAGATGGCAAGGAAGTTTTTGGACTGGGCGCCTCGTCTCGGTTATGTCTACTCCGTTTTCAATCTCGTTTTCGAGACCAACATTGCAAGCAAAAAGATTTGGGACTCATTGGGCTTCGAACAGATAGGCTACATCAAGAATGTCGCTGTTCTCAAGGGCCACGACAGATTGGTTGGTGCATACATGTATGGCAGGGACCTCATATAGTTGGATCTCTGACATACTGTGACCTTTTATGTGTGAAATGGGTGCAATCCAACCTCAAGGTCGGAATCATCTTATCTGAGATGAGCGTCTTCAACCGTCACAATAGACCCAATGCACACCTCTCCACTCCAGCATCAATACATTCTAGACAAAGAAATAGAACTTTCATAGAAATAGAAAAATCGGTTAAATCCTACAAATCTCCAGAACGTCACGTGCCAGAAGTTGATGTCTCATCGAAAACATACCGGTCCCTAGCCCACGATATACACAACAGGACAAAATCTACGGAGGCACGATCGGTTGCAAAATAAACCCGTGTTTTGTCTCTCTGTCCACAACCATGCCTGAAATAGACGATGTCATCAATCCGCCGCATTACAGGCCCCAACTAGACTACAATCCAATGTCTAGCATTGAGCGATACACTGTTTTGCTTAAAGACGGTGAGACAACAGCGACGATATATCCAATACAGAATGCTGAAGAACTACCGCCGGGCTTGCTTGCGTTCTTATGTGATGAACTTAATATGGAAATAGAGCGTGGTGATACGATATCCTTCTTTGATACACTTCATATCCTGAATTTTCAGAACTACTGGTTCGGCGCATTCGCCGGTGTTATGGTCCTTGGAGACTCAGCTCAGTTAGAAGGCCCCAAGCAATGGGAAAAGGAATGCTTGGGAACATTTTTCGTGAAACCAAACTACCCTGGACGTGCCTCTCATATCTGTACCGCCGGTTTCTTGGTCAATGCTGGTATCAGAGGTAAAGGCATTGGCCGTACTTTGGCTGACTGTTTTCTACAATGGGCCCCCAGACTCGGATACACCTACTGTGTCTTTAATTTGGTTTTCGAAACAAACGTGTCTGCCAGAAGAATCTGGGAGTCTCTTAATTTCAAAAGAATTGGTAGGGTGAAATCTGCCGGTATTCTCAAAGGCCATGACACGGCGGTAGATGCAATCATATACGGTCGAGAGCTAGTGACAGTGTCTGACTCGACTGTTGGTGCTTATCGCTTTGACAAGATTAAGTTCTATCTCGAAACTGGTAAGTATCCTGCCATGGCAGATAGACAAGAAAAGTCCAGACTACGGTCTTCTGCTTCACACTATAGACTAGAAAATGGAAAACTCATGCTTCGAGACAAAGAAGTTGTCAGCGATCCCGTGAGGCAGCTACAAATTTGCACCGAGGTCCACTTGTCCAATCATGGTGGAATCAACAAAACCACATCTGCTGTCACTGAAAAATATCATTGGACGAGGATCAAAGATACGGTAGCTGCGGCAATCAAGAATTGTATGGCTTGCAGAGAATCAGCAAGAGAGGAGATTGCTATCAAGCGTGCTGTTGTGCCTAAGAGAGTACTTCAAAGTCCACCAGAAGGACGTCGTGATTTGAATCATGTTACGAATCAGAAAAGCTCACAGAACAGAATACGACGTGATAATGGCCACGATGAGGTGGATTCAATTTCTGCAATCCATGGGCTCCAGCATCGTGAATCAGACAATTTGTTAACCCACGATCTCTCGGGACTTGATGATGGACTAATAGCTGTTGTTGAAGCTGCACAACGACGCCAGCAGTCTCCACAACAGAGATCAGACAATGATCATCGCAATCACCATGCACCATCTTATGCTGCTGTTGCAGCAGCTGCTGTCGAGCCAGAAACTCATAGGGGATACCAAAACGATTATTCTTTCCACTACAATGAAAAGTACAATTCTTCCAAGGACCGCGATAGAAATGAAGATGTGCCTGTTGATCCAGACGTGTCCGAGTACGATCATAATGTGAATCCAGAGGGTGATGAGATTGAAATAGCAAGGGCATTAATGCAATCAAATGACGACGTCGACGAAAACTCCCCAGAAAGAGGGCAGCGCCTGCAAAAATCCAGCGAACAAGATAGAGCAAACGAAGCAAACATGTTCTTCAAAAATCATTAAATAATTCATTAATATTGTATCTTATAATTTATGTACTGTGTATGATTGTGTAACATAACTATTTTTAAATGCATTTTATAGAATCTAGTGCCGTTCACAAGATTATTATTCCCCCAAACAATATCTCAGGCACGAAAATCTAATGTCGACTTAAAAGTCAACACCAATGACCATAGCCAACAAGGCCATTCTGACATACAATCCGTATCTCATTTGTCTGAAGTAGGCAGCTCTCTGGTCGAAGTCAACCTCCTCCTTGATCTCAGTGGTTCTAGGCAATGGGTGCATGACACACATGTGCAGCTTGGCGTGAGACAAGATCTTGTTGTCGACAATGTAAGTGTCCTTCAATCTCAAGTACTGCTCTCTGTCCTTGAATCTCTCTTCCTGGACTCTAGTACAGTACAAGACATCAGACTTAGCAATGAGCTCAGGAGTCAACTGCTCGGTCTCAACAGACAACATGTTGTACTCCTTCAACATAGTCTTGATGCTCTCAGGCAAGGACAACTCCTTAGGAGCCACCAATTGCACTCTAACCTGGTAGTGACGCAACAAGTACAAGAGCGAGTGAACTGGTCTGCCGTACTTCAAGTCACCCATGAATGTGACAGTGATACCGTTGACAGTACCCAACTCCTCTCTGATGGAGAACAAGTCCAATAAAGCCTGGGTTGGGTGCTCCTTGCTTCCGTTACCACCGTTGATGATTGGCACTGGAGAGTACTTGGCAGCAATGTCAGCAGACTCCTCAGTTGGGTGTCTCAACACAATAGCGTCGGAGTAGCAAGCCAAGGAGCGAATGGTGTCTTGCAAAGTCTCGCCCTTCTTCACGGAAGAAGAGTCAGCAGCAACAGCCACAACTCTACCACCCAATCTCTGCATAGCAGCATCGAAAGAGGAAGAGGTTCTGGTAGATGGCTCGTAGAACATGGTGCACAACAATCTGCCCTTCAACAAGTCCAAAACGCCCTGTCTCTCAACAGCCAATCTCATTTCCTGAGCGACAGTGAACAAAGAATGCAAGTCAGAACGGGTGAAGTCCTTGACAGACAACACGGAGTTTCTGAGGAAGGTGTTGTTTCTTCTGATGTAGTTGGTCAAAGCATCAGAGTCGGACAAGTTGCCAGATGGTGGCTGAGAGACCAATTCAGAACCCAACTTCTCCAAAGTGCCCTGAGAAGGCTGCTGCTCTCTCTCCTTCATCAAGGATGGGCGACGACCCTCACCGAAGGAGGCTCTGATCTTCTTCAAGTTAGGAGACTGTGGAAGGCTGGTGATCGATCCAAATCTGTCTCTGGTGGCGAACTCATTCTTACCAGAAGCGTCAGATGGCAAGATAGAGCTGTCCAAACAAACAGTCTCACCGTGAATGGAGACTCTCTCGATGTAGCCCAGGAACTTGCGGCCATCGAAGATGGAGCTGATAGCCTCAGAGACTGGAACAGCTCTCTCAATGTCGATTTCAACAGAAGCGTCCTGCTTTGGAAGGTTCAAGATTTGGACAGGGTTGTCGTGCAAACGCTTAACAATGTCCTTGATGGTAAGCTTACCCTCCTTGACGGCAGAAAGCAACAATGGCAAGGTCTCCTTGATGCCAAAAGCTGGAGTGACATCATGACCAAGACCTCTGGCAACCATGTATGGCAAGACACCAATAGAGAAGCAGTCAATGTGCTCCAAGTTCTCCCACAAAGCGGCCTGGTCCTCGGCAGTAGGCAAGAAAGCAAACTTGGAGTAGTCATCCTGGGACAAGAACAAAGCGTAGACGGAGACATCGCAAGTAACACTCAAGTCCTTGGCCTTAGCCATCTTGATCAACTCCAAGTCCTCCTTGGAAGACACGGAGGTGATGTGGATGGATCTGTTGTACAAAGAGGCCAACAACAAAACAGAAGCCAAGTCAGTAGAGCAAGCGTCGGTGACAATTGGCTTAGATTGAGGCCAAGAAGCAAAGTGAGCAGTGATGGAAGACACCTTGGAGTTGGCAAAATCGTTGAATGGCAAGAACAAAGCACCAGCATTCTCGGCAGCCTCAGCACAGTCCTCGGAGTTGGTAGCAGAACCAGCAAGACTCATGGAGAAGTTGGTGAAGGCAGAGTCCGATGCGGTGGAGATGGCGTCAGCCAAAGTGTCAGCATCGTAAACAACGGAGCCAGCAACGGTTTGAGGCAAGAAAGCGTTGAAAGTGAAACCAGAAGACAAGGACTCCTTAGTGGTGACCTCGAAATCATCAAAGGATGGAACGAAGCTGGTCATGTTGACCAAACCTGGCAATTCGGTGGTGGTGTGCGAGGTCTGAGCATCGTTGTTAGAGACGTTCAAGTCAATGTTTCTGGCAATAGCCTCAACCAAGAGCTTGGCACACTTCACGTTAGTGACCAATGGCACAGAGTAGTCAACAGCCATACGACGAGATTCGTAACCCTTGGACATGTAAGAAGCAGGACGACGGAATCTGTTGGAAGATGGCAAGTTGATGTAGACGTCAATCATGTTGTTAGCCAAGTGCTGAGTCAAAGAGAACTCGGACTTCTGGTCCTCACTCTTGCCCATGACCTCCAAGTAGTGAACTGGAATACCATGCTCCTTGATGAAGTCAGCAGTACCGGCAGTGGCAAACAACTTGTAGTCCAACTCGTGCAACTTTCTGATGGATGGCAACAACTCCTGCTTCTCCTTGTAGGAACCAATGGAGAACAAGAAATTCTTCTTTGGCAACTTGAAACCAGTAGAAATCAAAGACTTCAAGTAGGCCTCGTACTTGTTTCTACCGAAAGTAGCAACCTCACCAGTGGAAGCCATCTCAACACCCAAAACAGGGTCGGCACCAGCCAATCTGGAGAAAGAGAACTGAGGAACCTTGACGGCACAGTAGTCCTCTGGCAACTTCTCTCCTGGGTATGGGGTGACTGGCAAGTCCATGATGGCCTTGGTGGCCATCTCAATCAAGTCAGTGCCAACAACCTTGGAGATGAATGGGAAGGAACGAGAGGCACGAACGTTACACTCGATAACCTTGATGTCCTTGTCCTTAGCAATGAACTGAATGTTGTAAGGACCAGTGATGTCCAAAGCCTTACCAATCTTGGCAGTAGCTTCGACAATCCTAGAGACAGTCTCTGGGTCCAAGTCCTGTGGTGGAACAACAAGGGTAGCGTCACCGGAGTGAACACCAGCGTTCTCGACGTGCTCAGAGACGACGTGCATGATCATCTTACCGTCCTTGGCAACAGCATCCATCTCAATCTCCTTAGCGTTCTCAATGTACTTGGTGATCACAACTGGGTAGTCTGGGGAGACATCAACGGCCTGAGACAAGTAGGAAGCCAAGTCAGCCTTGGAGTAAACAGTGTTCATGGCAGCACCAGACAAGACGTAAGAAGGACGAACCAAAACTGGGTAGGAAACCTTCTCGGCGAACTCCTCGGCCTCGTCAATAGAGGTCAACTCCTTCCAGGCAGGCTGGTCAACGCCAATCTTGTCCAACATTCTAGAGAACTTGTATCTGTTCTCAGCAGAGTCAATCATTTCAGGAGAAGTACCCAAAATCTTGACGTTTTGACGGTGCAATGGCAAAGCAATGTTGTTAGAAGTCTGACCACCCATAGAGATGATGACACCAGATGACTGCTCCAAGTCGTAGATATCCATGACCCTCTCCAAGTTAATGGGCTCGAAGTACAATCTGTCGGCCTCATCGTAGTCAGTGGAAACAGTCTCAGGGTTGTAGTTGATCATGATGGTCTTCAAGTTGCTCTCTCTCAAAGTTCTAATAGCTCTGACAGCACACCAGTCAAACTCGACAGAAGAACCAATTCTGTAAACACCTGAACCCAAGACAATAACACCATGGTCATCAAATTTGACGTCGGAGGAGTCAGCATTGTAGGTGATGTACAAGTAGTTGGTGAAGGCTGGGAACTCGGCAGCAACAGTATCGATCTGCTTGACAAATGGAACGATACCGGCTTCTTTTCTCAATCTTCTGATGGCAACCTCGTTGGAGTCCAAGAACTTGGCAATCTGTCTGTCCTCAAAGCCCAACTGCTTAGCCTGTCTCAAGATACCAATAGGCAAGTTCTCCTTGGTACCGAAAGAAGCAATCTTGTTACCAAACTTGATCAAACCGTCCAACTTGTTCAAGAACCACTTGTCAATGTTGGTCAATTGCCAGACCTTGTCGACGGAGTAGCCATCGGAAAGAGCGTTGGCAACAGCGAACAAACGCTGGTCAGATGGGGTCTGCAATTCGGTGTCAATGTCGATAGACATCAAAGCAGCGGTCTGGTTGAAACCCAAGTTGTGGTAGTCAGTAGATCTGATGGCCTTCTGGATGGCCTCCTCGAAGGTTCTACCGATGGACATGACCTCACCAACCGATTTCATGGAGGAAGACAACAAAGAAGAAACTCTGGTAAACTTCTTCAAATCCCATCTTGGAATCTTCACGACAACGTAATCAAGAGATGGCTCGAAACAAGCACAAGTGGATTTGGTAACAGAGTTCTTGATTTCGTTCAATGGGATGTTCAAACCCAACTTAGCAGCGGTGTAAGCCAATGGGTAACCGGTTGCCTTGGAGGCCAACGCAGAAGAACGAGACAATCTAGCGTTCACCTCAATGATACAGTACTCCTTGGAAAATGGGTTAAGAGCGTACTGAATGTTACACTCACCAACAACACCCAAATGTCTGATAACGTTGACAGCAGTGGTTCTCAACATGTTGTAGTCTTCGTCAGACAAGGTCTGGGAAGGAGCGACGACGATAGAGTCACCAGTGTGAATACCCAATGGATCGAAGTTCTCCATGTTACAGACGGTAATACAGTTGTCGTAGGCATCACGAACAACCTCATACTCGACTTCCTTCCAACCCTTCATGGATTTCTCAACAAGAACCTGAGGAGACGTGGCGAAGGCCTTGGCACACAAGTCCCTCAATTCGGTCTCGTTGTCAGCGAAACCAGAACCCAAACCACCCAAGGCGTAGGCCG